GCAGTGGTTTTTGGGCGGCGGCGGCTTGGTGAACGACATTGTTGGGTTAGCCGCGAGTTGCTCGCTTGGTTAATTCGAAGTGGAGATTGGGGTGATGGTGGGAGCTGAGTGAAAAGTGGGTGGGAGGTCAAGGTCAGGTGTAACTTGTATTGTACGGGAACGATGTGAAAGAGAACCTGGAGTGGGTGTGATGAAAGTGCAGGTTCTGCATACATCAGTTAGACTCGACCTTGGTCAGTTTTGAGCTGAGATCCTCTCGAATATACAGCATCACAATCACGACCGAGCAATCAAGCCTCGAATATCAAGTCTATACAGCAATAATCATTACAACTATAAACCCAGCATATATCCATAAAACCAATGGAGACCACTTCAAGGTCAACATGGCATGAACGCCTATTCCAAATGGTAATGGAAAAAACCACCGAAAGTGAGTGTACAAAAAAAAAGGGACTGGAAAGGATCTATTCTCCTGGCAAGTAGCTATGCGCTCTGCCTTACAAGACTTTTTGGTGCTACATGATTTGGTTGGAGAGAGTGCTACGCGATTCGGGTTCGACGGTCGTTTGGGGGGATACGCATGGGTGTCGGGATTGGGGTTGAATTGAATGGGGGTGCCGCGTTGTCTGGATACTGTGGGCTAGACATATCTCGTGTGTGACAGCATTTAAGACGTGCCAGAGTGACCACAGACACGTGAGATCGTATCCGTGACTGGACGATAGCCTTCTATACCATCAAGCTGCTCCCAATACCTGGAACCCGTGACATCGTCGTATCGCGACAAGCCAATTTCGCCCTCCCCAAAGAGGCGTGACGAAATTGACAATGTTGCTCTGTGAAGAATATCCGGGCGATTGCGAGGGATGTAGACCGATGATTCCATAGAAGCGACGTTCCGTGCGCGACGACAATCTTCGAACGGATGGGCTCCGAATTGTGCTTCGAGGTGCTGGGGTACGCGAGGGAGAGCTAAAACCTATGTTTTAGCCACATGCTAAATGGTACTTCCACAAGAGAAGCTATCCAACATATTGGCCAACACACAGGTCAAGCAGTGCTGGGGAAGGAAGGGATATCAAGACACTCAGGCCATTACGCCTTGGTTGCCGCCTGGGGAAGGGAGGTCAGTGGGCTGGAATATATATAATGGGGATATTGACTCTATCAAAGAGGACCAGGACGGAGGTAGGGGTTATTGCGTAGCGACGTACCGACTTGACGCTTGATCTGTTCACGTGCCCATCGAGCGGTGTCTCGTGTTCGGCCGCTGAAGTCCGCGTTTGCACGTGTCTCCCTCGCCATTGCGGTAAGGAACTCATGGCGGAAGTACTCCCTGAAATCACCAGCTGGGAATGCATCCGCAAGATCACTGGACGATGTTAGTAGAATAAAACCTAGCGAGAAACAATCTTGCTCACCCAATAACACCGCATGAAGATCGGAGAAGAGCTTCGGTGCGGTTGCTGTCCTGTTGAATCGTGCGGAGAAGGTCGAAAATCGAGTCAAGGTAAGGAACGATGAGTTGAGCTGCGGTCATTAGTACGTCGTCAATGTTATAAATTGTAAGACTCACTCTTGTTGCTGCTCTTCATGGCGACAATGCATCCGTCCCATGCGTCCATAATGCCCTCCCGGAGAGAGGTAATGTAGTCAATCATCTCGTAGTTGCCCTCGGTAGTCAACGTGACTTGACCGGCCTGTTGTAGCACCTGGGCAACGACAGCTAGGTAAGTCTCGAACGCACCGTGAATAGCATGCGCGATATCACCGAAGCACTGGAGAATAGCCGGCTTAAGCTGGTTGCCAAGTTGAGGACTACGGAGGTTGTGAAGAAGGGAGTTCATGAACGCATCGCAGAAGGGCTGAACGTTCTCGCCTAGGGATCGGGTGATGTCGGACACCAGTCCAATGGCCATGGAGCAGAGCGCAGGCTCTTCCTGGTTGTTCAGGGCGTTGTACAGGAATGGAGAAAACGCCTCCATGTACTTCTGGAAGTCTTCCTCGAGCGCGGTCGCAATCGAACCGATGGCGGCAAAGACAGTGTCTGGAACACTGGACTTGGGAGGCAGAGACGATAGAAGGCTCAGCAGCGCCTGCATGATACGGTCGGATTGGGGCCTAATGTCGCTCTCCAATCGCTGGATGATGGCCATGATGACACTGGCCAAGCTGGTCTGCATCTCTTCGAGAGTCAGCTTGTCCTCAACGTTGACAACCTGAGATTGGAGTGCCATAGACTTCTCCAGGCGCTCTAGAATGACGTTGGAAAGTTCGTTGACTAGAGGAACACTGTCGCCGGCGGCGTTGTTGACAAAGGAGTTGAGGACTTCGTATGCTGCTGTGCGGAGGGTGTTGTCAGCATCAGCTCGCTCGGTGACCTGCAAAAGGCTCTGCACGCTCTGAGCGAAATGGGGCGACAATGGGTTGGTTTGGCATCCGGGCTCTCCTGCGAACCTGTCGGCCAAGTTCATCAACGACCAACAGCAGGATGCAGCCATCTTGGGGTTGCTAGCTAAACCGTTGAACAGAGCTCCGATCAGAGGAGGCAGATGCTGCTGTGCGTCGAGCGCGCTAGGAACAGCCTCGCAGATACGGCCCAAAGCGTAGGCGGCGGAGTCCTTGACGTGGATGTTCTGGTCATCCATCATTCCGATCAAAGTAGGCAGAGCCTGCTTGACAATCGGGTCAAGCACCGACTCCTCAGGACCTTCCATGATGGCACCGAAGGCGGAAACGGACGCATCCCGGTAGTGCCAGTCTTCGGAGCGGATGTACTTCTCGATGAAAGCGAGAACTGGCGGCATGACACCGCTACCGACACATTGTGCCCAGAGCTGTAGACATTGGTATGCCGCGCGGGAGGTGTTGTATTCGTTGTCGTCGGCATCCTCGTCCTGCTTGGCAAGTAGCTCTAGTAACACTGGAACAACCTCTTGTGTGGCAACTCGTGCAAAGTTGAAGTACTCCCTGAGCTCGGTTGAGCCCTCGGCCTGTGCCTGTGTGTTATCGTCCTCGATGGCAATTTCCTCCTCGCAGACAGTGCACCAAAACTCGACAGCCAGCTTGGCGACATCCTCCTCGTCGCTCTTCATGCCTTGGATGGTAAGGCCAAATAGCGCCTTCTCCATGTAGAAGCGCATCTTGTCGTAGTAGAGACCCATGATGCGGTTGAGACACCCGTACGAGCCCTGCTGAATGCGGCTGTCTTCCGCTTGTGTGGCCTCGCAGATGACCTGCATGATGTAGTTGCGCTCGCCCTCATTGTCGAAGTTTGAACGCACAAACTCGATCGAGTCGCTGAGCGCGTTGATGGCCGCTACACGGACGTCGTTGTTGGTCTCCTCCTTGCGGGCACCTTGGACAACCGCCGTCAAGATAGCGTTGGAGTGATGTGCTAGCGCGTCCCTCAGCTCTACGTCGTCTGTGTCACAAACAAAACCAATTGTGGTAAGTGAAGATTGCTTCTGGGCGTCGGTGCCTTGACCGACACTCTCGACGAGCGTGGTCATCAGCTCCGGCCATTGATTGCGGGGTATCTCGATAGCGGCGACGGAGGCGATGAACTGAGCGGCAGCTGAGCCGACATTCTTGTTTGGTGTGGCCAGAGTACGCAGGGCCATCTCCTTGACCTGCTGCTTGATCTGGGTGTCGAGGTTGAGCCATCGTTCTTGGACCTGACGTAATCGGGCATACTCGCGGGCGGTGAAAGCGTTCTTCAGGGCCAGGGCGGCGGCCTGTCGGATCTGGGGCTGGGCTTGTTCATTTGCGAGTTCGCCACCGAGGACGGTAAGGTATTGAGGCTGGAGCGAAAGGCGTTAGTGGGAGTGTTCTGAGCATGTCTCGGGAAGCACATGCAGCCTTCTGACGGTAGGGGGACTTACAAAGTTGGAGTCGGCTGCCTGGATGAGCTGCTGCTCGGCGCTGTTACGGATGCTAGCGTCTGCAGAAGAGTCAGTGGAGCTTCTAGAAGAGGGTAGATAGAAAACATACCGGCAGCATATGTCCCCTCCAACACCTGGTTGATGTCCATAATTGCTGAAGGGTGCTTCGTGGACTTAAGGCGGGGTATCTAGCGTTGCAAAGAATTAAAGAGCCGCGGTGGCGGGAGAAGCAGAAGGTGGTGCGGCAGGAAGGCAGAGAGAGTGTACAAGTTGCGGTGGGCGGTCGTCGTAGGGAGGGAATTTGAAGCGAAAGAAGGTCGAGCGTAGACAGGCCTAGTTCACGTGTTGTTTTCCTCCTAAAGGGTCTGCCCCACTAACAGAACGAACTTTTGGTGCGAGGAGACGGGTGTAAGAGCAACGGATCAAAGAGCAGCAAGCAAGACGGCAAACAAACACTGCGTTAGTTTGGTATGGAGATGTCGTCGGGTTCGTAGGGGTGAGACAGGGCAGAAATTTATTCTTTTGCTTGCTTCAGGCACCATCGACGAGTTCGCCGGCAGCTTGGAGGAAAGAGCGCCCGCCTGGCAACGGCGCATTGGCTCGCTTGCGCATCGTGCTTTCCTCCCCAGATTCCAGCTCGCGCTCCCGCATGCAGCCCTGTGGAAGCCATGACACTGGAACGAGGGTCTACCGTCCTGCACAGACACTGCATAGAGTTATGACATCCAGCCGTCTTGTGCATTGCCCTCGAGTCGTCGACTTGGCTGTGTTATAGACCCATCTTGAAGCCAAGCCACGACCTGCAGGCCGTCAATCACCTCGAGGCTATTGGACAACGCGCGCACATCATCATGACGAATAGCATGGATGCGCATTCCTGGACCTTGACATTATCATCGCGGCAGCGTGCATGACAGCATGTTCTTGAGAGCAAGGTAGTCATGACGGCAACCTGCAGTTGAGCTCTACATCCAGAGTACCATCAGGCCTGAGTGAGACATGAACGCTGCAAAGTAGATGGTAGGCACTATGTACAATGCAATCTAACGCACTCGCTCTGACTCCGACAAACACCTGTCATGCACCAATGCTCCATCGAGACAAAAGAGATTCTCACATCCTCCCAGAAGCACGAGGGTCCTCCGCCTCCTTCTTCCTCCAATCTCTCATTTCCTTCGTCCCCAAACTGCCCAGTCCTCCCTCTCCTCTCCTCTCCCATCCGCCCAATCGAACGACAAGACCGGTTGCGTTGTCCGCGCCTTCACTGCCAGTCGAAGTCTCTGTGGCAAAACTAACCACGTCTCTCGCAGCCTGTTCCGGTGTCTTTGCTTCCTTAACAATATCCACTATCTCCTGATCAGAAAGGTGCCCAGACACGCCGTCGGAGCACAGGACGAGGAACGAGTATTCTGCTGGCGAAAGTTCTATCCTACGGATCTCAGGCTCGGCAGATACCCCGACGCGTTTATGTGCCATGTCGCCAAAGGAACGCGTGTTTGCGAGGCCGGACATGCGTTCCTCACCGAAGGAGTCGGTGACAAATGAGGCAGCGAAGCGGCGGAGGCGGGTGGCCTCTTCGGGGAGGGAGGGGTGGTGATTAGATGTCAAGGGAACAGCCAGACCTGTTGCCGTATTACAGAGTAGTATTCTGGTATCTCCAACGTGAGCGGTGATGAGGGAGGATGGAGACGAAGGATGCCAGAAGGGAGACGGCGTGGGTGTAGAGATGAGAGCTACACTGCACGTGCTGCCTCCTTTGAAGCGACTCGTGCCCCCGATGTGCTTGGTAGTCGTGCGCGAGGGCTGGCCTAGGATGTCATCGTCGTTCAGAGCTTTGTCCGCACGGACAGGGTCCTCTTCCTTCTTGCCGACCTGAGCAGCAACGAAATCGTAGTCGGCTTTGAGGAAAGCGTATTCTAACACAGTTTCGATTCCGATGCCTTCTTTAATGTCGTCAGGTATCGCTGGGGAGCTCGTATGACGCTTCTCGATAACTTCTTTCTCCGCCGGATGACCGCGTCCGCCTGCAGACATGGAAAAGTATTCTGGCTTGAAGCGTCTAAAGTATCCACCCACAAGCTCCTTCCATTGCTTGACCAAGTGCTGTTCTAGCTCCTCAGCTTTCCGCACGCTGTCCGACTGCCGCACTGGTGGGACGCCATCGATTGGACCATCCATAGACTTGGAGCCGGCGGTCGGCAGCTGGTCTTTACTTCCAGGTTGTGGCGGCTTCATAGCTTTTGTGCCTGGTGGCGTATGTGTCTCGATAGCGTTCAAACTCTCCTTGTCCCTCTGTCTTCGATCGCCAGAAGATGCCTCGCCTTTGGCTTTTGGAGAACCAGACTGCGTCTCTGTTCTTTCCCGCGCGAGACTGCTCTTGAGCTCGAATTGCTTGGTCGCCTTCTCAAGGTAGTCGTGCAACTGTTCCCTCAAGAAGCCAGAGCACTCGGCGCCGCCATGTCCATCGAAGACGCCAAAGTAGAAGACTTGGGGATCTCCACTGGCACCCACGTCCGGCGTGACTTCGCTGCTGTCCGCGCTCCGTCCCTTTCGGCTTAGAGACATAGGTCGCCGCCGTGCAAATGCGGGGAGATCAATGGTACCTGCCTGGAACGCATCTTCGTTGTATGGCCGCGTTCCTCGCGACAACGAGACGCCAAAATGGTGTTTCGCGCTCTTCAATGGTATGCGTACGACGGTCATTTCGCGCGACGTGCCCACGACGGCAGCCGGCGAGCGACCTGACCCGTCGGCATTGTACGGCGTGCTTTTGTCGCGCGGGAGCTTGTGATGCAGCGCAGGTTGCGCAACTCGCGAGTCGGGGTGCAGTGACGTCGAGGGTATGTGTGTGATGAAGTATTCGTGGAAGCAGCGTCGCTGGCGGGGAAGGTACGTCGTCGTCGAGGGGAGCCTGGAGGCGTGCGCGCAGATGCAGGCAACCCGAGGCCTTATCGCGCCTCTTTGAAGGTGGAGGTTCGGTTTCCACATGTCGTCTCTTGCTGCGGAGGACGCATGGCGCGGATAAGTAGGTAGTTATGTCATGGTTGGTGACCTTGGGATAACCAATTCCAAGCTCCAAACTCGCCATGTTCCCGCTGTTCCTGGGGCCGCATTCCCGCGTTTGGCCCTATCGGGACGTCATCCGCTGGACCTTCCTCCATCACTCCGCCGACGTAAGTCGTAATTCGCCGTAGCGTTCAGTCCATATTCACAATCACCTTTCTGGTTCAAGATTCTGGTACCAAGGCTCAAGAAGGATCTGTTTACTGCGTATCAGAGCAACGATCAAATCACAACACGACAATGCATCGCAAACCACAAAGCAAACGGGGATTGGAGATCGAGTATGTAATTCCATATGGTATATCTAGATTCTGACATAACATCATCATAAAGCTTTTGGTTGTTGGTAACAAGCTGAACTGTTCCTGGATCCTCCATTTCTGCTTCGATCGCGTCATATCTTCGGAGCTCATATATATAAATCTGTACATGCAAATACATATGCATCACACGATGTCGACCTCCCTCGCCTTCATTGTCACCGTTGGGACAGGACTCATTCTCCCTTTCACTACAACCATTCTTTGCACATCCGCTGTCGCAACAATGGTCGGACTCCAAGGATCGACGAGATCCTCACTCACTCTGTACATGCTACGTCTCTTGTTCTTCATCGCTTGAGCAGCAGATTCCTGACTCGTCAGCGCGATGGTATCATCGGATTGTTGAGACCCCTTGCGTGAGTGTGAGTAGTGAGACGCTTTTGACCGGACGTCAGAAGCTATCTGGCGGAAAAGAGGGCGAAGAATAGCGATTGAGGCTGCGATGATGCCAGTGCCTGGCTCAGCAGTTGCCCAGATTGTTGCTTTTACTGATTCAGCTGTGAGATTGTTAGTACGAGTAACCATCAACGCCGTTTGGGTAAAGCACTTACCTCGTAGACCGCCTGCATGCAAGCCCAGTCCCTTCAAGTAGACCATCCGGAAGATCGAGCTCACGCTGCCTACTGCACCTAGCGCCATGACGATACTAACGCTGATCTTGCTTCTTCGGTCGAGGTCGCTGTCCAGTAGAACGGTGATGGGAATCAGGACAAATGTCCAATCAGCGATAACATTGATGACGCCGTAGAGGTAGCCCGAGGTAAGAAGAAGAGCAGACGGTAGGCAGTTAGGGGAAGATGGTGACAGCAGACTGTCGGCGAGGCGTGTTGGGTCGCCGCACTGAAAAAGGGCGATGAAGACGTAGTAGAGGCCATACGTCGCACTGATGGCGAGGATGACATGAAATATGAGCTTTTGCCATTTCTTGGTAAGAACCCTGAGGAAGAAAAGTCCCAGCGAGACTTTGAGGAATGTTGTAGTGAGGATGTAGAAGACTTCAGATAGTTGAATAAACTGTCAGAATATTAGCATCGTTGTTGAGAATTGATATCGGGAGGTACGTACAATTAAAGTTACGTGAATGGCCTCTTCGCTGAAGAGGTTTCGGTTAGAACTGCGAAAGGTGATTGCGAGTATGAATGCACAATAGCAGGTAAACAGCATAAGCGTCGCTGCCATCGCGGCGTCATCCCATCCTGGAGATCTCGTGATGCGATATCGCACCCAAAACCGTAGACCGACTGTGATGTAGCTGAGAATGAGAAGGGTAACTATAAGGTAGAACGTAATTGAACCAAGGAGCACCAGCTCCTGAAGCTTTCCGCTTTCCATCGTCTAGAAGAGAACAAACATCGGAGTAGAGGAGTAAGGTCCGAGATGGAAAAAAGGGCCAACCAGACACTGGCGGAGAATCGACGATCGAGAGAAGCAGCACGACGGTAAAGGGTCCGAAGTGCAGGTAGAGGTAGCTGTGGCATTATGAACGCATGGTTTTGTACATGATAGTCCCGGTAGCAAGCATCCCGGGTGGACGCGTTGCATGTATGGTGAGGGATCGGATGTATGGTATGGGTCAAGAACTTTGTTATCTTGCGAGTGAGTAGCGATTGGCTACGGACAGTCGTGGCAACCTGAATGGTTTGTGATTTACCTGGGTACCGTGTGAGAAACATCCCAGACGTTTAGCATCTAGCGATGTGACCGAGGCGGGTCATGTCCCGCATAATCCACCACAGTGTTCTCCGGACTTCATCGAACGTTTGGCGCTTGGTCTCCCCTGTCATCGAGATGCCTCGAGAGGATGTGCCGGTCTTTGAAACACGATACCTAGCCTCGGCTGATGGAAACCAGGAGAGTGGAAACGCTTGAGAGAATGACCTCAGAAGATGAGGTGTTCAAGTAGAGCGAAAGGCGAAGTAAGAAGCTGTATGGCGTTAGAGCTTGCGCCCGCCAGTAAAGTCAAGCCTCACTACCCAGTCACGTTGAAGCTGCAACCTTGAACAACCAGGGCAGAGGTATGCTATCCACAAATTGTTTCGCTTTTCTACTGGTAATACGAATTTTGATGTTCATTCGGCCTCTTCACCATTCGACTCCGATATGCCGTAAGAGGCATTCCTGACGTTCTTGAGTTAACGAACCACCGAGTTTTCCATAGCGTCTCGATCTGTTCTCTAGACGGGATAGATTCATATGCTGGATAGTCCTCATGTTTGACTAAACAGTCTGTGTTTGACCATCGAACGTGAGGCGTGTTTCGCGTGGGGCTAACGCAGACGGGAACATCCCCAAACAATACACGTGCAGGTGCGGCAAGCCTGTTTGATCGCCCAACAGCGGGACAGAACCAGACTTGCGGATTCCTGAGGCGGGGATTACTTGTAAGGCAAACGATTGTAGAGGCCAGAGGTGTCAAGGCGGCGGGAGGACCCGTGTGTTTGGAAGTGGTTCAGCTTTTCGGAGATATAGATATTCCGGTCATAGCGTCCCGGGAAAAGTCTTCATCACCCTCGACCTGCGCGTCTTGACTTTTACACCAACCATGAATAACTACAACAGCGCGTGTACTCTGCAATAGCCTTTGATCAAGGTTTTTTAGCAGCTGCTATTGCGCAATGCCAGTATGATCATGTAGTCTCATGCTTAGTGCAACGCAGCACTCAAATACAGCAATTTGGTATGTTTAGTCCTGTCCTTCCCTCCTTTTTCATGATGAAAAAAAGACAAAATTCACAGACCTGTTCGTAAAAATTGTGTCGAAAAATTTGCTTTATATAATCTGATTACCTTCTTTGGCTACCTGCTTCTCAGCTCATGCATTTGGGAGCTCACCAGCTAACAAAGAACAGACATATGGATTTGTGATTATTTCCGAAGTCCTCTTTCCGAGGCAGTTGGGCGACTTGTTTCGATGCAACACCTGCATGAAGTAAACCATCGCCACAATACTCAGTGATAGCGATGCATGACAGCGATGGAAGGACTCGAACAATGCTGGTATTCCACTTGCTGGTTACCCTTTGATGACCGCTTTATAGGCTCAGCACAACGATGTGCACCTCCAGATACTTTTTCTACATTCCTTTGTTCAATCTAAATCTGTGACTTTACAAGACTCGATGAAAGAATGTTATGATCTCTCATATATATACGATATGCGCCTTGCTATCTGTGCGTCCCGTACGCTTTGAACCTATCAGGAAATCTTCCGACATGTATTCGACTATTGTTTCACGATCACCAATTTCCCCAAGGATCGTATCGAAGGATCAACCAGCAAACCCATCTACCCAACCCGATCATCAGGCAGTATTTGTAACCCCTGACGATCGTCGAGACCACTCAGCCGTAAATAAGTCGATAGCGGATGCATACCTACGGAGCACCGGCGCTAATGTAACATACAATCACGGCCAAGCTGAATTCCATGAGTTCAATGGCTCCGAGAGCGTGCTTGGTCTTCCCAATGCAGTTGACCCTTGCCTTCTTGGCGACTTCGATCTGAAGCAGTTCTATATCAATGATGGACTCGAAGACAATACTTTCGGTCCAGACGCGTTTGCGTGGGCGGGAACCAACGATACGGACGTGGCTATGAATGGGATGCCAACGGACGGCTTTGCTGCCAATTCAATCCAGTTCAACGGATTCTCTCAAGATAACCAGGTTGGACTTGGTTTGTCGTTCTCAAATGCCAATGCTGATCAGGATAATCAACCAGGACAGAACTTCGATCTGAGTGAAGCTGGGCAGAGTCTGTTTGACTTCGTTCCTACAGAGCCGTTTGGTAGCCGAACTCTAGATTCTAACATCGGTTATTCTCAAGACATCCATTCCTGGGATCCTAACTTCCAAGCAACATCTCAGCTTCTAGACACCACACCCGGATTTTCCGCGCTTCCTAGTGGCAATGTCTTTGTGCCCGATATGTCACAGTATGCAGCCATTGGCCAGAATCCACAGATGTATCCTGATCCTTATGGTTCGATGTACCCAGACCAGCCATATTTTCAATCTGTACAACATCCATATCCGCAACAATACACCGGATATGTCGCGATGCCAGCAGAGTATCATACCGGAACACAACAGCTCGATATCATACAGTCTTCGAGCTCTCGCCGATTCAGTCGCCCCTGCCAGACTTTCACTACTCATCAGCTACCCCAACGAAAACGTGACCGATCTGAGTCTGGGTCTGACAACGATGTGCCCGTTGTCAAGCGACCTTGCGGGCAGCCCACCAAACGTGCTTGGTCCTCACCAGATTCTCGCCACCACTCTGAGGTTTCGAACGCCAGCTCCGTGAGCAAGCCAGTCAAGGTAGCTGTGGTCAAAGCTGGAGAGAAGCCGAAAAAGTGCGATGACAAGCCCTGGGTTCGTGTCAACAACACGACCAGGGGCGAAACCACACGCACTGCTCGCATCAATCAACACGCCGAAGAAGGTCGCAAGTACAAGTTCAAGGATCTTCCCCATGGCGACTGGGAAACCTCCAAATACAAGTTTGAGTACAGTCAAAACAATGGTATGCATGAGTTCAAGAAGCGCACCATGTCTGCTCGTCAGATTCACGAGTACATCACCCAGTATCCTTTCGATAATCTCCGCATATGGATCCAGCCAGTAGCTTCAGACGTGGCACGTCGTTATGCTTCTGCCTCTCACAGCCATTGTCGCTTCGAGAAGTGCCCAATGCGTGTGTACACTGGCAAAGGCACCGCTGAAGTTGGCAACTACCGCGTCGCATTCGACGAAAAGCACCGAACGTACGGCACTGGCGTAGCCGATCCATACGACTGCGTCGGTTACGCTCATCTGTATTGCATGGAGCGTTTCTTAGACTTTGCGTACATCTGCCAGGTTGCTGACGTTAAGGTTGATCAACGTGTAGCCATGGAAAAAGAGCCTAGTGGCCGCTTCGGCTCCGCGTTTGGCCCAAAACATCATTATGAAGCGGCATTGACTAGCAAGTTCATCGAAGCTGCTAGCAAAGGCCGACTAGCTGATACTCACGAATTTTCTGATTACCCTGTTCATGAAGACTATGAGCGCGGCGAACCCAAACCGCACGAACGTACGCTCATCTACAAACTTTACGGTATGAACATGGAGCATCGTGCGAAATCGCAGATGAAGCAGTTCATCCTCCAGCGGAAAATCCGTCCTGGCTCGTTCCCTGTTCATCGCGGCGACATGGAGGTTAAGCTTGTTGACAAGAAAATAGAGAAGACCGAAGCCTTTGCGGAGTTTAAGAGGAGTGGGTCTAAGAAGGATTTTGACTACGCTGCTTACTACGATTTATTTCACCCTGAGATCAATCGGCGTATTAAGGAATGTGAAGATCTACGAGATCGATTCATCGCCGAAGATGCAGCAGGAGTTACTACAAAGCGCTCTAAAACACGTCGAGCAGTTGCTTTTGTGGGATCTGGCCATGAGACTCAGGCTCCCGGACGGAAGCGCTTCAAAAAGCGCCTGCCTTCTGATAGTCGCTCATCCAGCGACGAACGACCGGCTACCAAAAGCTCGTCCACTATCCGTAAAGCCGCTGCGGACGAATCTGAAGACTCGGACGTGTTTGAAGAGATCGGCACTGGTATGGAGCACCGACAACCCCGCCGATTGAGTCTTCGTAAGAAAGAGCGTATCGACTACTCTGAACCAGAAGATATTCCACGATTCATTTCCCAATCCAACTATTCTATTCCTGGCTACGCACCCGCCCAGGCCTTCGACACTCGAAAACAGAGCCTTAGTAACCTCTTTCCCGCCAACAACGACCCGACGTGGGATAACTTGGACCTTGAAACCTTTCATGTCGATGGTGACGAAGCATTCATTGATGAAGCTGATATTGATGCTCTCATTAACGCAAAGTGTCGTCGTCAATCTTCTACTTTATGCAAAGGACCGAGTGTCTCGGCTCTAGTATCGCCTATGCTACAGCACGCGCCTCGTACGGCTAGTTTCGACGTGCAGCCAGTGACTTGTAGTAAAGAGTTTCGACTCGACGACCCACCGAGTTGTATCGCTTCTCCAGGTGATATTACGCATGATAGCCAACATCAGCACCAGCAAAATCGTCGTAGTAAGCGTCTGATAGACAAAACTACACCACATTCCCCAGTTGCTGAACAGACCTGAAAGTACGAATGACCTTAAGTAACTAGGTAGGTTGATGGATTACTCTGGAATGTAGGAATAGTTCAACTTTGACACTGGATAGTGCTGTCTTACTATGTAAATCCGGGCACGTGTTGGGGTGGCTTAAGTGTTGGCTCATGGGGTATTTTGTCCATAATAGGGCCACCTCAAAGGATGCCCAGGTACCCACTTAGGTAAGCACTTGAGCATTCCAATGTTGCCTGGCCGAATCTTTTGGTGCTGCATTACGCACCTAGTTAATACAAACCTCTTAAGCTCAATATCTCTCTAATGTGACAATCTTAGATCCTCACTAGTAATAAGTTCGCTATTGTAGCGCAGCAAACTAAGAACTGTGAGTCGCAGCTTCGAAATATATCGAGACTGTCCGGGTTATCTTAGGCTAACCTGCATGTGATAAGTTCTTACCTAGGTACAGTATCAACGCTAAGTTATAGCAGGCGGCATCGGTACCCTACAATAGCTTCTTCACAATTTGTGAGCCCGTTTTGTGGCCTTTCGACTCCCTTTCCCCTGCACCACTGCGGCAACGACTAAGTCTTTACCTTGATTTGTCACTAAGTCGACAAAGAAATAATTACCTTCTGCGCTTCACGCCGTCCTGCGGACACCACAAATCTGATTCCACCATGCTATCGCAGATATGTACCCACATTAAATCATGGTGGCAACAGACACCTTTGCCAACAACCACGGCAACGTCTAGTTTCCAAAAATGGCACGACTTTAATCAAGGACTGTGGATTCCATTTGTGAATGACAAAACTTCTCGGCCTGGCACCAGACATCGATGGGCGGGCTCGTTCCGCCTTGTGACCTGGAACGTAAATGCAGATGCACCGTTACCGAAGGTTCGTATATCTGCATTACTGCAGGTCATCAAGGATATGGGAGCTGCAGATGTTGTTTTCCTGCAAGAGGTATCAAGGGAATCGCTAGCAGCACTTCTCGAAGATCTTTGGATACAGCAAAATTGGTACATAAGCGATGTCAATTTCTCCGCCTTTGGAAACCAAAAGTTTATCAGCATCAGTTTGGTGTCAAAGCTTTGGGTAGCCACGAATGGTATCATGCTAGGTGCCATCTGGAGGGTTTCGTTACCTAGTCGCTTTGAACGAGACGCCCTATGCTGCGATCTGATTCTGAACTCCTCGAGCAAGCACACCTCTGGTAGAAGTTCCCTCCGGATTCGACTTGTTAATGTCCACTTGGATTCGTTACCAATCAACCCGTCACTAAGGCCACACCAGCTCTCTATCTGCGCATCGTACCTCAGCGCAGCTGGCCGTGGGATCATTGCCGGCGACTTCAATCCCGTTCTCCCGGAAGACGACGACCTTCTCCGCACCAACGATCTTACCGATGCGTGGGTACGCCTTCGCCCAAAAGATCTAGGCCACACTTGGGGTGTATATGGCGAACAGTCTTTCCCGCCGAACCGATTAGACAAAGTTGCTCTGTTTCAACTTACCCCTTCCGGCGTGGGCATCCTGCAAACGAGCGAAGTAGAATTCTGTGGCGAAAAGACTTTGATTGATGTAACGGGGTTGGGTTTGAAAGCGCATTTTAGCGATCACTTTGGTCTTTGGTGTGACGTTGGATGGGCAGAAGACCGACCATAACCGAGACGATTCCTAGGTAGCTGCTCGAAGACAATTCTGAAGGTGGACATCTTTCGACATGTACGAATTCGAGAGAATAAGTCTTGGTAGACATGGGGAGTTGCTGCGTGCCTGTCTGGAGTCCAATGGGAGATGCTTTGAGCGTATGTTTTACATATGTTACACCTAAGACAAAACCGCCGATTTGAGCAATGAAGTCTTTGACAAGCACTATCCTTCAGGGTGTTTAAAACAGGGAAGTGAGCGGTTGTCCAGTCTCTGATTCCTAGTCCTGAAGGTGAAGGCTTGGGCGGTTGCATATTGTTCGCACAACTAGGACCAAAGGTGAGCTAGCGCGCTAGACCTGAGCATACTGAGAGGTGGCGGTGCAGGCCGATCGAATGTTGAGCTGGGCAATTGTAGTAAGCCGCTTGGAAGGTCGGTTCCCCGCTCAGCGCCGTGGGGCAGCTCACTAAACAGGTCATGAGAGGAACCGGCAGCGATTTCAGTGATAACCAGGAAAAGGGAAACATAGGTAGCTATCTAGGTAGATAAGAAAAAAAAAAGACAGTCTGGAAATATCGAAAACGTATTTACCGTACCAGGAATAGCCATGATGAGTTTTGCTTCAAGTAATTGGGTAGTGCGAATATTGATCGGCATCGGTCTAGCCGCGGCCATGTTCTCAGCGGTTGGACAATGATGGGATCACAGCAGTGGAGGAACGAGGCACATGTTGCAGCCGCTCAACACTTTCCCCCCGATTCTGTGCTAGCGAAGCGTGAACCGTCTTCAACGTTCGCATTGTCTATAATTTCGCGCATGATAAGAACGTGAAACACCCGTCCCTGCCTCGGCCAAATCGTGTGCAACACGGTGCTACTGTACTACCACTACTACCACAACCACCACGCCCAACGTTTGCCGTGCGTACCGTTGTATCGCTTCGCAGCCCCACTAGACTATTTATCAGCAAGCGCTTCCATTCTGAACCAGAAAGGATGGCTTCCCGCACATCGACACCGTCGCGATCGCGTTCCTCTTCCAACAGCAGCAGTTCTTCTGATACCACTATGATTGACGCGCCACCGCAATCACCAAGTCGCCCGGCGCGCCTTCGCAACCCGTCGCATAGCGCCGCTCTCCCGACGCCCACAGTCCTGCAAGCGCACAATGACGAGACACAACTCGATCCGTCATTTTCCCTCCTCTTGTCTCTACCGAGAGAACTCCGCGATCGTGTCTATACATACGCATTGGTTTCTAGTAATCCGTTCTTATGGCCTACTACAGCGCCCGAATCCTTGCCCAGCAAAACTCGTAGTATCAACGTAAGCCTTCTCCGGACAAACAAACAAGTCCACAGTGAAGCGGTGGACATTCTGTACTCGCAGAACAAGTTCCTGTTCACACACCCTAGCGACTGCAACGTCTTTCGTGTTATAACGTCGCCCGCCTCCGTCAACATACAGAGCGTGTACTTTCGGATAAAAGATAAAGACCTGGGATTGTGGACACCGTATCTGGGGAGCAAGTCGGGAGAGAGGAGTCTGAGAGGGGATTTGCCAAAGTTGAGGAGTCTCTGGGTATTTCTCAGATGGACAATGTGTCCTCACTTCATGTCACGCATACTGACAGAACAGCATGGTGGATTTGTTGGTCCTGTAGGCGGGGTTCAAGGAGGGGCTACACCATACGGTGTGCATGTTGCTCTTCAGCAACAAACTCAGCACGTCGTAAACCAACTCCTGACCAACACACAGATTGTTGGTGGTGCAGGCGGCCATGCGCATGCCACTGGTAACGCGAATCAGATCCCTCCTCCACCTCCACCAGCTCCAGCAATGCCGTTTCCACAGTTCATGCAAGGATCGCTGGGTTTAGGTGGTCATGCACACCATCATCACCAAGTACATCCGATACCGCATGCGCATGGCCAGCACAATTATCCACCAAACCCCAGTCCACTGGCACAACATCTCCAACAAGGCGAGATTAGTATTCCTGTTCAGCAAACCCCGCTTACTGTTAGTGGCGTGAACGGACCAGATCCACACAGATTATACTCCGCATTCATCCGTTCCAACCGCTTCAAACTCGTCGTTGAGTCTCTCTGTTTGCAACTGAGCGACGTACTAAACCCCAAAATCACCGGACCCTTGGAACGAAAATCTTCTAGCAAGTTCTCCACAACAACTGATTCTACGTCCTCGAACCCCATCACGGAAATCAAGATTGTGTGCGCTTCGACACCCGGGAAGAGACAGGTTGAGCGGTTACTCTCCAACTTCCCAGACGAGTTGGTGCTCGATCCTGTCACGCAGGATGCGAGGACGAGGTTTAGGAAAATGCATGGTGTGGAAGTTAGTCTGGAGTTTAATGGTCTGAGTAGTACGCATCAGGAAATGGTAGTCGCGGGTGAGGTGACACCGTGGGATTAAACATCCTTGAGTTAGAAGAGAGAGTCATTTTGATGGCAATAATCAAAGTACTTTCATAGATTGCTGGATGGGGATCATAACATGTCTTCGAATTTCACTGGAAGTATCTGGGTACAGGCTTGACGTTTCATGCATCAAAACTCCGGTGGACAACAACAAGATCTACGCATACACGTAGCAAAACAGACCCCCAATAATACTCATCGCATCCCTGATGGTTCTGTTTTCCACCCCAACATACTTGAAACCACGTTATGTACAGCTCCTCAAGTTTCGCCTAGTACACATGACGACCGTCAGTGTCGGAATCGTTTTGGTCACGAAGAGAGCACAAGTCTGGTTTCTTTGGGGTGTAATCTGCTTCCTGGTTCCTTTTGTATTGGCAAGTCTGGAAACATTGGTATGTCATGTTACCTCCAATGACAAGCTGAATGATGATGAGCCGCTGATCTACTAGATCTAAATCTTCCAGTGTAATCCGGTCGTAGCTGCGTGGGATATCGACTTGCAGCCACCACCTATTGGAACCGGTACTACGAAATGCTTTAGTGGGGACACTTTCGATGCTATTGGATTGTTCGATGGAAGTAAGTCTCTAACTCCTTCACACGACTACTTGCAGTTGTATATAAAACTAATGCCTTTGTAGTAGTGAACATCTCTACCGATTTCCTCGCTCTCGCTCCTGTAAATTTGATCGTACGCTCAACCATTCCAGGCATTTATTCTCACATTAAAAATCACACTGACTGAAACAGCGGAAGCTCCAAATGCCGCTCTGTATGCCCCTCTCCCTCGTCGCCGTTCTCTCTCTTGGTATATGTGCTGCTGTCGCTGGTATTGTTAGACAGCTTTCCTCCAGTCAGTTTGGCGTCCCAAAGCCATACATTTACGACACACATTCTATCTGGAACTTGATCGAGCTCGACATGGGTATGATCGCAGCGTCACTGCCAGCTCTCAAACAACTGTTCAGTTGGTTCCGCGACACTGCCCGAGACTTGACTGGAAAGTCAAAACCGACAAGTGCAGATGGTTATTAAAGGCAGGTACATTCAGTAGCTGACGATGGCTTTGTGTCGATAGAATATGGATCGAAAGGAGTGGTCAAGGTCACACCACGGCCGAGGGAGCGCATTGACAGGTGAGCGTTCGATCGGACGAAGAGCAGTCAGGAAAGCATTTTATCGCGTGATGAAAGGTCAATGAAAGCAGACATTATGGTCACAAAGAGCTTGCAGGTAGAAAAATCGAGCTATACTGGAATGACGGAATAAGGGCGACTTTCCATTCCATAATTACGGATCACAAGCGACGTTTTGGATAGCTAGCTGACCTATCAGAGACCAACTGAGTACAGCCTTCAAGCAAAGAACTACATAATCGAGAGTCCTGCTTCAGCCTCATAGCGCTGGGTCAAACCCTTTTACTGCTCACACCACAAGACTGCTCTACTCTACGCTTCCACGGCTGTTTGCTCACCCGTCACGTACTCTCTACGCTCTCAAACTTAGTTCACAGGAACAAGCATGTTATGTCCCGACGGATAAATTACGGAGGTCCGACACATGGTTTCAGGCGGTTCCGTACTCAAAGATCGTCGCATTTACTCTTGTCTCGTACAAGCCATCTCCTTCTAGGAGATGGTATGTATCCAGCTCGAAATCTGCTGATGGAACAGCAGATTGAGCGAGGCAAGAGACCATTCTACAAAAAGGCAGCTCTGGCTTCCAAAGGTTCGCTTCTAGGGCGCGATCACTTCACTTTCTAATGAAGATAGCGAAAAAAGCACGTGTGTGTTGTTCAGAGCGTGTACGACGTGAATACACAAACTCCATGTGCGTATGATGATGGTGCGACAGATGTGGTTGGGCAGAGTAAGCGGAAGAAGACGCGACGCTCGTCAAGGAAAGTTTTTCACGATTATGTCATAGCCTCACTAAACTTATTTCACACTAGCGTCTATGCTCCGCGCGCGCAGTTCATCCCAACATCCGTCCCCCATGGCATATTAAGCCTAATGCGCCAATCACAAATGTACGCCAAAAGATGTGCGAGTACTATGCCTAGAATCCTGGGTTGGCCTACGGCCTCGCTTGCAGTTTGCAGTGGTTTGGCATGCTGGAATGGTGTGCCGCTAGCTTTGATGCGGCATCCCGTGGATATCCAAGCCGTGTCTGTATAATGAAGATGTGAAATCGTGGAATTTCTCTTCTCGCTCCCTTCACCTAATCACCTTAAGTGTTTCTTCGTAGTCTGAAAAATTGGCACGACTCCAGCCATGGCGGCTACTCAGCAACCTGAGAAGACGGCAGCCTCACATCCCAGTCCTCATCATGATCCCGAATCGGGCGCGACTCCAATGTCAACCGACAAAGACATAGCAATCGACCTCGTCGGCGAACATGCCCAAGATATCGATCCAGGAATCGAAGCAAAAGTGCTCCGAAAGATCGATTTGTTCCTTATCCCCGCCATGATCGTGGGTATGTCCATCATCACCAATCATCAGCCTTATCCAAACCAAATATCATCCTAACATACAATACACAGGGTACGGTCTTGTCTACTATGACAAAGCCATTCTTGGTTCTGCTGCCCTCTTCGGCATGACAGCGGACCTTTCCTTGAGCGTCGTTACAAACGCCTCCACAACACCCCCGACAGTGTCTACCACCCGTCTGTCCTGGGCAACATCCCTCTTCTACTTCGGAATGCTAGCAGGCCTATACCCCCTAACTTTTGCCCTTCAACGCTTCAACTTGGGTCGAATCTTGGGCGCCGTTGTACTCCTCTGGTCACTAATCTGTATGTTGACAGCTGCCGTAACCACCCACGAGGGTTTGTTCGCACAGAGATTCTTCCTCGGCTTCGTAGAAAGCATCATACCCACTGGTTTCATGACAATAATCTCGTCTTACTACACTCAACGCGAGCAATCCATCCGACAATCTTGGTGGTTCAGCTCAACAGGCCTGTTCACCATCATCGGTGGCGCACTGAACTACGGGTTCGCACAGATTACCTCTGGCTCCCTACGGCGCTGGCAATACATCTACCTCCTCGCCGGCTGTCTGACATTCCTCTTTGGCATTTGGTGTTTCTTCATTCCAAATTCCTGTGCAGAAGCTTGGTTTCTCACCCCTCACGAACGCGTCGTCGCTGTTGAACGGCTCCGAAAGGGAGCCACAGGCGTCCGCTGCCAGAAAATCAAAACGTATCAACTCCGCGAAGCAGCCACAGATGTCAAGTTCTATCTCATCTTTCTTCTGATGGCCTCTGCATATACCGTTAATGGCGCAGTCTCTGGTTTCGGTCCACTCATTGTGAACACGTTCGGCTGGTCGACCCTCGCGTCTATACTCTGGCAATTTCCGCTTGGACTCATCTGTCTTGTAACAATACTACTTTGTGGTTACTTGTCCTCGAGAATACCTAATATCCGTCTTCTCCTCCTGATCTTGCATTGTCTCCCTGTCATCGCGGGATGCGCCATGATCTGGAAGAGCGAGTGGACGTACCACGCGGCCACACCCGTCGCTGGCTACAGCATTATTGGCACGTTCGGCGCGGTTGTCAGCCAGACCATTGTTGTGGCGATGGCGAATGTGAGTGGAGCGACGAAGAAGAGCGCGATGGCTGGTACGGTGTTTGTTGCATATTGTGTGGGGAACATTGTAGGCCCGTTGTTGATCAGAAGTCAGGAGAAAGGGAAGCACTACCCTAGATTGTGGACAGGCCTGATCATCTGCTATTGTATTACGATCACCTCTGCTGTGGCGCTCTACGCTGTGCTTGCAAGAGAGAACAAGAAGCGAGACGCTCTGGCTATTGACGAAGAGGAGAGAGACAAACTTGCTTTTATGGATCTGACGGACAAGGAGAACATGTACTTCAGGTACGTTTTGTGAGGTATTCCTGCTTCAATCTTGGATCAATAGGGTCCTCAATCCCACAACAATAGTATGAACATGAGAATGTATGTGTATTGATAGGAGTTCGTCCATCTTACTACTACAAACTAGTTCAGGGGATCCAGAAGCCTGCTCAATTTGGGACTTCGCTCAAGCATACGTCACTCGCATACTTCAACGCAAACCTCCACCAATCTATAAGAAACGCCAGCAACAAATTGTTCGTTTGCTCTCGTTCGTAAACTCCCCAGCAGTATGAACAAGAAAAAAGTAACAATGTTCGCTTCCGGAACGCCGTTTGGCTCGGACCCCTCAAAAGGTCGAGCAACTCCAAAGTGTGTGCTTACTTCTTTGCCCCTCGCCGTATGGGGTTGTCACATTTCTCGAAACCCAATCCTGACAAGTAAAGAAAAAAAAGCTGAACGATAGGGTATAGTTGAAAGAGATACCGTATGAGGCTATGAAAAACAATACAAAGGAGAACAATGACTTTGATTCAATCACCTCGGTCCTCTCGGTCGTGGCCGAACGCCGGCTTCAGTCGCACTGCGTACTCGAATAGTTGGTCGGCTGATCCCTGGTGTATCAGCCATAGCAGCGTCGTAGCTAGGTACTTCAGGACTAGCTGAGCCAGACCGTTGTAGAAGCGGTGCTCGCTCGTCCCAGTTGTATCCGTCTTGGTGATCGATTGTGTTTCGCAGACTAGGCGAGCCAACGGGGCTGCTATATTCGGGGGGAAGTTCGCCAGGTTGTAAGAGCCCAAGACCTTGACCTTGGTTCACCGGAATGGTTGTAGTATGATCATCGCTGGGTCCTTCGCCGGCAGTGTCTTCATTTGAATCCACAAGACTGAGTGCTGCTAATGAGATATCTGTGGGACTGCGCTGTGGTCCTGGACTTGTCGGTACCTGTCTTCCAAGACGCATTTGCTGGCTACTTGACCGTCCATGTCCGTAACCTGCTTGGATGTAACTTCCGGCCATGCCTTCTCTTATACCTTCGCGACCAGAGTCGAGAAGAATCGATCCTTGTTCGCTGCCGTATGGTGGCGGAGGAGCCAGACTACCGGTTTGGGGAGCTAGACCCCACTTTTTGACGTTGGCCTCGATGAAGACGAAGCCCATTTGGCCAAAGTTGACGTGCACTTGGCAAGGACCGTTTGCGCCTACGGTGGGGAAGAAGTTCTGGGTTTTGAGACCATGGGCAACGTCGTCAAGTTTCTTGCCATTTCGTGTGAAAAAGAGGGTTCCAGTTCGGGGTCGGTAGCCAACTCCGATGACATCTCCTTGGACATAAGCAGGACCATAGGCGGATGGGTGGAAGGGCTGGTTGTATCGGCGGTTTCCATTGGACATGTATGATATCGAGGCTTTGTGGTACCCTGGTAAGTGTTAGCAGGTGAAAAAAGTGTTGGCGGTGGTAATATACATACCGGGTAATCTGAACAACGGGTAGGGCTTCGTTGTGACGCCTATCGCAATGCTGGTGTTTTCGGGCTTCTCGTAAACCTTGGCTTCCCAGTAGTAGACTTCATTTTGTTTCGGTATCGGGAGGTTGCTCTGGACGCTGCACTCGGAATCAAAGAACTCAATTTCGGTTCGGCCTTCGACGAAGCAGTTGGCGATCTCAAGTTCAGGCTCAAACTCCCAGGCAGACACGCCCTTCTCTTGTATGGCGAGGAATTGCGAAAGAGATATGTCGGTCTGGACGGATTCGGGTGGGTTTGCTTGCACAAACGCTGGGGGAATTAGCCAATGCTCCCTTGAACTGAAAACACTCTGGATGACATACCCTTCGCTCTCATGTACTCTGTTCTCTGCAGATCGTCCATATCCTCTAGCGCCTCGGCCTCCTCCTTGGCAAATTGCTGTTCGTCGTCATATTCACCAGGCCGCGTTATCCGGTCGAGGAAGATGCGTCCCTGGTTGGTGTACCGGAAATAGTAAACAATGGCGGCGATGATAAGACATAGTCCCGCAGCGGCCAGCACGGAGAAGATGCCTATCATGATGCCCTTGGCCGTCGAGCCAAGATTGTTGTTGTATCTCGACAACCGCACGTCATCGAGGTGTGAGGCCTGGTGGAATCCGGTCAAGACGGTAGGATGCGCAGCGGGCGCATTGTGGCTGGAGTAGTAGGACCTGGAGAGCGTGGTTGGCGGCGAGCCCGGTTGCAGCGCTTCTTGGGGCAGCATTGTGAAGTGCTGTGTGAAGGCAGCCGTCGCTGGGAGGCAGTGGGACGTTTGCGACTTGGCGGATGAGGTTGCGATGGGCGCGGTGGAGTCGTTAGGTAGACCAGTGGGGGCCGGTTACCACTCGATCAAGTGTCGCGGCCGAGGGCAGTGTTGGCGACACAGCAACGACGCGATGGGACGTGGTGAAAGTGCGAATGGCCGTCGGCAGCAGCGTGATGTCGCCGGAGAGGGTCAAGGAAAGGCGTCCAAGTGTGTGTGTGTGTGATGATGTATTGGCGTGAGGGTGAGATCGGCGTGAGACGTCAAGTGCCTGACGCAGCTTGGCTTGGGATCGCGCGGCTGCTTTGCCACCTCCGCCTGCACACGACCCTCTGGGATGCCCGTCCTGGATTCTGCCGATCTATCCGTTACAGCTTGGCTGCGAAACACGACACTTTCCAAAATCAACCTGTTCCCAAGTCTCCGCCGCGTCTCGTTAGTATCAGGTACTGCGCTGCTGCTAGCAGTAGCCGTCTCGAGCCGGCACCCTCAACCATCGACACCCTCGCGCCGCAGTCCAGACCGCGACACCAACAGGCACTTGCATGGCCACGACAGCACGCGCATGCACATTACTTCTAGAGCCCGCTGCAGCTACAGCTCGTCTTCTACGACAACACAGCAGCCTACTCCACACCGAGTCGACGGTATTTCAAATTCGACTTGCTCGTCACAAGCAAACATATCGCTAGTCCAGACATGCTACAAGAGGCATGGCCCAAATTTAGCCCTTAACCGCGATTGCTTTTGTCCCAGGGCGGGGAAACCTCGCCTCGCTCCCTGAGGCATTGCCCACTCGTTACCCCATGTCGTACAGTCCTGAAACACCAACATCGCAGAGCCGCCTTCAGAGGCGCTTCATCTGGTACCCCACCAAAGCATTGAATCTTCTTTCAACCTCAGCGCGATGCAATGGGGGTTGGGAAACTCACTGCTCATCCCGTCTCAGCGCGGGTCTGGACTACTAAGTGGCCGTCATGACGTCGACACCCGATATCCATCTAGAAATTGATTGCGTCCAATAGTCGATCACCTAAATCTCCAAAATAACATCCTGAGCCCATAGACAGACGCTAGCACTGTCAAGTTTAGTAGCGGCTCATTGTATAGACAAAGTGCGCTCTCGCTAGCAGCATCTGCCATGTGTTGCGCAGTACCATAGCTACTTTCTCATGCATCTCAATATCTTTTCGATATCACTATAGCCTCCAGTCAACCAAGTTGTTGCACTTTGATCTGTAGCATGGCCAGTAACACTCCGTTAAGATTCTAAGAAGGGCAAGTAGTCAACTGTACTTGCGTACTGATGCCTAATGGGATGCCAAGCGGTCTCCAGCTCCAGCCTCAGCCTTGAGCGCTTACATGGTCTTTCAACCCCATACATCTTCCTACATGCTACTCTTCTTCATCTTATTCTGGCTTCTTCAGCTTTGGTGTGTCAATCTATATTTTCTTGATCCGGACTTTCCACTATGCGCCTTCTGAGACTCAACGACAATGGTGAGTTCAGCTTCATAGAGGTCGTTGGCGCAGCCATTCCGCCTTATGCCATCCTGTCCCATATCGCGTCAGCGGAAGAAGTCTCTTTTGTAGACATAATCAACGGCACAGGAAAAGATAAAAAAAAGCTTCGAAAAACTTCTGTTCTGTAGGAAACAGGCTGCCAAAGACGGCCTCCGATACTTCTGGGTAGACACCTGCTGTATCGACAAGTCAAGCAGCGCAGAGCTCCAGGAGGCCATCAACTCTCACTTTGCTTGGTGTCACAACGCTATCTGTTGCTATGTGTATCTTTCCGACGTTTCGACCGTCGCCCACACCATTGCCTCGTTACGTTCAAGCAGATGGTTCACACGAGGATGGACGCTTCAAGAACTCATTGCTCCTGCTTTAGTGAAGTTTTTCTCCATAGGGGGCGAGTTTATTGGCGATAAAATTTCGTTATTACGGGATATCCACGAAATTACTGGTGTTCCCGTCGAAGCTTTGCAAGGAGCGCCTCTAGCTAAGTTCAGTGTTGAGGAGCGGATGTCATGGGCGAAGAACCGTCAGACAACGCGTGAAGAGGATGCTGCATATTCTCTAATGGGTTTGTTCGATGTGTACATGCCGGTGATATATGGAGAAGGTAGAGAACATGCGCTTCGTAGGCTTGAGAAGGAGATCCAGGCTTCAAGCAACCACACTACCTTCTCTCCCGCTCCTGGCTACTACATCGCCTCGGATGGTCGTCGTAAGTGATTTGGGGCGTTGTACTACTCCACAACTGACCTGTCTTGTGTAGAATATCCCTTATCGCAACAGCCACATCCAGATACTTGGACTCATATCGTTACCCCTCGGCTTACACGCAACACTTCCACTGGTGCCAGAATGTCAGCAGCAATAGATCTGGATTCTGATGATGGAAGCGAGATCGACAGCGTTTTCTCAGACAGCGCATCGTCTGTCTCTTCCGCATCAACTGCCAGCCTAAACCCAGTTCAAACCGTTGGAATTCGTGAGGTTTCACGAGCACTCTTGAGCGAAGAAGAGTTGAAAGCTACATACATCCTAGCCATCTCTAGTGTTGACAGTAGGAAGGCACGTTTGCATATTCGAGGCTTTCTTAGGGACTACGGTCGGGATCTATTGAAGGAAGCTTCCGACAGCAGTCTAGAGATTCAGGCTGCTAAGTTTGTACGTGAACTGGCAGGTCGCATAGCCGATGAAATCATTTGGAGCATAACCGGATCCGCCGAACTGCCACACCCACCAGACAGTGAAGTAAAGAAGCAGGATTTGGAGACCTGGCTCTCAACCATTCGGGGCGATAGTATTGTAGAAGAACGGAATCAACCAAGTTTGGGAGCAGACGGCGATGACTCGTCTGATGAAGAGCTCAACGATGACCTACCATTTCCTCACATTGATAGAGTAAAGGAATTCCTGATCAATTCTGAGGCCTTCCGAGTACTTGTACTGGCGATGCAGGCATGGTTGAAGATTGATGGGGTTGATCAAAAGAATATAGGGGAATCGATTACGGACACACCAAAACCAACCGATAGCGTAGTGGTGGCTGAAGAAACGAAGGTAGAGACAATAGCTTCTGTCGAAGACCAAGAGCAAACCGAATCGAGCAATGAAGCACCTCCCATGGTGATTGAGATCCACCAGAATCAGGATGCGGCACAAGAACAGGCTCCAAGAACTCGATCTCGCCGACGTGGCGGCAGCTTTAGGGACTTGGTTTCTAGTCTCTTGAATTTCTGGGGCATCTCCTTCTACCTCTACGATATTGTGGAACTATTCGTTCCTCACGTCCCTAGAGGTTATAGAAGGCTGCGCTGGCGTTGTGTAAGCTCTCGTACTCTTCCTTCTTGACTTATCGCCCTTGCTGATCATCCAAGTCGTGCAACACTATCCTCTGGGGCGATTTTCTTGACGAAGATGCTGCTGCCTTTGACCAACTTAAGCAGCAGTTGTCCTGTATGCGAGATCCCCTCATTCGACATGTACATATGAGTGGTATATCGACAACGCAGGCGACCGGAGTTTCCGGCTCTGGAGCTACTGGATCCGCTCCATCGACACAAACATCTTCACTTGGTCCACCTTCAGGCCTCACTAATACACCACGTGCTGGCAATGCTCACAATATTGTGAGTTCTACGGCTTCCGGACCAGACTATGTAGTGGAGATCACCTCACCGATCAAGTATTTTGAAGTTTGCGTGAGTACGGGAAACCATGCTATCGATCATCATGAGGTCGATATTTCACGCATAAGCTCGGACAATGAGCTGTTTGAGATGATATGGGACAAGTACAACATCAGTCGCGGTATCGGCCTGCGGCGACTTTTCTTGCGGCCCAGCGACGTGAATTTTGTCATGGTGAGTGCTCACACACTTCGCTGACATATGACATTCATGCTAAAGCTTTTGTAGTTCTCCGTCAGTCAGCGCAACCAGTACGGAGCTGGCATCCACAAGAAACCCGATGAATTTCCACCACAAGAGGAACTAGATGAGAAGCGCTACCACTACCTTTGCCCTCGAATCAGGATGCCGGTCAACGTCTTTCTCCACTATTTGCATCGAGCGAGATGGAACATATGGGGCGAGCACATGGAAAATATATGGCTCCAACGTCTACCCAAGAAGCTCGAAAGGAATTTGATCGCCGAGGCCCAGCAGGCGAAGGGCAATGCACCCCCGAACGAAGACCTTGCGTTCGGATGGGGAGTACACATCATTGAAGGTCCAAATCATGCTGTGCTTGGTCTTCTACTAGCCATCGGAGTAGCTGTCGCTTTTATTGTCTCCGGAATGATCGTGGGGTTTGCCAAAACACAAGAGCAAGGCTTTGGAGTCGGGAATTTTCTTCTTGCAATCCTTGCTAGTACTATGACTGCTGTATACTTTCAGCTTCAGGATTGAATAATGACATGTACCGTATGATTTGTTTGTGTTGCAAAGAGCCCATCGTCTTGCATTAGCAAGAGGATCAGTACTGCACTAACTAGAGGCTGCTCGTACCCTCAGTTTCTCTCTAGGAATCATCCTATTCCTGCGAGAGGGATTCAATGAGGATGTTTCCACCGGCTGCAAAATGTGTTCCATAATCTTTTCATTGGTATCACACGATGCTGATGGCAAGTGAACAATGGTACACAAGGTAGTAAATGTAACCCGATATCGACGTTTCCATAGTACCATGCAGTCTAAGATGGCGGGTATCAGGCCATTCATGTGCTTAGTAGAGCCCGGAAAGATTTGGACTGCGAGAAGCGTCGGAAGCAGGTTCAACTGTGGAACCACCATGGCAGGAGAGCCTCATGTGTTAATGTCATGTTACACGCGGATTACGCAAGCAGCCCGATGAACGACTAATCCTCTTTACTGTCAACACCGTGTCTTTTTGACAGTGGGTCGAGATGCATCACAACATGACGTCCGTTATCTTCGCCATCTGGCTATGACAAGTCACTCGCTATTCGACACTGTTTCGGAAGATCCACCGCGATTGAAGTCCCGTAGCAAGTAGGAGTGCATCCTGCAGATGTCCCATGTGTTGCGAGATTGATCAACCTGGCTGGGCGGTGATACTCTCGACAACTCTCATTGTTCGTATTAGGACTGCCTCCACAAGGTCTTTCTCGATGTAGCTCTTCACTGGGGTGAGTTCTCATGCATGGAAGCGGTGGAGGAGAAGTGTGTGAGACAAACAGGAAAGAGCAGCTGCGATACACGTGTTTACTCGAAACATCTCACATGACTTATAAAGGAGTTACTCAGACGTCATTTCTCGAATGAAGCGATACCAGACGGCGTCATCTCAAGTAGGAGCACGATGCAGGTGCTGCAGCACGACGTGTGCGAGAAGCACCGAGTTGTGCAACAGGCGGCTGATGACAGGTGCTATCTAGAATTCCCAGGCTGTCTCGACCATATATGCATCGTATGATCGACGAGGCGCCATGATGATGGCGAATATGTTTGTTCGTGGGGGGAAGAGCTGGAACATGCGATCTATTGCACAAGTCTTGCAGTCACCTTGTCGCCCTTTTCTAGCGAGCCAACCGGGCTGGGGACGTCGCAAACAGGCAGGTCGCCCCAGCAGACGCGCACTCGCAAATACCTGGACTTTGCCGACTCTATACCGCCCTCGCCTTCGCCTTAGCAAAGACTTACTGCGCTTCTATCCTCGACTCAGTCGCACGGCAGCAACTTCTTCCTAGCTGCTCACCGCCCGCCGCGCATAATTGGGTCGCAAGCAGAACCCACTGCAACGACCCGGCCCCCGCGTCAATTACGAGCAAACTGCACCACACGCAAAATATTGCAGCGCAAGAATTTATTCCTAGGACAGATCAAAAACATGTTCGTCGCCTTGTAACCCACCCTGTTATCCGCTTCGCACGCGAAAGGCTGGTGAGCGCTGCCCCTCATTGTTAATTCGTCCATGGCTTTCCCCAGCAGAGCTAACCATGAAGCGTACCAGCAGAACGAGCTTAAGTCGCCAGGGTCTACTCTTTTTTCTGCCTGCTTGACCTCCGCAGCGCAGCCTTGATTCTCCCTTCATACCCATTTCTAGGGTTGCTAGTCAACTCCCCTTTACACCTTCCCCGCACTGCGAAGCAAACCACACTCCAATATGGCGTGGCAACCCCAAGAAGAGCCCCTGCGGCAGCTGGCGCAGTGTCTGAGGGACTCACTCAGTGGCCATGATCCGAATGCGCGAAAGAATGCCGGCGAGGTTAGTTTGCTCTTGCTACACACCATATCGCCCTATTGTGCTGACCGCGACGACTGCATAGATGCTCAAGTCCGCCCAAACTTCACCCGATATCGACAAGTACCTCGCATACATCTTCTCTAGCAGCCAACCCCCGCCCGTCGTAAACATGGACGCCGCCCAGTACTTCCAGACGCGAGCTGCGGCTGCCGTTATGCTCAAGAACGACGTAAAGACCGCGTACAAGTCGATGCCCGACTCGACCAAGGACTACATACGATCAGTGATACTGATGGGACTGTCGGATTCCACCTCACAAATACGGGGCTATGCCGGAAATGTCATAACGGAGATTGTGCGACAGGGCACCATCATGGGATGGCCTCAGATTCTGTCAGAGCTGGTCGGTATGGTCAGCAACGCGGACGGCAATTCCTCGACACAGGCACAAGAAGGCGCCATGGGCGCTCTTCTGAAGATTTGTGAGGATAACAGGAAGGCGTTGGACCGCGAGTACCAGGGACAAAAGCCCCTCAACTTCATATTCCCGAAGCTACTCGAGCTCACGACAAGTCCCCAGCCTCGGGTACGCGCCGACGCATTGGCCGCTATCAACGTATTCGTCCCAGAGAAGCCTCAGGCTGTTGTCGCGAACATCGACACACTACTAAATCAACTCTTCAAATTGGCCGCCGACCCTAGTGAAGACGTGCGGAAACACGTCTGCCGCACCTTTGTCCACATCGCCGACATTGCCCCTCAGATGATCATACCACATATGAGCGGTCTGGTCGATTTCATGGTGGCACAGCAGCGCACGGAGAACAACGCTGATCTGGCTCTGGACGCAGCAGAATTTTGGCTGTGCGCCAGCGAAGACGAGAACATGCGGGATCACCTTGGCCCATATCTGGCTAAGATAATACCTGTCCTGCTATCGAGCATGGTATATAGCGAGGACGAGATTCTGCGTCTGGAGGGTGAAGAAGAAGATTATGAAGTTGACGACAGGGAACAAGATATCAAGCCCACTTTCGCATCAAACAAGGCCGCAAGACTTACCACTAACGCGAACGGCGAGACAGTTCCAGTCTCCAATGGAACACTCGGAGCCTCAGCAGATGACGACGATTTGAGTGAGGGCGAGATTGACGATTTCGACGACGACGATGAATTTGGTGATCCTGAGGAGCAGTGGAATTTGCGAAAGTGCTCCGCTGCAGCCCTCGATGTTCTCGCATCAGTCTTCCACGAAGCTGTGTTCCAGGCGACTCTTCCATACTTGACAGATAACCTCAACCATGCAGAGTGGCCCAACCGGGAGTCCGCGGTCCTGGCTCTTGGCGCAATCGCGGATGGCTGCATGTCGGTTGTTGAGCCGCACCTTCCTATGCTCACTCCTTTCCTCATAACCCTACTGAATGACCCAAAGCCTGTCGTTCGCCAAATCACGTGTTGGACACTTGGACGTTACTCGGGATGGGCGGCACATCTCGACGCTGCTGGCAAGAAACAATTCTTCGAGCCAGTCATGGAAGGCATCTTGATGAAGATGCTCGACAGAAACAAACGCGTTCAGGAAGCTGCGGCATCGGCATTTGCAAATCTCGAAGAGAAGGCCAACACTGAGCTCGAAGACTACTGTGGCGTCATCGTTCAGCAATTCGTGCAGTGCTTTTCCATGTACAAGGATAGGAACATGTTCATCCTCTACGACTGTGTTCAGACGCTCGCTGAGCACGTGGGACCTAAGCTATCAGAAGACAAACTCGTCCAAACACTCATGCCTGCACTTCTTCAACGATGGAACAAGGTGTCCGACCAGTCGAGGGAAATGTTCCCATTACTGGAATGTCTCTCATATGTGGCCACAGCTCTCGGACACACATTCGCGCCATATGCAGCTGGAATCTTCGCTAGATGCATGAAAATCATTCACCGCAATCTCGAAGAAGGCGTCATGGCAGCTGAGATTAACGGTTTCGAGCCTCCAGACAAAGACTTCTTGGTGACAAGCTTGGACTTGCTCAGCGCAATCATCCAAGCTCTGAGCTCCCAAGACAGCGCCACACTGGTTTCACAAGCATCTAACTTCTTCGAGCTACTAGTCATCTGCATGAGGGATCAGAACAATGACGTCCGGCAATCTGCCTACGCGCTCCTCGGAGACTGCGCCATTTACGTCTTTCAACAACTCAAGCCTCATCTACAACCCATCATCAAGACTCTTATTACACAGCTGGAAGTTTCTCAGATAGATTCCTCTGGCCTGGATACTGGATACTCAGTCATTAACAATGCCTGCTGGTCCGTTGGCGAGATTGCCATGTGCGAGGGAGAAGGCATGCAACCATACGTCGGGGAACTGCTACAAAAGCTGGGTAGCATCCTATTTGACGAGCGGGTTCCAGAGTCTCTGAACGAAAACGCAGCCATCGCCTTGGGTCGCCTAGGTCTTGGATGTGCGCCCTTACTCGCTCCACATCTTGCTCAAATCGCTCCTCCTTTCCTCCGTGCTATCAGGAAAGTACAATGGACGGATGAGAAATGCCATGCCCTCACTGGCTTCATGTTAATTGTGTTGGCCAACCCTGGCGCTATGGAGCAATCACTTCTTGAGTTCTTCAACGACATGTCGATGGCCGATCGAAATGTTGTAAGGGGTCCTACTGCCGGAGTACAGGTCTATGAGACATTCCAAAAGGTGAGACTATGCCCACGCTTGATACCATCACGCGCATCCAGCTAACACTTCGAAAAAAGGTCATTCAAACATACAAGGGCATGATCGGCGACTTCGACGCCTTCCTCGGAGGTCTCCCTGCTGAACAACAAGCGCGTTTCCGCGATTTGTACTCCGTTTAAAGGAACGAAAAAGTATCAAACTCCAATCATGATTACGTGTGTGGCTACTGCGGGCGTTGAATAAGGATATGTCTGGTTAGAGGAAGAGATGGAAATACCAACAGGCGCGCTCACGTTCTCATCACCTAGCGAGGATGTGTGTGACCCTGATATGAGGAGGATATGGAATAGTGCTAGCATTTTCGGCAATAGGGAGCGGCATTTATATATAGAACATGTGTTTTTCTCCAGCGAGCGCAGCTTTGAATTTCACCACGAGTAAGAGACGATGATACGTATGAACATTGCAAAGGCGTTTTTTTTGTCAATCAATACATAGTATAGTAGGTAGCGTAGCGTAGCTTAGTTTAGTTTCAGTTTCCATTCCTCCTACACTCCCCATCCATGGAGCAAGTACGATGAATAGCATTCCAGCGTTTGTTCTCGCGTCAAGTATACTCCTGCTTTATTTCTGACTGCATTTGGAACTAAACTTACCAATGTCGGTGAGGTTCTATTGAACAAATACTTGACGCCTTTGGCACCTCGTTTTAGGTGCGTCTGAGTGAATGCCTCTCGATTGTCATTTATACTAACCTTTATAGACCCGTAAACTACCTCAAAGAGAAAAACTAAGTATCTCTTTAGAGCAAAGTACTTATACCTACTACAACAAAGCGTGTTAAGGCCTTCTTAGATATAGATAGAGATTCTAGAAGTCTATAATACTATTACTCTTTCAGACTTTCTTGTTAGAAGCTAATGTAGGCGGTAAACTAAAGCTTGTTATCTCTATATACGTTTTAGTTTTCTATTGTATAGGATGCGTATGCGCGCTTTGTAGGAAGTGTCGACTCAGTATTGTTCCTGGATATTGGAATAGCACAGATATGCGTTCTCGTGCCATGTACGTCGATTAAAGGTACAGAATCAGACAAGGTGTTCACTTTGTTACATAGGCTCTTTTCGTCCTGCCTATGAGCTTGGTTCTTGGTTCTTATAACTCCTCATGTTCTCGAGGTCTCATTTCGAGAGATTGATCTCCAAGGCTCAGGGATATCATGATATATGAGCTGAGGTATTGCATGAGCATCTACGCTCATCTAAGTGTACACAGCGAGTTAGCAGGATTAAGCGTAGCATCGCAATAAGGTACATCTATATCGTATCGCTCTTGCAACTACCTTATACGCTCTTGCCCGTTCTCATAGAAGAGCTTTTGGGTAGAAAGACAGGATCATCTTGTTGTTACTATCTCATACTAGGTAAGCAAACTGGCCGATAATGGAGACCAGATGTTGATATTTCCGAAGAATATTGGTGCAATGCACGGATGAGTACGTGCTCTTTGGAATCAAGATAAGGATATAGAATAAGTAGGGTTGATCTCCTGCCGAATGAGTGCAGAAAACTAACAGTGTGCTTTCCTTCGAAAACTTGGGGCGAGCAACACCCCTTGAAGAAATCCTGCTTCTAGCCATGATCATGACATAACTGTTCCAACCCATCCCTACCCAGTACATCCCGTATCCGCTCCAAGCGCTCGGGACGGCCGATGAAACCAAGGTCACCACCGAACGGAATACCGGCAGCATGTAACGTTGCCGTGACCTGAAACAATGCCGAATATTTCAGCTCCGACCGAGGTGAAGAGCTCATGGAGAATTGACAAATTTTCCCATGCTTTACGACTCAGTATACCCAGCGTCGATCGTGTGGGGATCAATCTATTTGTCGAAGGATGTCCGTCCGAAGTCGATTATTTGCCAGATTCGCAATATTACGGCCGCTCCGAATGTTTCATGTTACGGGTCGAATTGCACACAATGTTGGCACGATGCGATCAAACACAAGTGTTGTCATGATACGTCAGTGGCTATACATGTATTATTGACTTGCAAATGCTTTAAACTTATTAGGGTGATTGATAACTGTATAGTTTGGGTAGCCTGCATAGTCGCTTTTGTGCGACAATATATTGGCAATATGAAGGATTAAGGTTGGGATATACGATCATTACTATGGTGTATGTACTGTAGATGATGTTTTGTGATGTGCGCTCGGCCAGGAGTGGAGAAAGACCCCAATGGTCGGAGGAACTGACACAGTGCACGTAACGGCCCGTGATGAGCGGAGAGTATGTGTATTTCCTTGTGTCGCCTGCCACACTTGCCGATAGAGTCGCTTCCGCGCCAATGATAGGGCAGGGTGCGACGCTTTTTATAGCCCTTTGCCGACAGGTGGAGAAGAATGCTTTGCAAGGTGGTGCAGACAGAAAGTGTGGCTTGCAGATAGCGGGAGTAGGTGTATTGCGCGCTGAAAATCGCATTGTTAAACATGCATTTCGGCTGATGTGTATTGCTGTCGTGTGACTGACTGTATGGTGTCGCAAGATGAAGCCTCTTCAGACTCCATAAAAATATGCATAGAGAACATTTGTATGTTCTGTTGTGCTCAATGGATTTGTTAGCGCGCAACTGTCTTAGTGTACGCTCAAAAGACCGATAGTCGTCGGAAAAGACCGAAAGCACGATGAAGAGATGCGAGTGGAGAGGTGTCTTGTTAACCCTAGTCGCAGAACCCCAGAGAAGATATGGCTGCATGGGTAGCCCTCGATGCGTGTCGGCTGCAAAGTTCCCAGGGTAAAAAGACCTTAATCCTAAGAATAGCTCCTCTCGATCTATGCCAACCAAACACCAGCTCGACGTAGTCATGTGGCTTTACTCAGACTAGCCTGCGAATACACATTTTGTGGCATGAACCTGCTTTTGAACAGTCCGCCATGTCATTTAGCAAAGTTTTAGCCTCGGTGGTCGCAAACGAGTTGGTGATTGGTGCAGCAATGTTACCACTGGTTCCTTTCTTAGAACTCGTATCTCGTGGCAGCTACTTTCTGCTCCACCACGGCAACGAACGTGGGCAGAACGTCATAGTTCCCAGTCCTGTACTGAGCATGTCGGTGACGAAGTTTGAGAGGCATTGTTACAGCACCTGCGATTGATGCCACGCAGCATGTCGTGATCAGGCGTCCACAAGCAAGGTCGCGTAATCACTGCACAGGCTGGTGGTTCCCGCAAACAAGCATTCTCCGCTGCATCAGATATTGCCAGACGACGCGGGGGGGATTTGGCTTTACCCAGTATTGCGATGGTGTTGTGCGTAGGCGAGGACGTCGACTCGTGGGAACGGAGGCCATGCGATGCTTAATCATCGCCTGGCGGCTCTTCCGTCGATAGCGGAAATACAAGAATAGAGCGAGGTCCGCCGCCACTACTCGGCGCAACTCAATGCGAAAGTAGCGGTATGATGGATGGGCCAGCGTAGTATCGATAGAAAGTGAAGCCAACGCGGGCACCATGGTCAGCGCGATGGAAAGTGTAGACCCTTTTTGTCTGCGGTCTGGTGACGAGTGACGCACGGAGAGCTATTTTTGACCTCGAGATATTGAGGGCCCCGGCTTCCGCAGTGTTTAGCGATCTCTGGTATCGTTGCATCAGCAACCTCAGTATGATTCGCGCATGGCGACCTCATCAATGTGAATTGCGCAGCGGAACCCTCTGCTTGCGCTCGCACCCGCATTCAATTCGACGGCCATGGGTGGCTCGTCATGGCGGGCGCTCACTCTGACATCTGGAGCTGTCTGCGAAAAAATTTAGCAGCGCGCGCCCCGAAGCTGACCCGGCGACCATGGCATGGTGCCTTCCTTCACCCACTATTATTCATGCGGCTTCGAACTACCCGTTACAGCATGGCCAACGAGCTATCCATGTGCTACTGGTCGATCGTTCTCCACGCACGGCCCGCGAAGGTGTTGGCGTTTCCTCGGTCGTCGGACCTGAATGGCCGTTTTTCACGCCTCTTGCGCCCTGAGCCCGAGCTCCAGCTGGAGCAGCTCATGCACCTGCACGCTCAAACGTCTCCGTCTCAAGCGGATTGACAGGGGCTTTGACCAGAAGGCCACCCTCTTCTGCATTTGATCCATGGCCGTCGGCGAACTAGCACCTTCACACAGCACCCTAGGCCTGGGGTCAATCCTCGCCAGGCAGGGGGGGCGTCTTCATTCATCCAAACACGCCTGACCTTCTTTCACAGCACAGGATCGATGCATGCCAGAAAGCGCCCTTGGAAGGCGAGGGTTCATGGCTCGCTGGAAGCTTAATCCCCACAGGAGTTACACCGGGGCTATGTCATACGAGCATGAGCCAGCCGGTGCCATCTGGCAATCAGTCACTCCATCGACTGTAGCTCCCGCAAGCTTCTCTGACCTCCCTGCTAGCCTCTCCCGTCTCGCGGGCTGCCACCCAAGTCCCTCTTCCGCCGCTCGTGGCGTCACTGCTATTTGTGTGGACGCTACTTTGGGCTAACCCTACTTGGCCCCGTTTCTTGACGTTTGTCGTCTTTGGGACCGAGCACAAGTCACCCTGCGCTTTTGCTCGCATACCACCCAAGTCCCTTCTTCAGCCTGGCGAGCCTCTAGTCTCGTAGCCTTGTCCTCATCCTGCATGGTCACTGTGCAGGGGGCATGTTGCAGACGAGCTTGACCACTTCCGCTGTCACCTCGTCCTGTCGTACCCTCGTAGCGTGTCCGCCGGAGGTATTGCTGGCCTTGCGTCAATATCTCTCCAGCCCTAGAGCTCTCTAAGCACTTCCCATCTGCACTCTGCACTATATATCACCATAACGCCCATCGCCAGCCTCCAAATCAACACCCTGTCCAATTTAGTCACCGGTTTCGACCCCATTACCCTCGCTTTATCAACCGCCCGCCAGATCTACCGCCTGCATATACACAGCCCCTCGCCTATCCTACCTTCCTGTCCATCTAGCATAGCACACAACGAGAGAACGCTGTCTACGAATCCACCTGTACCCTGACGGTTGCGACGACGACCACGCCGTACGGTTCACTTCCCACTTTCGCTAAATTACTTCACCTATCCTCTTGAAAAATGGCTGGACCCGGTGGAGGCCCTTCAAGGCGCAGCCACACCAAGTCCCGAAAGGGTTGCAAAACGTGCAAAAGGCGGCATATTCGCTGTGATGAAACATTCCCGCAATGGTAAGCACCAACAAGTCTTCACTTGCACTCCAGATTTTAACCTTGTATCAGCCGCAACTGCACCAAGCACCAGGTTCGCTGCGACTACATGGACAGTCCAACTGCCATGATGCCAGAATCTCCCCAGTCTCCCCAGCAGCCCAATCTGCTCTGGACGCCTGAGATCGAGGCCACCATCGAACTCTGGAGACAGACGGGAGAGTTTCCTTTCCCCGAGCTTCGAGTGTACCCACAACCGCAATGGCGCGCCTTAACGACGGTTGATCTCCGTCTGGTACACCATCTTTCTTCTATCTCGAATGAAATGTTCAGGAATAGGACATCGAAATCTACTCTTTGGACCGACATGATGCCCAAGTACGCACCAAACACTCTAAGCGACAATGTCCAGAAGAACCACTGACATGTGTAGATTCTTGAGCATAGCCGCGACCCATCCATTCGTTATGCACAGCATCCTCGCATTCTCTGCCTCGCATTTGGCGTGGATCTCTCAGTCTACCGAAACCCGAAACCTTGCATTCCATCACGCAAGCCTTGCTCTCAAGGGATTGCACGACGGCATCACCAACTTTACTAAGCACAATTCGGACGCAGTGCTTGCGGCGTCTCTCCTGCTTGCCTGGCAGGCGACAGACTGGTAAGGAAGAGCTGCGCAAATTGGAACAACCAAAGCTAACGTAGTCATATAGGCGAGGCTGGGCTTCTCTGGTCACAGGCACGAAGACCGTCATCCAATCTATGCAGCCCTGGAGGCATGAGTCTCTATTCGCTGACTACATTGCCGAGCACACTCCTATGCCAAACCGACATTTTATGAACCCCATTAGTACTCCAATACCACCCGAAGCACGAAGAGAGCACATGAACGCCCTGGTCGATATTCACGCCTCCCTGCAACGATTGCAGCCCTACCTCGTCCGTAACGAACAGGAATCGAAATGGGTCGACCAGCTAAAGGGCTATCTCGACCGCCTGAGATCTTCCAGCCAGCCGCAAAGCCCCGAGGAACAATTCAACCAGCTGTACGCATTACGGAAGTGGCTATTCTGGGTTCCCATTTCACTTCTCGCCGCCAAACGGGGGGACGTCAATGTCCTGGTAGTTCTCGCGCACTTTTACGCTACCGCACTAGCCTTGGAGCCGATGTTCCCGGATGTTGCGTCAGTCTTTGTCGCGGATCTTTCCCTTCGGCCATTGGAAGAGATCAATAATCTGGTTCAAGGTTTCCAAGACCCACGATACGATTCACGGCTGCAGACCATGTCGTATCTAGTGCAGTTCCCAATTGATATGGTTTCTTCATACAAGACTAGGCGGGAATGGTCACGGCAGCAAATGTCGTCCATCTCTCCGATGCAGCAGCAATCTGCATACGCACTGGAGAGCATCAATCTGGATCTGGAGAACCATATCGCGCAGTACAGCTATGGCCAAAGCCTCTCCCCTGCCTTTGCTCCTTCACCACTTACATTCCTTCCCTCTGGCATGACTTCTGCACCAACGTCACCGTACCTTGAAGTCCCCCGATCTGGTACTGTCGACGCGTACGGCACAGCTAGCAGCTATGCATCCTCGAGTAGCTACGCGTCTCCGCTGGGGTCGCCTGCAGCACTGCTACCGCCTTATTCGGCCCCACAAGAACATGCATTCGCATTTGGAATGCAATCTGGTTATCCCAGCGGGTTCGTGGCTACACCTATCTGGACGTGAACGAGCGCGCGCTGAACGATCCCCCAGGAACCAAATGACTAGTCCGATGCAGATTGTCGCTTCTCAACCTCATCATCATAGTGCTATGCCTGATGCTGGAAACGCTCAAGGCCAGGCGACCACTGCGGGGTACGTACCGAGCCAGTACAGTCACGCCTGAGAGAGCATCGTCTCGACGGCAATTCAAGGAACCATGCCGACGCAACGAATTATCACATCCGCCCGGCCCGTCCTCGTCGTCTCCACCGTTGCGTGAGATGAACAATTTCCGATCGATTGATCTCTGCCCATCACCAGCCAGAGTCGGACCTATGACATGCCACCACTGGCTAGGTGTTGTGGCTTCCGCCGTAAGCCGTTCATGGACTGGTTGCGCCGGCGCTTCGGCGCAATATCCGGAGAGACGCAAGGTGGACGGAACAGCAAGTGGACATGTTGCGCACTACGATGCAACAGGCACATGCTCCCCTGTTGTGTCAGCCGTAGTTGGACCGGAGTTGGGTACAATGTAGGAAACGGCACATCAAGGTGCGGGACTGGTGCCCGGCGTGCGTGGAGAAGGCTCATCAGGCTTTCACAGACGCCACATGAACATCGGCAATGAGACAAGGAAAAGAAACTGCATTAGGCGGGGAGCTACGGCGACGAGTACTACTTTCTGAGAGAGACGGTTTCCTGATTGAGAGGACTCCGCACTTCCCCGACTACAGCGCAAGGATACTTAGGCACCAGCAGATAGCATGCACAGAAGAATTAAGGTTATCCAGTATCGTCCTAGTTTCTCAGCCCTAGTCCTAGTTCCTCCATGTGATGGCCAGGGTCTGCCCTGCATGCTCGCTTGAAGGAAGGACAGGTCAGCTACCAATTTTAGCTTTGCTCAACCAATCACAAGTCGCTACCCCACCATCGCTTCCCATTACCAACCCGGCAGCACGGGTTTACGTACAAGCATATTGCCGACGATGGATTACCGTTGCAGCACTCGAGTTCCTCCGTTGCTGCCAGGTCAAAATGCGCACTTTTCTGGGCTGGGTAACCCGGACGGAAAGGGTTTGGGATCGAGACACAACGTGCGCTAAGGTATGACCTACAGGGAGGAACGAGCTTGATGTCATTCCAGTCCGCTGGATCGCTTTACGCGGGTAGCGGGTCAAGGTTTGCTGGCCAATCCAGCCACGCGTACGCGCATCACGCTGGCCAAAGCAGCGACAGCTGAGCCATTCTTCTTTGGTGTTTGATTGCGAGAGGTCACTGACTTTGCACCGCCACAGAATACCCCGGCTTGGCAGCCTACCAATAGCGAGAACCGGTCAACGTTGGCGATTTAAGGCTGATCTCGAGATCCCGAGGCTACCTACCATGCAGGTTCTTTTAGTTGCGATTGTAATCAGATGGCCCTTCAGGTCGAATGTGAACGAAGGATTGCAGCCACAGGATCGGCATCCATGCACGCGACGGACGTAATGAGGAAGGTGCAAGCGGTTCAAACGAATCAATGTGGCCTTCTGGCATGTCGTCCGCTTGTCTACTTCTGTCGCATTACTTGCATCGCAACACTTGCTTGTCAACATGTTGCCTTCGGCTTTCAACTCCCAATGTGGCTCACCGACAGTTCCAGCAGTGCGTTACGGCTTAGCTAATAGCTCACACCAGAGCCTTCGTAGTCGAAACTGTCAAGACCATCTCCTCGGCATCTCGGTACTTGAATGTGCAAGCCTGATCCATGGTCTGCCCGAAAGCATCGCTGTGCGACTCACGTGCTACTGGACTTCGCAAAAGCTTTGGTGCTTGACATCCCAGATGGCAGATGCATCTAGGGAGCCCGGCAGGCCTTAGCCGCGTCCCTGGTTTCACTAGCGAAGGCACGAAAGACCAGGGCAGGCGAGTAGAACCACACTTCCAAGAAACGTGCAATGGGAAAAGAATGACCCACAACGAATTTCCGCCGTTCCTGAGGTACAAACGGCTCCGCTCCCTTGGATCTTTTTGGGCTCCGCTGTCTCCATCGCGCCCTACACGTTTTTTCGACTGGCAGTTGCGTGCACAGGCTATCTATTTGGTGCCGTGGTCCACGGCCTCCGGAGGGAGTTGCGGTGTCATAATGCCGAGACCTCGTCTCGTCTCGAGCCCATAGTAAAATGCTAGACTGTTCACTCATCTGCCAACAAAACGTAAACGTCGCATGATTCTTCCCGCCAACGCGGTTCCTCCATTGACCATGAGAGAAAACTGATCTGGCAATCACAAAGCCAGTAGCAAATGACTCGAGTTCTTCCACTGTAAAGAGCAAAGCTCACGAACCGGCACGGCACTAACTCACTTGACCGCCATCCGACGAAGATCATCTACCAAAATCATGTCGGCCGAACAGCACGCAAATGCCTGCGCAAAGAAAGCGATCTCTGACATCCGGAACAGATTTCCGCTAACACTAAACAGGTCATTGATAATTTCTATTTGCGGTAACAAGCGCACATTGGGGCGAGATCCGACGCGAGCGGCCATGGCGGAAGTGCCGTAGAATGGACATGTCGAACCGAGAGAGACGGTTCACCTAGGCGTTATGATGCCGAATGCTGGAGAAAGATCCGAAAGGCCAACGACATGGTCCACACATAAGGGGTGGCTGAACAAGTGCCATTTGGCGCAGACTCATCAGCGACTTAATGCACTCGCTCGTGGCGGCGACATATTTGTTTTTAGTCGGTGAAGCTTGATCCGATGGTTCTGGAGCCCTTCTGGCGCACACGCTTCGCACGTTCTGGCGCCGGCTCTGAAGATGGGCGAAGCCAAACCTGGGCGAACCGACCAACTAACGGAAATCTCAACACCAGCCACTCGGAGAATACTCCTATGTTCAACTCGCCGGCCTCTGCCTGAACTAACTTAGTTCTGACTTGACATCTCACCACATCATCGTCACACTATCACAACTCTCCTTTCATATCCTTTTCTCCGACACCTCCGATCACACTCTAGGGTGGAAGCTAAGCCCCACCTTCCAAACCCCCATTTCATCCCAACCCACGCCATCCTAAGACCAATTCGGCGCGGCGACAATTCACCCGACAACCGGTCTACTGCCATGTAACTGCTACTATTAACCGTCAAATGTCACTGTTGCAAGGTGATCAGCAACACCAGCACAACACTGGCCCCTATCATGACCAAGATCGACAAATGAGCGAAGGAGCGAAGGCACGAAGTTACGATCCTCTGCAACGCGTGGCTTCCTAGATGTGAAACATAGTCTGAAAGATCGTCCCAGAGTTTTTTTTCCTCATGCAGAACGCGAGAGCTAAGATCCGTTCGTACATCGAATATCCAACAAAGATAAGCATTGGAAATAGTGGGAAAATGTGGATTGCGTGGATGCATGCGTGGATGTAAGACCGAGAAAGAGAGCGAACGAAGACCGTCGTGGCTGGTGATGCGGTAGTTCCAACCGACGCCCTTACTACTCGCACCGCACTTGTTTACCGTCGTGGCAGTCACGCTAATGGGACGTGCCGTGTATACGAGGCTGAAGTACAGTAGTGTGTACAGGCGGGCATGGGCGTTTTTTAATCCCGAGATACGAGGCTGGTGCGGTTGGGGATCCTGGAGTGTTCATTGGGGGAGCGTGGGATGATGGTGACGGTATTGTGGCGTGTCATGTGGATGTATCTCCGATGTTTCTATCGAAATAGGTTCACTCGGGTACTCTGATACCGCTACATAGACGAACTGATACAGATTGGGTTGGGCGACGATGCCGGAACGTGGAGCAAGTCTGGCGACATGTTCTATACTTCTTTTGACTCTATGTAGAAACTGATGATTGACATCACACAGGCCATTTCTCGGCATCGCCGATGATATGCAAATGCTTTCTGTCTTTCGTTCCTCAGGGGGGGCTTCATTTTCTTTCTTTCTTTCTTTCTCTCCTTCATTCTTTGCAAGTGAGGCACTTGGAGAGCTTGCCCTCAAGACTATAGCACTGACTCTCGTGTTCAAGTAGCCAAGCTCCAAGCATCCCACTCCTCCTGCCAGATTACCGGCTCTAAAGCACCCTCAGAACTCAACACCTGACCCAACGCACACTCTTCAAAAGTAACCTGATGCTGTTTTTCTAGGTAGAAGACATCGTACCTCCCTTCCATTGCATCGCCTAAGCTCTTCACATCACCTCCTGGATGCAATTTCTCCCAAGGCCTCGTACAAACACGGCCCTTGCAACGCTTGAGTGTAAGCAACAAAGCATTGAGTCTCGACGTGATCTTATCTATAGGCCACCCGTTTATGGCTGTGCTGTTCGTGTTGTAAAGATTTTCAAGCTGATAAGGATCGTTCTGGCATGACATTAGTCACTGCTGAATTCGGCTGTGAAAGATATAGGGTAGCAGAGAGATGGTACATACCGTCATATCGTATAGTTCATGTTCATTAGTGCACCACACAGTATACGCCAAGTCGTACTCCTCTCCCACCACCCTCACAGTCTTATACGTATTGTTCAACAAAGAGCTCTGCCCGAAAAAGGTATTTCCTTCAACTAGGTAGTTACCCCAGAATTCAATGTTGACATGTTCGCTTTTCTCGTTCCGCGCAAGCAGCTCTTCAGTGACAGGAATAGGCTCTCCGTCGAAGTCTTCTCGCAAAGGTATACCAGCTAGATGGAATAGTGTAGGAACGATATCAGTGTGGCTAGAAGGAACAGTTTGGACAGCGCCTTTTGCGATACCAGGACCGCGGATGAAGAAGGGTATGTTGACATCTTCCTCAATGCCGCAGCTTTTGCCAGGCGGGAGGCGGTGCTGAGAGATGTGGAAGCCGTTGTCTGTTGTGTAAATCAAGTAAGTATTTTCAAGAACCTCTGGGTTTGCCTCTAGACGTGCAACGATGGAGCCGATGAGCTCGTCCACCGACTGCAGAGATTGTAGACGCTTTCGGTACCAATCATCGTTGTAGTCTATCTCGGATTGGTTGAGTTGGCGGAGGGTCTTGAAGTAGGATGCTGTTCCTGGCTGGAACGTAAATGTGAGATGACGAATGAAATGATCTGGTGGAAGTGACTTACTTTGTCTGGATTGAAGTTGGGTGTTCGCGGTATTGTGACATTCTGAAAGAGATGCTCATGTCTCTTCGCAGGAACTGGTGGGTTGAACTTGGCAGGCCGTGGGTTGGTGACTGTCTCTGAGTGAGGAGCTATAGGCGCTACACCGATAAAGAACGGTCGATCAGATGCGGCAATAGCTTCTTCCAAGAAACCAACTGCAGCATTGGCTACTAGATCAGTCGAATACTCTCCTGGTAGATTCTTGTAGGGGTCATGGTTACGAGTCATAGTGGAGTTATAGAAGACGTATGTTCCTGGATCAATCAAGACTAGCAGTGTCAGTAATGAGAAAATACCCTTGCCATTCCGAACAGCTTACAGTCGGAACCATTCCAACCACGGGCTCGTGGTGCATCATATGTGGTGATAGAATGGCCGTTCATAAGCTTGCCAGTGTAATAGGTGTTGTATCCCGCCTCTTGAAGCCATACCGGAAGGTAGTGATCATTGAACCCTTCCTCAATAAACCTAGGATATCCCCCTTTCTGTAGTTAGAGTTTGTTCATAAACCGGTATAATTATGTCTAACTTACCATAAGGAGCAGAGACGTCCGTGACATTTGTGTTATGGGCAGCTTTTCCTGTTAAGAGGGACACCCGCGATGGACAGCACAATGCCACAGTACAAAAGTGCTTCTTGAACCAGGTACCTTCTTGGGCAAAATGCTTCTGTACCGAAGGCTGGTAGTCGATAGAATTTAGATGCAAGTCCTGATCATCTGTAATGATGAAGATAAAGTTGGGCTTAGCAGAACGGCCCGTAACAGCAGTTAGCCCCAAGGACAGAAATAGTAAAACTTGACTCTTGATCATGGTTGCAGATGAAGTTTGAGTTTTCAAGACTCACAAGGCCAAGAAGACTCTGGTTTTGTATACACTCCAACATCGTCATGGCTTGAGTGACCCACGCCCATCGCGCGAAGTTGGAACTTCATTGCGTGCTCGGGAACAGACCAGGGTCAACCATAGATCCACCCACGATGCACACTAATTGCAATATCTACCAATAGAAAGGTATTGAAAGATATGGGCTTGTTGATTGAGAGGGACATTTCCGCCTACAAGAGAGAATGAGGTGGCAGCGTGACCTCATCATAGTAGGCGATCAAGACTAGGGACGTGCTTTTGAAGAAATGACTGATGAACTGGAAACTTAGCCGTACCGAGAGGACGCAAAGGACTTTGCTGCAACAAATGCGCTGCAGCGAGAAGTAGTGAACAGGTAGCGTTGCAGGTCATGTTCAGATGCTACGAATGAGCTGTGAGTTGACTGCCTGGGCAGTCGCAACCTTGGATAATTGACTATGGTGATAGATGGTCAAAAGTTGACATGTTGATAGAGAGTCGCGGCCAGATCTGAGTATGCCGAGACTTCTTGGTGATACGAGAAGATACATCTGAATGCTACCAGTTAGAGGGGTAAGATATGTCAAGACATGGGAAGACCTTGTTCACTCATCATGGTGGGGCCTCGGAACCGTTCCGAATCGCGGGCCGAGCAGTTGTTCCGGCGGCGCCTTCGATGGCGTAGGTTCAACGCAGCGACAACTCATAGCAAACCACACCGCTCTACCTCTACGCGCAACTATGTCGGGAGGCTGGAATACTATCGAGTCTGATGCTGTGAGTGTACAAGTTCTTTGAGAGAATAGCTTGCTGACTATCCTAGGGTGTGTTTACATACCTCATCGAGAAACTCGGTGTTAAGGGCGTCGAGTTCGAAGAACTCACCTCTCTCGACGCTACGGCCCTACAAGCCCTCGGTACCCTTTACGGCGTGATCTTTCTCTTCAAATACCCCACGGGCGAGAAACCCAGCGACGTACCGAAAGATGGTACCTACGACCATGAGGCGGCAAACACCCTCTTCTTCCCCGCGCAAACAATACAAAACGCATGCGGTACACAGGCGATAGTCTCGCTTTTGCTGAATCGAGAAGAGGAGGTCGAAATCGGCAAGGAGCTGAAGGAGTTCAAGGAATTCGCTGGTGACTTTCCACCAGAGGTGCGTCAAGTCAGCGAAGCACCAAGATAAAGTAGCTGATAAGGAGAACAGCTACGTGGAGAAACACTCTCAAACTCGGACCTCATCCGCGAAACCCACAACTCGTTTGCGCGATCTTCACCCTTTGTCGACGAAACACAACGAACAGCCACCGAGGACGACGACGTCTTCCACTTCATCGCGTAAGCCCACCCTCGGTACCCCAAGCAGCTATAAGAGTTGAGCTAATAGGACGAACAAACAGTTACACAAGTATAAATGGCAAACTCTACGAACTTGACGGCCTCCAACCAGCCCCTATCCTCCACGGCGCCTGCACACCTACAGAATTCCCCAGCAAAATAATCCCCGTCCTCCAACGCCGCATCGCCCGTTATCCCGCCACAGAAATCCGCTTCAACCTCATGGCTTGCTGTCGCGACCTGCGTATCCGCGCACGCGAAATCGGCGACGAGGACGAACTCGAAGAGCAGGAGGACAAGCGCGCCAAGTGGCTATGGGAGAACTCGTTAAGGAGGCATAATTTCGTAGGATTTGTGGGAGAGCTGCTGAAGGGCGTTGTGAGGGCGAAGTTGGACGCGGGTGAAGGCGAGTATGAGTCGTGGGTCGAGGAGGCCAAGGGCAGGAGCAGCAAGAGGAGAGAGGAGCTGAGGAAGCAAGGCATCGCTGAGGATTGAGCTGTTGGAGTGCGGTCATAGTGTATGATCGGGAGAGACGAGGAATGGGTTTGTGTACAATGATGTTGCATGGGACAATCTGTTGGATACAAATCTGATAATGATGAAGATCTGTCTCCTCTACTACCAGAGTATCCGTGATACCGAGTTGTCTTGCAGCTTACTCTGTTCACCTCCATGGCATACATCTACTGATCATGGTTAGAGATACTTAGGGAAGCGCCCACAAAACTCGTCTTAGAGTCTAAGCACACTTTTTTGTCATGACACACACGAACGAGAGCAAACATTGTAATAATATCAGATCTTCATTGGTATAGAACTGTCTACAACTATGCAATTCCCAGATCCAGGGTTTCAACACCATGCCCGCTATGCCTGAATTATGCCGTGAAAGGAAGATTAAGAAAGCCGTTACAACAGTAAAACGAGAGGGATATCTTCGTCGAAATGCGCTACATAACGTCATGAACATGAAACATGATATGGTAGGTGAGTGTGGACGCTTGAGGCCTTGAGTGTATGCGTGATAAAGTGGAAAGAAAGGAAAGCATGAGTGGCCGTCGCTAAGCCGATGCGGCGCAAAAGGCAAGCGAGGCTGGGAAAACTGCCTCCAGAGCGCAGGAGGAAGCTTCAGTTGGTGTTTGGTCGACGACGATGTTGTCTCCCATGGTGGTGGGAGCAGACTCTTCCGCAAGAGGAAGCTCTGCTACAGGGCTGGTAGATACTTCCTCAACAGCCTTCTCGTTAAGAACGACCTCAGCCTCAGCCTCAACAACTTCAATTTCCGGGTCCGCAACAGCAAGAACCGGGATAGTAGTAGGCGTCTGGAACTTAGTGACTGTGAAAGTAGAGTAAGCCGTAGCAGTCATAGTCGCCGTAACAGGATTCGGCATCTGGGCAGCAACCTCGGTAGGTAGCTCGAGCATCTGCGACGACAATGGCGATTGTTGTTGAGCAGCCCGCATACCCATCGCGAGATATGCGACAGCGACAGTCAACAGCAGAATAACGAAGTTGCGCTTGTCGCTCAGAAGAAGGATGGCATAGTTCTTCAGCAGCGTGCTTAGAGGGATCTGATCCGATCGAAGGCGGTGAGAGGCTTCAGCCTCAGCCTTCTCTTGTTCCTTGATAGCAGACTCAAGGGCGCGGAGGCGTTGGGCTACTGCGTCAGATTCGGCGATTGCTTTAGCTTCGAGCTCGAGACGGACAGCTTCTTTCGCTTCGTTGAGTTTGGCCTGAAGATCTTCTTCAAACTTCTTCTTTTCGGCCGCCTTCTCCTCGATACTTTTTTGTAGAGCAGCGGCGGCCTCCTCGAAGGATTTTTGTAGTTCGGCTTCTTCTTTACGCTTCTTCTCGTTGGCTTCCTCTTCTAGAATCTTTGTTTTGGCTGCGGCTTCTTGAATTTGACGTTGGAGTTCCACCGTGTATAGCTGCTTGCGCTTGTCTGCTTCTTGCTCTTCTTGAGCCCGGCGCTCTAGGGTCTTGCGGACTTCTTCGGGGATCCAGGGGTGTATCTCGACATCACATCTCTCCATGTCATTCCAGCATGCTTGCCATGCGGCAGATCGCATCAGACCGTTGGCGGCGTAGATCTTGATGTCCCATTTCCGTGTACCTGCACCGATACCCTTGCCAGGCTTCTTGAGTTCACGGTGGCAGTCTATGCACATGCTGTGGTCACCGTTGGCCGAAGTGTTGCTTCCTTCGGTCAAGGTGCCTCCACTCATACGACTGCCCCGGCCAGTGTTCTCATCGCCGACGCTGGCGACGTCGTCTTCGTCTTCCCGGTCGTCCTCGTCCTCAGGTGGTACAAAGTGACCGCACGGAAGCAATCGGGGTGTCTTCAGCTCCAAGCTCTCCAGGATGCGTTCCTCAAGCAGGTCGTATTCATCCCGAGGATGCGGGATGAGAAGGCCACGTCGCATCAGAATGATATCCTGTAGCTTCTCCTCCAACAGCTTGTAGTTTTCCACTAGCCAATCCGGCATGATCCTAGCCATGATGTCGTGCGAGTATGGTACCTGCATGGGCAGAATGGTGACATGTAACAAGACAAGCGGTGCCTGTTGCGGTGTGGGGGTAGGTCTCGGACTGTGAGGCTCCCGTATGCTCCTTCTGCGTGACCCGGTAGACTGTCTTGTTACGTCGGACTCGGATCTTCCGCTTCTGCTGGGTGTAGCCAGCTTGAAGGATCCCTTCAGCCGTTCCTGTGAAGTTTGATGTGCGAGCATTGGTGGAGGCGACGACATCTGCATAGCGCGAACAGACTCTGTATTCCGGAAGCGCGGGCGTTCCTTTCGCGCTCGTGCACCAGCTTCATTGGCAGGCAAGACAGGCTTGGAAGCTATCGAGGATTCTGAGGGGATAGCCGAGACGAAGCTGTAATTTGACATCATTCGTTGTTGTGATCCGGGGCGTGATGTGTATGAGCTGCGGTAGGGCTGTGGTTCGTCGTCGGGCTCCTGTTGCTGCAGCTCAATGCTATGTACAAGGTCGTGGGCCATTGGGAACGAGCGTTCCGAGTGGTACGAGTCACTGCCCTCGAAGAGTTCCGAGGGTGACATGGGTTCGCGATCCTGTGGGTCTTCGTAGATGGCGAATGAGCCAAGGCCCGGCTGCGGTGAGGGGTGGTGCATAGTAGTAGTCATGTCGGACCTTGTTGTCGCTCTGTGCAACAATTCTTACAAGCAGGTGCAACTCAAGGTCGTGAATGAACAATGGTGGACTGGGTAGAAATCAAGTTCAGGGATCCCATCATCTGAAATTCATCGAGAGCCGAGGCGGCACCCGGTGGGGGGTTGGACGAGAGGTGGTTGGGATGGCTAGTGCGTGCGTTGTCGACGTGTCAAAAGCGTGCTGGCGTTTGTTTACCACACCGACACTTTAGCGCGGCACGGTTGTTGGGAGTAGCCGCAAAAGGTACAATAACGGTGGCTAGTCCTCTCCAGCCCCATACTTTCTGCACACCGCGAACGCTTCAATTGTTAAAGCGCACGGAAAATCGTTGACGCGCTGTTCCCGCTTGTATGTCTCCGTTAGTATTCTTCGCCTTTGATAGGATCTGGGTCCCTCTTCATGCAAGTGCAGCCTCATTCTGCAACATGTAACATGACTACTCAAAGATAACCAAACCCCCACCAGACAAGAAACCATCGCAGGCGCGCATAGCGACAGGCGAAAGTGAGCAGCAGTCAAACCTCGAGCTATTGCACCGACTACTTCATCCACCAAATACAAAACAAATGTAGCTCCAAAGTCAAACTTAGCGTACCACGGTCTACAACAAACCTCACGATGCACAGCAATTTTGCCCAAGTTTCGCCAGACGCTTCTTGTCCACGTATCGCTCTGTGGGGCACTACCCCTCTCGTTCGACTCATTCATCACACGCACACGAACAAAGACGTGAATATTCCACCACCACAATAGCCAGCACACCCTGCATCGGCTCACACTTCCGTACAAGGCATACTCCGCACCTTACATGATGAGATTCATCATGAAGCCCCTGTTCGGTGAATCTTGAAACAAATTGCAGCATCCCATGTTTTCTTCTGGACTAGACATATGCGGGAGAAGACTAGGCTCGATGCCAGCTCCATATGCATCCCGAGTCGATTTGACTTGCATGACAGATGTTTCCAAGTGCTCAGCTCGTAAGGTACTATGACAAGCAGACTGAAGATCAATAAGAAAAAGAAGGTGAACCTTTAGCACTGAATACGTTTGCATCATTTACATTGTCATCCAAGTGAATCTAACAACCTCGATCTAACGCTAGACTTTCCTCATCATTGGTCTGCTTCTCGTCTACAACTCATCCGGTCCACCCTCTCTCCCCTCTTCCTTCTTCTCCGCATTCTCAGCGTAGATGCCCGCCTTCCTCAATGCTTCATCAATCTCCTGCTGACTGGGCGCTTCACCCCCATGCGCCTGATGTTTGATGTCTCCATTCTCCATGTCCTCGACCTGCTGTTGAGAGTCCGGGTGAGGATGTTCTGCCGCAGCAGGCTTCTCAGTTTCCTTGGTTGCCTTTTTGGTCTTGCTGGGCGATTTCTTGGCCTTGGACTTTGTCGCCTTGGCTTTCGTAGTCTTTGACTTGGAAGATTGCGTCGGAGGCTTGAAGTGCTTCATTTTCTTCATCATCATGTCCATGACGACATCATCTAGCTTCTTCTTCTCGGCCAGAATGTCCTTGACGGTAAAAGCCGGATCGTCGGTGGGTGTGAGTTTGCTCTGCTTAGCCTCGTTCTCGTCAAGCCATGCTTGTGCTTTTGAGGCGTAGTCCTGGACAGTCTTTAGGTCGTCTTCCGTGTAAACAGTAGGAACTTCAGTGATTTCAGGTGCGGCGGGTGCATCTGCTTCGTCGTCAAGCTCGTCCATAGGGTCGGTAGATGGCGAGGCGGCAGCGTCAGCAGAAGCCTTAGATACTGCTTCACTGCTCTTGGAGCTCTCGGCTGATTGCGTCTTGATCTGGCCATCCACTAGCTGCTCGACTTCCTTGATGTGAGCGATGGTGTCCTTGAGTTCTTTGATGGCGTCAGGACGCTTGGAAGCTTCGTCTTTGCGCTTGAGAACGGGGTTGACAATGTCCTCGAGCTCCTTTAGCTTGCTTCTGAGAGTCTTCTCATCTGCGTCTGCTCCGCCAGAGTACATCCACTCTGAAGCGGCTTCAAGCGTCGTCTCGAGTGTCGAGCGAACAGCAGAGGTGGAAGCACCGATGAACGACTCATCCTCAATGTAATCACGCGCACGGTAAGTGAAGGCTTCAAGCGAGTTCAAGACCTCTTCGCGAACGCGGCGAGACTTGTCTGACGAATCGAAAGCAGCGAGCCTATTCAAAATTAGCATATGAAGAAGTCGAGCACCGTCCACGGACTCACCTGTCTTGCATCCTCTTTAGCTCCTTACGAGGGAACTTCTTGTATCCTAGCTGCTCAACATCGTATGTAATTGCCGATCGAATGGTCTTAATCTTCTTCTCGCCAGCCTTCGCAGCGTCAGTGCTCTCGGCACCCGCCGAAGACGAAGACGAAGAAGATTTCGAGGACGACTTGGAAGCGGACGAAGAAGACGAACTCTCACTCTCCTTCAACGGCTCCTGGTCCTTCTTGCCACCCATTCCAAACAGGTTCTTGACGCCATCAACAATCCCGCCCTTGACCTCCTCGCTCTCAGTCTCGCAGGTAACCCACGCGGCCAAGACTTCAGGAGTACCGGTAATAGGGCTAAGCCTGACTTGTACGTAGTTGTTAAAGGAATCGCGGTCGCACTTGTCGTCGTTGATCATATTTGTAACAACCTGAGTCAGGTTACCGCTCTGGAAGTGAAGAGTGGGCTCCTTTGACACCTCGCCGTTAGCACCAGGGATGGCCTGGTACATGGTGAACTCAAACTCGCCCATCATCTGGAATGGCAGATCCTTGGTCGTTCCAAGCTTGGTGCTGGGAGTGAAGATCTTCTGGTCGCGGTCCTTCATGTTAAACATGTACTGGTAACCGTGGTTGTAGCCCTGAGTATCCGAGTCACGAATCTCCTTGACGCGGAAAGATGGGCTGAGACCAGCGGCCTTGAAAGCGGCACCGAATACGGCGGCCTCGTCGGCGTTGACATTCGCCCTGATCTTACCCTTGCCTGCGACAGCCTCAAGACGAGCCTGGACGAAAGGTGTACGGCTTGCGCCACCGTGGACGATAACGGAGTCGATGTCAGCGAATGTGAGTCCAGCAGCTTCCAGAGCCTTGTTGATGGGTCCATCGATGCGTTGGGCATAGGTAGCGGCAAGCTCCTCGAACCTAGCGCGAGGGAGTTTGTATCGGAAGTCAACATCCTCGTAGAAGCTCTCGAAAAAGGACGTGGTCTCCTTGTTGGCGCTGAGCATCTGACGAACCCTCTCAGCCTCCTTGAAGAGCTTCGCAGCGGTACGTCCATGGGTCTTGACCTTGTCGGCGGTGAAAGAAGCGCTCTTGGCAGCAGGCAGCTCAACGAAAGTAGCCACCATATCGTCGACAATGAGCGAATTGAGCGCATCACCTCCAAGAGTCCTGTCCCATCCAGTGCCCATAACCTGAACCTCCTGGATAGTCTTGTTACGCCTTCCAACGTCCTTGACAGTCCTGCCTTGGAACTTGAGAATAGTGGCAGACAAAGATCCAGCACCCATATCAAAGACCAGATTGATCTCCGGCTTGCCATCCTTTGTAACATCAGGGAATGTCCTGCCTGTAGCGTAGTTGAGACCAACAGCCAGACCGTCCGACACGACGCTAAGCACCTTGAGACCAGCCAATCTTGCAGCAATCTCAAGTGCACGCCTCTCATCTACCGTGTAAAAGGCGGGGACGGTAAAGACAACGTCCTGGATATCGTATCCCTTGCCTGCGAGCGCCTTTGCGTTCTCTCTGACGTTCTTTAGCTCCATGGCCAATAGCTCCTCAACTGTGTATGATTTATCCTCTGAAAAGACGCCGCTCTGGAAGCTAACTGTCTTGCGACCCTCTGTGCCTGTAACCTCTAACGCGGGGTATCTCTCCTTGTACGTGCCCACAATGTCGCTCTCACTCGATACACCAAGAAGGTGTTTTAGGTTTGGGTACACATCGCCTGGGAATCGTCCTTGCAACGCAATCGCGTCGCCGCCGTAGAAGCGTTCGGGGAATGAGCCAGCGGGAAGCGCACCGCCTTTCGACGGTTTGAAGGCAACGGCCGATGTTTCTTTCCGTTTCGAGTCTTTGGTGAGGACGATTTCGAGGGGAATGCCAGGCTTTACTAGTGCGGCTTTGATGTATTCGGTGCCCAGATCGACACCCAGCACTGCTGAGGCGGCGGATGCGGTGGACGAGAAGAGGAAAAAGAGACCGAGGAGGACTGTTCCGGGCGAGAGGCTACCTCTCCGGCGTCCGGGTGGCGCCATGATGTGTGGTGGTGTGAGAGAGTGCAATGTGTCGTTAACGTGCAGGCGCGGGAGGGTTGTAGTGGGATGTGAGTCGCGGGGAAGGAGCAGGGTATGTATTCGAGTAGCAAGCCTCGATAGAAGAAAAGAGAAGGAGTGGGAATCTATCCCAAGAAAAAGCGGTGTGAATCAAGTGTCGGTCGAAACCGTGTTTCTTCTTGTCGTGTAATCGGCGGGCGGTTTCGTAGTAAATGTACTTGGGGTCGAGCTACCCTGTTCCGAACTTATTTGACACCTGGTCTTTGTCAAAAGGCCAGTTTGACGTTATATCGACCAACGCACGTCACGAGTTAAGATTGCTGTTTTATCTAAAGCTTAATTCACTGCTGCCTAGAGCTGCTTTTGGAATGAGGACATTTGGTCTTATGTAGTTGTTTTGTCGAGTACTATGCACGACTTTCGAGATCCTTTGCGTGCTCTAGCCAATCACATCGTCAGGACACCCGTCTTCGCCGCAATGCAGGAGCGCGACCATGTCCTCTACTTGCAACTTGCAGCCACGCTTCATGCTCTGCAGAATCATGCATGTGTCTTTTGAGACTCACACTATATCCCAGTTGCCGCTGTCCCTATACACTAGCACCGTCGATGGTACCTATAATACCGGTCCATCATATCCCACGGTTAAACTCCACCATTCCATCCTTGCCACCGCGCTCATGAAACTCGGGCTCAAGCGTCTTCGCACTAATAGCTTGACGTTGTGGGAACGCAGCGAGCGCAAGCGGTAGTGCGAAGATGGACGTCGTGAAAATAAGTCCTGATACGTGTGTTAGCCAGCCCTAACACCATCTCACAGATACTTGCACATTGACTCACCCAGGTTAACAGGAGTCACCATCCTAGGCCTCTGCTTAAGCCACTCGGTCTTCTGCAGCCTAACAAGAATCAGAGGAGGCAGCACCATGATCGGCGTTGCATTGAGCACACGGCTCAGCGCTGTTTCTCCCACTGCCAGTGTGGCCGCTTTCTTGCTCTTTCCCAATGGCTTGATCTCGAGATCGCCTGTATCTACTCGCTGTCGCTCAGCTTCTGATAGCGCGGGGTACACGTCGATGCCCTGCCTGATCTCCTCGCCGCGCATCAAGAACACATTGAGCGCCCCCGCTGTTGCGACAGCCGCAAAAGGCACTAACCGACCCGCGATGACTTTTGCATTGGGCGAGAGGCTCTTAAGGCGGGGCACCAGCGCGTTGAGACCGAGTGCAACACCGCAGGATGCGCTGACGGCGGTGAGGTACGACTGGACGATGGTCGAGGTAGAGAGCGGGACCGACTTATTCGCGTTGGAGAAGTTGATTCCGACGTTGACGGACTGGTTGGTGACTTGCCATCCTAGTGTTCCCGCCGTCTGTACACGATCAGTATTGTCGTCCCGTCTTAGCATAGAGCTTCCCGTACGTACCCCAAGACCTGGTGTAAGCATCCCAGCCGTGACGACCAGATTGGTCAGAACAAAGCTCGACATGCGGAAAGGCAGAAAGACTGGCTGTCCCGTGTCTTGCACTTTTGTCAGCGTCCTTGCCCTTCATCGTGCCATTGCGCTGGTTGTAGTACCTGGATGTATGGTAGAGTCGATGATTTTCTTTGCGTTCCACAGCTCCGGTGTCATATCTGGGATCTTGCCCGTCTTGTACGCGGTGACGAGCTTCTTTGCATTTTCGAGGCTGGCTGACGAGGTGAGGAGGGTTCTGTTCGCGCGTTTGTCAGTTGTGATCTGAATGGACAATTGAGACAGAGAGAAGTGATTAAAAAGCCATGAGTCGTGGTACTCACCACACCCCAGCATCCGCAAGGAAATATTATATCCAGCGCGCAGTGTCTCACCTCGGATCTGATATATTTGCTGAGTGCTGCACGCGACCCCAGTATGTGCCCAGATCGTACTGCGAGACGGGCAAGTCGCGGTTTCCAGGTAACGAGGACGTCATCTTGACGAATAGGAGGATGCGAAAACCGCGGTCGAAGCAAACCAAAGCCTCAACAGCCCGCAGAGTCGCAACGAGTTGTGGATGAGTCCTAGCGTGGGTAAACGCAAACAACGATATCGGCGATAATGCGGAGCGGGAACTAACGACAAGCGCAGTAGCGACAAGTTTAATGATATATCTGCCTTTCTAACTTCCATCAAGCTTCCAACCTCAGCCTTACTACAAAGCTAGTGCATCTCATGCTATCAAAAATAAATGAATACTGTGCGCGTGCATGCAAACAACGCTCTAAAATGACTAGAAAGCCCCGCCGATGGCTGTCTCCAGCAGATGCCAAACATTAACGCGGTATGAACATTGTAAAAACAAGCGCTTTTATGCAACAAAATCAATTCCGTATCCTGTCGTCCATCCTCTATGGCTCATTTCTTTGACTTCTTCTTCGATTTGCCATTGTCAGGCGTCGTTCCAAGTATGTCGTCAAATGTCTTGTTGGGATCGTGATTCGACGCGGGTCTCAGCGAGGGCGAGCCCATGGGCATTGGCGGGGCTACACCAGGAGGCAAAGGCAACGCCTCCAGCCCGAGGTTCATGACACTCTCCCGCCGCCGGTCGGGGCTCTGAGATCGTCCACGGGCAGCGGCTGAAGGGTCCAGGAGGCCAGGTGGCGGGGGTAATGGTGAAGCTTCTGCGTTCAGCTCCTGCATCGCGGCGTTGAGAAGTGTATCGTTTGCTGCCCATTCTTGTGCCTTCTTCCAACAATGAGATCGTCGGAAGGTGCCTTCAACTCCGTGTTCGACAACATCCGTTGGTAAGCTGACGACCTGTGCTCCTCCTGCTACACCAAACCATGTTCGAGATCGTGTTGTGTCCTCCCGAGCCCACGGTACACCGCTTCGAGGTACCTCGCACAGGAAGTATTCCACACCCTCGGTAAACCGGACGCCGGGTGCATCAACGATCAACATGGGTAATGACTGGATGACGGCGTACAGGAACAGCCACTGTCCCGACCGCATATCCCACATGTCGTCCATATTCGAGCCCGTGGCTTGCTTGAATTCAAACTGGCGGAAAGCCTCCAAGAATGGTGTTTGCTGTTCAGCGTCTGCATTGTGCGATTGCTTTAGCAGTTTTGCTACTTCGTCTTTGTGTAGCTTTTTCCCACGTGCTTTCGCATCCTTCTTCGCGTCGCCTGTCTTTGCGTTTTGCGAAATGGGATATAGTGGCAGGTCAAAAGGAATTGGTGGCGCGACTGGCGGCGTGCTACGGTCGTATTCGCTCAAAACCTTTCTCAGCGCACGTGCGACAATTGATTCGATATCAGTTCCCTCGTCTTCTGCGATGAAGCCGTCCGCGGTGCGATTCGTCAAGTTCTTCCTGTCCACAAGGAGGTCATACAAGTTGGACATGTCGTGGTAAATTTCCAATAGGACCAATCGGTTAAGGCCACTTGTGGTTAGGTTGTTCTTCTTTGACTTGGCTTTTGGTAGCCATGAACCGTACTTGTGCCGGTAGTAGTCCATAACAAAAGATTTGATCGTCATGAAGGCAGCCCTCCATTTTTTGAAGCTAATGACCTTGCCTTCGCTTGCCATGGCGCTGTTCATGATACCGGAGAAAATGTGCGGAAACTCAAAGTCTTTGAGCTTTCCATTGATGGTGGCTTCGCGGTTGTCCAGATCCATAGCAGCACGAGCTAGTCGCGTAGCACTCTTGGGGCTGATCATGGCAAATTTGGGCGAGTCCAGCTCTTTGATGCTGTCGTACTTTCCAGCAGCGTGGACAAAGCCTTCCGTGTATAGCGACATGGACCGCAATCTTTCTCCTAATACAATGGCTTCTATCGTCTTCTCGCGGCTGTGACGGACGTCTGCCAGAGTCAATTCATCGACATAGCAGTCGAAGCTCGAAGCAGCAACTTCGCCAAAGGTAGATCCATCAACGTTGGAGAAGGCATAGTGTGACAAAATGTCTCCTATCCGCAGGAATATGTCGAAGATGTCTGAGTGACGCTCCGTAGCGACCAGCGACTGGCCAATGAGAAAGGCGAAAAAGTTGCGGTAGGTGACCAATGTGTCCGTGTCGCTTGCGTTTAGTTGCGGCTCGTGAGGCGTGATGTTTGAGTCTGAGCTCAGCGAGATCGGCATGTATAGATGCTTTTCCGTGTACTCATCATCGAGGGCGTCGCTTAGCGCTCTGGACCCCTTGGATATCGATTCATCCGAGCTTCCTATCTGGCTTTGGTCGGGAGATGCGGTCCGTGATTGTTCGCCAAAGGGTTCACGAGACACGCGTCGCGACGTTCTTTCTGCCAGATCTAGCGGGGGCACGTTCCCATCGCTGTAGAGGCTGCCATGTACGAGGCGGGTGAGCAGCTGTGATGCTGCGTATACGGACGAGTCGATACGGAAGGAAGGGCCCTTGTCAGATGTGCGGGGAAAGAGGTAGACAAACGTGTCACCTGCATCGTCCCATAGTTCAGGCACCTTTCATCTCGTCAGCACACTCGGCACCATGTTGTCAAGATCAAAGAGGACTACCTTTTCGCCGTTCAACAAGAAGGTCAGGTTGTATGGGACCTTGCCCTTGTGTCCGACTATCCACGCAAGCGGGCTGGCATTGCCTGACGATGTTCTGCTGTGCGAGCCATTGAGCCCCTCAATGCCACCTGGCGGGCCTCCAAAAAGACCGCTCTTCCTGCGCAGTTTCTTGAGTTTGCCTTCAGAACTTGGTTCTAAGCTCGGCGTTCCTGGTCGACTGCTAGCGGGGGAAGATGCGCGCGAAGGGACCTCGAGCGGCGGCGGCGGCTCCAGCGGCTCAAGATCGGCAGGGTCGACTGGCTGGATAGTGGGATTGGAAAGAGACACTTGACGTGGAGAGGCGGGTGCAGCTGGTGGAGGGTATTCGGGCGTCAGATGTGACGCCGAGGAGAGGCGGTTGCGCACTTTGGTCAGGCGGCTGCTGGACTCTGACGAAGCAGGTGTTGGGCTCAACTTCGTATTCGTAGACCCTGATGACGGTTCCGACGACCCAGACGATCCGAACAAACTCGACAGCCGACGGCTCGACTTCTTCTTGTCTCCCAACATGGCGAAACAGTCTACTCTTGGTCTACGCGGCTCAGGAGGAGCGAGAGTTGGGATATCGTAAGGCGCAAGAAAACACTATGCGCTCATTAACATAGGGTCGACAAAACACAGCGGATAGCAAACATGAGCACCACACATGCAGGGCCCCGGACCGGTCAAGATAGTATATAGTCAAAGGGAAACAGAAAAGCTTAGTGAAAGAACTAAGTGATCTATATTTGAGCTGTTGCAGATCCGGCAGTGTCGCAACCATGCTAGTGCACGAATAACGTCAAAGGTTGGGTGGCCACAACGTGGGTCGATCAGTGTCAGCTGTGATTGGTTTTTCCCTTCAGTCTGGAGGCTGTATTTCCACCTGGGTACGCCCGACCGGCCACTCAGCGGCTTCTTGGTTGTACAAAAGGACCCTTTGCCAGTGTTGGCTCACACCTGTGAGCACCTGCGCCTCGTACTGCGGGCAAGGCCCACCTCATCCACCGAATCGGACCCATGCTCAGCCGCGTCGTGTCAACTATTAGTTGTTTCGAGTCCTTCCCAGCCTTCAAGCATGCAGCCATCAATACAGATTTGTGTGACGCTTTGAACGGTGTGTATGTGTCTATAGAGCCGCAGCTGACATGTCGTGTTTTTTGTGACTATTTGCAACATCGGTGTTGACTATTGAAAGGCGCGGCGGCTTCAATCTTAAGCGAAGGGATGACGTACCATCCCTAATCGATAGCGTGCACCCGAGGCCTCGTGGCTGTCAAACACACGTGCAACGAACCGCGCCTTACGTGTGAGTAGGCGTGGGAATGACATACCGCATGCGTACTTCAGATTCCATCCAGATGCTGCCAATGCTCATCTCCGAACTTCGCATCTGATATAATCTCACGACCACCACGATATTGCTCGCCTGAGTCCACTCTGGTCCATACTTGCGCACCAGCCACTTCGGTTACGTAGCCGTGTTCCGAAGCCGCGTTATCCTCAATGCTGAACACGGCCTCATCAGCACTCGATACAGAATTCAATATGGGCGGCGGAGAAACTATCGCGGACCAAATACTTAAGACGTTCGCCCTACCGGACGTCGTCGGCTCAAAGACTAGCTCTAAGAAGCTGATCAATCTTCTAAGAGGGCACGTGCTCCTGCTTTTCATGCAAACTCGCATACCCTTTTGGGACATGACGCGGCCCAATAAGACGTATCGCAGCCCCGAGTGATCGCTGACAGGCAACAGATGGCCAAACGTGTCTTTATTGCCTACGCAATTGCTCGACAAAGCTGCCCATGATGTACTCCAGAAGAAGCCTATGGCGTATCCTGCCATGTGCTATGGACCCGATTCAGGTGATCCCAGGCTACGCAGCAACATTGCGCAATGGCTCACAAAGTTCTACAAGCCTGCGGACCCAGTATCTGAAGAGCGCGTATGCATTTCCGGCGGGGCTTCTCAGAACCTGGCCTGCCTACTCCAAGACTTCACAGACCCTGTATACACAAGGAATGTTTGGATAGTGGCTCCGGCCTACATGCTTGCGTTCCGTATATTCGAGGATGCTGGGTTCCACAAAAAACTCCGGGCCGTGCCTGAGGACGAGGAGGGTATTGACATGTCGTATCTGAGAAGTCAGATTAGGCAGAGTGAAGAGAGAGCGAAATCCGAAAACAACAATGAGCCGGTGAGTCGTTGCCAAAATGACGTTGAAAATTTCTGCCGGAGTTGGAGTTTGTTGTAACTTTGCTTCAAGATTATGCTCCCTTGAAAATGCGTTCACCTGTGCATAGCATCACTGACAGTATGGCCAGCAATTTAAACCTCCGAGGCCTTCAAACAAAATTTACAAACATGTCATTTATGCGGTGCCAGGGTTTTCCAATCCTAGTTCCAAGACCATGAGCCTAAGGAGAAGAGAGGGGTTGGTACGTCTGGCGCGAGAGTATGACGCTCTTATCATTACAGACGACGTATATGACTTTCTGCAATGGCCATCAAGTCTCAGCCCAAGTACACTTTCAATCGAGAAAGCTGGTTTGCCCCGTATCGTCGATATCGACCGATATCTGGACGGCGGCGCCGAAAGACATGGCGCTGATGGGTTCGGCAACGCGGTTTCAAATGGATCATTTTCCAAGATCTTTGGCCCCGGGTTACGGACAGGCTGGTGCGAAGGAACGCCTAAGATGGCATACGGGGTGTCGCAAACGTAAGCATGCCTTCTGACAAGCTCTTCGAATCTCACTCTTGCTGCGCGCCATCGCTCGTGCTAGATCTGAGGTACCCGAGATCGGTACCATGACGGCTAGATCGATTCCGACGGCCGACTCCACAGCCATGTCTCGCTCAAACGGGCAGTGACAGCTAACGTGTTCCAGAGGATCGAGCCGTTCAGGTGGAGCACCCAGCCAGCTGACAGCCTGCTTTGTGGCCGAGACACTGGAGACTGGAGAGCTCCAGCGCTACGTGTACGACAGACTCCAGCCAGTATATGGTAATCGGTACCGCCGTATGGTGGAAGGAATTAACAAGCACCTCATTCCACTAGGCGTCAGCATTCCCCAAACCGATCGCGAGATTGTTGGTGGATATTTCATTTGGCTCACGTTGCCTTCTCCGCTGAAAGGTGCCGTGGTAGCACAACGCGCAAAGGAAGAGGAGAATTTGGTGGTCGCACAGGTGAGTACGAACCACGATTTACGTTCCAAACCCAGATGATGAGCACGGCTAAAGACGACGCTTGTACAGGGCGAGATGTTTGAGGTGAGTATACTTCTCCGCTACCGTGTGCTCACAGCTGACAGATGTAGGTACCCGGCGACACCGAACATGAGGGCACGTCTTTCAGCAACGATATTAGAATTTGTTTCGCGGTATGTACTACTAGGTTGGACCTCCGAGCCGTCACTAACATGCCGCTAGTGGGAAGAGGAAGACATGCTTGCTGAAGGCATCGAACGACTCGCCACGATTATTAGCCGCATGCTAAATGAAGAGGCCAATGGAGGTCAGTCAACCCATCGTATGGCTGCCCAAAAAGAAGACGCGAAGAACTTGTGGTGATTGAGAGGGGAGCAAGAAAGGCGAATGAAATGGACGATCGGGGAACCTAGGTGAATCGCAACCCATCAGCCACAATCTAGATCATGCGCAAACTCTCGCAGCAGCGCAAGGCAGTTGCTACATAGCACGGTCTACACAATATCATTCGTCGAAGGTGCTATAATAGAGCCTTAGAGAGGTTGCGTTAAGCAAAGGGATCTGCAAGGCCAGCCTTCGGGTTTCATTAAAACATCCCCCATGCCCCACACCAGCACCCTGAACGAAATGAAAAGCAGTATACCCGGAGCCGGCGCGAAACACTGTGACCGTTGGACATGCAACCTAAGGCGGCGACTGGCACAGTATAGCGTAGTTTCTGATGCTTGTGTACCTGCATAAGGAACTTTCGGAGCGCGTCACGTCGAGGGAAGCGATCAAGTTGGTGTTCGGCACGAGCTTGTTCTGTCCGCAAGGCTCGTGCAATGTTGTGCACAATGCCCAGCGAAGATGTGAAATGTTTCTCTTCGAAAAACACAGTGGAGGCAAGACACGTCTACGATGCGGAAGACACATGCCGAGGCTGTGTTGTACTCGACCACGACTTCGCCTGCATCGGCCCATGACTCTCAAGCGCCCTCTTGGATGGAGACCGGCGCATCGCAGTGTATCCACGATCTCCTGCCGGCCCGTCGCGTCGAATTGCACAGAGGTGCGCGCGTGGCGTTGAAGCGCTGGCAAATGCTTTTATCAACGCGTCGGGCGAGCGAGGGCCTGTCGATGCCCTGGCGTTTCAAAGCCGTCTCACTTCCGGCCGCCGGTTGTGGCGCGCCAGTCAGATCCTTGTTTCCCTTCCAGGAACAAACGCTCGCCTCGCAGCCTCTGGACTTCCTCAACCACTTACTGGCCATCGTCTCCCGCTTGTTTCACGCGGAGAAAGGGATTCAACGGGGACAGTCTTGTGGGCCTTCTTTAGTGGAGACCCTAGGTAATTTTGGACGTACGCGACGGCGACAGGGTCACATTCACGCAACCATTCCTCGGCACTTGTCTGCAGGCGTGAAATGCGGCTTGCGAACATGACTGCAGGTGCTCATCATGGGGCGAAAGAGAAGGATGAGCTTCGGCGTGAAGCGGGAAGTGTAGGTGTACATGATGAAGAGGCGGCAGAAGAGCGTTGGTATCACAGCGAAGACGAGGATATAAAATGTCTACTCGATACCAGGGAACATGAATCGAGTACAGCACAGCGAACATCACACCCCGGCTACCCGAAACTTGAAACAAGGAGTTTCCAGAACTTTGATTGGCGCCACGAAACGATTGTAAGTTCCTTCCCGAATGAACTGCTATACTTATACAATGCGTGGCCCCCCCTCTTCACGTTTTCCCTTCACGCAGGTTTCCTGTCATCTACTAGCACTCCATTGTGTGTCTTCAGTTCTTATTGTTCTCTGTCATTCATTTCTATTGTGCAGAAGTTTTCTTCTCACAACAACATTCCTACTTTCTACCACTTTCGTTGCCAGGCAACCTTACTGCTTTATCCACCACTTCGCAATCCTGCAAACTTTCCAACACAACGATCCAACAACACTATCAACGTCTCTTGCAGGTCAACTGACGACGATACTTCCAGCCTTTGAGGTCAATCTTTCGACGTTTAACAACTCCGAACTTCAACGCACGCACTGCTATCATGGTTGCCTTTAGCGCTGGAGCGCTTCTACTGACGCTGCGCGTCCTCCTTTCCGCCACCCCATCCACTGCTGTGCCTGTTGCGCAAGCACCAGCTCCATCATCAGCACCGGCAGCACCAGCACCAGCAGCTGGTGCTTCCAGCTACTGGCTTGAGAAAATCGAGCGCCAGGGCCAGGCTCCTTTCAACCCCAACCCAGCATCTTACAAAGTCTTCCGTAACGTCAAGGAGCTCGGAGCCAAGGGTGATGGCTCTACCGATGACACTGAAATCATCAACAAGATCATCGCTGACGGCGATCGTTGCGGCGAGGGATGCGACTCTACTACCACAACACCCGCGCTCATCTACTTCCCTGCCGGCACTTACATGATCAGCAAGCCCATCATTCAATACTACTACACCCAGTTCGTCGGTGACCCATTGAACATGCCTATCCTCAAGGCCACTCCCGACTTCGAGGGTATGGGCTTGATCGATGCCGATCCCTACATCCCAGGTGGTGACGGTGCCAACTGGTACACGAACCAGAACAACTTCTACCGCCAAGTTCGCAACTTCGTTATTGACATCTCTGCCACTAAGGCTGCTGCAGGTATCCATTGGCAGGTGTCCCAGGCGACAAGTCTCCAGAACATCGTCTTCGAGATGGCCAAGGGTGACGCTGGCAAGGACCAGAAGGGTATCTTCCAGGACAACGGTTCCGGTGGCTTCATGACCGACTTGACCTTCAACGGTGGTGCGATTGGTGCCTTTATGGGTTCTCAGCAGTTTACCATCCGCAACATGACCTTTAATGACTGTGGCACCGCTATCTTCCAGAACTGGAATTGGGTTTTCACATACAAGAGCATTTTCATCAACAACTGTCAAGTCGGTCTTGACATGGCCAACAGCCCCGCCAACCAGACTGTCGGCTCTGTTCTCCTACTGGACAGCAAGTTCACCAACACCCCCATCGGTATCAACTCGTCTTTCACCGAGAACAGCATTCCCACTACTGGTGGTACCCTCATCCTTGACAACTGCGACTTCACCGGCTCTGAGAAGGCTATTGTCGGTGCTGCTGGTAACACTATCCTCGAGGGTGGCAAGAAGGTCGAGACATGGGCTCAGGGTAACGCTCTCGCTGCTGGAGCTACCCTAGGTCGTGTTCAAGGTGACGTCAACGGTGCACCCGCGAAGCCCCAGAGCCTCCAAGGTAACAATGGTTGGTTCGAGCGCAGCAAGCCCCAGTACGAGAACGTCGATGTCTCCAAGTTTGTCAGCCTGAAGTCCAAGGGCGCAGTGGGTGACGGTAAGACCGATGACACGGCTGCTATCCAAGCTGCTATCGATGGTCTTCAGGAGGACCAGGTTCTCCACGTCGACCACGGTGCCTACCTTATCACTAAGACTGTTGTTATCCCCGCTGAGAAAAACGTCAAGATGGTTGGTGAAGTCTACAGCACTTTCTTCATCACAGGCGAGTTCTTCTCCAACATGGACGACCCGAAGCCTGGATTCCAGGTTGGTGCTAAGAGCGGTGACAAGGGTTCCTTCGAAGCCTCCGACCTCATCATCGGTACTCAAGGTCCTGCTCCCGGTGGTATCTTGATGGAGTGGAACATCAACGCAGAGAGCGGCGCAGCCGGTCTTTGGGACGTCCACTTCCGTGTCGGCGGTTACGCCGGAACCAAGCTCCAGTCCTCTAACTGCAAGAAGAACCCCGATGCCACCCACGAGCCCAACCCGGAGTGCATTGGCTCCTTTATGCAGCTCCACATCACCAAGAACTCCAACGGTTACTTCGAGAACGTCTGGCTTTGGACCGCGGATCACGAGCTCGACCAGGACGACCACTCTCAAATTGACATCTACAACGGTCGCGGTATGCTTGTAGAATCTCAAGGTCCTGTCTGGATGTACGGCACTGCATCCGAGCACTCGCAAATGTCGCAGTACCAGTTCTCTGGCGCCAAGGACATCTTCTACGGGGCCATTCAAACCGAGACGCCTTACTACCAGCCCAACCCCACTGCTGCCGTTCCCTTCACCAAGAATGACAAGTTCTTCGACCCGGACATGAGCCAAGCCAAGGCTGCCTGGGCTGTGCGTGTCACCGATGGTAGCGAGAGCATCTGGAGCTATGGCGCGGGTACCTACTCCTTCTTCCAGAACTACGACCAGGACTGTGTCGTTGGTCAGAACTGTCAGCAAGACATGAACGAGATTGCCAATTCGACAAGCATCAACTGGTTTGGTCTTTCGACCAAGGCTTCGGTCAATATGATCACTATGGGTGGACAGGGTGTTGCCAAGGATGAGGACAACCGTTCCAACTTCTGTGCTACCCTTGCTATCTTCGCTCAGGCGTAGGCGCTGTACAGTCCTTTCCGATACGTAGCGCGGACTCCTTGATGGAAGTTCTTCGCTATAGACCTCTTCACTTCTTTCCCCTGCTTTACGGGGCCTGTTTTACGAACATGTATACCCATTTGTTTTTCTCGTTCTGTCTTTGTCCCACAAAAAAGGCGGAATGCCGCACTCGCTTAGCAATTACGTTGCGATGAAGTCGAGAGCATAAATATACCCCTGGGCAGGATTGAGGAGTTTGGGCCGGATCCTTTTTTTCTTCTTGAGCAGATAGATGACATGAATTTGATATCTCATGATTCCACAAAACTCCTTTCTGCTTGCTTGTGATGAATGTCCCAGAGGTCTCTGCAATAAATCTTAGTGAGGTACACATAGCCAGACATGGAGGCTCTCGCCAAAACTCACCTCCCCGCGTGCACGTCCTCGGGAAAAACTTCCCCGCGCAGAATCTCGTAGCTCGAGTGTCTGCGAAACTTGACTTCCTCACACAACCTCATCACCACAATTTTCTCTTGCGCAGACATGTCTGAACCGTTGGACGAGTCTACGCGACCCGCGAAACGCGCGCGACTCGACGAAAATACCGACATATCCCTCCCCACAACCTCTCCCGCACCAGCTCAGACAGCTGCTATACTTTCAGCGCCGGCGTCGGTTGACACGGATCTGGAGCGCGAAGTACGCGCCGGTATAACCGAGTATGTCTGCCCGAACAACTTGGGTTTCACGGGTATCTTGAAGCAGAGATATACGGATTTCTTAGTCAATGAGATCGCGCTCGATGGGCAGGTGCTGCATTTGAAGAGCACCGAGGTGGAAGAGAAGAAGAAGCCCGTGAAAGAGAATGTCCAGGCGGCCGAAGGTAAAGGCGAAGACAAGTCAGAGAGCACAATAGCGACCGACGACAAGGTCGATGCTGTTATGCAGGATGTGGGAGTTGCTGGTGAGACAACCCTCGCAGTACCGGAACCAGCAAAGGTTGAGGATGCGCCGAAAGAACCTGAAAACGATGGGGAGCAGATCATTGGTAAACCAGCGGCAGCCAAGGAAGAGCCAGAGGAAGAGGTGTGTGGCTTGTAGGCGTATGCACTGCGCAGATGCTAATACCGTCTAGTTACCGGAAGACGATCGCAACATTCTACATTCGATATTCGGCGAACAGACTACCGACGACATTGTTAAACTCGTCCGACAAGTACGAAAACGCGAATCGAAAAAAGCAAAGGACTTTAAGGCCGTCATATCATCGCCTATAACGGACAAGGACAAGCGCACACAGGCTCACCAGAACTTGCGTCGCATCTTCCCCAACTTGCTCGAGAGTGCTATGGAGGAGAACCAATGCATACGTATCAAGGCGACTCCCCCAGCGGAGCGCAAAAAGAAGAAGAGCAAGGGTGGTGGTGGTGACCGACAAGACCAGGGACGGCGACGAGGAGGGCAGGATTGGGAGGAGCTTGGTGGTGAATACCTGCACTTCAACCTGTACAAGGAAAACAAGGACACAATGGAGGTTGTTGGCTTCCTAGGAAGTAAGCTCAACTGTGGTGCCAAGGGTTTCGGCTTTGCAGGCACGAAAGATAGACGAGCATGCACTGTTCAGAGAGTCTGCGTTAGGCGTCAAACAGCGCAGCGCATGCAAGCCTTCAACAAGACACTGTTCAATGCTGCTGTGGGAGACTTTGAGTACCGTCACAACGACTTAAAGCTTGGAGACCTGATGGGCAACGAGTTCACCATCACGCTCCGAGACTGCCACTTCCAGAGCGAAGAAGGATTAGACTTTGCTCAGCGACGGCAACTCGCCAACGATGTGGTCAGCAAGGCAATTAGCGACTTTTCCGAGAAAGGTTTCATCAACTACTACGGTCTCCAACGCTTCGGTTCCTTCGCCGCAAGCACTGATGCCATTGGCTGCAAGATGTTGCAAGACGATCTAAAAGGCGCCGTCGAAGACCTTCTTGCGTATAGCGACACCGCTCTCGCTGCCGCAAATAACGAAGACACCGCTGTCCAGGTTTCCCAAGACGATCGCAACCGTGCGCAAGCCCTCCACATCTGGAAAACGAAAGGCAGCGGTGCCGAAGCCCTCGAATTCTTGCCCCGCAAGTTTACAGCAGAGCGAAATATAATCCAACATCTCGGGTCCCGAAACAGCAAATCCGGTCGCTATGACCGCAAAACAGACTGGCAAGGCGCACTCATGACAATTCCTCGTACACTGCGTCTCATGTACGTTCACGCGTACCAGTCTCTCGTTTGGAACACCGTTGCGGGAAAACGTTGGGCTGAACATGGCGACAAGGTTGTTGAGGGAGACCTTGTTCTTGTAAACGAACACCGCGATAAAGAAGAAAACGCACCATCCAAGACGACGACATCAACACACGATCAGGACGGCGAACCCATCATAAACCCCTCCGGCACCGACTCCTCTCTCGCTCCCGAAGCAGATTTCGAGCGCGCCCGTCCCCTCTCCGCATCAGAAGCCGCGTCGGGAAAATACAGTATTTGGGACATTGTCCTCCCACAACCGGGCTTCGATGTTGAGTACCCGCGGAACTCAATTGGAGAGTTTTACAAGGAGTTCATGGGTAGTGAGAAGGGCGGAGGACTTGATCCCAAGGATATGCGGAGGACTTGGAGGGAGGTTAGTTTGAGTGGGGGTTACAGGAAGTTTTTGGCTAGGCCACTGCAGCCCCTCACTTTTGAGGTGCATGAGTATAAGAAGGTGGATGAGCAGTTTGTTGAGACAGACATGCAGAGGCTGGGCCGGGAGAGGGACGTAGGCCACAAGGCTCAAGAGAAAGAGGACGAGAAGAAGGGAGAGAATGCCGATGCGCAAATGGAAGACGGAGAGGAGAAAGAAGAGGATAAGATTGCAGTCGTACTGAAGCTGCAATTGGCGAGCAGTCAGTATGCTACTATGGCGCTGAGGGAACTGATGAAGGCTGGCGGTGTCAAGGCATACCAGCCTGCGTTTATGGGTGGCAGATGATAAATGCTCCCAGTATTTGATAAGGAGGCAAGGTGGACGAAAGAACATCACATTCAGAAAATTCGTGGCATTTATTTTAGCTATATTGAAACGATGTCTGTATGACTATGTGTGACAGTGTCACCGCGCACTTCGTCAACGGATGATATTCTGACTGTTTGTCGGCTATGGTTCTACTGAATAACATGGCCTCTTTATATCAACCCCAGGAGTCCTCCCTCTTTGCTCTTCTTCACTCCAACCTCTATCCCAATAATCTCGCAAGCCTCGAAGCACCTTAGCGTCCTCATACTGTTCGGACCCAATAGACAGGTGTCATTTGGGCAAAGGTTATGTAGGTGTGGTCAGCAACGACAAGTAGGCGTCGCCTTCTTGACCAGGATGGTGCTCTGTTTGAGCCACATCTTGATAACGACACAGTGCTGGCGCCGACGCTTGCACATTGCTTGTTAGTCGTTGTGCTGCTCGAGGCGATGCGCGTGTGAGTTGTACTACTCGTGTAGTATGTATGTGTGTTCAGTCCCGTTCAGAACCTATCATTCATACAACATCGTCCGCTTCTTTGAATCGAACGGGAAAAACAGGTGTTGATTTTGGCCTTCCAGGTACGCTCTCTTCACTTGTGTATCTCCGATGCAGTGTCCAGCTGACACGCGCCGGTTGTCGCAACCTCTGCTCCTTCTCCTTCTCCCATAGAGGCATGTCGGTAGCGTCGGACTCGGTGCGGCTCAGGATAGGGTCGGTGCTCATCCGGCCTCTGATTCCCATTTCGGATGCGAATGGGGTGATTGCACTGTCCGGTCGTGAGACGGACTCGGTGTACGAAGGCTTGGTAACCAAATAAGGTAATGAGGCTTTGCGCTCGTTACTGAAATAGCTCTGGTCGATCTCGGAAAGCGCAACATCTCGTCGCGACAATCGTGATACAGAATGTGCTTTTGAATGCTCGTTGTTCGATCGGTGGGCCGATCGCAAACTTCTTGATATGTGATGTGCACAACTGGACACAGCGCTCGATTCGCGTGCTTGACGTAGCGCGCCTTTCATGAGTGGACGAAGTGTGGCGAGACAACCGGCGATTATACACGCACCTGCTTCGATAGTGCTCCAGATGGAGATGTTGACGACGCTCCAAAAAAAGTCGTCGGTCTGAATCAGGCCTTCTATATAGCGGAAGCGTATTCCAGAACAGATGCAGCCGCTGCTGTGTGTTAGGAGGGTCAATCGATGGGGACCCTGGAAGAAGACTTACAGAGCTGCTAGGCAGAGAACAAAACCGACAGAGATCTTGGATCTCTTGTCCATGTTGGCAGGCCAGAGAATGGGGATGGGCAGCAATAGAAAGACAAAGTCGGTGAAAGTACTGAAAGCGGCTGTGATGCGTACTGTGAGCGAACGTATAGACAAGCGGTTCACAATACTACGTACCTTGCTGATAGGCCATGAACAAGTCAAGCTCCCGCGACGCACAGTTATTCATAAGCTGGTTCATTACGTACTGGTCTAGACTGGGTCCACATCTAAAAAAGCAATAGAAGAAGGCAGATGCGGATGAGATGATGTTGACACCGACTGTAACGTAGACAGAGATAAGGTGGCAGCGCTTGACGATGATGCGGATGAAGAAGATGGCAAGAGATATCTTGACTATCATGATGGTGATGATGTAGCAAGCCTCACTAGCAACAACCCACTATGATGGTGAGCATGATGATACAAGATGATGGCCAGAATGAGTACCTTTGTTAAGACCTGCAACCGGTCCACGCTCGTGACATGGGTGCCTCCACCATTGCACGCAATGTACAAAGTCGATCCACAGTATACGGTGAATGTCATCTACAGGTGTTAGCTGAAGGTTTTTCTTAGTGAAAACGACCAGGAACTTACGCCAGCAAGGATCATAATGCTATCGTCCCAGCCGAAGTTTGAGATGACATAGGTGCGAGTCCATATCCTGAGTAGGATGAAGAACCAAGCCAAGGCTAGAAAAGCGATGGTAATTCGTAGTTGCTGCTCGGTAGATTGCGCCAGATCAGTCGCACTGTGCATCATGATTAAGGAAGTTAGGATGGGCCTGATCTCGCACGATGTGACAGCGGCCTTGGAGAGAAAGACAGTCGAAACGGTACGGATTTCCTCAAGACGAATGAATGAGGAATGATTGTGGCGGCAAAATGAGTGGCTTGAGGACTACATATCCTCTGTAGCTGACTAGGGTATTTGATGTGATACCACGTCTTGCTGCAAGCCACGTTCGAAGCAATGGTACGGAGATGTATGAGACCGATCTAGAATGACGTTTTACTCAAAGATAGCACTGTGGGTGTGTAATCCTTCAAGAGAAAAAGAAACAACCAAGAGGACCTGGGACCTGCATTTGTGGGAACGAACCGGCTTAACATGCAGCATCATTATGTTGAGCGACTTTGGTTGACTATCATTGTAGTACATGCAGGGCGGCCCATCCAGGTCGTCGTCTCCTGTTAGACTGTCAATGGCGGCCTTCTCCGCCCTTAAGCATGCTTTGGAGATGTATCGAAAACTCTAATTCGCCGGCTGGGGCGAATCCGATGCTCACTGGTGTTGTCACTTATAGGGCCGCGCTGCGGGGGACGTTTGCTAGCGTGCCGCGGATGTTGGGCTCCGCTCCGGGGCCTTCTCCGATGATCGTACGTTCATCTCATCTTGCATAGCAATGTATGCATGTCAAGGAATATGCGCGGATGCGCAACGATTGATAGCGGGGAGTGTGGGTGGTGGGGGAGAGTTACAGATAGCGCCAGGTACACAACGCGCGTAGACGAAAGGGGAAGTGAAGCAATTTCCCCGACGCTTGGGCCTCTAGGTTCCGAACCTCATCGCAAACACGACCCTGGCACAAAGTAGCAAGCACAAACGGCGACCGAAAAAGGAACCACACCTTCATCGTAGGAGCTGGGTCTCGACGTTGCTGTCTTGTGCGACACACACCAACAGTTTCGTCATCGCGACGCGCATTCGTGTCCGGGTACCTGATCAACACCCATCCGCACAGTGTACCACATTCGGACAATCAGCTAGTGGCGCCCCGATCCCTCAAACGCCAGAGCTGGCTTAGACAAACCATAATCGATCTCCTTGGGTAAAAGATTGCCTATTGCGTCTTACGCCCGACTCAGCCACTCTATCGTACCTGCTTACAGGGCCACGGTTACCACGGGCCCTAGCCATCTCGAATCTTGCATCTCCGGGTCTCGTGACATCGACTTGCGATCGAGTCACAAAAAGCAATTATGCCACCCTCACTTCGTCGCCGAGGTGGCCGGGTCCAGCAGCAACATCACATGCCCCCACCTTCACCCCCAGGAGCAGATGACACGGATAGCGATGTGGAACTGGACGGCCACCGCCAAGAAGAAGAAGAAGACCAAGATCTCGATGGTAACGATGATGACGAAACACTCGGCGACGACCTAGCAGGGCTCGCAGGCGAAGAGGAAGACGAAGAGGAGGAAGGCGACGAAGAACTAGATGACGAAGAGGGTGATGGTTTTGGTTCGCCAAACCACGCCGGCGACACTCCATTACCCAATCTCGATCCTCCACCACCATACCTCCGGGAAATATCTACCTTGGCTTCCTGGACCGTTTCGTCTTCTAAACCGGGTTGTTCGATACCTCAGCTTCGGCATCCAAATACGAATCTATTTTGGCAATCCGATGGTCCGCAGCCACACTACCTCAATATACACTTCTTCAAGCTCGTTCGTATAGTTGGTCTTAGACTGTACCTAGACTTTGAACAAGATGAGAGCTATACGCCGACTAAGATCATTTTCTTAGCAGGCAGCGGTTTGAACGATCTCCAGGAGTGGGGCGAAATGAGATTGGAGAGCCCGAGAGGATGGATATGGGCGGACTTTTCCGGTGTAGGAGATCCGGATAGCGACGACGATGGAGATGACGACGAAGAAAATAATGAAGGAGGCACTACTACAGGTCACCGACCACAACGTCTCCTGACGGGAGCCTACACTCTAAACGGAACGAGAAGGAGTGGAAACGAAGCTGCATCTTCTGATTCTGAAAACGCGGCGCCGACTCAAGAGGCTGATGTCACGGACCTGGATCTGGAGACGCCGATTCATCAACAACAGCAGCAGCATACACCATTTCCTCCTTATCCCCCCACTACACACGGCCATCCACAGATAACCCCCCAAACTGTTCCACCATCTCACAGCCACAACCTCCGTCATTACCATCACACCGTCACACCAATCCAACATCAACCATCCACACCTTCGCTCCCCCAAACTATATCGCGTCCCCACCCTAGAGCGCCTTTCGCATCCCTCTCCCCTAACCCCCAACCTCGCCCCATCCCGTCTTCCACCCAATCAACCCCCAAGTTGCCAGTTCTGCGCGCTCATCTCGTGCAGATCAAGATATTAGAGAATCATCAGAACGGTAAGGATACACATTTAAGGGGTTTGCAGATATTCGCTAGGAACGACGAGGATGGGTATAAAACAGGAGGACATGGTGCGGGTAGTAATGTCACGAAGGGAGTCACGAGTGGAGCACAAGGAATGGAGCTGTTGAAAAGGGAAAAGAAAGAAAAGAAAAGGAGAGAGGAAGTGTTGGAGTTGGGTGGTGGCATCATGGGTATGGGTTTGGGGAGTGAGGGGGTTCTTCGTTAATATTGACTCGTCCAATCAGCTACTCTGGAGCAAAATGGAAGAGAAACACAGGGTCAACATGGCGGTATGCATGTAAGCGGCACCATCAATCATAATACTCACAATGGAGGATGTGGAAATCTTGAAATATCATGATAAATAAATTAAACATCCTAGCTGCGCCACCCACCCAAGCCTTCCTTCCTTCCTTTCCATTCGTCATCCTTTACCTCATGGGATATATCCTTCTGACTTTTAGTGTGTCCTGATACATTTTCCTCCAAGCAGACTCGCGCCCGGATATCTCGAGATTCTATACAGAGCGCCTAAGGAAATGTGCTCGAACCCTAAATTGTAGAGGTGCGGCCGAAAACGGCGCACCACTGATCATCTGTTGCTTAATTGCTGATTACCGCCCCAGAGAAACTTCTTTATCTAGAAAAGACCCTTGCCATCCTTCTTGTCAAGGGTGTTCTTAAGGTCCTTTGGCTCAGGCTCCTGCTCAGGCTTAGCCACCTGTTCGTCGGCCTGACCGTTCTTGCCGTTCTTCTTGTTCTGTTTGCGAGGCAGCTTGCTGGGGCTGCGATTCCGGTCGGCGTTCTCCTTGGCCTTCTCTGCCTCCTTAACGTCCTCCTCGTTATCTTCGTAAGCCTGCTCGACCTTCTCGCCTGCGGCCTCAGCCTTACCGACCAGCTCCTTGGCAATCTGCCTAGCCTTCTTGCTTGTAGCATCGGCACCCTCGTCGAGTTCCTGCAGCTTTTGGCTGACGCGGCGGTTGATGTTCTCGAGGAACTTTTGATTGGCCGGGCTCATGCTACCCTTTCGCTCGTCCTTGATGTGGCCGTTGGTGGGCTTCCTTCCGCGAACAGCGTCCCTAGCCCTGTTCACACCTGAGGAGATGGCGTCTTCAGCAGACTTGTCAAGGGAGTCGAGCTCGCGCTCCACGCTGCGGCTGGCGTCACCAGCTGCGTCGGAGATTGTGCGAGGCTTGAAGTCCTTCTTGGCGTTAGGCGAGGAGCGGCGCAGGTAGGATTTGAAGAAGAAACGCATGAAGAGGATGGTGAGCGGCGCGAGGTAGATCAGATTGACGTAGATGGCGAAAGCTTGGCCGGAGGTGTCGACGCAGGGAACGGTCTGGTACTCGGTGCGGTAGAAGGTCTTCTCGACTGTCTCGTGAGGGTGGAAGAAGTCATGGACCGCGTTGTGGGTAGGAACAGGCTCTCCAGCAATGACTTGCTGCTGCTGGCGAACCGGAATAGGCTGACCAGGAACGGGGATGTTCTCAGCGAGACCTTCGTCACCAGCTGCGCGGTAAATGAGCTTCCTGAGGAAGGCTACAGCAACACCGGTCGCGGTGGGGAGGGCTTCAGCAACCGATTCAGTAGCAGAGGCAACTGCGGATGAGACGGAGGACGAGACGACCTTGGGAGCAACCTTCTCGGCAACCTTGTATGCGACCGAAACGGGGACGGTGTAGGAGACGAAGAGGTGGATGGCGGCGAAAGCGGATCCAACAAGGAATTGGGTGATTTGAAGCGTGGTAAGGGTTCGCTTGACGACGTTGGGGACGCGGTAGCCGAGGGCTGAGACGGTGTAGTAGGTGTACTGGATTCGTTAGTCAAAATTCGGTAGATTGGAGAAAGACTGCTTACCATCATGGCGTGGATGCCAGAGTTGACCAGGGCGAACATCCAAATGGGAGGTGACATGAAGCGCATACCAGCCCACATGGACAACATAGCACCGGCGTGGTGGTACTTCTGGAGAGTGGTGCTGCGCTTGCCCTTGGCCAGAATGATGGCCGTGTCAAGGACCTCGTAGAACTTGGAGAGGTAGAACCACCAGCCCCAGAAAGCAAGACCCTCGTTCCAGATTCTGCCAACGTCCGTCTGGTCTGGCAGGCCACTAGGGCCTACGAGAACATTGGAGTTGAGGCTGCTCCAAACATCGTTGGTGTTGTTGTACGTGACAGCGTCGCCGAGTCCGCGGGGACCGTGGATCTTGCAAAGTGCGTCAATGGTACCGACAACGGCGTTGGGCTCGCTGTAGTGGGGGAAAGAGTGCTTGAGGCAGCGGATCATGGCGACGCAGGTAATGGCCGAGTAGACGGCCAGGAAGACATTGTGGAAGATGACAAAGGCGTAGAAGGGGCGGGTTTTGGCGATCCTCCACGGCTTGTTGCCGTGTTGGCGGTTGTACCAGTTGACATAGGTGACGGTGACAAAGTAGACGGAGGCAATGGTCAGGGGCACCTTGTACGACAAGGCGCCCTGGTAGATGTCTTCGGGGATCGGGAAAGGGTTCGCAAACGTCGACTCGCCAGTCCATGGGGGAGGAATGGGCAAGGGCGCGGCATCGGGAGGGAACTGCAGAACAGCCCTCGACGGCCAGTCGCCGGGGTGGAGAGAGGGGCCTGCACCAGACATGGTAGAGGTTCAGGTGGTCGCGAAGATGCGCGGTTGTTGGCAGCACTCGGTCGAGGGTGGGTGCTGTTGGCGAGGCAGGCGCAATCGAGTCGAGGTGCGGCGGAGTGAAAGGGTCCGGGGACCGCTGGGCTTTTTTCTGTGGTTCCGTGAGGTCAATGCCCAGCCGTTATGCCGCACTCGATAGCAAAAATCGGCCCTCGGGTTTCTGGGCGTCCCTGTCGTCGGCGCAAATCTTGGACAGCTGTGTTGTTGTCGCTGGCCAGGCACGCGATGCACAGTCGGACTACACAAATTTGTCGGCGCACGAACCCAGGGCAAGGCGGACAAGTTATATTTGCACAACAAGAGCACAGATATGCTCGGAGCGAGGACAAATCCAGCAGAGGTGCGTCGGACAAGGAGCTAGAAGCAGCAGGCAAAGGCTCTAGACAGTCCTTCTTGGTTATGATGAGGATTGCTAGCGTTGTGATGCAACCCGGTCGACTTTTTGGACGAATGACATCGCAACCAGCTGCCGAGGCGAATTGCTACAAACTGCCACTGGACAATGAGATCCTCGTGGATATCATCTAAAGAATACAGATTCTCGCAAGTCTAACGCCATCGAGTATCGCAGTAGACACGTCCCGTCTTTTCTACAAAAGACCCGTCTTTGCGCAGTGCTGGCGAGGTAGTCGAAAGCAAGCATGCAAAATTTTGCAGGGATAAGTGAACCTGTTGGGGGTCCGTTCCCGCATCTGGCAAGGTGACGTGGGTGCCCGAGCAGCCACATCTGGGGAACAGGTTTAGCAGGCTAGGAATACGACGACGCTGTTGCTGGTAATAATAGTAGTAGTAGTTACTGTGTTTGAATTATGTACAAGACTACAACGCAGAGAGCTCCTCAAAACTTGGGCTTGCTACTCAGAGGAATTGGCGGTGGCTCAGCCGAACCTTCACTTAGTTCCTTCCTCTTTGGTGGTGGTGGAGGTGGTGCTTTCTTCCCAAGGCCTCCCGTCTGCGATGGGCCTGGCGATGGGGCTGGCGACGCGCTTGACGACGCCAGGCCGTTCACTCTGCCAGCAATCCCATACTTTTGGTTGAGTGAGTTGGCCGACTTCCACCCAGACGCGACTTGATCCCCGTGCCGCTGCTGGAAATTGCTGGCAGTCGATGCCGCTCCTTTCAAGTCCGAAGTCGACACTTTTGAAGGGTCGTCGCGCAGGTTGCTGGCAGTCTTCAGCGCTGCCTGCTTGTCTGCCCACGATGTGCCCGTGGTTGGCGGGGGTGCTGGTGACTTTGGCCCGGACATTCTTGCGAATCTACTCTGTAGCTCGTTCATCTGTGAGCCATGCCCGGCTGCAGCTGGAGGCTGTGTGGCAGTGTCCGAGCTTGGGGCTCGTCTAGGAGGAACAGGTGGAGATGGATTCGCGCGAGGGGGTACTGGAGGAGAAGCCGTTCGACCAATGCCGAAGCCTGAGACAGACACACCTGCCTGCCCCAAACGACCCAGAGCGCCTTGGTTCAGAACTCCCTGCTCAGGTGCCGCTTCTCGTGTTGCCTCATTGTAGGTCGGTGGAGGAGCGGGCGCGAATTCATTAGGGTTCGAGTTTTGACGGGGCGGTAGCGGAGGACGAGGAGGTAAGCTGGGCTTGGGTTTTGTAGGAGCGCCGGTAGTCGTTGGCGAAGCGGCGCCTGGTCGGAAAGCTGGAGGCTTGGGTAGATGTGCCGTGCTCAACCCCGTCGTGTCAGGTCTGTAGGGCCCCGGAGGCGGCCTGTTCGCTTCCTCTTCTGCTCTCCTCCTTGCTTCTTCCTTCTCCTGCAGCCTTTGCTTTGCCGACGCAGCAGGTGCAGAGGGCGGTCCTGTCGAAGCGGATGCTGCCGAACCGCCGTTGTAGTCTAGTCGCTTGGGCGGCGGAGCAAATTGTGAGGGGTCTTTCAAGGACGATAGTGGCGTTGACTGGTGTTCGCGGGCCGCCTCTGCATGGAGGTCTTTGCCCTGGGCTTTTCCAACCCATCCTTTCTATCTCTAGTTAATCGACGGGTTCATGCAGGCAAGGACAAGCTTACATACAACTTGCCCGAGCTTCGAGTCGCTCTGTCCACCTCCACTGCTCCCGCTGTTAGTGCGATTCTTTTCGGGATGCCAGCCTCCTTTGGCGATGCCCTTGAATTTGTCCATGTCTGTGTTAGCGGAAGAGTCTGGGGTTAAGCGTTGTGAATGTGCCAGCAGACAGTGGAGCCAACGCGTGCGGGCCGATGAGATCATCAGCCAAGCGCGTCTCTAGCACATGTCAGGTCCAGTCGGCACTTCGGGCGGACTAATGCATCTGGCTGACATCCTGGAGAAGAGCTCATGTTGAACGTTGAATAGGTATCTTGGCCGTTGTGAACGATGAGTCCGAGATGTGAGGTTTAACGTCTGTGCAATTCATGTTGAGTTGTAGAGAGGTTCAAGGCCGCCAGTCAGCAGCCGCCATACCTCTCTTGCGATACTCCAAGAGACACATACATACACCCGGACTTGGAGAATCTACCGCACTGCAGCTGCAATGCATGTCTCAGTTCCATGTTTCAGCTCTCGTTAGCTGCATTTTGAGGGAGCTTTTGTGATAATACCATTCCCAAACGGTATACACTTGCAACTTCCAAGGCGAACAACTGCAGCTATAGCCTGTCACAGTCAGCCGTATTGATCCGGGCCTACTCCCCCGCCCAATCACTCCCCACAACAAAGACTATCTTAAGAGATCTACATATCCAGCAAGTCGGATGTGCCGGCTGTTGTTTGTGAACATATTTTGTTTGTTGACAGACATTCCATCGTAGAGAGCACGACAGTCACCAGGTCACGATATCAGCATTCCGCACAACGACAGACAAACGCTGTAAGAGTGAGCTCAGCACGCAGACACGGTTCCCCCATACTAAGCTTTGTTGGATCGACGGCTAGGACAGCTAGCCAAGCCTAAAAATACTATCAACCCGAGCAGGTGGGGTTTGTTCGTCTTATAGGCGTCGAGGCTGAGTCCGTCTCTCCAATGCCATCCCAGCATCTAACCAACCGCGCCGATTATTCCCAGCCGGCACTTCGGACTTACATTCTGTTGGCCTGAAAGCTTGCAGCACACACGTTGCTAGACAACGGGTAGCATGTCTGCGCCACCCCAGCCCTCGGCCAGCTCAAAGGACTACCCTCCCACTCCGTGTCCCTTTGCATTCTCCGCATAGCCTTTGAAGTGGTCAACTGCGTGCCACTTCATCGATTCCTAGGAATCTACCCAGCAGAAGGAATGATTGTTGCCTAAGGATACATAGTGTGCTTTCCCGCGTCATCGATTGGAGTACCAAGGTCACGCCTAAACCCCGTCTCGGCCCCGCATCTCCTGCTACTGGCTAAGCAAGTGGAGGATCACCACCACAATTCAGCTCCCGCATCGGTCATATCTAGGTGTCAGGCATCTCCGTCAGATTGCTGTTTCCTTACTGGTTTCGAGCCTACCACACCACTGCGGTCTGTCCATACGTAGCTAGGAGCTGCTCTCGTCAGCGCATTGTCCAAGCCGCAATGGCTCCTCTAGAAGACGAGTGGGAAACGGATGGAGACGAGGGCGAGACGCCACCTTGGGTCACTGAAATTGAAGACATCGATTCTTCTACCACTGCTCTTCCGGAAATCGTGTTGAGTATTGTCATCGAACCACTACCGTACACTGTGACGGGGTCGACTACGCCAACGAGTAGTGCATTTGAATCTGGCTTCACCGGCATTATGCCCCCCTCAGGTAGACCTCCCATGCCCAGTGTACGGCCTTTGGGATATCCGTCAGATCGCCCATGGCCGCCGTATCAACAGGCCTCTTCAACCACAGAAAGCTGGCAGACTTCCACATCAGCAACGACAGCATTTGCCGACCACATGGGCAGTTCGTCACTGTGGGCGACATCGACCTCAACATCGAATTTGAACTCCGAAGCGTCGCAATCACTAACCAATCCATATGGAGGGAGGCCCTCAGACTGGAATTTTTCACAAAAACATGTCAACAATGCACCAATGTATGCCGCTGCCGCGGTAATCCCAATTGTCGTCCTCGCAATCATAGGCGGGGTAGCCCTAGTTTGTTTGCGCAAGCGCAAGAGACGGAAAGCCGAAGCAATAGCAGCGCAGAGTGTCGCTCAAGAAATGAAGATGCAACCACAACCGAATGTGCGACCTTACATAGCACCACCACCACCAGGCTCACCACCGCCGCCAGCAATCTCTGTATCACGTAGCCCGCCCAACCACCTATTACCCCCAACGTCAACATCCAGCGCATTCCAACCCATCATCCTTGGGCCTATCGGCTCAGACTCTTCAAATGGCGCTTACCTCACTGGCATCGACACATCAGATATGGTGTCCATTACCTCCAACACTCACAGGCCTGTGGACAATCCGTTTTCAGACAACAATAGTCTTACTGAGCCGCCGCCGCCGTATAGACCGCATAGTGCTGCGCCGCCTAGCTTCACAACGAACTCAAGGCATAGCAGTTTGAGAGTAGGAGATTCGCAAACGAGGCTTATTGAAGGCGATCCGTTTGGAGATCCGGATGACGATTCTATTTCGGACTTGTCAGGACCGACTCAAGGCAGGGATGGGACAAGTGTTGTGTCGGACCTTTCTTATCAACGGTTCACATAATTGTCGCCATGTATCATTCGCTATTTTCTTTCTCGATGTATATAATACTTGCGAGATGTATGTCTAGTATCACTTCTCGGATCGTTTCCCTCTTCTCTTTCGTCAGGCGTTTGTCACGACATGGTATCAGGACTTCGTAATAGCATCATAGTGGTCATGGAATATATGAGCGACTTTATGAAAATCTGGGAACCTGATGCGAAACACTTTGACACCACTACCTCCATCTATGACGTAACCAGCACGTAGCCCAGAGTCGCTCATCTCGGCTACGCTGGGCCTAGAGCACAAGAAGTCTCGCGAGCAGTTCCTGAGACGGCCAAACTGCTCAACAATCCCACCCAGAATCCGATCCAATAAACTTACATGCTTGATCACCGGTAGATAGCGCAAAGCCACTTCCCCATCGTTCATGGCGCTGCGCTTACTTTACGCAGCAGGTGGTAAGGCAGTTTCTGGGAGTGCTTCCCTTTAGTTTGGATAGTTTGGGTACAATGTTACCAATGACAGGCTCAGGATCCAGGCAGACGAAGAGTTGAGTGAAGTAAAGGGCGAACGGTACCTTGCATGGAGGATGGGCGGCACTGCGCTAGGGGTGAACGGCTATCGAGATTCAGCTCAGATGTAGAGGGGTTTACTATCTTAAATCCGGAAAGTGCTGCTATCTATGGGCTTTTTTTCTCCGCAGGTTAAATCAAGCCAGTCTAGCCATGATGCGGGCCATGATTCGCCGGGAGCGGGCTACTTTTCCAGGTTCATGGGATTTGCATGATGACGGCTAGATTAATTATTCGGCGTCGCTTGCCAGCTGGCACTGGCGAGCAGTTTTGCCTTTGTTGCTTATTTTGCGGAGGTTGCTGCCCGATTCGTGAAGGAGGAACAAGGAGTGCAGGATGCGATGCTTGGAACATGGTGGATAGTTGGACGCTTGTCGAGGAGGTTGCAGAGGATAGTCGCGTGGTTGGACGAGCGCTGGGCCTCTGACTGGGTCGACGGGACAAGAAAGTCGGTTTAGCGTCGGCTTCTAGGCAAGACCTCAGCGTGGACCTGTCATTTCTACCCATCTCATCCTTACGGCACGCAGCACCCCAAGCCATGGTGCAGTTCGTTCCGTGTCCGTTCGTGACTTAGCTCATCGTTATGTACTCCTGGCGGAGCCTATCACCTTATTCGCTACTAGGTGCATCGGGTGGGTGAAGCTTCGCCTGGCTGGCTGGCCTGGCTGGCTGCGGCGACGACAAAGAGCCTCTCCCATGCTTCCTCCCTGCCCTTACCACCCAATTATGACAGCCTCGCTATATCGCCCTTCACGGCCCATGCGGGCTCGGTACCTGAGCTAGACGCTCCCGAGGGCTCAGGAGAGTCTGGCTAAGCAACGTCGCTCGTGCCGCAACTGCGTGTTGCTCGTGCTGCTGCGGGTCACGATCGGTACTATCAATTATTCATCTTTGCCGAACTACAACCTTTGCAACTGCAGCTTCAGTTTCCCCGGCCCCACTGCCCTGCCTAGTACGTGAAGAAACCTTTCACCGTCCTTGCTCACTGCAAAGCGTTACAGCGTGAGCAGACCGAAGCCTGCAGGACCCTCTTCACGACTGCGCTGTGCCTACGCCCCCTCGTCCGGTACCTGCATCTTCAACGTCTCACCACGCTGCCATAACCCCTGCTGCTGCTGCTGCTGCTACTGGATTGTACTACCCAACAGGTATCACAGCTACATCGTCTATCTGGCAGCCTTTACCCTCTGCCGTCCGCCAACAAAGAAGTCCAAAGACGTCCCAGCCAGGGCGCCTTTGTCTTCCCACTCAACCCCCGCCGAACGCCTCCCTCGAACCCGTCGACGACGTCTTATATCACACGCTACATGGTCTGTAGGGCAGGGCATTGTGTCAGGACTTTGCGTCATTGGGTTTGCTATGAGTTTGGATCAGCACATTCATGGGTACGACTTTCTTCTACGTTCCCACGTTCGGAACATGTACACTGTCTCCGCTGGTGCAACGAGCTTCATGGTGCACTATTCCCGTCGTCGGTGGCTTCTCTGCCAGACTATATCGGACCAGACATGGCTATCAGACAGACTATGTCCAATGAAGGTCTAGGGTTAGGCAGAGGGCAGGCAACACCGCACGGTTGTCTTTTGAAGCTCGTTGCATCATCCCTTGCCATGCTTCCCATCCTGTGCCAAAGATACTTTTCTTTAGACTCCCTTCCAATCCGTTCATAGATTGCACTTTTGGTTTTCCTCATGTCTCGGCTCGCAGCTGCAAGTGCCCCAGGCTAACGTGGGTCGCGTGCTAGATCGACGGACTGGCATCTACCAAGTCCATCCTCCACACCCAAATCGGTGACGTTCCCTGACGGAAGTCTCAAAACACCCAAGACTGAGACGTTTCCTCACTCGCACTTCCTCGACGCCTGGGCCACTCCACTACCTAATGGGCAGCACACCCCTGTGCAAACGCCCTCCTTCACACTGTCGACGCCTCTAGGTCGGCCGTCGAGCTCGTATAGCCAGCCCGTCCGCACACCCGAAGACCCAGAGTTCCATGTCAACCACTTCGCTCCTCAAAATTTACCTCTTCCGCCCGTCGACGCTTCCCGAAGACTGTCGTCGTCGCCGGACCCTAATCGGCTGAGGAAGGTTGGTTCACAAGGACAGTTTGGGTCACGTCCCGTCAGTATGGACTTTTCACACATGCAAACGCCACCTCCAACGAGGGACGCTTCGTCTAGGAGGAGCGTGCAACAAAGTGGCGGAACCGAGGTAGCCACTCCAGCTACTGTGGTGCATAGAACGCCCAGCCAATTGCCGGAATCATCAGGCGGACTCTTCAACCAGACTCCGTATGGTTTCGCCGACTTGCAGTACACTCCGCACATGATGCAGTTTCCCAGCCATGGGCCAATGTCTGCGCCGCCTATGCCTCAATCAAAGCTGTTCTGGGATCCAGCTAACGATGGCATGCAAATGGATCTGGATGTACCGCTAGGCGTTGATCCCTTTGGTCCTACCCCACATAGGCCACAGCACGATATGAACTGGCAGGCGATGAATCAAGCTAACATGATGCAAACGCCGGCATTCCAAAGTTTTCAAGCGTCTCCCATGCCGGCGTCTTTTGCAAACACCCCGTCACAGAGACAGGGTTCAAGACCTGGCTCGTTTGTGTATACGTCTGCTGGTGTTGACCCCAACATGCTGCTCAGCTTTTCAAATCCCGACATGACTTCTTCTTTTGGCAACATGCCAGATCATCCCATTTTGGACATGTCACGGCAACCGTATGAGACACAACTGCGCGATGCACAAAACGAGAGGGAGATGGCGAAGAAGTCAAGGAGTCAGCATTCGCGCAGCAACACAGCTTCTTTAACTGGATCGGCAGAGAATGCCAAACCTGTACTGCAGCGGAGCAATACAGACGGTGGGATAAGGGCAACCAAATCACTTGCGATGGATTCTCGGACATCTATTCCAGCCAATGCCTCAACGATACCCCGTCGTTCATCACCGCTAAAGCGTCAAGGCGGCGGAGCGCTCAAATCAATACCGGAGCTGAGAAGACCTCGGACAAGACTAATTATCGACGAGACAGGTCGAGCTCGGACAGAGACTGTGCACGCTGGAGATGACGAAGAGACTCCCAAGAATAAGCGGCAGACATCCCAGCAAGATCTTAGGCGCCAATACCCTGGGCTTTATGAGGATGATGAAAGCGAATCTGAAGACGACGAACCGGCTCCTGTCATCAGTCGGAACTCCTCCTTCGCCATGCCACAACCTGAACGCCGAGCTGCGAAACATGCTCGTGCAGATAGCGGCGGACTCGAAAGACCCGCTTCCTTCAAAATGGCACGATCCGTCTCTGCCTCGAGAGTTGCACCTGACGCTCTATCCAAGGCCTCATTTGAGACTCTTCGATCCACACGGAGGTCCGCCACCGACAATAACACCACCCGTCGATTCAGCGCGATGGACCGTCCTATGTCTTCCTCCCACCCCGAGGACCACCACATGCCCGATTCCTCCGGCGATGCCCTAGGTGCCCTGAAAAAGGTCGTAGGCGCTCGCCAACAACGCATTGGTAGGATAGCCACGCGCTGATTCTACACTCTTGTTACTGACAAGTTCAGAACGTGCGTCTCAAAATACACTTCTTGCTCACAACCAGCGTTGGGCTCAAGCCTCAGCCAACATATCCAACCTATCAACTACAAATCTACCTCATAATCACAACTACGACCCTTACTCTAACTCCTTCAACCACTCCCCATCTACCACCACCACCCCATCAACCGAATGTAGTGCTCGATCAAACGATAGCACACGTTGTGTTTGTGAAGGTATGGTGGAAGATGAGGGAATGCCGATGGTGCAGTGTGAGGTTTGCAACAAGTGGTTGCATCTTGGTTGTGTAGGAATGAGGGAGGAGTGGTTACCCAAGGTTTTTGTGTGTGCATTCTGCACAGGGACCGATGGGTTGGGCAGGGTAATGAGAGGAGGAGGAGCTGGAGATTCGCCGTTAAAGAACAAGAGAGGTTTTAAGTGAGGGTGGTGCGTTGGAATGGAGTGTTAATGCTGGTGACGGACTGGTCGCTGTGGCTCGGATAGCTTTTCGTAATGCATTGATGTCGGACTGAATTGAAGCGCTTGCTGTGCAAGCTTTTCGAGGGGTTGGAGTATGAGAATAATGACATGTATGATGTTGAGATGACATACTTTTCTGGTATCTGACATTATGGGAGTTTGTTGAATTGTACACTATATGCTTTTACTACATCATGTATGCCGGGTGCGCAACCTTCATACAGGGTTTGAGGACCTCGGGTAGCGTACGGTTGGTGAGCTTTTCCGACCACTTTAGCTTCTGCAACTTCCGGTCCTAAATAGGCTTCGTCATCTACTGGTACTTAGAGTAGTGGGAACATGGTGAATTGTTGCAGTTAAAAGTTCTTGTATCATCCCATCACGGAACTAGTGGTTGATGAAGACACGTCTTGGAAGCATGTAACGTGTACAATTTCTCCCCTTTGAAAGTCTTCACGCAACGTGACAAAACAGTGGTCCCGAATACTAGACATTCTCGATACCTCTTGCTTTTTTACAGTGCCATTACCAAGAGTAGCGGTAAAGCTCATCATGATGATCACTTGTGAGCTTAGAGGTTAATTGAGCATGACGACTACATTGGTAGAACCGCAACCTTGCCTATCTTCATGTCAATGAGATCGAACATGTATACTTGGCCACCATAGGCATTTCACTGTTTGGTTAACAGAAAATTGGACTACGGATATGCGCAACTCCGGATTTATTTCTGTCACGATGTGACTACCTAGGCATCTTCAACGTCATACGAGCTATCTATAGGATCATCTTGTTATTTTTTGACCTCTCGTTTAGTTTGCAAAACGTGAGCGCTTCCTCCTGGTGCTCTCATGGTCCGCAATTTTGGGACCCGTCGGTGTGACGTTCTTTTTGTCACTTCGATGTAAATTTGAATGTATAGGCCAGGTTAGAACCTACAATACTACAAAGTCAGAGCAGAAATTATATCAGTTGCTCGCACGCATTGATCACTGCTACAGAGAGGGGGCAAGCGATAAAAGTCGCCGACACATGTAAGGCTGATGATCCTTCGCGATAGGCGTAAACTGGGGCGAGGATTGACACGGTAGCCCCACTCTTGGCTTAACCTTCGTACTTCGTACATCCAGTCTCATTCCTTCCATTCTCGGTCCGTCTCGTCTTCATTTCGGCAATTAAGCAATTATCAGATGCTTCAACTCTCAAAGGTCACACCGCCCTTGCCGTTCCGTGATTGCTTAGTCCATTGTGTTGATTATCTACGGTACTTGGGTAAAGTGGGAGGCTGCAAAAACACTAACAGGTTCATGCTTTATCTGCTGCATACTGATTTAGCTCCGATAGGCAGGTGTCTCTTTCTGTAGAAGCACAAGCACATGATTGGCTTGATGCGTCCTCTCTGCCATCTCGGCGTACAACGCGTTTCTTGGATCACTTCGGCGGTACCTGATCGTCCGCATCTACGTTGCACTTCTGGCATGTACAAATAACCCATCGACCCAACAATGCGCGCCCGCCTCAAGGCCTGGCTTCTGCGGATCGATCTCAACGACAGTGTTGGTCGCCATGAAGACGATTCTCGTACTTGCGGCATACCTGCTTGCCCATGGAACGTGCGCGTGCGTTCCCGACTTTGCGGACAAGATACTGTCTGATCCGCTTATACTCCAATATCCGGCAGTGATTGCTGCATTCAAAAAAGTGCAGCAGAATCTCTCGTCGCTATATATTGACACTACTCGCGATGGACTTAGCTTCGCCGTCGTATGTACTAAGTTAGCTCTACCAAAAGATAGGTTGCTCACATACAAAAGGTTCATGCGTCAAGCCCAGAGCCAGCCTATACGTTCAACAACGGAACGCTGAAGTTCAATGAGACTGATCTCGCCCCCACTGGAGCGAATGAAGTGACCAGCGATTCTATCTTCCGCTTGATTTCCGTTTCGAAAAACGTCGCAATGGCATCCACTCTAGTTATCGAGAACCAACTGAGACGAAATTCATCTTCATCCTCATCGCTCCTTACCATTGACACGCCCGTTCGTCAATTACTTCCCTCATTTGCTCTGCCAGAGAATGACTGGAACAATGGCGGCAGTGAGATAACACTCCGCATGCTTGCAAGTCATACAGCAGGAATCCCGAGAGAAAGCTATAGTACTGGTTTCAACATGATTCTCAGTACCGGTAAAGCGGATGCGCCTACTATTGGATCGGCCTGGGCAGGCGAAAGCGCGCAGAATGTTATCGACGGAATCGCGACAAGGAATTTGATGTTCGCACCAGGACAGAGAGCTGCTTACTCCAATGCTGGACTGGGACTTCTCGGTGCCGCTGTCGCCGCTTACTACAATAATGTGACTTCTTCCTCTCTGACCTGGTCCGAGCTTGCGACTCAAGAATTGCTGTTGAGCCTGAATATGACGCATAGCTTTTTTGGAACCATTCCACAAGATCACCACCCAGATGTGGGTATCCCAGGCGGTGACAACTGGGCTGATCTGATCATAGGCGAGGGCTATGATCCAGCAGCCGGCATGTGGAGCTCCGCAAACGACCTGGCCAGTTATCTATATAACCTATGGCTTACTCCCGAACCCACGCTTATTACGCTGTTCCAGCGTCGCCAAGTCATGAAACCAAGTGTCATCCTTCCAGACGGTAAACAGCAAAGCGGCCCAGGATGGGAGATTGAGATCTTGCCGTTGCCGACGAGTGAAAATGCCAGTCTGGCGGAAGAAAGTAAAAAGACATACAGCATCTTCGGAAAGTCTGGTGACGGTGGAGGCTGGCATAGCTGGATTGACAATATACCAAACCTTGGATATGGTATCATCGTATTAGCGCAGCAATCTGGCCTGGCGGAATATACAGGAATATCGACGAGCATGATCAGAGCAGCTATGCATGACATACTTGCGCCTGCATTTGCGGAAGCGTTGAGCGAGAGAACAAAGGAACGATACGCAGGCTTCTATAATGCTGGCGAAGACACTGGACTAATCACTAATCAAGTTGGCGCTACTCTCTCAAACTCCTCCTCAACGTATGCAGATCTTGTGGTTCAAGACCAGATCCTATACCTCCGCTCCTTGATTGTGAACGGTTCATCGGCGCTTGAGGCTATAGACCGTCTGTCCTGGACTGCCGATGCACAGCCACGCTACTTCTCCACCCCACAGGGTGTTGTTTTAGAGCCGGCCGAAGGCGTAGGCGAGACAAATGAATTTGGATCTGGAGCGCAGGTTTGGAGGATGATATTTCCAGGACTAGAGACATGCGATTGGTTTGACTTCGACGGCTATCAAGACAACAATGGATGGCCTGTGAGCAAAGTCGTCCTACTTGAGACAAATGCGGGAGTTGAGTTGCATTACCCGCCATTCGACATTGTGGTGAGTCGGATGAGGATACACAAGTAGAATGCCTCGCCGACATGTCATGCGGGTACCTGGCTGCGAGTCGGTGCAAGGTTGAGGCCTTGTCATTGAGTTAGTCATCCGCTTTCGGCATAGTCTTGTCGTCACGCGAGGATCCGTCTTATCGTTTAATGTCTCCCTCGGACACCACTCAACGTCTAGATCAACAACTTCCACTGTTAGCATACAACACCAATCACTGCCTCATAAGTTTTTTTCAATGCAAGAATTCAATATCAACCCCATACAGTTGACTGCCCTCTACACACAACCCAGCTCCACAAACTGACAGGCCTATCGACATGGATACTCATACCGCCCACGCTCGTGCTATAATCGACAATTTCCACAGAAATGTAGCTGAAGCAGAAAGACAACAGCGCCAGCTCCAGACTAGAGATAGTGAGCAGGAATTCCACGACATGTACAGTCCATGTAACCCTTCGTCGACTTTTCACGATCTTCAGTGTGGCCATCGGATTCAGACTGAGTACACTGCAAGCTGTGGCGTGACCTGTGTGCATCCCATGCAAGGCCAGCCGTTCGCATGCCCGAGTTGTCTGATTGATGTAGTACGTGCGGAAGTAGCCCTAGACAGTCTTACTCTTGGATCCAGTAATGACACTGCCATGGAGGGTATCGAGTCGATTGAGGACAGAATACAGCACTTCGCCAACAACTACGTCGCGGCAATGTTGAGGAGAGATTACCGAGGATGTAAAGCAGCTTCCAAAATCGAGGAACCTCGCATGCAGTTCTTTGACCAATTCATGCGGGAAGATGGCTTTGGAGGAGTGGAAGATACGCCTTCTGATGAAAAGACAACGAAGCCTCGAAAACGTCCCGGTACGGCGGTTCATAAGAACCTAGCCAAGGTGAATAAGCCATATCGAAAGCAACACGGCAGATGGGATTATCGCGATCCGATATCAAGCGATGGAGTCTCTAAAGCCGTGTTGCGCAAGATTCCGGGTGACGATGAGGCAGAGGACACAGATATAAGCCAAGGAATAGTAGGCGACGCTATAGGAGTAGGGCGTTCTGAACAGTCCGCTGACGCTGGTGTCGATCTTGCTCCGCAGAAAGAAGCAACCGAGGCTGTACGAAAGGCTATGGAGGCATTCGCCTTACTTTCGACCTAGTGAACAACCAGCACACATATGTCGTTCATAACATAGCCACAAGAGAACCACGACCATGCTGTGAGCCATGCCGCATACCAGCGAAATATCATCTTAAGGTAGTCATTACTGTGTGATGTCGCGCGTTGTTGCCGGAAGTGCATCAGCTAGAGAATGCATCAACGCTGGGGAAAACTCAGAAGCCTCCATAGATGCTATGTCGAAAAGGGGCGCGAGCAAGATATGGCAAGCCGAAGTAAAATCTGCGTCCCTGTCTGGGCGTACAGGCCTATGCGCCGTGATGATGTCAGTTTTGGTCAATACCTACGTAGATTCAATCCATTCCCATAGTCTTCAATACATCGCTCAATCATAACCAACACGCACGTCCATCCATCTTTCCGAACCTTACAGCAGATACCGACTCTTTACTATAATCTGTCGCCGAGTTTGCGCGGGTCACTTCTCGTCACGAGCACATACCAGTCGCGTAGCTGCAGATCCCTAAAAATTGAGTTTTGACATGGTAAGTCCCACAGGAAGCGCAACCTTATAGATAGGGTGCAAAACTTCCCGGGTCAAGACGACATAGCAGCAGCCGTTCGTTGGTCTCTGTAGGGCCTTTTGTGGGGCCTAGTAGGTTTGAAGTGTTGCTATTGAGACACCAAGTAGCCTTGGCCTGGATCTGCCACGAGTAAGTGGTAGTAGCCCTCATAGGGCGACTGAGTCTTTTGGTGCCTATGCCAATTGGAAACATTGCGATCTCAGATTTTTCGTCCATTGCGAAAATCTCGCCTGATGTGGTTGTGCATCATACTGTCTATTTGATGGAGCTTCCCATGGTTGCAAATCCCCTTCATGATCGCCAGGGTCTTGCCTCAATACTGGGGCGTCAATCCGCTTCAGCCCACGTGCACTCGACACGCCAACACTGAACATGAATACGTTCAAATCCAAACGTGCAGTGTGGGTCACTGATGATTCAATGCAGCATGTGAAACACAGTCACGTTGAATGCCCTTTGCCATCAACGCGAAACCGAAGTCAGGGTCATCCACGACGAACGACTACCAGCCGTTATTCAGTGGAGTCGTTGCAGATCGGCAGACACGGGAAGTATTGAAAGCTTCTAGCTCGACTAGGTGGCATCGGCAATCCTACCCCAAGAGTCGCTTCTCAAGCCCCCCCATACGCTCGTGTGGATCATTTACCGTTATAGCGGGTCGTGTACATTCCCCAACACCTGCGACAGCGACACTAACAAGCTTTCATGTTACACATGCCACGTGTGCGATCGATGCTTTCCGCACTCATGAAGATCGATGATTAGCGCCGAGCAGTGCACGACGCTCCGTGGTCGAACGCAGGCACCAAGTACATTCCTTGATGTGCACCTTCGGGATTCTACAGCATAATTGCGCGGTCTACACACAGGAGTGTTACGACGTAGTGAGCACTTCGAAGCTGACTGTACATGGCTCAACCCTTCAGCGCACCCGATTTTCACCGCAGTTGCTGTGGAAGCCTCAACAAACGAAACCTAATTATGGCTGCAATCGGCGAAGTCGTCAATGTACGCCATACATGCTTAGGTGCAGCGGCAGCGTGGCGTGAGTTTCTCCCCTGGTGTTTGGACTAGAGGTGTGCGGGAAGACCTGGTCCCCACTTACCACTAGCACGATCAGGTCTTGGGCCTCTCTCTGACTGGCGTATACATGTGCCTCATATCCCGGTGGCTCTCTCTGTTTGCGGTGGCCGTTCCTTACCTCACTCATCCTGACAGCCGTACCTGTCACCACGGCGGTATACCCCAATATGGACGTGAACGTTTTAGGATCACATGCCAGCCGGCTTGTTGCTCGAGCTGGTGGTCTACACCCTCCACCAGAAGTTCTCCTCAGTTGGCCCAAACCAAATTATGTCGACCCAGAGGAAAGAGGTTGGGGGACACCAATCGTGCTCATGGTGTTCTTGGGTATATCTTTCCTCGTATACTGCGCGCGGATGTGGGCAAGACTGGCTATATCAAAGAACACTGGACTGGACGATATACTGGTGAGCATAGCAATCCTGCCGCTATTTGGTTTGACCATTTCCACTGTACTCGGTAAGCATTACCTCACCTCCACATTAACGTTACTGACTGGCAAAGGCATTCGCATCTATGGCTTTCAATGGCACGTCTGGGACCAGACTAGGGAGACCTTAGTCACGACACGAGAAGTAGGCTTGTATATTCTGCTGTATTTGAAGGCATGCTGACGTATCAGATCGCCATGGCAATCGAACTCAACTACATGTTATCGACAACGTTGGTCAAGGTGTCAATCCTCTGCTTTTACCGCCGTATTGGCGATCGTCTTACAAACCAGTTCATCTACTGTAAGTGAACACAAGCAACCGACATGGTATACTCAAGTACTGACATGTCATCACAGGGGTCTATGGTACCATCGTCTTCTGCATCGTCTACGGAATCGTCTTTACCTTCGCCATCGTCTTCACATGTACACCAGTAGTGGGATTCTTCCGCCTCTTCGACATCGCCTGGAGACTGCAGCATGAGTTGACATGCCGCAACGAGGGCGCCCTGATTGTCGCATGCGCAGCCATCTCGTCCGTACAAGATTTCGTCATCTGCATGCTACCAATACTCTTGATTTGGAACCTGAAGATTGGCAAGCGTCAGAAAATGGGGTTGTGCGCCATCTTTGGCTTGGGAATGATAACATGTATCTGTGGTATTCTGCGCACGTTCTACGCCACAAAGCTTTACTACTGTAAGATCATCACTCCATCCCAAGATAAAACAAGAAAAACCAACTGATTGACCAGTCACCTACGATATCACCTGGACAGCATACTCTGGTTGGGTTTGGACAACACTCGAAGCCCAACTAGCTGTCATCTGCGCCTCAGGTCCCTCACTCAAGGTCTTCTTTATCCGCTACTTTGGCACAGATACCACAAGGGTCGGATACTCTCAGACTGGCACACCAAGCAAGTCCTTTGGCCCGTCATCAAAAACGAGGTCCGTTGGATTTGACGCGAAGATATCCCAACACTCAGCGCAGCAATCGCAATGCACTGCTGGTTCGATTTGCGACGATGTCCCGCTGGAGGGCATTCATATCAATCATAAGTTGGATGTCAAGGTAGAAGAAAGGGATGATTGTAGTCAAGTCAGCTTCGCCAGTACGAAGGCTCTCACCGCTTTACCAATGCCGACACAGCCAGGGTGGCGGGGAAGGGCAGATTGGGTCGATGGCTGCAGGACGGTCTGCGCGGCGCTCCGTCCTGGTAGCAGAGGCACGTCAGGGAGTCGCAGCCGGACTCGTGAGGGTGACGTCGAGGCTGGCAGCGCATTTTGAACATGACCTGGACGCCCAGCAATCACACACCCGCTGCGACGAATAACATAGGGGCCCATTGCCGGAGGCTTGTATGTTTGTTCTGCCTCGTTCTGGATTTTTGCATTCACGCGGCTTAGATTTGCACATCTTCTCTTTTCTTTAACATGGATCGCACAGGATATATACCCATTCTTTTTTTATACGGCGCTGGCGGCATCATTAAACGACTAGAAGCACTCTGGTATATAGATATCGAATTATATTCCAGCATTTTGGTCCAAGGACACTATTTACAATCACTGCACTCTTGACTATCTTCTCATACGATCATTCCATATCAGGAATTCTGGTATTCTACTCCAACAACGCCTTCCTTACAGCCTCAACCTCGTCTTTGTTCCCACAAATCAAACCACCCCTCTCATCCGTATCGTCAATTGGCGTCTCCAACACCCTCTTCCCCGTTGCAGAATCCAAAGCCGCACCGCCCGCACACTCCATGATTAGCGCAATGGGCGCCAACTCGTAAAGTCGCCTCAGCTTAGCTTTACTCTGTGCTGTCACCGGAGATACATAAACACCATGGCCTTTAACCAACGCATGCACAACATCCGGAACAAGCCCACCACTATACCGCAAAGTGTATTTTTGGGTAATATAACGGTTGATGAGATTGAGGTATCGTTGGTCCTCGGCCGCTGCGCGCATATTTGCAGGAGCAAAGTACCGGGTTTTCACTTCAGAGGCTTGCGTTAATTTGACTTCTGGGCGAATGACTTGCATAGTTCCGTCGTCTGCGTATCCGACTTCAAAACACGATCCCTCAGTACCTGGTAGACGAATGGCGACAACAGCGGTTGTACGTGGGCCCAGCACACCCAGTATAGAAGCGATTTGTTTATCATTAGGGGATTGGTGAAGAGCTGAGGCACCTTCCCAGACTCCAACGATGGTGCCTACACTCCAGTTTGGCGCGATGATTGAGGAGCCGTCCAAGGGGTCGAAACCTAGTGTGTAGACTTCTTTTCCTTGATTTTCGCTTCTGCTAACGGACTCTGAGGATTTTTCAACGGGATCTTCCTCGCTAGATGCTGTGACTATGGAGGGACAGGAGGAGATGGTCTTGCGGATTGCTTCTTCAGCTAGGACGTCCACATTGAGTTGGTCGTCACCGAAGGCGTTTGCGGTACCGACTTGAGTTACCGAGGGGGAAGTACGAAGGTGGCCTGCTATGGTGTGGATTGAAGCGAGGAGTTGAGGTAAGATGGAGTCGCGAAGTTGGGGATAAGACGATGGGACAAGGGAGTTGAGATGCGTTCGAAGATCTGTTGATTGCGACATGTTGGATGTGTGTTCGTCTATCGTCTTTTGGGAGATATGGATTTCTCAGATGGGAAGGATTTTTATCGTCACAAGTGAAGTTCTATCAGGAGAAAAGAAATCCTCGTCTGCTAGTGCTTCTCTGACTGTGACGTCGTGGTGTGGAGTTGCGGAAGCTCCGTCCCTGCAGAGCTCCACAATCATCCACATAAACACTGATTGTCTTCTCAGCTCTACCCGCGTCTTCCTTCATTCTACGACACTGAATACACCAGCCACATTACACGTGATACCTGGTAGGAATGACTCCACAGACGTTGAAGATGCCATTTGGCTATTCAAGGTTATTCAAGTTGGGGGTCATAGCGGGGTAGCTTTGGGAGCTTAGCTCCCTGGTGCGTAGTCATCACGACAAGCTTCAGACACTCGTACATCGTATCTTTTCTTCCCTCTTTTTTTTTCTTGGAGTTTACCTGATCTTGGATCGCGCACTTATCTAGGCGTCGTTTTCATCCTCACAATGCCACAAACGCTCAAGATCGCGTCCGCGCAAGCACGCACCCTCACCACAACCGCCGAGACCCTCGCTGCCCTCGAAGCGACCACAAAGCGCGCCGCCTCTCAGGGCATCGATGTCCTCCTGTTTCCCGAAGCATACTTGGGTGGATATCCTCGTACTTGCTCTTTTGGCGCTGCGGTTGGTGCTCGCGCACCCGAAGGTCGCGAGCAGTTCCTTCACTATTTCCACGATGCTGTCGATATGGGCGACACACCGAGCGGCGCTGGGCAAGATTGGCTAGATCGGAAGCTCGAACTGCCAAAGGGGAAGGAATACAGGGGTGACGGGACAAGAGAGGAGTTGGAAAGGATAGCGAAAGAGACCGGCGTCTTTGTTGTCACTGGAATAGTGGAAAAGTCGGGTGGCACACTTTACTGTGGGGCTGTGTTTGTAGATCCGAAGATGGGGATATTGGGGAAGAGAAGGAAGGTCATGCCCACCGGTAGCGAGCGGCTGATCTGGGGCTTTGGAAGTGCGAGTACGCTGAGGGCAGTGACAACAGAGATCAAAGGTGTCAAGCTGTGTATGGGATCAGCGATATGTTGGGAGAACTACATGCCTCTGCTGAGACAAAGCTTGTATAGCCAAAACGTAAATCTGTGGTTTGCACCGACAGCAGATGCGCGCGACGCCTGGGCGTCGCTGATGCGGACCGTAGGCTGCGAAGGCCGATGCTTCGTCGTAAGCGCAAACCAATGCGTCAAGAAGAAACATCTCCCGGAGTGGATCTCAGGTCAGGTGCAGTCGCAGAGCAATGGGGACGGAACTGGAGTCGGCAGGAGGATATCACAACAGGGCAGTGGGGCCGCTGGTAGACGGCGAAGTACCATCACGAAGACACAAGAGGGCCACGAGATTTGTCTGCCAATCCCGGAAGGCCAAGCGTCGGCCACGAACGCTGACTCTTCAGCGATTGACTCTTCGTCGGTTGCAGAAGATCCACTTAGTCCCAAGCAGCAGCCCTTTGCGCAACCCCAAGCATCGTCCACAGACGGAGAAGAGTTTGTTTCTCGCGGCGGCTCTATGATTGTATCACCGCTAGGCGATGTGCTTGCTGGACCGCTGTGGGAGGAGGAAGATGAGCTGCTCGTTGCAGAAGTCGACTTCGAAGACTGTGAGCGTGGCAGACTCGACATGGACGTTGCAGGAAGCTACTCGCGCATGGACAGCTTCAAGCTTCGCGTCGAGGGTCTTGATTTGAATCCGCCTCCGATGTAGACATTGTGAAACTCGACAATGGACCTTTCGTAGGCCTGGACTATTGAGTTATGTTTGCATCGTCGCTTTGTGTGTACGCTTTGACCGCGGCTTGCGCAAGACTCACTGTGCAATTGACCAGCCAATACTTGCGAGGATTTAACCAATCCAATGCTCCCCCACGATCTGTCATCGCACATAACCTATCGCACGATAAAGCAATTAGTCCGACTACCTGCGGGCCAACGTCAACGACATAATGGCTCCTCATTTCATCACGAAACACATCATGCAATGTTCTGGGACACCAGTCCACAAACTAACCTGCACCCACACCATCCACGCTTCCTTTCTACAACCGACAACCTCCTCAAAATGTGCCCCTAACTGCACTGCTGTTAACCTTTCCACCACCGCCGAACCCTCCTTTCTTTGTCCCACATGCTACGAGTCCACCCTCCGCGACGAATATCAAGATTTTGTAAAGCGCTGCATGGAAAAGGCCAAGGAAGGTGGGTGCAACATAGAGATATTCGTGAGTGAGCTTAAGGAAGATTACGAGCATGAAAAATTGGTAGGGAAGGAGTGGATGAAGCAGGTTCATACCTGGTGTACTGTTTTCCTAGGTCACAAGAGTTTCGAGAAATTGGTGAAGGAGAATTACAGACGGAAGGTGGAGATGGAGAAAATGAGGGCTTGCAAGGCTGTAGATGGGGAGTTTGAGGAAGAAGTAGAGCTATCTGCTGCATGCTGATGAAGGGAGTGCCTAATTAAGGTTTGTTGACGTCGGCATGGGGTGCCTGGAATGATATTCAAAGTCGCACAAGTCACCGTTGCTTTCACCATATTCAGTGAGAATACGCTGCTTCAACATATCGAAATAGTGATATTATAGTGCGCCCATAGTCTGCACGCTACCATATTGCGTGAGTGCCTGATGCGCAGCCAACTGCTAGATACCTCCTCGCGCTGCAATGTCGGGAGACCCATAGCTTCGGAGACAGTTGAAGCAATATGACCACACCATGAACATTTGCATGCACCTGAAATAGACGGGAGACTTCTGTGATATGTGAGTGATAGTTGAGCTCGCATTCTAAGGTGCGGAGCGGATAAGAAGGCCGTGATCGCAACGAGTGAGTGCTACGTCATTGACCAAAAACTTGACATGGGACAAGCCCAAAAGACATCCCAACAGTAAAGATAGCTGTAGATAAGATCAGAAGCAAGAAAAAGAAGAAGAAGACTTGTCAAAGGACATAGACCGAAGCCAGCATCTCGTGATTGCTTAGCTGCCGAAATGGAGGTAAGACGACCCGAGAATGGATAGAATGAGGCTGGATGTCCACTCAATCGGAGTAGGTGCTTTAGCTTGTGCGGGGTATGCACTCCCAAAAGCATGCAACGAAGTTATGAGTATCGCCATCTACCACTCGCGTCTTATTTGATATGTGACACACATCATATATTGGATTGGTCCAAAAACTTTCATCAAATTCCTTATCGGAGTCTTGGCGCAATGGTAGCGCGTTGGTTTTCGGCTTGTGCCTGATGTCACCAAAGGTTGAGGGTTCGGTAAGCTTCATCCATACGTTCAAACTCGAAGTTCTTTCCACTAACAAAAATCTCAGAGCCCCTTGGACTTCGAGTTCTGTCCTTTGACAAGTCTTCTTTTTTTGCACTTTTGCACTTTTGCACTTTTTTGCTCCACTTGCGACAAGCTCATGGAATGTGTGCCGAGGTCGCTTAGCAATCGAAGTATGGCGCGCCAATGCCTACAGTCCTCTCCGACTTTGACCCATCAGGAGGCCCCACGCGAGACTGAAAACTTTATGCAATTGTTCCCCGAGTGCATGATGAGTGGGCTTTTCACAATTTGTTGTTAGTAATTTGTTCGCTACATGCTGCTCAACTGGGATGTTCGGCAGTGGAAGATCACATTTTGGTATCTTCATCGATGGCTTGAACAGATGGTATAAACAAGGTGATAGACATGGATATTTCTTACACAAAAGTTTTCTACAAACGCTTCCATACAAGCAAAGTTACCATACGCCAGATCCATGCAATCGCTAATAAACAAGACGTAGTGCATGCGCCCAACTAACGCTCAAGTAACAAGCACTGACAGCATTAATTCCGCGGCTTCCTCCATAGCTCCTCCGGATCCAGTTGCCGTCCTGGCGACACGCCATTACTCGGCTGCGATCTGGAGTATTCGATACCACAGGCGCCTCGGTCTAAAGCAAGCGTGTTCAGGTCCCAATGAAGTTGTTCCTCAGGGTCTGTCGCTAAGCTCGTACGCGTACGTCCTTGGGGCTGGTACGACGCTTGCTCGACGTTCGAGTTATTGGACGCCATTAGCGAAAGTGACAGAGAGTCGAGCTCAGTTGCAAATTCCATCTCTTCTTTGCTAGCTTCTAGTGCAGAGCAAATATTACTCGGCCGAGTCTTAGATTTGAGCTCCAGCTCATACACGCGCTGGTCACGCGAGAATTCTGCTTCGAGCTGTCGGTGTTCAGCGTACCACTGCTCATACTGCTCCTTACTCATCTGCTCCATCGGTGGATAAGTCGCGTTGTGTTGCGTCTGTCGCTCTTCCCAGATTTTTGCTGCTTCTGCTTGAATGCATTCGTTGCAAACGAAGGGTGCATCTACTGTATTACCATACGGTTCGATGCAGTTTGCGCCACAATCCTCGACTAGGTCTGTACGAATGCGATGTGAACAGAGAAGCTGATGGTACAGACGACCTTGGCATGGCGCGAATCGCTTGGAACGAATGTTGTTAAATGAGGAAACAGGTATTTGCTGCGATGTCGACGAAGATGCGAAATGTGAGTTGGTACTTTCGTCGGGAGTGCTAGTCCAGCCCCATCTACACGCCATAACGAGGTTTGCGTGAGACATGGTATCGTCGGAAACTGTGGACGTTGGCATATTCCGAAACGCACTGTTCGAGAAATCCATGTCGAGGTTGTGGATCAAGTTCGCAGTGGGAATTGCGGGTGATGTGCGGGTGGCGTCAGCTGACTACGCGTGGTTGCCTTGAGTGGTGGCGGCTACGAATACTGTCGATGTGTCCAAAGAATGGAATAGTCGATGGTATGGACGATGCAACGCGACAATGATCAAGGACCGAGTTGAGTAATCGGCGTTGTTCGTTCGACGGCGTGAAGGTGCATCGTATGTGCACAGGGCGCTCCAGTGGTGTGACGCTAGCTATCGCAAGGCGCTCAATCTACAGTCAGTCGACAGTGAGAGTATATTTAGTGACTTCAGTGAAGCGGGCCGATAGTAATGGGTCGCACGAGTGTGCACTTGAATCCTTGATAGATGATGTGCTGCCGGGGCCTGATGTGCAGGCGGATAAAAGTTGGTGAGTCGCGACGCGCTGGCCCAAGTTCGCGATGGGAGCTAAGCCTTGTACGGGCCGATGACGCTGTAGAACCTTGGAAGCTTCTAGTCTCGCCAAGTCAGCATCCAGCCACTCCTCGAGCTTCACAAAAGTAACACGAGTAGTTCTGATTAAGATAAATAACAACAGAAACGCGAAGAGGCAGCTTGTCGTCTCAGCATTTTGTATGTGTCGTCATACAGGGAGATGCCCAGAGAAGGGGGTGGCAAAGAAGTAAAACAGGGGGGGTCAATTGATTGTACCACTGCTCATCGCCTCTCTCAATTTGTCTACCATACGACCTACAAATTTCAAGTCTCTAGACCAGGAACCTGAAACCTCGCTCCGCACCAACTCCTGGGACAGCGTTGATCGCGCCTTCAACGTGTTCTCCCCGTGCAAGTTTCTTGTTCAGCCTTCCCAGGATGATCCGCATGATGACCGTCATGATGATGGCCAGTGCTGCAGTTGCGCAGTCCACACTGAGTGGTACCGTCAAGTCCGGCTGTCCACTCTTCGGCTGCGGGTACATATAACTTGCATAAATCGAACTAGTATTACTGATCGCGTTGATGAAAGCTAGTGCAGCCGCTCTCTTTGCTGGCGGACGGGGTAAAGAATTGGAAATCCAGGCCAAAGCGACAACGTAGCCAGTATAGACACCAGGGACCATCAGCATCATGGCGACGTAGCGGGGTGCGGTAGCTGTTGTAGCTGCAGCCAGGATAAAGGCTGCTACACCCACGCAGAGTGGGAGAACAATGTGGAAGAATCGTTCGCCAGTGCGGTCGGCATGCCAAGCGTTGAGGTAGGTCGTGATAACTGCCAGGACATAAGGTGGCGCTGTCAACAACAGCGTCTCGATGTTTGGGTATCCAAGGGTTTTGACCACTGTTGGGAAGAAGTTGGTAACACTCGCTGAAGACACAATCGCTAGAAGAAGAATGGTGAGCACCCAAGTCTTGATATCGAGCAATGCGAGCTTTAGGCCGTGGAAGAAGGTCTGTGACTCTGCGGACACCCAATCGTCTTCTCCAACATCTTCCTGAAGTCGGTACACGGCAAGTTGGCGCTCTTCTTCCGTGAGCCAGGAAGTAGTTCGAGGGAAGTTAGGCAGCATCCAAAAGGCTCCAAAAGCGATCGCAACGGTAATGACACCCTACAGAGTCAGCACTTGACATATGTACTCACATCGCTTACGACACTTACTTCAATTATAAAAACCCAGCGCCAAGCTCTTAGACCTTGCGTACCGTCCATATTACTCGTGATCCCCGCAGTGATTAGACCACCAAACGCTCCCGATATCAGACTCCCAGAGTATAGCACCGCCGTCCTCAGACCCAGTTCTTTCCTTGTATACCAGGCGCTAAGGTAAAACAAGCATCCTGGGAAATATGCGGCTTCGATGAACCCGAGGAAGAAACGGCACACCACAAGTCCAGCGAAATTCTGGCATGCGCCGGTAGCACCAGATATGATACCCCAGACGATCATGCATGTAGGCAGGTATATGGCCGGTTTGCCAGTCTTATTGAGGAACAAATTCGAGGGAATTTGCCTAGATGTAGGTGTACCCAGTCAGTATTTGTCACGCATGCAATTTACAACGGGGAGCTCCCTACATAAGGATATAGCCGACGAAGAGAATGGAAACGGTAGTCTATCGAAATCAGTGAAGTGCCATCTTTATGTGATTACATCAATACGCACTTGGTATTGCACGCTCGTGAGCTCCAGCTCATCTTGAAGACCTGCTAGGCGAACGGCAGCGATATTATTCCTGTCGAGGTAATCTAAGTTTTATTAGCACTGTCTTCACATAGTCTCAGCTGTCGAGGCATACTCATAATATACATCAGGATAATCATCGGCAACAACCTCGTATCGATCTTCCTCCTCATCTTCTTCTCTGCCTCAAATCTTTCCTCGCCGCTCATAGCGGCGACTAGCGGCGGCGCAACAAGCTTGCGATGTCCATCCACGGCCCCATTTCCAGCTTCGAGTGTCGTGGGCGCAATCTTGTCATCGGAGATTTGCTCAATCGAAGGTTTTTGGTCGTCAGTAATTCTCGCCATGATCGCTGTATCAGCGCGTGACGGGCGACTTGGTGAGCCTGTTCTTGTAATATACAATGTGCGACGGCGTTAGGCGCAACGATAAGAGACACCAAGCAACAACGCGGGGCCCCAAGCTTCCAGTTATACGAAGCTTGCCGTACTTCCAAGCATCTGCAGGGGTAGCTCGCGCCATTTACGTCGTCCAACCTCAAAAGACACATCGACGCACACCCATATCACGTAGCCAAGGGACGGTAGCCGACAACCGTACAGGAATGTCGGCCCGCCGCAGAGATCAGCATCTCACGGCAACGGAACATGACATGCGATTCGTCAATTGGGGTATCAGTTAGTCGTAGTAATAAGCTGATGCAACGGTGTGCATGCGACACGGGCTGGGTGTGGTTTAGTACCCGTTGGTGTTGGAGGATAAATGGACATGCGGGGTGAAGATCGACCGAAGCGTCATAGGCTAGCGCCACGAATCCGGGGTTGTGCACGGCTTATGGAACGGCGGTGTTGCGGTATTCGCTCATCTTGCGAAGCAGTTTCTGAACACCAAGTTTAGAAAAATGGAACGAAGGAACAACCTCAGTCTTGCGATAGACGGTGCTTGCTTGAGCTTCTTCCGTTCACGGAGGTTCTTGCCGATCTGCTCGAGGTGTCTGGTCGGCAGCGTTCTGCCTTCCATCCATGGATACCTTCACCACATACAAGGGAAAAATTAAACAGGTATAGAAATAATAAGCCCAGCTTTGCAGCTTACGTTAGCTTCTAACAAGAAAACTAATAAGAATTAACAGTGTTATAGACTTCTAGATCTTTGATCTATATCTACGTATATATCAATATAGTTTATTATAGTAGCAAAAGGTACTACCTAGGTATGCTCTGAAGAGATGTTTAGTCCCTCTCTTTGATGTAGTTCTTTGAGAATCTCTTCTAGGCTCACCAGCTTTAGCTACTTGCTTGACGTGCCCAGACACCCAGTGACGGCTCCTCTCTTCTTCGCGACCACGACACCCGCGTCGTCCGGCTCGCCAAACCCGGCCACCCCACATGCCTCAATGGCGTCCAGCAAGGGACTGACGAGTGAGACGCTAATCAGCGGCAACAAAGCCCAGCATGGTCATCAAGGAAAGATGCAGATACGAAGGGATGAGGGCCTCATCCTTAGTAATCGTCTAAGGGGAGAACGCACCCACCCCTGTGGAGTGGACAGTGCTCCGCTCTATCTTCTTCAAGCAGCACTTGTGCGCCAATCCCAGATATCGGCCATATCAGTCAGGAGCAGCCGCTTTTATTGTCGCTGTGAGGGAGTTTTCCAGGCCGGTCCTTGAAGTATGAAAGGTAACGGTCTTGATCCGGAGTTTGGATGGTCTCACCACCAATGCCTGATCCTTCCATAGTTTCGTACAGTATGTGGTGGATGACCGGGGCATAGATCTTCCGATGGTCTTCCAAATCTACAAACGCAGTCCCGCCTTGTGGCATCTATGCATGGTGCCCTATACCGGTCTAGGTGCCGTCATGGAGTTCAGCGGGTCTGAACTGAGAGCTTAAGCTAAGCGTAAGGAAGACCTGACGGGCGACGTGAAGAAGCTCCTCATGTATTTGAGACGTATGCGAAAGGTAAGAAAAGAACAGTAAGGGAACCCAGAACAGGAATACCGTGCCACAAACCACACATTCTGGCTCTATCATCGTCCACCGAGACGAAGAGATCCCCGACGACCAGGACGCAGTCGACAGTACTGAAAAACGAGAACAATGGATGAAAATGAAGTACTCAGGTGCGATATGTTCAAGATCTCAAGTCATTAGCCTAGAGAACTTAGCGATGTTCTTGGGTCCATAATGGATTTTAGTGGTTCGGAAGCGGTATATTGCTTTGTATCACCTTGAATGGCAGGAGACGCGGTTGGGCAAGGAGGTACCAGTTCAGCACCAGAGAGGTTCACTCGGCTCACCTATCTGTCGCTGGAGAGTTACATCGTCTCCGCAACCTCCGATATCGACGCGATTACACAACCGTTCGTATCATGTATCCTCTACGTCCGTTCATATAGTTCCAAATACATCCCAATACTTTATCGAGCAGCCGTGTACGCAGTAGTTCAAAACGGATAGAAGAATTTCTCGACAAGTACCTGGGGAGTAACTGTCTTTCGTATAGGCCAACACAGCCGATGACGCCTGAAGAGCTCGCATCAAAAGCCGTTATAGTTACAACATTCGACAACACTCGTCAAGAGTTTGCACGATACGAGAACGTCGTATCCGGACAAGACAAGAATGCGGTAGGTTTCAACGTTCGACTACTTGGTTGGTCTTGTGGCATGACAGACATGCAATAAAACGTATATTGGATATGAATTAGCAGAACCGAGAAGATAATGACAACGTATATAGCTTTCCCGCAGCCGGCGATAGGTAACCAGCTATCACTCCATTAACGTAAAAAGAACGTATCTCTCATCAACGCATCACGCTCGAAACGCCTTTGGTGATCACCCTCCTCGTATCGCCCTAGCTGATATCCAGCAATGTCATGATCTTCGATATTAGTTGACCTTCTGTTGGTAAGACCTCTGCTCCCCACGGGTAGAGACTGTGCGCTGTGTTGCTGCCATGGATTATGTGAAGCCAAAACTGGCATAGATGGTCTTGAAGCAAGAAACCGATCTGGGAGTGCAGCTTGGTCTTGCTGCTGCCTTTTCACCTGGGCACCTTCCTCTAGACAACGGAGCCTTAATTGTAAAGATTCCAACTTCTGTCGTGTAGCCTCTGCTTCTAGAGGTTCCGCAAACGGGAGGGTCTTGGGTAGCTTTTTGGAATCACAGCCTTTGGCCGACGTGGGAAGTGTGGTAGCTGTCAGAGTTTGGTGGCGCCACGAGTTAGGGTTTGTATTTTCCGCTGACTGTTCGCATTGAGTATGTGGTCGCGGAACCTGGCCGCTCGGCACCTGGGGTTGGACTGTACATGAGAGAGGAGCGGTGCCACAACGTCGCATCCGGTGGGCTTCTCTTGTCTCGCTGGGTCTGACCGGCATAGATCGAGGTGGAGGCAGTGTAATCCTTCGTCGCTTATCGAGGTTGATGGTGCAAGCCGATGCACCGACGGACAACTCGTCAATCTGTGGTGCCGCTGATGGGACATCATCATACGATAGTGTGGTGTTCTTTGTTCCCAGATCAGGTTTTACAATATGCTTCGCCTCAGGCTCTGGAAAGCGGTGGGTAGAGTTTGTAAGATTTTGACGCAGCCGATCTAGCGTTTGGACGAGTATTGCACAGTTCTTGCACATAGGTGTGCTTTCGAACTCCCGAGTCGGTCGCGACGAGGAAGCTAGGCTAGAGGCGTTGCCCATGTAAACATGCTGGACGTTCGAGCTTGTCTCGCCGCAAACCGGCTGCAGCTTCTTCGTGTTCGTTGAAGGGCATGGCACTGTCTCTCCTGAGTTGCGTTTGCGCTGCCATTGCTGGACTTTCTCTTCCGTACTCATCGAGTGTGAAAAATTCGCAAGGATCGAAGGGCCTGCGAAAGACTCAACGTGCATATCGTGCTGCTGCTTAAGGTCTGCAGGTAGAGTCGTGGCTCTAGCAAGCGGCTTCTGCAGGTGTTGCGATGGCGTGTTCTTCGAGATCCCGGGAGCGCGGCGCATGGGTTGCTCTACGTGGCTACTCAATCTTCGTTGCGGAGCGAGGTTTGAAGCTGGTAGATCTATAGTACCACTCTTTCCGTGTCGGATAATTTCAAGCATCGCGTCACCCTTTGGGGCCGTTGTCAGGTTTTCGTACCCACAAGAGGTAATGAGGATGTCGTCTTCGATGCGAACACCGCCGACGGGCATATACCGCTCCAGCACATCCACATTAATAAAGTTGCGGTGGATAGGTGATGGAAGGTAGAAATGTTGCAAAGCGTAGACGGAGAAATAAATGCCAGGCTCGACTGTAACAACCATGCCCTCTTCGAGGTGACTACTTTGCGGATCAGACGGCGCGCGGCAGGTCTCGGGGTCATATACTGGTATATGGAAATTTTGCGGGTAAAGAGACGGTGCCTAATATTGTGTTAGCTGTTTATCAACATGGTTATTGCTTGCGCTTACCTGCTGGTACACTGGCTTTCCTCTCCTTACACTCATCAGCTGCGCCTGACCCACGTCATGCACCTCAAGGCCAATGTGATGTCCCAGCCCGTGCGGAAAGAATGCTCTACTTGTACCAGCCTTGTAGATCTCTTCCTTCGTTCCGTTATGGAGAATGCCCAGCTGCAATAGGCCATCGATAGCGATCTGGTGTGCCATGATGTGCAAATCCAGATACCTCACACCAGGTTCTAACCGTTTGATACATGTCTCTTGCATACGTTGGACCAGCTTATAGATGTTCTCTGCCTCTTTGCTCGGCCAAGAAGCGGACAACGGGAAACTGCGTGTAATGTCACTTGCATATAGTTCGTACTCGCATCCTGCGTCTAAACACATGAGTTGTCGACCTGCGAGATCTTCATTGTTCGCGTCATAATGGAGAGTTCCAGCGTTTGGCCCAGAAGCAGCGATGGGATCATAAGCCTGTTGCTTTGCTTGATGTGATATGCACACATCCATGAACAGACCCTCAACTTGTGCTTCGTTCTTGAATCTTGCGATGTTAGCGAGCACTTCTCGGTGCGCTTGCGAGCTGATATCATTCGCCTTCCGAATGAGCTTGATCTCGTGATCATCCTTGATCATACGACATATGTTCATGGCTGGCTGAAGGGCTGTCGAATCGATGCGAGGCTTCAGGTTCTCGCAACCTGGGAATTGCGATGACTGGTGCATAGTGTAGATACTAGCCTGTCGATTACCGATCGCCCATCCTTGAACGGCGTATTCAAGCTCATCTGCGTAAAACACTTGATCAACATCGTACTTCACAAGCGCCTCGGCAAGCGTAGAGCCACGGCCATTCCAGATAACGCGCTCAGGCTTGATGCGTGGGATGAACAAAGAGAGTTCGTCGCGTCGCGTGTCGTACGTCAGATGGCAGTCAGGCTCATTACATCTTCATACCATCAGCACGATCCTCACATTACTCCCAGATCAACGCACCCGCTCAAGTAGTAAAAGTATCGGCGTTGTCGGAAGGGTGCTGGCATGTCGCTATCTTCATTATTCCTCGCTGGCTGACCTGGGAGGTATATCAAGCCTTCTTCAACACCCAGTTTCTCTTGCACTCTCCGCGCATGTTGTTTTGCTGCGCGATGTTAGCTCGATGCCTGCTCCACTTTCATCTCCCAATACTAACCGGGATATTTCTCGAACGGAGTCTCCGCCTCGAGGTGCAACCAATACTCGTTGTCCTCCCATCTCAAGCGCTCAGAGAGACCTTTCGCATCGAGAACTTCCATCTTGATACCTCGTACTACCTGGGCGAAGGACTGCGAATGCGAAAGGTTGCAGCACCGATGGAGATGCGACCGGCGTTTTAGTGTTGTCGAGGAGCTCACCGGTAAAGCCACCGCATAGCGCACGTGCCCTCGACTCCGGTCAATCAACCGGGAACGATGCGATCGTGGACAAGATTGACGCATTTGGCCCCTTCATACTCACAGATGGATTGGTACTGATCGAAAGCGTTCCCTCAAAGCGAGAGGCCAAGATAGTAGCATCGCGACTGCCAATGCGTAGGTTCGACCAAGTCGCTCAGGTTGCCTCACAACCCCGCGCCCTGCTTTTCATACCCAACTACTGTGCAACATCGTGTTCATGCGGCATTCGTGCCCATGTGCACTTCTGCATATTCTCACTGCGTCTAATAGGTTACACGAAAAGATGTACACCGATTCCGGGTCAAACCAACAAAGGAATATGAAAATTGCAAGGTGTTCGGTCTGAGGAGAGCGCTGATTGGCCGTCGATCTTGACCGGTCACCGGTCAAGATGTCGAGCTACGAGAGGCACGAACGGACTTGTCAGACTGAGTAATGTCGCACAAACAACGAGCCGATCCTGACATATTATTCGACCATTCCGTACGTGTATTGGATTTTGGCTATGAATACGAACAAGACCGACACCGGATATTCCTGAGCATCAATGCCGACGCCTATACAATCACAGTCTTAGAAGGTTTCAAGGCCGCGAAGATAAAGAACAGAATATTTATCAGCTACCTAGGAAGTCGCGAAACTTAAAACCATCCGACGTCTTATTCGTTATGATCAACCTAGGGAAAGACCAACGTCGAGACCAAGCCACAAAGCATACCCGATGACCAACGCTGAAGGTACTCAGTGTAATGAACCCAGGTTTGAGACTTCCACTCATCCGGGCTCAGCACGCCCTCTAGTAGAAATGGAAGTAGTTGTAGCTTCCAAAGTTAAGCGCAAGCTGGGTTGCTTCATGGTGACATGTGTTGCTGTATCGGGGGCCCTTGATTTCTTTCCCGGACGCGTCAGGCAAGGCCAGGCCAGGCTAGTATTGATTCTGTCCATATTGGAGGCATGTGAAGGAAGTCGAACATGGTGTTGCCGCCACGCGAAGTCACTTGACTTCGCATTCATTCTTGTAAGAAATGTTTTTCTGTGACCTGTGTTCGATATGTGCATTAGTTTTGTACATGCAGATTCTAGGCCAGAGACAGTCGTTCTGAACCAGTGCTTGTCGCTTGTAAAACGTGACGTTTGAGGGGTTGAGCATTGGGCACAAAACAATGTGCGGCTCGTTCTTCTATTCAGTCAACGCATGCTGTTTACAGGTTGTGTACACCGTGTTGATGCGTGTCCGTCACCGGTGTCTTGTCATCTTTTTCATTAGGCTTCGGACCTGGTGTCGGAACTTGGAGAAGAACAGTTGCTTAATCAGAGCAGTGAACATGCTCAGGGCGTGGGAAACTGATACACGAAGGCAGTCGAGAGGAAGCAAAAAATGCGGCCAGCAAAAAATGCGGCCAAATTCGTATGTCATAGAGGTTGCAATTGAAAGGCGGTGCATTGTCAGCATTGCTCAGGAAAGCAGCCACGGAATATCCAAGGTGGTAAACATGCACTATGCAAGAAGTCATGGTCCTACTCGTCATCCTCGTCGTCGTCATCCTCGTCAGTGAAGTCGTTGTCATCGTCATCTCCCATTTCCTCGTCTTCATCTTCGTCTGAGGCGTCAACCAGGTGTGTCTCTTCTGGCCACTTCACAGTCACTTCCTGTTCTAGCTCCTTCCAGAACTTGCCCATATCCGCCCCCGCATGTTCCTTCACCGTTTTGGTCGCTGTCGTTGACTCATCGTCAGAATCCTCTCGCTTGAATCCCACGTGCATGTGATCTTGCTGCAAGATACCGACTTTCAAATGATTGAGGGCAAGCTTCTGGTCTGTGGATAGCTTGTGAAAGAATTCTCTCCAGAAATTGGGCTTGTGCCCGAACGGTGCAGCGGCAACAGCGCGAAGGTTCATCCTCCAAAGACTTAGATTTTCTAGAGTCGCTGCGAACTTCTTGATAAGAGCGACAAGAATGTCAGCACGAGCGCTCAATTGGCCGAGTTCGAGCTTCTTCAAGAGTGGTAAAGCGATTGTGGCGGGATCAAGGAAGGTCGCGCTATTTGCACCGGCAGCAAGCTCTGGAGTACCCAACCACTGCAGAAAGTCCTCATTATTGGCTACCAGATGTTTCTCGAAGTTCAACCGGAGGTGTACGAGATTTGGAGTAAAGTGGAGAAAGCGTCGAAGTGATCGTCCCGCGTTCGGGTCGGCAGACGTTCCGTTGCTGTGGGTATGCAAGTAGCGAGGCTTAAGATCCACATTTAACAGCAACGTAGTTATGTTCTGAAGTATAGGCCCAACAGCTGGCCGAATGTAATCTGGGAGGAAAAACGCTGTGTCCGGAAGGCCACGCTGGCGGAGTAGGATCTCGAATTCAGTTGGCCTTCGGTTCGCCTTGCCCAAAGCGTACAACACACTGGAAAAGACGCGAGATGCGAAACGTGTACGTTCATGCGCGAAAGAGTCGCGATCGGAGAAGTGGAGTTCAATTCCGGTCTCGCGGTGAACGGTTGTAGCACCCCAGGAGCTCCAGCTCTTGCCATCGCGAACCCGATTACTAGCGTTGAAATCGCGGATCCCGATCGTGGAGAGATTGTCGAGACGCTCAAATGCTTCTGTGAGCATTTCGCGATCGATTCCTGTACTCAACAACGTCTTTTGATCCTCGTAGCCTTGAATATAGCGTGTAGCGGCATCTTCATCCTTGAACCGCAGTGGTATCTCATCATAAACATTGGTGGCAATGATGATATGTGATAGTTTCTTGGAGAGGCTCACGTGTTTGGATATGTCGATGAGTGCTTGCAAACTCTTGTGCGTAAGCATGAACTGTTTCTTGAAAAAGAACTCTTTCGAAAACCATTCGTAGAGCGACTTCTCGGTCTGTTTGCACGCCAGGCGGAGTGATCCTAAATCTTCGGTAGGAAGGTACTCTGAGACGGTGACCAGTAGTTCCAAGGGTATCGTGAGAAGCGATGCCATCTTGACACGTAGTGAGGTTGGCGGAATTTGAGACCTTAGGTACAATGACGGCGATGCTTGTGGTACGATGCCGTCTTATCATGTGTGAACGCGTCGATCTCGCGAAGGCAGAAACGGACGCTGTTCCGCTTTGGGGGCTGATGCCTAAGGGCGCTCCTTCCGGACCCAGGCCAGCGTCTCACCGGACGCCTGATCCCTTCTCAACCAACTGTTCAAATAGCCATCTTTCACCTCCAATAGAGTCGCATCACATCTTCTCCAACTTCAATTGAACCAATGGCTCGCAAAGCTGCGCAGAAAGCCCCTGTGGCCTCTCCCCTTGATGGATGTACCGTCGCCGCGTCTGGTCGCTTCCCCAGTGGAGTAACTCAATCGGCACTACAGGCGCGTCTAACGTCACTCGGCGCCACATTCGCGTCAAGCGTATCAGCAGACACGACCCATCTCATCGCAACTGAGAAAGATTTTGAGAGCAATTCTACCAAAGTCAAGGCTGCAGCCGCACACAACGTGCCAGTTGTCACGCTTCATTGGCTCGATGAATGCGAAACGACAGGTAAGTTCTGGATAATTTGTTTTCTTCTTCGAATCGTCATATACGCCTCGGGATGCTACAAGGATGTCCAAGTTGACATTGGGTACAGATTCCAAGTTCGATGAGTCGCCATATCTGCTGTCTTCTGCTGCTGTGGCACCAGCCCCAGTCCCTGCTCAGAACGGGTCGAAGAAGCGCGCAGCGTCATCTGCCTCACCACCTGCAACTGCGCCGGCGGAGACTAAGAAGCCCAAAATCAAGGAAGACGCGAAAGTCGGCGATGGCCAAAATGCTAAATCCAAGCAAATTGCCATTTCTGTAGACGAGTTCTGCCCTCTAGCCAACTACCAAGTCTATATCGACAACAGCGATGGCACCATCTACGACGCGTCACTCAATCAAACAAACTCAGGCGCAAACAACAGTAAGTGATACCAGTTCATCCGATCTTTCCAAATACTAACGATACCAGACAAGTTTTACAAAGCCCAGGTTCGTATGATCTTGCAAACGTCTCGGTTCTCCACTAACTTTCCAAGATTCTCACTAATGGCACCAAATATCAAACCTGGACACGATGGGGACGTGTCGGTGATCGTGGTCAAATGAAAATGCTCGGAAACGGAAGTTTTGACGACGCCATGAGGGAGTTTGAGAAAAAGTTCAAGGACAAATCTGGTCTCAGATGGGCAGACCGTGGCGACGAGCCAAGAGCTGGCAAATATGCTTATGTGGAGCGATCCTACAACCCTGACTCGGACGACGACGAAGATGATGCTGACGCTGGCACTGCTTCCGGAGACATGGACACCAATGATAGCGCTCCACCTGCTGAAAGCACCTTGTCTCGTCCCGTCCAGGATCTCATGAAGCTCATTTTCAATCAAGTAAGGCTGCAGCACCCTTCCTACTTTTGGTAACAGGCTGTTCACAAAGACGTCAAGCTAACAGTGGCGAGGACTACTTTAACGCAACCATGAGTGCGCTCAACTACGATGCCAACAAGCTCCCACTAGGCAAGCTGAGCAAAGGTACTATCGCTCGTGGTTTCCAAGCACTGAAGGACCTTTCGGTGTTGATCGACAACAACGATGCTACGTCTAGAGACGAGGTGGAACGCCTGTCAAACCAATACTTCTCCATCATTCCCCACGCGTTCGGTCGTAATCGTCCACCAGTCATTCGAGACATCAATCTGCTTAAGAAGGAGATTGAGCTACTCGAGAGTCTTTCGGACATGAAGGAGACGGCTGCTATGCTCAAGGATCAATTGAAGGACAAGAGCGACGTCAACAAGCTTGACAAGCAATTCCAGGGATTGGGCATGAACGAGATGTCGCCTCTGGATCACAAGAGCCGCGAGTTTGTCGAGATCGACGAGTATCTCAACAACTCAAAGGGCAAGACGCACAATGTCAGCTACAAGGTCCAAGAAATCTTCCGCATTGAACGTCAAGGAGAATTTGAACGCTTCGATAAGAGCAAGTACTCGAAAATTGCCAGCAATCGTCGTCTACTCTGGCACGGATCTCGTGTTACAAACTATGGTGGTATTCTGGGTCAAGGTCTCAGGATTGCCCCACCTGAAGCTCCCGCCACTGGATATATGTTTGGCAAAGGTATCTACCTTGCGGATATGTCTTCCAAGTCCGCCAACTATTGTGCTTCATACAATTCCGGAGGTACTGCTTTGCTTCTCCTCTGTGAAGCTGAACTTGGTAACCCCATGCACGAGCTTACCGATGCATCGTACACTGCTGGAGAGGATGCTATCAAGAAGGGCATGTACAGCACGTTCGGTATGGGACAGACAGGTCCGAGTAAATGGAAGGATGCAAGTTGCATGAACCCAGCCTTGAAGGGTTGCATGATGGTAAGTACACTCTTGTCCTGGAATTTGGATCCACAGCTGACCATACTAGCCTGACGTATCAACACCGCCTGGTCCTACCAACGTACCCAACGCGTACCTGCAGTATAACGAGTACATCACCTATGATGTTGCGCAGGTCAAGCTTCGCTACCTACTCCGCGTTCAGATGTAGACTCGCATTTCGTGCAAGCCTGCCGTTTTTCCAGGTTTATTGTCATGTCGCTGTTATCTTCCGTCTCGGCGTTCAGTCTTTTAGGGGGGGGGCGTTATCAGAGCATGGAGCCAGACAAAAGCGGCATCGTGTTATTACCTCTCAGTCATGCAATTCAATCTTTCTCACTTGCATGGTCTCGACTTCACGCGTTATTGTGTGATGCTAATCCCACAGCCGTCGGATGTATCGAAACATTGAAAAAAACAAGCATGGTATATTCGTCGTTAATCAAATACAAGCATTGCATAAGGCTGCTATACACATAGAGGCCGATCATCAAACACCAGGTCAAGACAAAACGACGGACTCTACTCGCGTCCACCGACCCTCCTCTCATAGTCGTCTTCGAGTCTGGAAGCATCGACAACTTCGACACCCTTGCCGAGACCGATCATATCGCTGCGAACCTGCCACCACCTGACGGTATGCTCACTTTCCTTGCCCTTGCGCATAGGGCCCTCGTCGTCTGTGTCTACAAGCCCGCCGAGACCAGTACCATCAGCGCCAACAACGACGATGGTCTGTGCAACCCACTTGCGCAGGTCTTCGATGTTCTGACCGTTCACGCCGCTCAATGCGTCGACTACGTAAACAAGTTCGGGTCCGAGGTGTCTGAGCATATGCACGAATCCTGTGGTGGTGTTGAAAGGCATGACCATGGCAGGGTCCTCGACTAGACGGAGCGCTTGCGAGTGGAGAGTGTTCCAGAGTGTATTGTCAGACCCCCGAGTGCTTGGTGCTGGCGTGTAGACAACTGGCTCAATGGAAGATAGTTCCTCGCCCGGTGTGCGTGCAGGTGTGCTGATGGCAGAGTATGAGTCGCCAAGCGAAGACGATCCAGTGCGAGAGTTGGCTCGGGATTGTGGGCGCGAGCGCAGGGATGGGGAGTAGATGAGTACGAAGAGCTTGGTCCTGGAGAAATCGGTGTCGGGGAGGTGGGAGAGGATGGTCTGCAAGCTGTCAGTTTTTGGTGTGCGACAAGGAATACGGTATGGGGAACTTACAGCGTTCTCTTCGCGGTATGAGCCCTCATCATCATCAACTCTGTCCATCAGGCTCTCTGCGCTGACGACCAGTATCACTGTCTTCCTCTTTCCGCTGTATTCGCCCCTTCCTTCAGCTTTGCGCACACTGGCCGCAAAGCTCCGTGCCTGCGCATCCACCGCAGCATTGCTATCTCGACTCTGAGCCTCGACATTCCTCCTAATCGTGGCCTCCTCGCTCCATCGCGAGTGATCGCCAAAAGCCTCGTCTTTGTCTTCTTCGCGAATCGAAGCAAGCGCGGCACCAGCAGCTGCACCCGCGGCTGCCCAGCCCGCCGCCGTCTTCTTACTCACAGTATCGAAGAGTTGCTGTGGCGATGGCGTGCGTCTGATGACGCCTTGTGCGCGACCAAGCAGTGTGCTGTCGCCACCCCCGTATCCATAGCCTTCACCGCCTCCCTCGCCTACAGGAAATCCAGATGCATCGCGTGCTGCAGGCGCCCTGCCTTGTCGCTTCTCAGTCGAGTCTTCGCCATAGGACAAGTCGTCGTCGGATGAGTAATCCCGACTATCCTCGCGCGCACTCCATACCCAGGCTGCAAGACCTGCGGTCGCGACTGTCACGGTGAGGATCAGAGGAACGTAGAAGCCGAGGGCGCTGCGGTTGCGCGAGTTGTTCTGGCGACGGTCGTAGCGGTCGTAGTTGAAGGAAGACATTGTGGCGCTTAGGTCATGATAATTCGTTGATGTTTCGTGGCGGGTCAAACGCTGTCAGGAGTATAAGATTATTGTTTTGGTCGTCAGCCGCTGCCGCTCGGCTCCAGGGCAGCTTCCCTGTTGTTGACGCCCGCCGGTGGCTGGGGGAGCTGATGCGCCTGCTTGACACGTGCGTGCCTGCCGAGGCGAGCGTGTGCGAGTCAGTCTGTGAACTTTTGGCGGCGGGGTGACTCTTACACCCCACACGCACGCCTTTGTACCTGCAGCTACGCTCGGCGGACGCCAATACCATCTCACAATGCCTCACGCGACGAGTCTTCCCGCGCCAGGCTTCCAGGCTCTCATCCTGTGCGGGCCTGGAGCCTCCTTCAGCACTTTCACATCTACGCCAAAGGAGATACCAAAGGCCTTGTTGCCCATTGCGAACAGGCCCATGGTCTGGTACCCCCTAGAATGGTGCTACCGCATGGGAGTCACAGGTAGAACAGGGCGCATATCCTCTTTGTATAATCGTTGCTCTAACAGGCGGCTGCAGACATCACGGTTGTGACACCGCCAGAGTCATTAGAAGCCATAGAGGCCGCCATGTCGCAGAACCCACACCTTACCACCCTCCCTTCACCAAAGCCAGACATCCTTGCGCCAAAAGACCTTTCACACCAGACCAGTACTGGCGACCTCTTCAGGCTACCAGAACTGCAGAGCGCGATCAAAGGCGACTTTATCGTACTGCCGTGCGATCTCGTATGTGAATTGGACGGAACAGCGCTTGCAGACGCATGGATGGTCGAGCAGGGTGGCTTTGCTGGAGCCAGTGGTGGACTAGATCACAACGGCGGCAAGATCGCATTCGGTGCTGGTGGCGAGAAGCTTGGACGAAGAGGTGGCATGGGTGTATGGTATCAGACCAAGGGAGAGGGAAGCAGGAAGAAGGAAGAAACAGACTTCATTGCGACAACACCATTACCCACACCCATCGTCCCAGTTCCAACAGACTCGCTACGCCGCAATATCTCGAAGCTCGTCTACTCAGTACCCACCGACACACTGAACGACATAACCGAAGAGAACAAAACATTTCCTCTGCGGCATTCGCTCATTCGCAAGCACGCGCGGATAAGGATGCTTACGACACACCGCGATGCACATATATACATTTTCCCATACTGGGTCATGGAGATGATCAAGAAGAACGAGAAATTCGAGAGCATCAGCGAGGAAGTATTGGGATGGTGGGCAAAAGCAGGCTGGCAAGAAGGGCTCGGAGATAAATTGGGTCTGCGGCAAATACTGCAGGGCGAGGACGAAGAGTCGGATCATGGCTCGCAAGTCGTCGAAGAAGAGATCGATGTTTCCAGGTTCAGCACCACATACTCGGACAGCAACACAGAGACAGAAACATCGGCACCCACCACGCTCGCATCACGAGTCACAAAATCCTCCAGCGTACCCAACTCGGCCAAATCACTCACCTCGAATTCTAAACTGACAGTACCACCAATCCTAGCCTATGTCCAACCTTCAGGCCCGAACGAACCGCTTATTCGCCGCGTAGACGACTCGCATCTGCTTCTAACTGTCTCCCTCCGCCTCGCTAAGCTCCCCTCAATCGAAGAAGTCTCCAAGGAACTTGCATCGCCATTCGCGCATCAGTCTAAGATTGTCCACAAAGAATCCATACCCCGGAGATGCCGCGTAGAAGCCGAGAACTCGTTACTTGCAGACAACGTTATTGTAGAAGAGAAGACCAACATCAAGGAAAGCGTCATTGGACCGAACTGCAAGATCAGTGAAGGCGCGAGACTATTACGCTGTCTGTTGATGGATGGTGTGGAGGTTGGGCCTAATGTACAGCTTACGGATTGTATCCTGGGACGGAGGTGTAGGATGGAAGGTGGAGATGCAAAAGATGGCGACAAGACTGTTCTCAAGGACTGTGAAGTTCAGGATGGGCAGGTTGTGGAGTGGGGTAGTAAGTTTTACTTGACCTTTTATGTGAAGAGAGCGGTGCTAACGATTATGCAGCTGAAGCGAAGAACGAGAAGTTTATGCGCTTTGACGTGGGTGACGATGTAGGCAGTGAGGGGTTCGGCGGAGACGAAATGGATGTCATGGATGGTGAAGATGGCGAGGGTATCCCGCTGCGGTAAAATCGCTGCCGAAACAAACGGGAATAGCGTACATGACGATTACGAAAATACGATCTCAAGACGAGGTTATCTGAATAGAATAGATGTGACTTTGGCTGAACTCAGGATATGCAAACGCCATGGGGCCACTTCCGCATTCCTGACCCTTTCTCCAACATTCTTCTCGAGATCCTTCATCAGTGTTTGTCCCTTGTCGTATCGATTTCAATTTTCCGGCTGGCCAAGTATACTCTAATATCTTCTATCCGTTGTTTCGCTGTATGTTCGGCTAATATTCTAGTCTCGAGGAAGACATGCAGAGTTCACTGAACGCTCTCACACTGTTGCGAGAGCGTATCGAAGGATTGACTGCAATGGAAATCCTATTGTCGCGGTCAAGAAGTGTTTGCTATGTTGGTGACACAGCAGCTTGGCATCGCAGATGACCGCGTCTCCCAAGCTTATCATTTCGCGTCATTGTCTTGTCCTCTTCAATGTATCGCTTTCTTCAACCCCATCTTTTTCTAATACTCTTCGTCTTTCTCGGGCTCTCTCATTATATTCAATAGCCTGGCTCTCATTCATCATGCCTCAGATCAAGCGCAGACACGATAAAGCTGCTCTACTACAGCACCTATGTAGCGACTGTAAGGGCACTACCTCGTCCAAGATGGATTGCAAGAACCTTGAGAAACTCATGTGCTTCTCCTGCTCAAGGCAAGACCATTACAGCGGCGAATGCAATGATGCGATACGCAACGGCACCCCGTCACTGAGCAAGATGCCCGTAGCACGCAAGGAAGTTCAAACACAAATTGATGAGTTGAAAACTCACTGCAATTACAGTCTACGTCTGTTAAGATCCTGCGGCTTCGTGAAGCACGCCGATACCTTTGAAACACACAAGCCTGACCCACATGGACTGAGAGAACCCTGGGAAGGAAGCATGGTGGACTTGCAACCCACATATTACGATTCATCTCGTAAACTAACAAGACTGAAGCAGCAGCTCGATTCATGGAGAAGGTATTGCCTCGAAATTTTTGAAAAAGTCGAACAAGATGGTCTTGCAGAAGCAGGTATGACAGTCTATTCAAGTCCTCTCATATTTCTCACGCCGCCATATACTGACCTTTGGCCATAGCAATGAATCCTTCTGTTCGCTGGCATATCGATCCAAATTTCCGAGCTATCGAGAAATTCAGCAAGAAAGTTCTGTCCAAGATCCCTACGACCGTCCCTGCCACATCGTCATCAGTGAAGGCCTTCCTAGAGCGTATGCACCATGACATCAAAGCCATGGGTGCAATGCGAGGCGAAACGCTCCACTGGAGATACACCATAGCAATAAAGCTTATCCACACTGCCGTCCGATGGAGAGTGGCCAATTCCAATGATGAGCAAGAAATCTCACTAGTTGGATATGAAAATATAGAGAAGGTTACGCTAGACCATTTCAAGTTGCTTGACAAGCAATTTCAGAAGATACTTGAGACGGGGTTGATTAAGAAGGGGACTTTGCCGTATGCTCGGACCCTGTGTATTTTGGAGACGCATCAAGTGACGGATTTTTATCCTGTTTCTTGGAAATGGCTCAGGGGGTTATTTTACGAACAGTGTGAGGATGTTGCACTTCGAGGTGCAAATAATATAGCATTTGCACAGAAGAAGGGAGAAAAGAATGATGAAGCCGAAAGATGGACTGTGAAGAGAAGGAAACTCATTGGATAAACGATCATTAAGAGAATCAATGGAAGCGAAGCACCGGGTGAGCTACAACAAGGGGAGCTTATTACGCGGTTGGGTGAAAGAGATGACGACGGCTCAAATCCTGCGCTAGCGCCATGTTGTTTCCGTCTACCTGCACTACAGAACTTACCTAACTGCACCCTATGCGTGCTAGCTTTCTTCCGGGTCTCGGGTCGGCTTTCACTTCGAGATGGAAGTTAAGCTGTGTCTTACGAATACAAGGTCAAGTTGTCTACGCTAGGCTGCCCGGCACGACTTACCCAATGCGGACAAATATCACGGCGAGGAGAAGAAGGGGTAGACAGCAACCAGTACTCAACAGAGCCATAGTAATCGCCGGTCGGTGCTTTCCTTGTACTGTTGCACATAGTTCAATGATGTTTAAATATCCATCAGTCTGTTCCTAAGTTTTCCGATCACAACATCTAATCGAATATCTCACATCACCAACCAGTAAGTCGATGCATTGCTTCGGAATTTGGAGCTTGATTTGAGGGACACTTACTTACCCACTGCATAGTGTCTCAGAAATACGTACCTCTTACCATCATCAAAGGCGCAGGCCAGGAGTACATCCCCATCCCAGATGGCGAGAGCGCAATGGTCGCAGACTTCCACTCGTACGTCGACCGCATCATATTTACCTCTACATGTCTCCACCCTCGAATTCCTACCATGACGTTTTCTCACCTCCACTAGCATCCGAACTCAAACCACCGACTCTCCCACCTACATAACGTCTGGCTTCTACCGCGTTCAAGCGGGCCCCGTACGCGACATCCCTCAATTTGAATCTGAGGAGTCCAAATACGTTCTCAATGGTCAAATCGACGTCTTGGACGAGGCAACAGGTATCATGCATCACCTTGTTGCAGGCGACTTTGCTTTCTTCCACAAAGGGTCAAAGGCGCAGTTTTCAACAAAGTCCGGAGGAACAGCGTTTTTCGTTGTGACTAGACCGATCGTCGCTCAACACCCTGGGCTGAAGGGCAGGGAGGAGAAGGTGCAGTCGAAACTATAGACTGGTCGACGTGTTTTTTTCTTTCTGAGCGCGATAGGAGATAGGCGAGAGGCATAACTGTTCATCATGGGTAAAGGGAACCCAACGGAACACTATCGATGTATTTAATGACCCACACATGAAGTCTTGATGAAAAATGGACTAAATTCCCAGAATCATGCTGGCGCTGCTTGGTGAGATGGGTAATGCCGAGATATCTCCAGAAGACCATGGTCGCGGGGCTGGCGTGCCGCTAACGTCATGTGGATGGACCCTTCGATCTCGACATTTACATGTGGGCGCCACCATCTCAACCCATGCATCGTTTATTCTCAACACCACGAGGATGGCGCAGTCGCCTCTATCCGGCGTCATGATGCCGCCACGCTTCAATATCGAGCTGGACCGGACAGATCCGGATGTGCCCTTCCGCGCATCTCAGTCGCACATGCACCACACATGGGCGCGGACGTTCCATTCGCGGCCAGAGCTCTATGTCCGGCCGCAGAGTCTCCAGGAGGTGCAGAAGGTTGTGAATCTCGCGAGACGCATGCGAAGACGCGTCGTCACTGTGGGATGTGGCCATTCACCCTCGGACATGACATGCACGTCGGCGTGGATGATCAACCTCGACGACTACAAGCAGGTGTTGAACGTGGACAAGGAGCGCAAGACCATGACGGTGCAGGCTGGAATACGCCTTCATAATCTCAACTTGCAGGCAAAGAGCCACGGCCTGACAATGCCCAACCTCGGTTCCATCGACGACCAGTCGCTCGCCGGAGCGATTGCGACGGCGACTCACGGCAGTTCGTACAACCACGGCCTTCTCTCCGACCGCGTTCAGAGTCTCCGTATTGTGCTGGCCAACGGCCAGGCGGTACGATGCTCGCCCCAGCAATCCCCAGACCTCTTCCGAGCGGCCCTGGTATCGCTAGGCGCACTGGGCATCATTGTTGAAATCGAGTTTCAGATGATCGAAGCAAACAACGTCGAATGGGTTCAGACTATACGGCCGATTGAAGACGTTTTGGCTGAGTGGAACAACGGGCTTTGGACATCCAACGAGTTTACAAGGGTGTGGTGGCTGCCCTACATGAAGCGCGCAGTCGTATGGCGGGCAGACAAGACAGACAAGGCGCACCGCCAGCCAGAATATAACTGGTATGGCGGCAGCGTCGGATTCCACACGTATCACATTCTTCTCTGGATATCGCAGTATGTCCCGCGCTTCCTGCCTTGGGTAGAGTGGTTCGTCTTCGGCATGCAATACGGCTTCAAAGATGGTGCTGTCATCTCTGCAGTTGGCGAGCAGCGTACTGAACTCCTGATGAATTGCCTTTACTCCCAGTTTGTCAACGAATGGAGCATCCCTCTCGACAAGGGCCCCGAGGCTCTGACACGACTGACAAACTGGCTTCACGGCGACGAACAATCTTCTGGCATCCCCTTCAGCACAAAAGGCCTCTACGTCCACTCTCCCATCGAGGTCCGTATCGCAAACACCGTCAATCGTGAACCACGTCCGTTCCTCGATACCTCATATCCTGATCAGCCCGCTCTGTACCTCAACGCTACCCTGTACCGCCCCTACGGTCAAGATCCACCCTGTCGCGAACGCTACTACCAGGCCTTCGAACACCTGATGAAAGAGTACAACGGCCGACCCCACTGGGCTAAGAACTTCCAATCCGTTGACAACGCTTACCTCTCTTCCGTTTACGGTAACGACTTGGACGAATACATGCGCGTACGCAATGAAGTAGACCCCGAAGGCATGTTCCTTGGTGCCTGGCACCGCCGCACCATCCTCCCATCCAAGACCGATCTTCCCCTTTTGCCCCTCGAGGAAAAGGAAGTCATACGCCGCAACAGACGCACTGGTGGTGTAGACTGGATCGGAGAGCAAGGCCGGTTCGATGGCGGTCTCGATGTATTTGAGAAGGCGGGTAGCGAAAGTGAGTCTGGAGAGAGTTTTGATTACATGGCAGGCGCAGAGGCGGAGAGTAGTGTGCTTTTGGAGGGGTTAAGTGATGAGCTTGTTGTCACCGAGGACAGTTATGAGAGCCATACCGAGTCGAGGCGAAGAGAGGGAACTGAGGAGTACATTACGGGGACGAACGTCTTCAACAAGATGTAAATGTATATAAGAAGAAGGAATTCATGCGACATGAATGATGGGGAGAAACGCTACTCAATGAAGATATGATCGTGCTGTGTCATTGTTGCAATACTTGCAAATGTTTAATGTTCCGTGTTACATTCACTACCAATGTTGCGCAATTTCCTGTAGGGTAAACACTCTTGGGTATACGCAGGGAGGCTTTCGACCCAAATGTGGCCAATCGGGTAAAGTGTATACACACGTCAACATTCCGAATTGCGACTTCCCCTCCACCGGTTTCCACTCGTCTCCTCTCCCTCACTCCACGAGAACGGAAACCATGCCATTGTGTCTTCTGGAAGCCCAATTCGTATGGCAATGGTCTTTGGTTCACTTGCACGTCACCGCAGTGAAGGCCAACGGGGCGGATATGGGATAAATCCTCGTCGACAAACCGCGTACGCATACTAGTGAGAACGAAGAGGCGGAAGTGGCAGATGTGTGCACAGTCATCCTGATTCCATCTACTTATGATGATGGGTGTCTTTGTCCTCCAGGAACACCGGAGTCATGGATACCCGCCTATGCTATCTCATTGCGACGATCCAGACAAAAGACGCGACTGACGGAAGCCTCGATCTCTTTCACCATTACAGCAATCAATGACAGTACCACAAGCGAATGTTGAATGAGCAACAGGTTAGCTAGAGACGTCAAGGCATAAGCGGCATCGTCACTGACTGGTGGGCGTGGTCTGACTCTGCAATCCTTTGTTAGAGTTGCTGTGTTTTATGGTTACTCAACTACCAATATCCCAATGGCAAGGTCATTATCCATGGAGCATGACCGGAATTACGTCGATGAAAAGTCCCATGCCACATCTGGGCCGCATCGTACTCCCTTTCGGCTAGCCGATCATCCTTCTCTTCTCGAGATGGTGACCCGCAAGTAATATACCTCCTACCTTGGCATCCCCCGTGCTCGCCTTGGCACACAGCCACCACGCGATGAAAGCTTGGCCGCTTCTAGAAGGACGTTGATCCGATTGCCTAAAATTGATTACATGCATGTGGAAGACACAGCAAGGATAGCACCACATGGAAGATAAGCGACTTTCAAGCGAGCGATTGTATTGTCAGATTACGAGGCTAGGTCGAACGAATCGCATCGCCCCTATCTATCATGCGAAAAGCAACCAAAGCGTGGCTATTGTCTTGTAATGTGCAGCGGCTGCTGATCCAACTACCTGAAACTCTGCATACCTACGAGGTCTGCACATAGATTTCGGAGCTTCCAGAAGATTGGTATCCCTCGGTGGCGACGATCTGGTAGTAATGCTGACCCAAGTTCATGCCATAGCGGGACCAGGCGTTGAAGTGGTTCTGCATGTTCACGCTGCCACCAACGCGCTTCTGGGTGCGAACAGACCTGTGTGTTTGTTAGTACATGTTACATGTTCAGCCATATTGCATGCTTTCTTACCAGTACTGCTGAAAGGTCCTTGTTCCGTCAATGGAGGGCTGGTTGACACGGGTGGAGGTGGAAACGTCGTAAGTACCGCCGTCAGTCTGGAAGCTACCCTTGCGCTGAGATCCGCTGCTAGGGTTGTAGGTGCCGTAAGACTCGATCACGTAGTACTCCACAAGCGGGTTGCGGGTCCAACCGTAGACAGCCAAGTAACCGTTACCCTGAGGGTTGAAGGAACCGCCGTAGTTGATGGTGCTAGGATAAGGATCAGCAAACGATCAATCTCAGATCTTCCGGGTGACTTACCGGCCATTTCCAGGGTTCCATCCCTTGCCACCGACGAAGTTGCCTGTGTTCCTCCAGGTCACGGAGTACTTGCTGCCCTCACCCATGGTGTACTGAGCAGAACCTCCACCATCAGTCCACCAGGAGTAGAAGTAACCGTTGTGGTAGCCTTCGGAGCTGGGTGTCGACTGACGCTTCTCAAGGAGAGCAGTCACATTGCCATCGTCGCGCTCAGCGAGGAAGTCGAAGGGAGCGGCGAGCACGCTTGTGGAAGCCACAGCGGCGAGAAGGAGAGACTTGAAGGATACCATGATGAACTGAGTAGGCTGATCTGTGCTGGATGCAGTGACGATACTAAATGCGAGAAGCAGCGACCTTATATGTCTCCTTCAAAGTGGATATGAGCCTGAATCGCTGGAAGAAGTCGCATTTGGTGGTCATGAGATATCATCTCGCCTGTGTCTACATCCGTCTTGGTGTCCATGACAGTGGTGCGTTCCAGTCCTCTCATTTTCAAAAGCACGTCCAAGTGCACTGACTAGAACGGCCTAGAGACCGCAAACGGAACCGTTCAGTATCCGCCTCGGTAATCATGGCAAAGATACAAAAGTACAAAGATCCATGTCCCCTGCACAGATTCTGCACGACACTGAGAGACAATATCGCTGATCCGGGATTTACGCGCTGTCTCGACCCGGTTCACAGGACGTTAATATAAAAGTACGCCACTAAGAAAGGCAGGGAGGCCTTACCCCACACTCTTCGGATGCACACCAAGGCCTGAGAGAAACATCCGTCGAGCTAAAGTCATGTAGGTGTTGGTATTTTAGGGGTAGTGGCGCACGTGATGAAACATTTGGGCGCTGGAGGCGGGAGGCCTCGGCAAGTTCAAGATAACCACCGGATGAAAAGGAGATGCCAAGAATCATAGCAGCCGGCATATCTACTAATCCCGGTGATGCACGCCAAGTCCTCGGCGGAGATGAGGTGTGGAGTGCAGAAATGGCTTTCGAAGTCGGTGAGTCTGCAGGAGACGTTTTGTAGCACCACAGGATAGCATGACGATCGTGTTTCTGCTCGCAAATCTACTGAGGCAGTATGTTGAGAGTCTCGAGAAATTTCCAATGATCGGAGCACGCCTGTGTATCAATATACTGTCATGAACTTTCACGAGTGTTTAGCAGCATGTCGTATGATCGCCATGCTACTAGCTGAACTACCACAATACGCTACGAACCCGACTGTTGTAGTATGGAGCAACCTCACGAAGCTAGCAAAAAGCAGAAATGGATGCGCATATCGTGTGGTGCCAGATGCTATACTAAGGATACACTTGTGGCGACTTCTCTAGGCTTCCAGATCTGAAACCTCCAGGAACATGATATCAGCTGGCAAGCCGGTGGCATCAGAATAACCTTCAGTTTACCCAGTCCTATATAAGACGGTACATGGCTCAGGCTCAGTTCATCCGATGGTAATCACGGCATCATCACGGGGAGAAGGAAACATGGAGCCATGGTCAGAGACATGGGTACTTTGCCTGTATCATACTATGGCGAAAAATAGTGTTCACATTACGGCTTGTGAGCTCATGAACTTCAGCCGCTTCTCAATGACCGGATAGATCCGTGATCTTCCAGTGACAAGTCCGACTACTGTCGCCCATGGAACTGGACTTCCAGCACGTTGCGTTATTTCAATCAGACTCAGCGTCTGCCAAAATCTACTTCAAAGTAGCTTCCAGTGTCGTCTTATAGATCCACATATTGATGAGAATTTGACTGAGCTACAGGCTAGCAAGTCGACACCTACCCAGTGTACCTATGATGCCAATCGAGGCTATCTGTTGTTGCCGCGTTTCCTTCTCATTCAATCGATCCCACGCGGGATAAAGATCGACATGCTCATCCTCATCCTTTCTATCGAATCTCAGCTGAGCGGCAAAGGACGCAACAGTTGTACTTTCTGGTACAATCGTGTGGGGAAAGATGACAATCCTCAGTACACTGTATACCGGGCAGAGTAAGTCCTGCGTTTCATTTGCTGAAGATTGATAAGCCGTAGGAAAGTGGTGACCACCGCGTCTCGAGTGACACCGCCATTGTCCTCGACTTCTGGTAGTTTGAGATGGGGTGACAGGAATCTGTTGCCTATATGCGTGTGACACAACCGCATAAGTGGAGGTAAGAAGTTAGTGTAGTTTCCTATGTAGCAGTCCGCATCGCTGACAGCAAGGAAACCCAATTAGTGACAAAGAACGCGTTCTCAAGACATCTCTGTTCCACAAAAGGCCTTTACCAAACACTCAAGTGTCAAGCGCAAACCCTGCTCCTCCTTGCAACAAACCGAAATCCCAGCCGCCAACCGCACAGACTCAAATGGATGAAGTGGAAGGTCCATTGCCGTGAACAATATACCGTCAGGCGGAATACCGGATTATACAGACCGCTGGCCTCATGGGGTTGCAACTCAAGTAACCCTTCTGTTCACTTTCGTTGGCAAGCACTTTGTGATAAACACAACTAGGTCATAGCGTATAATCACATGGAAGAAATGGGAGGTTCATACATGGTTCAAAGTTCATTGCTCAAAGGCATATACTTCGAGCCTACGGGATGGCTTACGATCGCGGTCATCCACCTGGATTTGCACTCTACTGAGTATGGTATGCTCGAGGCTTACATCGACCTTGACACTTTGTTGGGCTCGGCTATGCTTGGTCTGGATAGCGATCGCACAGCATAGTGTCATTGGGAGACAGTCAAAGAATAGCGCGACTGAAAGATCATCCACAGCTACACTATCTGTGGCATTGGGGGGAGCAATAACGCAGTTACATGCTCATCTAGGGGTCCCCCAAATGAGTACTCAGCGGTCCTTTGGCTCTCCAGGTTACTACTTCTAAACCTCCCCTATTCCCAACATAGGCTCAGCTTCACAATCTGGTCAAAGAAGGCAATTTTCCAGGCGCATATCGCGTGCCTTTTGAGCAAATTGATGAGACAAAACTAGCTTATGTCTCGAGGGTACTTTTCAGACATCTGGAATTGCTGCATGAAAATCGAGGTTGAATAGCTAGAAGGCCTACAAGAGGACCCAGGATGACTTACTGCAGCGATGGAAACATCTTCTTACTGGTGAAGTACACTGGGCCATGTAGAATGGCAAATTCAAAGCCCGACTACCTAGAGGAAGATTAGAGAAACTACACACACCTTTGGTTTTGGGCCTTGTTTGGTCGTACGTCACAAACGACGTACAGTCCCGTCTGAATCCTTCAGGACATTCGACGTTCACGCCAATGCCCGCAACGGACCATACCTACCTTGGTAGTGTGGTCTCGCTACTGGCCCGCTAACGCTCCTACCCCGCTTTTCCGTGCGACACCAACGACTCCAAACGACATGGAAGATCTACGCATAAGTTCGAACAAGGCATCGAGTGATGTGCTTACATGTTTACCAGCCACGTAATCACTAGGTGTGGCTCTGGGGTTCCGATATGACCGGCCGATGATACTCCGGCTTCTACCACTATCGTTCGTCAAGTGAATGATCACGATGTCTGCGTCATCATTTACGCTCGACTGGTAGCTCATGTCTTGAGCTTCCGAGTATTGAGGAGATCTAAAGCTACTCCAAGCTCGGAGGAATCGCCTGGAAGGTCTTTGGGCCACATTCAACGACTTTGGCATTGATGTCCGGCTGCGCACGTACGCCGTTGGAAACAGTGCGGAGATATGATGGAGAGCCGGAAAAAGTTAACATCAAGCCATGGAAGCTCACACTCAGCTTAATTCATCGAATTCATTCCTCTTCTCGCCTTCGCTTTCGCCCCTTTCCGTATACGCTTCTGCAAACCGGTCCCGATCTACATTACTCACGTGACAGCAAACTTCACTGCGGATCCGCCTACCAAATTGGTACCCGAAACCCGACATCCTCCGCTATCCCAGACTAAGCTTATATCCACTACATTTGTACCTGCTATATTTGTTTCGCCATTCGCATCGCTATATTTCCTGTCGCATCACAACTATGCCTACTGCTACACGCTCTCTCGAAACGATGGTCCTACAGGCACACCGTGCGAAGGGTGTACGCTACCCAACAGCATCTCAGAAAGAATGTTTCAAGACTTGGTACTCGTACGCCCTTCGTCAAGGCGAGGTTACTAAGACTTCTCCGAAAGTCATCGAGGAGCACGCGAAGCACCTCAAAGAGATCAAGGAAGCCGCGCCAGGTGGGCGAACATATATTTAATGTATTATACCTCCCAACCAGTACCAGACCTTGACAGTAGCTGACTGGAACAAAAAGTTCGACTCACAGGTGTCTCACTCATGTTCGCGCAAATGCAACGAGCAGCCTTTCGTATTCTGCAGCCTCAAACTGGCAGATCAAATCGCTCGATCATTAATTCCTGATCCACAGATCTTACTTTTCCTTCTTCAAACCCTTCCTTGTTACTGGAAGACGTCTTATAATTTTCATTTCTGGTAGTAGACACATATACATTTTAATGATGCAATCGAGCTACTCCCCCAACCGCTATAGTCCTTGATATTGCCAATTGTGCGTAGCAGTGCAGATTACTTCTCATCGTATGTTGCTGACCTTTGCGACTCCAATGTATTGTTGATGGCAAATCGTTTCACAAGAGAAATGATTACCACAGCGTCATTGCAGCAAATAAAGTTTCAAGAACTCGCATCACTGAAACTTTGTAGGTTTCTAGACGTTCTCTTGATCATTGTAGACACCCGAGTTCGAAGCCCTTATCCTAACTCGATGCAGGGCAAATAATTGCGCATCAAGAAAAACCAGCTGTCAGAATTTCATGTCTCGTTTAGCTCATCATACAGAGCGTTTCGACTGCTATCTATCTACCTAGATCGTAATCAACATAGGAAGGGTAGAAAACCTTGTGCCAGCTCTTTGCTTCACAGCTTTGTCAATCAGCGCTTTCCTCTTTCTCTCCGACTAACTATCTAAAGCTATATCTAAACATACGCATTTTCAGTCACTGCAAAATCTTTTGCTGAGGATGTACGCTTTTATCGTCCTTTATAGTCCCTTGACAAGATGTTGTCTTGTGGGACTATGCTAGGTAGGTATAGACCAGAAGCATCATGTTTGGCCCTCACAGACAAACGATCAAAACAGGGAATAACTGGACTATTCATGGATTATCCACTGGAATCAGCGTCACTCGTTTCTTTCAGTCGCCAGTCCTTTTGGGTGAGTGCATATGAGTATTTTTGTAACAGTAGCAAAACTTCCTTTGCCGGCAGCGAAGTGATCGTGCGTCGTAAGCACACCCTTCAACGGCGAAGTGTTTTCCACGGACCAAGAATGCGGACAGACGGAAACTGGGGGTGGTAAGAGCGAAGCCTGAAGGCACCAATTCCTGGAGATGTGGTTCCCCACGCCACGAGCGGCTTGATACTATTGGGCCGAGGTTCTAACAGCGTCATGCAGGTACCCACTACAGGCGGGGTATAATTACACGCCTCATCCCAAAAGAGAGTCGTATCCCGAACAGCATGGAAAACGTCTAGAATCAAGTCGACATTAATCATTGCTTACCATACCTACGCTATTACCGTACAATTGATGATCTTCGCTACTGTGGTTACTTAAGCCTCCTTTCTGCTCCCATTGAATCGAGTACTACAGCATTACTGCTACAACCCACTCATACTTAACCCACGCATAACCACCATACCTCGCAATTACAATGGCGCCACCATCTTTTCGTGATCTTCTCGGCATGCCCGCTTCCACGGCCTCGACTAGCGACTCTGCTCTTCTTGTCATTGACGCTCAAAACGAATATGTAAGTTCTATCTCATAGCTTTCTAAAATTTGATCTTTCATCCCAAGTATTCTGAAATTTCGATTCCACCATTGCATAGACAGATTTGTTCGGGAAAGGATGCTATAATGCGTTGCAGGCCGTTCGATGCCTTTCTTGCTCACCCTCGCTTCTTGTCGACCTGCAGCATCGCTAATCCCACTCACTAGGCATCAGGTGCTCTTACCGTAACGAATGCTACGGCAAGCGGAAAGGTTATTGCCGACCTTCTCGACAAGTACCGCAAGGCCAACGGCAAGATCGTCCACATCCTACACCAAACACCGGAAGGTGCACCTGTTTTCACACCTGGCACCGACCTGGCAGAAGAATTCAAGGAGGTCAAGGCACAGGTAGGTGAGCCAGCAGGACATTTCTACTCATGTCTGCACAAGAAGAACTAAAAGCGTTCAAATTCTGACGTGCGTATCAGGACGGAGAAGAGAAGATACGGAAGAACTTCCCCGGATCATTCGAGCAAACTTCCCTCCACGAGACGCTTCAGAAGATGGGTGTCAAGAAGCTCGTACTGACTGGCTATATGGCACATGTCTGTGTGTCTACCACTGCCCGTGAGGCCTTCCAGAAGGGATACGAAGTCATTCTTGTCGAGGATGCTATTGGCGACCGCGATATTCCCGGCGTTAAGGGTGATGAGGTCACCAGAGTAGCGTTGGCAGAGCTGGCAGATGTATTTGGCACAGTCGTGAAGAGCTCCGACATCAAGTAATCGAATTGAAGCCAAGAAGTATAACCAATGAACCCTTTGAAACGACTGCCACAGAGCACGTGTGAATGATCAAGGCCCACCTAAAGCACCAACACCCCTCAGCACTGTCACAGTTTGCACGTACCTAACCCTTCCCTCTTCAACCCTGATCTCGTGGCTGTCTGGCCAAGACCCTAAGCTGTCAAACTGGCAACTGACCTGCACGCTTCCGATAGTCTCATCAATGACGTACCGTCTCATTCCATTCACTTTCTGACTTCCTCCGTGTGGTAGACTACCCCCGCAAGGATTCGTATACATGCTTCCTTCCACCCTTTCACACTGCGGACCCCAAGGAATAGTGTCGGCAGCAGTGGCATTTGTCCACATGTCGAGATATGCATCACCGATAGATCTGAGAAGGGCACGAGAAGGCTGCGATGATGCGGGAAGGGTGGACCAGGTTTCGGCGCGGATGTAGGATAAGGTCTTCGCAGCATCAAAAAACAGGTCGCCTGTTGTGGCGGCCACAGTGTCGATGGAGCTGATTGTTGATGTGTCGTTATCTGCATGGCGAATCTGTGTACCAACGACGTGCGGTTGGCTTCCAGATGTGCTGATCCACATTGTGTAGCTGGCGCATGCTGCAGTGTCGGCGGTGGAGCGGTTGAAATTGATGACAAAGGGCCTCGAAAGAAGACCGGTCGCAATAGCGGAAGCCCTGTTGTTTTGGAGGTATGTGAAGTCGGTGGATGTGAGGCTGAGAGTGCTAGGTTTACCCGCTACCTGAGCTGCTAAATACGAGTTTGCAGCCGAGAGTAGTCCTTCCCGCGTACATTCGGTTGATGATGTAGTCCCAGCGAAAAATATGACGACGGCTAGCAGCAGAAGGTAGGATCGATTGTGCATTTTGGCAGGTTTGCAAGCAAAACTCTCTCCAGGAGGCGCGTTCAGGAAACGCTGCGTTCCAGAGACGGAAACACATTGGCGTTAAATGGACCTTTCATGATATCAGACCTACAGTTAATGCGATTGCCGATGACCCCGAGATAATGGTAGTATTATGCCGGATATTGCTCCTTTTTCAAGGTTTCCATTTAACTGCATGCTTGTCAGTGGCACGCTCGAAGCGACCTAATATGCGAAGCTTTGAATAACAGAGTAAATTGGCCCTGGAAGCAAGGAGCGGTAGTTTCGGTAGTATCGTGGCTGGACAGAACCACCATCAAGCCTGTTATTCTTTAGGCAGACAGTGGTCATGATGTACCGCAGTAATTTGTGGGTTCCTCTGTGACGAGGTTTGCCCAATGAGGGGGAAGAGGCGGGGAATGGAGAACTGTGCTGCGTGTCGCGAAATTGACGCGTCCGCGACCCCACCGAACCCGTGTGAGCACGCTCCGTGGGGACCCTGTCGTCATCACTCAGAAGTCATGACGTGCCGGCAATTTCGACATTGAAGACGTGAGTACACTTGTACAGAGTGTGCAAGTATGTCTGAATTGGCTCAATTGACTTATCACTAACTCGTTACAGCATGTAGAGTTAAAGCCACCAAATGGCTCTGCTTGGCCCCACATCACGCGATGTCATCAACGCGGGTTACCTCGTCCGCTGCCCCAGCCAGCGAGAGCCCATATGCCCTTCACGACTGCATCCTCCCCGTCGCGACCTCGAAGGCTAATCTTGCCTTTTTCTAGTTGATACCATCGCAGTTCGCCGTATACTCCAACCAAAACATCTTTGAGCTCATCGTCCGGCCTGCCCTTCCACGCAGCTCCACCGCCGCCAATTTTTGTACAACAACGCTCAACTACTAGGTTCATGATCTCATGGTGTCTGGTTGGGTACGGCACTGGAGCCGGATAATGTGCAATACTCTGGCTAATGAGCACGGTATAGAGGTGCAGCAACGGAAAGTAAGACGACTCGGTTTGCCGAGAGGCTTCGATGATGTAGCGCCACGATATGTCTTCTTCGCCAATGGGTAAGCAGGCATTCGCGCGCCAAATCAGTCTGTTTGCACGTGGGTTTGTAGTCAGCCATTTCGGTAGTACAGTACCTGCGCTGGCTATCAAACGCGCAAGTCGAACCAGCGGAATGGCAAGACCAGTCGCTATATTGGGGCGGCCCAATGAGTCCCAGGATGCAGCGACGAGATTGTAGCAATCTAGGACAGAATCTTGTCTCCTGTCATCTGGCGCGTTGGTACCGAGTGCGGTGTTGATGAGGGCGGGGATGATGGCTTGGTCGAGGACGGAGGTTACTGTGAAGGCGCCGGTGGGTTCCCGCTGCCAGAGTACTTGCAAGCCAGACCATATCTTCAGCATGAGCGCATTCAGGCGTTCGGGCGGTTGGTCGCATAATGCTTGCCAGCTAGAGGCCACGTCGAAGGATTTGCGTCGTTTCAGCTTGGGGACCACTACATAACGGCAAGTTGGACAGGCGTTCGTGTTTCCCCTACCACGCTTGAGCCATTTCTTGATGCATTCATGGCCGAATATATGCTTGCAGGCAAGTGCCACAGGATGATGGGTCGCGCTAAAGTGGTCGGTGCAAATGCTGCAAGTGTCTGTGGGATGCAGTTGTGTATTGAGGAAATTGTCCATGCCTACTTCATGAGCTTGTGTAAGTCGGTAGAGACTGAGTCGAGCGACTCCATGCTAAGGGCTTGTAGCTGATAGAAACGTTGGCAACGACGCATCAGGTGCGTGAATCTGTTTGCAATCAGCGAGCGATTGTGAAGGAACAATGACATGTAAGTGTTGAATACGTGGTGAAACAACAGTAAGTTTGCGACTTCACTGCTCTCCGTTGAATTGACCCGGGGATCAACTGAAGACGCTAACTGATAACCAGGGAATCTGAGTAGCTTTCATTTTGCAACGAAGTTGTGCTATCAGGACGGAAGCTGTCTATCTGGACTGGTGATCGACTTGGTTGCATGAACTCTTGACTTTCTGGCTTTTCGATGATTACCTCTCACGACAGAAGGCTCAGATATCGAACGCTGAACACCTTCCACACTGTCAATGAGGCCTAGGGTGATCACGGCTTCCATCGCCAGCCTGGATGCTTCCACTCGAGATTAGTCACATCGCTTTCTGAGGGCAATGTGAGCTCCAGCTGCGCTTCTGCTTCCTTTTTGTCCCTCTTCTCATTGTCATGTGCCATCCATAATTTGGTACAGATCGCAAGAATAGTCCTAAAGTTTCGTGTACGGTGTAAGTATATGTCTCGTATGCAATTTGCAGAAGAATGTTGCTTACCAAGTCACTGCACAACCTAAGTTAATGCCGTTGCCGATTGCATAACGGGGAGAATCGCCAGGCAGATACGTCCAAGTCGCGATCAGAGCACCAACGTATCCGAAAAAGACGTTTGTACCAATTGCAATGCTTCGTGCGGAGTCGGATAGCACGTTTGCGCTCACTTGAGCGTTCGTCATTGCGCCTAACGAGAAACAAGTTGATGCGCAAAGGAAAACAGCCGCGTAACGCACACTCGCATTCATAGTCGCAAGGAAGATTGCGTATCCAACAGCCACGAATAATCCCGCAAGCGCAATCAAAGTCTGACGAGAGTTCATCCGCCAGCTCACGGCTGTGATCAGGATAGTGCAAATCACCCCGACAATGTATGGTGGCACTGTCAAGAGCTGTTGCTGGATAACAGACCGGCCTGGGTAGATGGTCCGAATGATGGTCGGCAAGAAAAATGAAATAGCTAAGACAGTGATACTGTCGAGCAGAAAGATGAACGATACCGCAAGTGTGACAGGATTGGAGAAGCCGCGTTTGAGCTTTGAGGCGTCGATTTTGTCAAGCAGCTCATCCTGATCGAGACGCTCAGACTTGATCCTGTCAATCACCATCCGCACTTCTTCCTCCGTCATCCAGCGTGCAGTCTGTGGACCGTCAGTCAGTGTGACGAAAGCCACCAAAGCAACAACCATGGTGACGATGCCTTCAATTGCAAATATCCTGTTGCTTGTTACCCGGCTGTCTGCAGCATTGAAGCGGCTTGCTTACATCTGCCAACCATGAAGCGAACCGACAGAGTCCAATTTTAGGATCGCCGAAGCGATCAAGCCACCGAAGGCTCCAGAGAGAGGTGCCATGGTTATCCATAACCCAAGACGAAACGTCAGCTCTGATCTTTTGTACCATCGTGAGAGGTAATAAGCACATCCAGGCATTACGCCAGTTTCGAATATACCCAATAAGAATCGAACAGCACATGCTTGGGCGCGGGTCTGTACAAAGGCTGTCGCTAAGGACATGGCACCAAAACCGAGCGAAGTGAGTGGCAAGAACCAACCAGGACCTGTTTTCGAATTAAACGCGAGCTAAGGAGTGTTGACGTAAAGCATACCGATCAGTTTGCAGCAAAGTGCCGCTGGTATCTCAAAGACAACATAAGACACATAAAACACCGACAACAGTATGTTGTAATCATAGCCTTCAAGCCCAAGATCCTTTTCTAGCCCAGCGAGACGGGCGTTACCTGTTTCCATTAGTCGATTGGTAGACTCGATATACGCAAGAGGAAGTTACCAATATTCGTGCGGTCGATGAAACACATGAGGTACAGCAAGATAACAGTAGGCAGAACAAAGAGATCGATTCTTACAAGCAGCCTTCTCTCACGGCGGCGCGTCGGCTCATTCGGATTCGTGTCATCGTGTCCCACGTCAACTCTCCTGGTTACTTCTCCGGCATTCTTCCCGTTCATATCCGCGAAATCTAGAACAATTTCCAAGGGAGAAAGAGATTTGGAAGCGATAGGGAAGCTCTCGCTATCAAGGCGGGGTATCTGCTTTGAAGAAACCAATACCGGCTTGCATGTCATCTGCGGCGGCGACTGCAGATCATGGTGCTACAGACCAGGGCTAGCTGCTAGCTGCAACGGGACTAGTGACGAATGAGGCATCTAGAAGAACCGTCCAGCAAACCTCGCGACATCCTCATCACTGCTATGCACCTAAGCTAAAACAACTCGGCACAATCACAAGATGTTCATTCCGCACTGCGTTCCTGCTAAAATCATAAAAGGGAGATCGTCACAAGCTCCGGCTCAGGGCGCACACCTTTCATTCAGCCTGGTCGACGGGACGCTCACTAAGCAGCATTTTGCGTCCTAGAACATAGTTCGTTATGCTAGCAATCCTCTTCAGAATTCACAAAAAGGCGTCGATGCTGAGACTTCAAGCTTGCAAGCTTTGTTTTCACCACGAAGCGAGTCTGCACAGCATGCACAACGCTCACGGTCATATAAGTCACATGCTCGCTACCAGCAGATAATTCTGGATCTTATCTTCTTCTGCGAAAGCCGATGCTATCGGTTAGGAAAACCCTTGCAGAATTAGCTCGAGTTTATTCGTGGACCATTATCTAGCTGCAACATGAAGGGCGGACAGAGATTCATGTGGTGGGCGTTGCTTGAGCGAAGAACCTTGTAGATGTTTCTTCTACATCTAAGCTTGGTAGTCTATAATATTGCGACTACAAGGTTCATTCAAGCTAATTTTCGGGAACCTAGAATGATCGACCAGAGTTTACTTGCACGAGTGTAAACGGCGGTATAGCATGTTAAGTTGGTCAGAACGCAGTCATCAAGCTTGTAAAACTCATTTCAGTCATATTTCCACAAATAGGCTGTTACTGTGGTACAAGTGAGTCACATTACTTATATTGAAATCCGCTGTAGATGGAACGGGCGAGCGAGACTATTCCATTAGTATGAGCGAGCACCTTGGTAACGTACTGACAGTACACTATGATTTGCCCAGACGGCGTATACTTATTGCGGTACATGCGATAAGAGGACTCTCTGATAGGCCTGAATTCTTGTTAGGAGGGTGTACCATCGCAGTCGTGATTTTTTTGACTGGCAAATATCTTTTTGTTAAACCAAATTGGCATTAGACAAAATGTAAGTGGCTCACCACCATGGGAAAGACTGGAACCATGGTTTTCGATATCAGGGAGATAATATATGGGTTTCATTTCTAAAAAGAGACGCAGCATTAGCACTTCTCATTCATCACATCCCAAGAGTATTGTTCAAGAATTTCTCACCAAAAAAAGAATGTGTCTACTCTACAACTACATTTAAGTTACATCCAAGCCCTGTCCAAGCCTCATCCGTAAGAAACACGAAATAGACCATGTCAAGCATTTTCAGCAAGATATTCGCCTTCTTCTCTTGGCAAAAGCCACCACCACCCACCTTCCGCATTACCGCACTCGTTGCACCCGCAACATCAGAACAGTACCGCTCCAACTCCAGCTTCTCACACGCTGATCTACTCGGTATCGAAGAAACAATCACATTCGATGTTGACTGCGACGTAATTCCGGAGCAGATCCGCTGTAGCTGCCTCACGTCCGGAAACGAATGCACCGCAAAATACCTAGAGGAACATTATGTGATGGAATGGGCTGCTGGTAGTATCATGGAGTATGAGGAGGTGGAAATTAGAGGCGAATTAGTGAGGAGGGAGAAAAGAGGACGACCTAGAATTTGGGAAGGATGGTGCAAAGATGGTGGGATGGTTTATTTGGGGCCAACGGAGAGAATGAGGTGTATTGAGGGTTACGACGAGCATCTCAGAGAGCAGGCGAAGATAGACGGAGCCAGGAGGACGAATAGTTGCGAATGATTCTGCAACTTGGTATCATTGTGCTGTGCATAGGCAAGCCGGGATGTTCGCGGTACCTATGTACCTAGTGTCAGTGTATCGTCATTATCACCGACCAAACATTGACGATCGTCTTACACAACGGTTTCGTTTGTCTCCAATAACCCTTTTCACACCGCGCGTCACGCGCGAACTCTGACTTCACAAAGTCTTTGTTCATCAAACACACACTCGATCTAAGCCACTTCTTCTTTATCACTTCTCGTACTGACGCCCCCAGGACTGCGCCACTTCATTTCGCGCAAAGCCTCAGGCGTTAATCGGTTGCTTGCATATATTGAAATCGGCTGAGTCAAGGCCACGGTGCGAAATTGAATATGTCGGTACCTTACTTTGATCCTTTAGGCGAGACAGGTAAGAGCTCAGGGTCGGTGAGAGGCTCGCATGTTGACTCCAGTTCAGAACCAAACAACACACGCTATACCCTGACAGTCGTGGTACCACCCAGACCACCGTCACGCTGGCTGCCCAGCATATTCAAGAATAAGCCATCTACCCACTCAAGCAATGCTGGCGCACACAAGCTGCCCGTATCGGATAACAACCCCCACCTCGACCTTTTTGAATTCAAAGACATCGGTGCTCTGGCCACCAAGACCATCACCATCATGAGTGCATGGTTTCCAGCTGAAATGAGGTGTGCGCATGTTCAAAAGGGACTGCTGTGTGGAGAACGCTGCTACTTTCTTGAGAAAGGCGGAGATGTGACAAGGTGGTGGTGTAAAAGGGAAGATTGTGAAGGACATGTGTACTGCGGACGAGTCATGACAGATGACAGAGGAAGATGTTGTTTTGGTAAGAAGGGAGGAAGAATGGTATGCTTGGAAAGGTGATCAAAGGTTATGCCCTTGACGAATATCTTCGAACACGAATTCAATGAGCAATAATGTAATAAGATGGTATTATAGTAGTGCGTACTAGGCGACGATGCGCAAGTATGTATAGGGTATTCGCTGAATCAAAACTTGTTCGAGATGCACGGAAAGCACTAAAGAATTCGCTCCGAAATCTTTACAGGAAGAAAGCAGCAACAGCGGCACCAAGACCGGCCAATGCCGGGACTTGGATCATCTGAGCAGCACCGGTGGCTTGCTCGGCAGAGCTGGAAGTTGGAGAAGCTCCGGAGCTGGCAGCAGACTCTGAGTCGGAAGTGGTGGCAGTGGCGGATTTAGAAGCTACAGAGGTCATGGCAGAGCGAGATGCTGTTGCAGAAGCGCTATCAGCGGACACTGACGCTGCTGCAGTCGCACTCGGAAGCGAATCGTCGCCTTCTGTGATAGTGAGGGGGATCATGGCGAAGTATCCATCGGGCAATACCATAGAGGTTTGAAGGGCAGCGTCCGCACCATCGGGGCAGAGGTCGGAGTAATCGGCGTCGGCGCACACAGAGCTCATCGCCTCATCGAGGCCCTTGGTAGTCATGGTGCAAGATGCTGATGCCTCATCGGTGTTCTTGCGTGAGCATTCGCCGGAGATTGTCACAGTTACGCCGTAGGTTGAAGCCGCTGCCTCGAAACCGTAGTAGGTATTGCCTCCAACAGTGATTGTCGCTGGAACATCGGCCTAATTGCAACGAATCAGTGAATGTCGTCGATAGCTTCAAGTCGTTACTAATTACCATTACATCCTCCATAGTGGCACCTGGGACATCCAAAGACAAGGTAGTGCGGTCATCGTTGACATTGATAACGGCACCTTCGTATGAGACATCGCCATCCGACAGACCCGGCAACCACATGGAAGTGGTTGTTGTAGCCGCAGCAGACGAAGCAAAAAGCGCCAGAGACAAAAGCTTAGACATTGCGATGTAGAAGGATGAGTATCAAGTCCAAGTGTTGGAACTGTTGTAAAGAACGAAAGACAGTAACGAGTGATGCTTGACAATGCAATGAAGACTCTTTGGCTGTGGGATATCCAGTCTACTTATTGGGGAGATTTGATGGCTGATCGCCTAACTGACAGCGCATGATGCGGGAGGCCTAACCCGTGCTGGCCCCCTGAAAACTATACGAGCCGCCTTTCCAGGCACACCGGTATCTGATGTGGTCTAGTTGCAGTCTATTTACGCGACTGTTGCCTGAAAGAAATTGCTTGTAAATTCTCCGCATCTGCTTGGGTGGAGCGAGGCATACTGTGGAGTGACGTTGATACCTAGGGAAGCCAAAAGCACGTACAGAGCCACGGTATGATGGTTTCAAGTTCCCATAATCATTCTGCAACACAGACTTATGGAGTAAGGCTTGGTTTGCCCATTTCTTATTTCTTATGTCTGCTGTCTTGATGTATCGGTGGTAAATGGCCTGTCAAAACTCCGCGCGCAAAAATTGACAAGCAACAAAGTTTGTGGCTTGGATCTTGTGGTCCATGCGTGTTTCGGAAGGCGCTCTCTGCGCCATTGGTAGCCATGTTAGCGAGACGGTAAGCAGGATCCTAACTGCCAGTCCTATGGACTTGGGGCGTTTGAGTAGGTCGCAACTTCCGAGGGCGTGCTGAGAGAAGCGTCTTGCAGATGTGGGTGAGCATTGAAGACTGGAAGAAAGCGCATGCACCAAGCGCCGCTGACATAATGAGAATTTCCACCTTCGTGAGCATACAAGTTTTCGGCACGACAAGCACAGAGACCACGTTCGACAAAGCAACGTTCAAATTACAACACAATAAGGGGTATCGCGCTCGAACAAACAATATAACGCAACACAAACGCCATCCCTGTGCCTCCCTGCCATGCCATCCAGGTAGAACAAGCCTGTCAGCCTAATACACCAACACCTCTATCCGCCGTCGTTCTCACGCCGTTCGCCGTTGTTTCCAAAGCTAAAGTTGCCGTAACTACTCGGTGTATGCGCATGGATATCGGGTCCAAAATCGTCAGGAAGACTTTCGTAGGAGTATCAGTCTTTTCTCCATCAGGCGCGAACCGTTTCATAAACAACCATCTTAGGAGTGTTCCTGATGGTACTGGGCGCCACGGCGCATACCACTCGAGAAGTTGTAGTCATCATCGTCGTCGTCTCTTGCGCGAAGGAGCTCCTTTGACCAACCCTGGAAGGGCTTTTTGAGCGCCGCTCGCAAGGACGAGGGAGTCGCAATCGCATGGTGTTGGCTCAACGACGAACTCTCGACTGGCGCTGTCACAGAAGAGCTGCGACTCGATGGCTTAGAGGTTTGTGCGACCATGTTGAAAGTTTAGGTGAGGCTAAGATTCGACGATTCGATGTATTGGAAGAATGTAAGTATGATAGGAATATTGATAGTTGCTAATGTTTGCTTGATCGATGAGCGACTTGCTTCAGGCTGCTGGTAACGGCCTACTATATACTCCTGTTGTCGCAAAGTCGAAACCCATCGGTCCCAACAATTGTACCGCCGAGCCATCGCCGAAGAGCCTCACTCGAAAAGACAACAATTCTTGATAAAGATGACCCACTGAATTCATACATATTCCAGACTCTGGTCATGGTGATTGGTCGAAAATTTGACTTTCTCGATTTAGTCGGAACGAATTACTGAGTCTGTGGCAATTCGGTCACAACTCGGATTTTCGGAGATGATCGGGGAAGCTGGAATCGGGGTACTTCGGAATGCACCAGTCTTAGAAGTATTGCCAAGGACACCAGACAATCGCAAGCTCGTCAAGACATGGCCAATTGGGGATCAAGCATTCGTCTTCTCTACTCTACACAGGTTTGAGTTTTTTTTTTAAGAAAAAAAAGTCGATAGATAGATCCGCCTTAACGACCTTTACCCACAGGCACACCTGCCGCAATGATCATTCGCGACCGCTTAAACAGATTCAGTCATCTGACGATAAACTCATAATACAACTGTGGGAGACTATCTTTCTGGACCGCTCTTAGCCTCGTCGTTAGGCATGAGTACCAGATGTGCATACCCTAATCGCTCATTGCGATGATTGCCGCTATCCGTCTCATAGCACCTGAAAATTGTGCTAGGTCTTGCTGTGCCAGATCGTTGGTAGTTGTAGCTGTACGCTGCGCGGTGGTAAGGGCCCTTCGTATATTCGACAGTTCGAGTTTCCTTATGTCGTCAGTCGAGTCGTCTTCTTCCTGCTTTGCTTGCTTGATCTTATCCGCGATTCGATCCATTTGGAGTAACGACTCCTCGATCACGGTGTTATATCTTTCAACGAGAGATTGTAATAACTCTAGGTATGTATACAACTCTTTGGATTGTGCACTCAAGATAAACTTAGTACGACACATGGGGCAGGTTGCGTCTTCATCTTTGTGAAGCTTTGTGTGCAGCCAAACATATAGGCAGAGTTTGTGGAAGACATGAGGCGATAGACATGTCTTGGTCTGGACTATGGCCCTAGAAGAAATAGAGGACGATTGGTTGACAATATTCGACGGATCGGCCTCCTCGTCGCAACCGCAAATGTCGCATTCTTTACCGTGCACGACGTAATAATCTTCCTGGAGGTCATCTACACTTTCATAAAAAAACATGCTCAGACTCAGGCCGGTTGCAGTATCGTCGGGCATGTCGAGTATGATCGAAGATTGGTCGAGCTGTAGGGTCGCAGGCTACAGGTGTACGTTGAGAAGAAAGGGTTGGCAATGTTAATAAACGAACTTCGTAACGTGTGTGAAAAATGTAAGTCACGGCTGTGGACATTCTCTAGGCTGCCATTTCACCTCTGCCAGACCTTCCAAGATACAGTGTTCATACAAATAAGCCCCTAGCCTTTGACACATATCTACCGGAGCTCGGGACATCCAATAAGACTCGAGTAATTCACAAGTAGTCTTCGATATCACTTTCCATATTCGGTGCCTCCTGTAGTCTCAGCGCAGGATCGACCTCTGAGAAAAGCCATAGAGCTTTACTAGAACGACGACCTACAGACGACAGCTGGATTTTGGATTTCAACTCACCGGCATATCTACTGCTTATAGAAGTCTTTCTTCTAGACCAACCAAACCATAACTTGTAGGCGCAACGAAATAATAGGTTTGCACCAACACCTCTACAAAGGAACGTGGCGAGAAGTTAACACGCTCGATCGACAAGAAAAATGCAAAGGACTCTGGTTCGCGATATTGAAGTGGATTGAATGTGATGCGCATCTTTCTGCACTGAGCAAAGTTTGAATGAACAAATGCCATAACAACGGAAAATTGTCCTTGTGAAAGAGTAACTAGCGAGAGGTAAGATTGCACGACATAATGCTTGCGCTGCGTAGTTCCACCGCTCATACGTCACCTCTGTACATCCTATCCGACTCCTTGAACGTCCCATGAAATCCGAAGCTCATCGGACCCGCCATCTCTGCTCTTCCCATCTCCGTCAAATCCTTCGCCCTCAGTACGAGTAAGTAGCTTTTTTCCGCATACCCATCCAAAACCACACTCAGCAACACGCCGTCATCTTCCTCCATGCCTTCCGGGTCGGCAATGAAGATGGCTTCACCAGGCGTGTGACCCTCTTCTTCCCAATATTTGACTTCTTGAGTCTTGTTGTCGAACTTGACGAGGCCGTCGAAAAAGGAAGATTTGAGACGGTCAGCGCAACCGTATGTGTAGCGGTGGCGTCGTGTTAGATATGCAGGGTTCAACGTGGGCAACTCCATCGACTTGAACTTCTCAGCCTGGAACAAGAGCTCAGCGGGCATGGGAGTAGGGACACCAGCGTCAATGCTGGGAAGACGAAATTGTGCCTGCATCGGTAAAGCTGTCATACGCTTCTCACCTTCGTACTCGCCCGTGTCGATGGAAGAGATGAGATTATCGTAGTAGAAGCGCTTGACAACATCAAGGTTCTCGAACATGCTGAGCTCGGTGATGATGTCTGTTTTGGTGGGATCAGAAGCTGACGGTTCTTCCCAAGCGTTGATACTGTGGAAGCAGAAGAATGCTTTGCTTTCGTACGTTGCTATGAGTCCTTTGCCCTGTCGCCGATCGACGACGTACCACGTAGCTTTGGTATTTGGGTCGAAGGGTGCCATGGCATCAATGACGTTTTTGTGGTACATGAGCGAAATGCCACCCCATGTGATATGGCTGTTCCAGACACAGAGAACGACGTAATTCTCTGTTAGAAACAATGAGTGGATGTATGCAGGCGTTCCATGGAAGGTGGCGAGGATGTCTGTCTCGCCAGACGATGCTGAAACACGAAAGATGCGGTAGGTGCTCTTATAACCAAATTCCAGGTTGAAGTTGAACATGTCACCAGTCTTGGGGTCAGACTTGGCATGAGCAGCGGAGAAGGGCCCTTTCAGTTCTGGATGGAGAGATTTCTGGCGAGCGTAGCCCCGTGGTTCCAAAGTTTCAGGGTCGATCTGCTTGACCTCGTGAGAATCCGTTTTAACATGTAAAGTGTCGATGCCGTTGGTGTGATTGTTTGTTGTAGGTCTCGTAGCTCCAGGCAGTTTGTCACCTCCTGGCATATTGATTGACAAGGTAACACCGACGTTATGTTCGCTTGGTATTGATACGAACATGCTCATAACTTTGCTAAAGAAGCTTTCGCATAGATCTGAATGCTTTGGGCCGAACGTGGTACTGTCGAGTCTGCCGTTCTTACGGACCATCTCAAGGTATTCATCTACTGTGCGTCGAGAGCGGTATGTAACCTTCGGTGGACTGTCCGCAAGGGGAGTGGCGTCTATTTGGAAGCGATGAACACACGAGAACCCATCGAACCAATGCTTTGCCGCCCAGACCTTTCCGTCGTCTGTCTTTGCCTTGTAGCCGAGCGGCCCTGTTCGGTAAAGTACACCCGCAGCATATTTGGGGATGGTGCCCTTGACAATGAGTGAAACGGGTTCGTTCTCTTCGTAGTTCGTGTCGAAGCCTGCCGTGTTAGGCCAGACATCTGTTGTGGCGACGACCATGCTGATGTTCAATTTCCCTACCGTACTGCGCGTGCGTGCGTGGTAACACAGAAGATTAGGTGTCTTACGGTGCCTTGAGGGAGGTTGGGGAGGGTCGTAGAGAGTACTGAAGCTTAGCTCGATCGTAGGGTCAGAGAGGTGGCAACGAGGCAAATAAAGCAAGTGCAAAGAGAGAGCAATAAATAGGCAGGTGCAGCTTGAAACTTTTCCAGACTGGGAGACCTAGCTACAAAGAGTTGATTAACCTTATTGAGTAGCTTGGCTAGAGATATAGAGGAGATTATACGTTTTAGCTTCCTCGAACGCAGCTGACAGTGCGGATAGCCTTATATGCGGGGCGGCCCCGGCTCAACCTTTCCGTACGTATCATGAACGCGGTGAAATCACAGTCGCAATACATTCCTCAAGACAACGTTGCTGGTGGCTTGAAAGGCTAAGGGAACTCGATACTTGGTCAGGAAATAACGATCGCTCACACTTCTTCGCTACTGCATAGAACAGGACAAATAGACACCCCATTTTCTTCGCGACTGGGAGCAAATCTCTAAGAAGATTGGATTTAGCCGGACCCCATGTCCTTCTTTCACGTGCAAATCTATACAATGTGGTTGTTACACTATTTGAACTCCTATCTTTCACACCCATGCGGGGTTTCACGGATCCAGGCCCCAGGTCTGGTCGGTGATGAGATCAGATCGACCATATAGAAACCGTGAGGAGACGACAGGCGTAGAGAATCAGGTTTTCATTGCGCGGACTTCTCCAGGCGTCGTTTCATGCTGACCTAGAAGCCCCGTATGGGTTGATAGTTGACCCACACCTTACGTGCGTAGGTTAAATAATGCGCATTTCGCAAGATACTCCCTATGGAGATGCCGACGCTTAGCAGCTATGCTTGGTCATTGCTTTGTTGACATTCTCTGCTGCAAGATCAGAAAGGTTGTATGAAAATTATGGAAGAGAGAATAAGCAGGATATGCGAAATAGTCATGAAGACATTCCAAGCGACACTTCAGGCGGAGAGATGCCTGATCGCCGAAGATGTAAGCTAGCACCAACGCAGCACTAGCTCTCAGCCCTATGGCGGGCTTTGGCAGTTGCATCATCAATTTGGACTCAACATGGTCTTTCGCACGAATCACATCTTCGACGCCACAACCACCATTATCATTGCACAACCCGCGGCCAGTCCAAAGATTTCAGAAGTCACTCCGCCTTTACATGGACCGTTAGCGGCTGTCAACTACTGCCGAACGGCCACCGCGCGCGAAAAACCCCACTCCAATCTCTTGACCAAACACTTGCTCGACTCACAAACCTCGTCTAAACAAGCACAAACGTCCGCCAACATGGGAGCCATAATATCTCTTCCTTTCACAGTTCTCAACCTCCTCCTACCATTCACGCGATCTGGCACACCTCTGTCGCAAGATCTCTTACATACAGCAGTCCTATGCGGCACATTATATTTTGCCCCACAAATAGGCGAATGGTACAATGCGCAACGGCAAGCAGCAGGGGCAGGGTCAGGTCAAAGGGAAGACAATGAAGATGCGAATCGCGCAGTTGAGCCAGCGGGTAGAAATCAAGAAGATGCACAAGAACAAGAACAGGGCGAACAACTCCCCCTAGACGAGCGTCTGGTCCTGCAAGACGACGGCACAGAAGCCGCGCGACCACCTCGAGCACCCACACCACCGCCTCACCAGGCCCACGTTGAAGACCTTCCTGAACTTCACCATGCCCAACGACACAATCACGAAGAACGAGAAGTCCAACTACCCGACGATGCCTTCGCTCCCGGCCCCGCAAACCCCCCACCACAACAGAACGCGAACCGCCCACCCCCAACCCAACGAGTAGTTGGCACCAAGAAAGCCAAATCGCTTGCTCGAAAAGACCAACAGCGCGCCTACAATGAGTGGCTCCGCTCCGAAGCTGAAATGCGGCGCCTCCAAGAAGCCGAAGGCCGCGAGGAACGCGAGGCAGCTTCTGCAGCAGAAAAGGCTCGCCGAGCAGCCGTAGAAGAAGAAATTCGGGAAAGAGCGAGACAAGAACGGGAGGAACGAAAAGCAGAGGAGAAGAGGGAGGCCGAGCTGGAGGCTGCGAGAAGGGAACGGGTAATTGCATTTGTGAGGGACAAGATGAGGCAGAAGGGCGCCGTTGATCTCGTGGATGCGGCGTGGAATGAGGGCAAGGACAGGCTCTGGGTTGAAAGATTGGTCAAAGCAAGCGGGCTTATGCAGCAACTGCAGAAGGAAGGGGGGCATGTTATGATTACGGGGCAAGATTGGCTTGTCAGGATCGATGGCGATGTCATGGAGAGAGCTTATGCGGAGGCTGAGCAACTTGGAGAGAGAAGTGGCGGTAAAGTCAGCTTCGAAGAGTTTGGAGGGATAGTAGAGAGGACGGTCTTGGGCAGGGCGGCCGCTTAGACATGTACCCAACGTTGAGCACGATATACAGGTAGTAAGTGTAGACATAAGATACCCATAGATGATTCTGAATAATACACTCGAGTCTATCAACATGGCATGCACGGCGAGCGCCATGGCGGTGCCAATGGAGTGAATCTTCACTGCTGTCGAGATGCCTTCAAACAGCGAATCTGGTCTCTTCCAGCCAGTCTGTGACCATCAACATCACCTCGCACGCAACAACGGCTCATCTGAACGTGGTATCGTATTGTCCATTTTTGTCATGCAACCATGAAAGAGGTCTTATTCGCCTAGGAAAGCCATGCCATGCATAAGATCCCTCATCCCGTCCGATCAAAATACGACCAGAACAGCCATTCGAAAGAACTCCTCCCAGAGACACCATGCACACCCATACAAAGAACGCACGCCTTTATCGGTTGGACTTGGCGACACGCTCGAGCTCATCCTTCTTCTTGATGGCGTACGAGTTGCTGCTTCCCTTGGCAGCGTTGATCAGCTCCTCAGCAAGGCACTCGGCAATGCTCTTGACGTTGCGGAAAGAGGCCTCACGGGCACCGATGGTGAGGAGGGAGATACCCTGGTTGACACGGCGGAGGGGAGAAACATCGACGGCCTGGCGACGGACGGTACCGGCGGAACCGATACGGGTGGAGTCTTCACGGGGACCGCAGTTGACGATGGCATCGACGGCGACCTGGATGGGGTTCTGGTCGGTCATGATGTGGATCTACGATTGTCAGCCATCTCCTTGGGGGCATTGCATGCCACTTTCGCGATTCGAAAATCTGGCAGGTCATAGACGTACGATCTCGAAAGCGTGAGCAACGATACGGACAGCCATGAGCTTCTTTCCGTTGTTGCGGCCGTTCATCATGAGCGAGTTGGTGAGACGCTCAATGATGGGGCACTGGGCCTTCCTGAACCGCTTGACGGCATATCGGCCGGCGGAGTGTGAGATGTAGACAGGCGAGCGGATCTGGATGTAGTCGCTGCGGCTTCAGTTAGCCGAAGGTCTCGCAGCGCAATACAAAGTATCCAATGCCACCATTGTCCCTTTATGTAGGTATGCGGCGCGATATCGTGGGGGAAACGTACGTCAATGAGATGTCGCGGACCTCAACCTCCTCGTAGGACCACTGCGAGCTGTTAGTTTTGTGCGTGTGAGCGGAAATCGCAATGCGCCTGCCTTGTTGAACAGCTTAACGCTGCCCTGCTCGTCGGTGACATCCTTGGGAAGGATGTTGATACCGGTGGGGTTCTCGACCTCGATTTCTCCGTTGTCAGACATGATTGCGGTTGTCGGTGTGGGAGGGAGAGAGAGGGATGGGCGTCAAAGTTCGTAGTCGCTGTCGATGAATACTGAAGTCAGTCCTTGGACTGGTGGGCATCGAATTTCGAGCTCGCTTGGTCCGCCAATGGTGCGCTAGTGGGGCTTGGCGGCGTTGCACGCGTGCCGACCATCTCCTCCTCCACGGCTTCTTGTGCAAGGAACATCACTCTTTTGATTTATTGTCACATGCAGGCCATGCAGGCACATGCCCACAACTAAGTCAATAGTTCTTGCCGCCACAGCATTTGCATACATTCCACAACCAATACATTATAAAAGCTTGAATGCTAAGAGCGGAAGATGACCATACTGAATTACAATATCATAAGAACTAGCAAAAAGCACAACTGTGGTATATAACGCAGTCACTGCCCGTCCAAAGCCAACCATGCATGCATGTAAACCAGACGCCAGGTAAAATTCAAAATGCAGCAAGAGCCTCCAACGCCATGCAATGCCGCTAAGCGCAAGGTAAAGTCGCAACAGGGAAAATCAATAGTATCACGACTCTCGCGGCGCTCTCGTCAGCAAAGCAGCCACCAATCACTCTCTGAAACTTCCTCTCTGGAATGCTCATCTCAGCTTTCGCGATACACTGCGGACGCGGGTCACGGGTGCACTGATGTCTCTACGATCCTTCGCGCCCTCGACCATCTGCTTCATTGGCGTTCCGTGACCAGCGGCCATGCTTCTAGCACGTCCCCTACGTTCACGAATGGCTGCGAGGGCGGCTTCGCGGTCGATGCCTAGCTTGTTGAGTGACAGTTCACCTAAGACAGGTGTCTGTGTATTAGCCGCAGCATGTGCGACGGTCGAAGGAGTCATAGGCCCCCGACCTGGCTTGAATGCTGGAGTGGCAGGAGAGAAGTGAAGAGGGATGGTAGTGGTGGTGGTGATTGTGCGAGTGAGGTATGGTGTTGCTGGACCGGTAGGCTCCCGGTCTGGCGTCGGTGGTGACATGTCCTCATCTTCACTGTCATCCACGGCATCTTCATGGATACTGATGTCTACAGCCTTGCTCTCCCTGCGAGCAGGAAGGACAAAGTCTACCCTAGACGCTGGACGAGACTGTGGTAGCGACACTTCAGTAGGAATGACTGAGTTGCGCATGTGTGCCACCTCCATCGGTGCATCAATCATCTCCACCGCAGGCGTTGGTTCTGCAGGTGTTGCCAAGTCTGCTGATGGGCGCGACTTCATCGGGGAGGGGACAGAGCGGAAGGTTCCTGTGTCAGGAGAGAAGGCGACAACGGTCTCTGGTTCCTCAGCCTCTGTCTTGACTGCGACGTCCTCTGGCGGTGTGATGGGTCGCTCGTTTTCAACAGACTCTTGCTTGATCGCTACGTCTTCCATAACTTCGTCTCCGTGGTTGCTAGGCGGAGGTGTGGAGATGGGTAGCGAGACCTTGATGCGCTGCATCTCATCTTCCAGAGAATTGTCGTGGATGTATTGCTTTCCACTGTTCTCAGCAATGCGGCAAGAACAGCATTGGAACTGGCATTCCATCTTCATGAAGTCGATCTGTTCCTCAGCGCGCTCTCGGGCACGCCTCTCTGCTGCCAGCTCCTGCTGAACAAAGCGCAGATCAATTGCGTTCTTTTTTGGAGACACGTTTTCCTTGTCGTCATCTTCACGCGAGAGGTTACGTGGCTTGCGTGGTGATCGAACGGGTGACGCGAATTCATCGGTCTCTTCTGCATCGGCGGATGGGAGTGGAATTTGGCCTTCGGCAGCGATACGCAAGACTTCCTCCTCTTTTAAGCTTGTCTTAAGAGCATCGCGTTCTCCTTCTACCAAGCCTAGCTTTTCTTTGAGTGCCTGCACTTCTTCGTTCAGTCGGTTGGAGACAGTCTCGATCTCAAGTTGCAGATTGTACACGTCGTTCTTGTACTTGGCAGCTTCGTCGGTCTTGAACTTAACATCCGACTCGGCCCGCTGCAAGCTACGCTGAAGCCCCTGCATCTTAGACTGGAGCTGTGGTATCATGGCAGAAGTCCGTAGCTTCTCGTTGTTGGCTTCCATGAAGTCCTTCTTGGCGTGACGATATTTGCCCTCATAAACTTGGCTACGGCGCTCTGCTTCCACCTGAAACCCATTAGTAGCTGACATGGAGATGCAAAGGTATGATAGACTTACCGCTCTGGCTCGATCACCCCTCCACTTCTCTTCATTTTCCTTAAAAATCTTCTCCCATTTCTTGATGGCAGCCTTGCTCGCCTCGCGCTCCTTCTCGTATCGTTCCTTGGTGATAGCCTCTCCGAGAGAACCACTCGCGTGTTCGAGTTCGTTCTTCAGCTCGTCGATGCGGATGTCGCGTCGGCTCAGAGCCATTTCCTGTTCTCGTTCCTTCTTGGCATGTTCTTTTTCAATTTTGTTCAACTTCTCGGCATGTCGTATTCTCTCCTTGTCGAGCAGGTCTTTGAACCGCTTGCATGCTTCTCTTGGGTCCTTAACCTCGAGGTTCTCGAACATGCCGGTAAGTGCTGTAACGGAGACATCAGAGTCGGTCCGGCGGTGTGTGTGTCGTAGCGGCGAGTGAGGACGGAGGTTTGGCGTAGATGGTGACAGGACCGGAGACGATCCTCTGGAGTCGCCAAAGGGAGATCTTGAGCCTGCACCGCGGTCGGGGCTGGCGGGAAAGATGGGCATCCCAGGCGAGAAGGGAGCCTTGTTGGGCGAGAGAGGAGGAGGGGGATCCATTGGGACCGGGGATTCTTTGAGGCGCGCCAACTTGACGGTTGGGGAGGGTTATGTATGTTGTTGAGGGGTAGCACCTGCTATGAGTCTGGTTTGGACTTTGGTAGTCTAAGGAAGTTGTGCAGCACGTCTATGTAATGTGCGATGGTGCGAGCTCAGACGATAAATGTAAATAGCGCTAGCCAGCAACGCGACGCCACTTCCCTGCACCATGGCAACCCGCACGGACCAGTCTGATCCGCGAACCCCACGTCATATTGTTTGACCGTTTCGACAAGCTGGGGGTGGCCCCTGTGGTGTAACAACGGTCAAATGCTACATGTGAGGAGGCGCCTTCTACTGGCAACGCAAGACGTCATGTTGGAGGCAGTCACTTTGCTGTAATTCACAACACGTACATCTCACCTACGACGTAGATAAACAGACCGTCTTCGTGGAACATAATCGGGAAAGCGAATGTGAGTGTATTGAGTAGGCTTCCTTAAGACCATGACAAACCCCATCAACCATAACATTACCTCGATAGCAATATGGGAAATAAATGAAACACCGCGAGCGCTCCTCTCTCACGCCTATTGCAGCTCCTGCCGTCGCTCCCCGTCTTCATGTCAGACGCTCATGTAAGCGACTCCGTTTGGCGCTATGCCATATTCTCCAGTCGATTGAGCAGGCGTAGCAACCACATCCGGGGTTGTGGGTAATGACACGGCGCTAGTGATCATAGTACCAGGCGTAGCTGAAGAACCTGAAGTGAAGTTAGCATACAAGCTATTCTGGACAAAAGCAACCAGATCACACACCGGATAGTACAGCGCTAATTGGACATGGTGTCTGTGTAGCGTTGGATGAAGTGTACTGAATATTCATGGTTCCTAGTACCGACGGAAGAGGCGAGCTGGGAGCATAGACTTCTACTGTAGAGCTCCCCGCCAGAGTAGAAGTTGCAGGGTAAACGGCAGAGTCTGTGCGATGTCAGATGTGTTGGGTCATATCTATCCCTGGCGGGCGGATTGACGAACCCAATGTATTGGAGATGTAGATACTGTTTTCCATTGCATAAGTCGTGGCGTTGCTATGCGGCATGTACTCTGTTCCATGAGCTGGTGATCTAGTATACCCTGTCGAGATTGGTATGTAGGCTGTTGGTACCGTGCCTGTCGCATACGTATTGTGCGATACTTGTGTTCCTTGGAGAGTGAGCGAAGCAGTGGGATAGGGCGCTACGGATACAGTCGCGTAGTTGGAAGGATATGGTATAGGGGTGTCTGCAAAGACGTCAGTCATCCATATACAAAGGAAGCTTGTCACGAAGATCGAGAAGAGCAATGAACGAGACGACAGTCATACTGAAAGTGCTTGAAACCACAGGGCCATGTCCCCCAACATGGCATACACTGATGCTTGTAATAGGTGTTATAGAAGAATACCCTGATATAGCCGGGATCTCTGGAGGTGCTACAGTCGGTTCAGTGGGGCGAATCATGGTACTGCTCAACACGATCGGGCTCGGCGAAGGGTTTGTAGGATAGCCTGTCATCATGTTAGCTATTGGAAGTTGACGTTATCATGGTTCTCGTGACCATATATCGTGCTACCATCGCTTATAGGACAATGACCAGTTTGCAAGGCGAGTGACGCGATGCCCGAGCCAGCGACTGTCACTGTCGCAGTCGAAGAAGTGGCACAAGGCGTACTCGAAGTCTCAAGACCTATATCAGATGACCTAGCCATGGTTGTCGGATAAGAATATCCAGTACCATGGCTCTCTGAAGGGCAGTGGTTTTGGTCACCGCCTTTGTAGACATCTAACGCAGGGACTGAATCATGATGGCTTCTGGGAATGACGAGAGCGGATGCGAAAGCGCTGGTGAGCACGACTCCAAGGAGTGACGTCTTGAAGAACCAAAGTCCCATGGCGTAGATCGTGCTGCGGTGATTATTGGATCTGGGCTGAGTGATAGAAATGTGTTTTGATCAGAGAATGAAGGACATGCAGGAGTTACTCGAGGTTAGACTCGAACATTGAGTGCCATACATATACCTCTATAGACCGGAGGGCTTCAAGACGCCTCATTGTACAGTCGCGCCGGAATCTGCAAACTTGTAACATTAGACCCATTCGTCCCTACACTATCCCCTTGTGTGATTGGCTAGCGGAAGGATCGTTCTGTGACAATGTGCACTCCCAAAGAATCGTGAGGGAGGCGTACTTATAATCGCCCCAAATTGTAGAACAAGAAGAGAGTATGGAGTTGATTGTTCTATGTACGAAGGAGAAGTCCCTTGTTTATATAGGGACGAGAGAGTACGCTAGTGAGTGAATGTAAGTGGATCACGTGAGAGGATGCAAACCAACACAAATCGGGTCCGGTTGGTCACACGGGACTGAGGCACAGGTTTGAAATTGTACTGGTGGCCCCAAACAAAGACCATGAATGCGACCGTGATGGCGGCGTGTAGGAACATACTCGTTTTCGATGTAAGGGGTGATTCTTAAGTACCTTAGGTATCTGATTGGGGTTTTGGATTGAGTCAAAAGTTGTTAGGCACCACGATTGTGCATGTAACAACTAATCTGGTCTGATGGAGCAAGATGGATTGATGCACATGAGCCTACTCGATTGCACTTGGTTATTGCCCTTTCTGGGGTTTGAGGGGCTTTCTTATGTCAAGCCAGGCCCTTCCGGTATCTCAGCTTCCTTTGGAGCCAAGAGCATGTTTCGAATGTGTCTTGGGTCCCTCTGGGGGCAGAACCTGCCATAACCAGAGGAGTCTCGCTGGTGCCAGATCTACTTACTACATGCAAGCCTCTTCTAGACGTTAGCGACATTCAATAAAACAAGGGGAAATGTGATCCTGCTTCGATGTCAAGTCTCTTTCAAATTGCTCTTCTTTCAGCGAAGTGGTATATGTGTAGATTGGCGTCCCTGTGCACCTTGCTACTCATGAACCCATGCCTGGCACTCACCGCAGCACGTCATGAGGCAAGGCAACTTGACCCATCTAGAGCAAATGATTACGCGTACTTTCTGAAGCCTGCGAACAGCCATGACAGCGTCGATGTGATTGCTGACAGTGGTAGGAGAACGTCGGATGATCTGGAAGGCGGTCGGTCACCGAAAGCTGTAGAAGTACGGGGCCGCAAAGCCCCACACTGGCGCAAAGATGGATGGATGTATTCTGAGCGGCTCTGCCTCGCGAAGATGCAATATTCAACTTCACACCTAATTCCTCATATTCTGAGCATCATACTTGATTTGACAATTATTTCCTCAATTTGAACTAGATACAGTCTTGTGATAGAAATGACCACGGAAAACAGAAATATCTCGCAACTTCTACAGATTGCAATCTAGTCTGCATGGTTTCGCAGTCCGTCGCTGAACAAACAACAAGATACATGATCATCCGAAAACTCCATGCGCACGACGCTCGCTCGAGGGTGACTATTAGTGATAATGACAATCTGCTGATGATGGGTTGGGACACGCTGTGACAACTTGGAAATAGCCGCTTGCAAGACATTGGTAACTTTTGAAAATAGCGTGAATGAGAAAAGACGGAAGCGTCATCCGATGATGGCCGTGCCTGGATCGTACTCGTAATAAGGGTATCGAAGTAATCTAATCGTTTTCGACCAAGGAAACTGGAGAAAATAAGGGGGCTGTGTCGCATCATGGTTGTCAGACCTCCCATGGCTGTCGCTGACGGTTGACTGTGCCGTAGGACCTTGGCTCGTCCTCCTCAAGAAGACTCTCCATGATGGATCCGACATCAGTGTTGGTGACTGTGATTGCATCTTCCTCGTCCAGCCTCTTCCGCATACGGTAAACCTGTACCGTAACATAAGTGACAAGTGACGTGCCGACGACAAACGCTGCACCAGCCAGAAATATGTTTACTGGAATGGGATTGCCATGGAAAGTGCCTTTCGTCAAGGCGTCGATTGCAGTCTGCGACAGATTGACCAACCCAGACGTGCAGATGATAGTTCCGTATACACGACCAAAAGTAGCGAAACCAAAGACCTTGGTCGCGTAGTCCGACATGGCTGAGTAGTAGAGCGGACGCAGGAAGACGAACAGGATAACGTTGACATATCCAGCCCAAAGTGCACAAATGGAACCGATGATTCCGATAGCGGAAGTCATGAAAACAATGATAAGGAGGACGCCGGGCGTGCTGACGTTGTCGAGCAGAGCACCAAGGAATGGGGTGGCGATAACTCCAGCAAGGGGCAAAGCAACGTCGAAGAAATCGTTGACCTTTTCGGCTAACTTTACGGACCCGAGCATGTAGGTGTACTGTTCACGGATAGCTTTTCATGGTGTCAGAATCTGTTCTCCATCGTAGTCCAGGGAGTCTGCTTACTTGCGATTTGATAATTCATGCGCACCATCTGAATGACAGTCAACAGGGTGAGCAGTATGAACCAGGGCGTCAGCATCTGATCTTTGGCAGACTTGTTGTGCAAGGCACCCCAGACACCGGAGTTTTCAAGCCTTTGCTCCGCCTTCTCCTCGCGAATCTTACGTGCTGCTTCGTTGCCGACCAGCTCGTCGAGTTTGCTCAATCGCTCCTTACGACGCGTACTACGGGCTTTTCTTCGCTTCCACATCTCGTTGTCAGGAAGCTCGTCGTCGGAAGAATGGACATCTCGCATGGCATCTTCAGCCCTCTGGATCTTCATTTCAAGCTGCGCCTCAGTTTTGTAGTTCTCGGTCGGTAAGAAGGTCAGTTGCGCGATGACGATTGCTGCCGGGACGACGAGATAGACTAGAAAGAAGGTCTGAGGCTTGAAGTTCCTGTCGCTAGCATCGTAGATAAGCCTGTAGAAGAGGAAAACTGCTGCTGATGCATCGAATGCGCCGGTGACAAGCGCGACGATGCTACCCGCATACTTGGGGAAGGCGTTAGCAATCTGGAAAGAAGGCAGGAAGACAAATGTGCCTCCGAGGGCGAGGAAGAAGTTTCCAATTGTATATCCGTCAAAATGCTCGATCTGGAAAGCGAGACTCATTAGGATACTTCCAACCGCCAGACAGAAAGAACCGAGAAGGAAGCAAAGCTTGGGCCCATAGCGATCAAGCAAGGTGCCGACTGGTAAAGCAGAAACATTTGCCGTCGTTGAAGCGAGCGAAAAGAAGAAGTTCAATCGGAGATCTTGCTCGAAGCAAACTTCAACATTGGCATCCACCTCTTCGGGTGTGCACAAATTTCTGAAAACGCCTTCCTTGATAAGAATCGGCTTCAAAGCTGCAAATCCGAAGACGATACCGCTAGCAAACCAACACGCGAGAACCGTTGCGATGACCTGTGCTGCAACCGAGCGTTAGTGATTGGGAACCGATTGTCGTAGAATGCTGCCAGACTTACCAATACGTTTGCCTGTCGGCACCTTGTACGGCGTCAAGCCTCCAGGTTCCTCACCCGCCACGGGCTCATCAGGGTGCGGTATTACATCGTAACTAATAACCCTCCTCACACTCTTTCCTGGGGCGCTCAAAAAACCAGCTCCCGATATCGCGCTCTCAAGAGAAAGCCGACGTTCCGCAGCATCCTGTCGGCTAAGCTGGCGGTCGACAGGCGGTAAGAACAAATCTACCAACGCCTCCTCGCGATCAGTGCCCTCTTGCTGTGTAACATGCTGAATCAGCGACATGAGAAGTCTGCAATTGGGCGCTCGTTGTTCAAACGCAGAGCAGAATAGGTGTCTTAGAGAAAGAATCAAAGGGGTCGTGAAGGGTTCGGCTCGTCGAGGGCGACAGAAGCTAGAAAAGCGGGAGGGCGGAGTTAAATTGATGCGCGCCCTGACACGAGACCCACGATCTAGACATAGCGATCGCGGGGGTCACATGGTCACATGCGACACGCTCCCGGCTTCATGGAGCCGTTGAACATGTTGTGTAAACGTCAGTAAACGTCAGTAAACGCTCTGCAGCCACGACAGTCGAGTACACTGCAGAGCGGGTACGCTGCATGTTCGCTTACTAGAGAAACGCCGCGAAACGTCTAAAATGGTCGGTGTTGTTGCGATTGATTGGTCGTGCCGCGGTACTAAGTCGGCAACGAAATCGCCGATCTCCCCATCCACTTTCCTGCAGGTTCCATGAGTTGCAACCTTGGAACCCGGCGCACAGAGTCTCGATAAGAAAAAAGCAAGTAATTCGACTTCTAAGATGTTTCACCGCAACTTCGACAGATAACTCTTTCATCACTGGCATGTCAACTCCCTAGGTTTTGCCTAACAATTGAGGCTTGCCCTGAGAGCACCTAGGTATACAACACAATTCGTCTCATTGCCAACCGAAGGAAAAAGACAATGTAAATTATCCGGTCGCATTATTGCAAGCCTTGATCTGTCGTCTATATCTATTCTTTGTGGTATACATTCGCATCGAAGTTTGTGGGAAACCGGTCCCGTCCTTCAGCATCGCTCCGTACCCAAACCGCAACGCTGGTGCCGGGACACTTGAACAGCCCGTACCCCTCGCTGTCGATCTCGATCTCGCCTTCCTCCCAGCCAAGAATGTCAGTCCACTTCTCACCAGCATGCATCTCGCCAACAGCCATCTTGATCTCCCCAGGACCTGCGTTACTCATCACACACGCTAGACCCGCTTTCTTGTCCCATGTTCCACGACGCACAAACCCGATGCAGTTGGCTTCGTTGAAGTAATCTTCTTGACTTCCATACGCGAAGAGCTTTCGTGCGAGGATAAGATCGGCGAGCTTTCCGCCGCATGAAGCGGGGGTCTCGTGTGGTTCAGAGAGTCCGTAGAGGTCGCCATAGAAAGGGCACGGGTAACCCTCCTGCCTCAGCAGAATGAGAGCATAGGCGAGAGGCTTGAAGAAACCCTCGATCTTGGTTTCCATGACTTGGCCTGGCTGTGTATCGTGGTTTGTTACGACTGTAACAGCATCTATGGGTCGCATTTGAACGAGTGTGTTATCATAGACCTTTCTAAGGTCTCCCGACTCGGTGGTGGAGATTGACCCAAAGTTGTTCAAGAGAGGCGAGTCGTAAAGAGCGAACTCGTGGTTCATGCCTTCAAGCCAGTCGCTCATCTCTTTGACATCGCCTGACCAGAATTCACCGACCACAAAGATATCGTCTCCGCACTGTTCACGCAAGTTCTCGATCCACTCGTTGGTAAATCTCGAGCTGAAATGCTGGACAGCGTCCAACCGGAAGCCCTTCAAACCGAGTTCTTTTGTGATCCACACACCCCAGTTCTTTACATCTTCTTGAACCTCGGGGTGTGAGTAATCGACGTCGGCGAACATCATATAATCAGCATTGCCTTGCTCGTCGTCGACAGATTGAGACCAGCCTTTGTTATCGCCAAGGATTTTGTAGATGGCTTTCTTCTCGTTGGCTTGATCCCAGTCTGTGCCTGAGAAATGCTCCCAGTGGTATTTCATCTTGGAATACTGTTCACCGCGGCCTGGAAAGTCGAAGCCTAGCCAGCCCTCAATCTCGTAGGCGTCAGAGGTCTCCTTGGTCCTGTCGTTTTGGTCAACTTCAACAACGCGACACTTCTCCGTCCTATCGGCACCAGCTTTATGGTTCAGCACAGCATCCCAGTACAAGCCTACGCCATGCTCTTTAGCAACCTTGGTGAGTTCGAGCAACTCGTCCTTGGTACCCCATTTAGTGCCTTTGGCGCCTTTCTGATCAAACTCGCCGAGGTCGTATAGATCGTAGATGTCATAGCCAACGCCCTTGGGATTGGCGGCTTTGCAGCCAGGGGGTAGCCAGATGTTGTCGATACCGATGGCTTTCAGCTTGGGAAGCTGCTCGGCCAGCCGTTTCCAGTGTTTGTGGTCGTCTGGGACATTCCATTCGAATCCTTGGAAAAGAGTACCATTCTCTGGTGTCGGCTTTTGTTCTGCAAAGCTGTTAGACTCGGGCGGGTAAGAACAAAGAAGAAGTGGGCAAGACTAACCTTCGGAGCCCATGATGGATTGCCAAGAAATATGTTCCAGATCCTTGAATTTTCCCCTCTAAAGACTGCGGAGGATATGGGAGGCAAGTTTATTCTTCACGAGTGGTTGAGCGAGCAAAGTCTTCACTGGTACCATGGCCAAATATGAAGATAGCATTACTGCTGATAGCGCGTAACGAATCCTGCGTTGGTCGGAACTTAACAGGTTTTGTCTATCATGTTCCCTGCGTTTGCGTTGGCAAGCGAGCTACGAAGTGAGGGTGCACGGGTGTTGAAAGGGTCTGGAAGCGGGTGGGGGCGACGCGGGGCGGCGCTGTTCCAGTTCAACAAAGTGCGCCGGTGACGTCAGCTGGGGCTCAGCAATCACTCCGCGGCCTTGATACTGCGAAGATCCGTCGTTGGGATAGTAAACAGGAGAAGACAGACAATCGAATCATGTCACGTGCACTTGAGAGAATCCCGAAGTCTACAATTGACGGCGTTAGTGGGATGCGAGATTCTGCAGTAGGATCGTCGCTGTTATGACAGCCGGGCGAGTGGCGCTAAGCTCATCAAGGTCAGGCGCTCTTCAAATAGCGTATCCCAACTGCGTGATGCATCTTGATGATTGGTACACTACACACAATTCTACATTGTGAAAGCAGGTCTCATACTGAGGCACGGCAAGTTCACAAGTGTGTTCTCACCATTCTTTCCATGCCAAGCCGAAACGCTGTGTTGCTGCCTAATCGCGTACTTGTTACGACCTTCTCAGTAATTAACTCACGCTATACTGCCTCGCTGACTTCTCCCATGGACAGAGCGCTTGGCAGTCAAGAAAGAGGGAAAGCGCGCACCGCACGCGCTGACTTTCACAATACCCTCAAGCGCAAGATTTCGACTTCACCACCCGCATCAGCATCAACAGACTCAACCTCCTCACTTCCAAAGACGGAGCCGCGAGGAACACGGCGAAACTACGAGCAATACAACACTCGCCCTATCCCTGATTCAGTAAAGAAACGTTTGCAAATGGATTTTAGCAGAGCTCCAAAGGGCGAACAGGCGTCCGCTCAAGACAAGAGCCAGCTGATCATTCGCTTCTACGATCCTGATATATACGCCAAGGATGCACTTGGCCGCCAGCTCCGCCAGATACTAGCGTGGCCAGACCAACGGCTAGAGTCTTCTCATAACTACATCCAGATGCTCTTTCCGCTGCCAGAAGGCTCTCCATTCAATATGGAAGTAAGTTGCCCTCCGTGCAGGAAAAGACATTCTGCAAACATACACTTGTTATATCTTGCAATTATCGTAAGAGAAAGTATCGTGAATCGGTTCTGGGGTACACTTTCCAGTCTGAGAGTACACGGCGAAGAAAGAGCCCCTTTCGTGTGTTCATTTGACTTCGGCAGCATGCTGACCTTGATACAGGCCCCAATCATCAATCTTGAAGTAATGCAGGCGTTTCGTTCCCGGAGTGAGCTACGGCAGGAACTAAGACGAAGCTTTGAGCGTATGCTTAGCTTCTATGGTTTCAAGGAGTCTAGCAAGTCAGAAGAAGAGCTGCAGAAAGAGAAAGATTCAGCCCCTGAGGCAGATAAATCGGTCGCCTCCACGTCTTCGTTCCCACAAGGCGCCCATACCAATATCTCCGTGTCCAAGTTGCTCCCATATCACATCGTTCGCACACCTAATTTCCGGAAGAAGTTTACCAATTGGGCCGTTCAATTCGATCATAACCATCTTCGTATCACGCGTATCCTCCGCTCGCTACGTGTCTTGGGTCTACAGAAAGAGTACAAGGCCTTTTTTGCTGCACTCGAACGCGCATACAATGACCCTATGATCAGCATTAGTGCCAAGAGCATGAGCTTCTGGAGGCTAGCTGTTGAAAGTCCCTTGCACTTGGCGCCTGACGGCCAAAAGTGCAAGTGGCTGACTGACTGGGAGAAACAGCAAGAGAGGTAAGTCACGGATGCACAAAATGCATATGAGACATATACTGACTTAACATCTTCACTCTCATAGCATGAAACTGGTGGATGAAAAGAGACAGAGAGATGAGCAGCACGGTGCGCAGGACACAGATTCGACCAAGATCGACAATGACCTGAAAAAGTCTGATGATGACGTATAAGGCGCGGATATAGTTTGAACGCTACTTTGGCTGAGATGATTATAGACTGTTTGGATGTATCACTCTGTACATCTCTAGCAGATATTAGGCATCCTCGCGCTGCCTACTATGATAGACTTCGTAGTAGTTTTACTATAGACTAAGCACGTTAGGTTCACTTTTTTGTAGAAGTCGCAGCCAATATGTGCAATAGACACATGTTTGAGTTAGGTGTTTTTTTTAGAGTCCTTTCTTGTTCTAAATTACCTGAACAAGGACGCCGAAGTTGAGACGACAGTTGAGCAGCAATATTGTGCTCCGTTTGAGGAAGCGGATCTTGTTGAGTACGCGGTTGATGAAACTGTTCCGTAGGAAAAGGCGAACAAGCACTTTGTGGAGTAGGCGGGAAGGGCTACTGCGTCGGATTTGAAGAGTGAAGACAAGACCGAGGACGAATCGACGGATGAAAAGAATATTGATCGGAAACGGGAGTACTTGTCTTGGGTATACATGTCTCCAGGCTAATTGCTCATCTACAACTTTGCGTCACTGAATGGAACGAACTTCTCTCCACTAGCCTCTTCGACCCTCTTCGCAGCACTCTTGTATGCATCCCTCTTCTGTAGCCTCCTCATGTACTCGTACAACTTGGGGTAACTCGTCTCACTCAACGGCAATCTCTGCGTCGCACCCTCAAGTCCGAAATGGATCATGATATCCGCAGCGGTGAGCTTATCGCTGCAAAAGAACTCGCCCTTGCTAGGTGACTTGATGAGGTAGTCCTCAAGGAAGTCAAAATGCGTCTTCAGCTCCGGGTCGACGAAGCCAGAGTCGACCTTGGAGGCGACACCGTTGGTAATGGGCTTTAAGAAGAAGGGCACGGGGGCATTTTTGATGCCTGGGATTGTTGATTAGTGAAATGGCGTTGAGATCAGAGCAGGAGTGGCTTACTTCCGGTGACTAGTGCCAATATCAGGATGGTAAAGAGACTACCCTCAGTGTAGTCCATCAGGAACTGTATTAGCGTCAGTTTCTTAGTCTCTCTACGGTTGGTTTCGATCAGAAGAAGGCCGCGCCACACAAGCTGATTGGCTAGCTTTCGCGCTTATTTCCTTGAACATGCCTATCTTCCTTCTTACGCCAAAAGTGACAAGAGCATGTCTTACCTTGTATCTCATCCACTCTTCGGTCTCGGCACCTATTACACCCTCCTGTCCCTCAGGGTAACGCGCTGGCATCAACTGCTTCCCAAAGTGGTCACAGATGTACTCCATGATCGTCGCGCTTTCAACAATGACGATGTCCTTGTCGGAGTTTGCTGGCCTGATGGTAATGGCGGGCGATTTGCCCAGAGGGTGGACGGCCTTCAGGTCGGGGCCCGCGCGCTTGTTCTCATCGCGCTTGTAGACGGCGATGTCGTACTCCAGACCAAGCTCTTCGAGCAGCCATACAACGCGTTGGCCACGGGATTTGTTCAGCCTATGCGGTGAATGATTAGTCGTGATTACTGGGATGACGATGGCGCAATGCGGTGGAGTCAAGCGGCTGTCACACGGCCACTTACCAATGAACGGTGATCTTTGCTCCCTGCTGGTTCGACATGCTTACAACGGTTTTGGACAACGTTATAGATGATTTATACAGTAAAGAAGAACGTTTTTGTCAACTGTAAATGAAGGGTCAAATACGACCGAGGCTCTTTGACGAATTTATCGAAGGCCGTCACAAGCTTCGGCGTTCAGCCAGTCGGTGGTTGGCTGGTTGCGCTGCCCGCTCCGGCGTATCGTGGCTTAGTGTCGGCTGGCCGACGCTCCGAAGTATCGATGAGAAGCAGGAATTTGACCTCCTGTCTAGCATATGCAGTGCCTATACGGTTCTTGATGGTGTGTAAGACGCGAGGAACCGGGTAGTAATGTGGGTAGATATCTGGCGCATGATGAGAGCGTTGGCCGTCTCAGTAGCTTGGGCGTCAGGCACGACCTCCTCGGAGGGCGAACAAGACATTTATTATCATAGGGACTCAGGATTTCAGTAGCAATCTCAAGAATATCTGCTCATATATCCTATGGTACCTATGATCGTTGTACGTGATGCTATGGTGAAGCGCCAAGACCTGGCGGCACTTGCCGCAGCTCCGACGACCTCATTGCGCGCACCTCGTCAACCTCACGATCACCAACTGCGCAACCCTACCACACGCGCAAAAGTCCGCAAACATGCAGCCAACTTTCCGCAGAATGGCGGGTCACAACCACGGCAGTACGTATCGCCACTCCACAGAGCATTGGGGCGCAATGGCTAACAGCACGCAGTGATCCATGCGGATCCCGCCATTATCAAATGGGCCAGTACGTTCACCACCGACCCCGCCGCACACAGCCCTCCATGATACCGCAGGCATTATTGCAATCGTCGGAACATGACATCGCACAGCGCAAGAAACGCAATGCAGCAGGCAGAGGAGAGGAAAGGCAATATGGGGTACTGACGAGGAATAGACATGACCACCAACCGCCACAAGTACTTCCGCTGGACGAAGCGAACAGCTTGGCTCTCATTCGCCTACGTTGTCCTGGTGCCGGCTATGCTGGGTACGGCTGGATACATGACCGAGGTGAGTTTGGATGAACATGGACGAGAGGGAAGTGACGTACAACAGGCGTGGTACATGGAGAGCAGATAAGAACATCGCTGACAAGTTCATTCAGGGCAAGTGGGAAATGCGCGGCAAGCGGAGGGGCGACCTCATCTCCGAGTTCTAGATATGGAAAGCGGAGGACCAAGGAGCGGAGCGAATGAGGCCGTGTACATATGGAAACACCATTGCATCACCAACGTCACTTAGCATCTCCCTACTGCTCTAGCGCGAGTGAACTAAGACGCAGTTCCCCTGCGCTCTTGTTTACATATGTCTGGTTATCACCGCCTTCTGCAACCTTGGTGTGCCACCATGGGACTATCAACCCTCAGGTCTTTCGAGTCCAAACTAGCTAAGTGTTATGCATAAATGCGATGCAGTGACGGAGATGAAAATTCGAAGACGCAAGCTCCCTAAATATTATAACCTGCACGCGAACCCACCGTGAAGGTATGTCACCATTTATCCTTTTTGAGCAGAATAATTGAGAGTACAACTGGTAATTCTGCGTTACACCGTTGTTGCAGGCACTACTCTGAGGAAGTTCTTGTGTTCTGAATTGTTGCAGGTACCACTGTCCCTGATTTGAATACCATATTAAAGTTCATCTAACGAGTGTCTATATACAAAGGAAAGCGCAGTCTAAATTCCGAACTCCACCGCCCACTCCGAAACGAATGGCCTCGTCATCCTAACCATCTACAGCATCTGGTGCACATCCAATCCCGCACCTGACACTAGGTGCACCAAGTTCTTCAACCTTAATACCCACTCGTGGAGGACGGGTAAGCAATTGCAGATGCCGACGGAGACACCCCACCAGCCTCATAAGGTATCCCACACTTCTTCGCACAGCTCTCCACAATTGCCGTAAAGTCACTGGTAAGCTCAGACCTCAAACCAGCAACCTGCTCCGGCGTCAAAAACTCACTATAGCCCGCACTCGCCTCAAGAACCTCGTCTGGGGTACCCGAAAAGAAACCTCGAGCTGCTTCAACGCGTCCAGGGTCATTGATATCAAAGCCAGCAACGAATATAGCTGGCTCGCACTCTGGATTGAACTGCCAATGAATCAGGCCCTTAGGGAAAAGCATGCCAGTGTAGTTGGACAACGTGGTTTCAATCTGTTGGTATGGACCACGCACCGGTGGTGCGCCACCCACTACGTTGCCGAACCCGCTGGCGTTTTCAAGAAGGAGGGCACCGACGAGTGTACCTTGGACTACTGTCAAGAACTCATTGGCGCGCGGGTGCCAGTGTGGCGTGTTTAGACCACATGCGTTAACGAAACCCACGGCTGCTGCGAGGCCTGTGGAACCAAGCGTGGGGAAATTGTTGATAGTGGACAGGTAGATTGAACCGGCTGTTGGCGGAAGGACGGTGTTGTTGAGAAACTGAAAGGTGTCGTTACTGGCGTTGGGAGGGTTGGGGAAGAGAATTGCTTCGCGAGCGGATTCGGACTGGGCAAGAAGGAGCTCGTTGCGTTGGGTCGTTAGTTGGGCAGCGGTGAGGATGTTGACTGTGTTTGGGTTGACCTCGCGTTTGGCAATGGAGACGGGGTTGGCTGTCGCGAAGGTTACCAGCAGGGTCTTGAGGAGGAGAAGGGAGTGCATATTTTCTGGTAGGTGGCTGGGCAAATGAATCGATCTATTGCTAAAGAAGATGAGGACCGTGGTGAGAAGTTCATAGCAGGGTGTTCATGTGCCTTATATGTTTCTACATGAGTTGACGGCAACAAAACTGAGTATCCCGCTTACGCCCATTCTTTCTCTAGTGGTTGTGTTCGCCCACTCCACTCAAGCCACATCTGATCACAAGATTCATCAATATGGTGAGTTTTTATTCATGTGGCGTTGAAAAGGATGCTTGACACGGCAACTTTCCAGACTCTTTAGAGGTGCTCGTGCTCACGACCATGGCAGAGACATCATCAGGACAACTATATATGCCTCGTTCTGTGCAAAATAGACGAAAGGTGTTGGTAATGGAGATGGTGGTGTGGGGAGTATGGACGCCTACATGACAGAGAGAATCAATAAGCGCTGAATGCCTTGATGAGCTTAAGGGCAGCTGTTGGGGTATTACGTTGATGAAATTTTGACTCGTGAACGTGATGAAGCGATTGGATGGACTCACTAGTGTGAATACAGGTTCAACCACAAATTACCAGCACGTTGTTCAAGATCTCCAACAGCAACGCTGCCAGCAGTAAGACTTTGGGTTTCATTACCTGAAGTCATAAGGTCTTCGCAAGGGAACCTGTCCTTCCCTAATCTCGTGAAGATCACTCCCTCTAGTTTCATATAGCGAGTGCACGTTAAATCAAGCCTAAAAGATGGCGTTATACATGACGTTTCTCCAGCGGTGAGCTCAGTCCCACCTGCTCTCATGGCAAGAACTTCGGTTTGGAATACCAATGCTCTAAAAGCTACAATCCATATCAATATGTGGAAACCCAAAGCTCTAGTCGTAAGTCGATTTTCATACTCCATGTGACACACAATCCAGAAGGGTGTCGTTGAGTAACCAAAAGCCATCAACATCCTCGGCGCCTTCCGATCAAGTAACTCTACCTGAGCTCATCTTTCGTATGTAACATGTCCACGTACACGAATTAGGTCCTATGCTCATGATCGAGCCTGACTTCTCTATGCGCAAATCACGCAAATCATTGTAAGCAAGCCGTATGTCTTGGCCATGTCCTCAGGCTTACGCGCCACACCGCCCTAGCCAGTGTATTAGCGTATCAAAGCCACTGTTACGGGCCTCCCTTATGGGTTGTATGCCATTCATGTATGTTGTTTCTTGTGGCGGTGTTGGTTTCATGGTTTATGACGACTGTGCGCAATCACGATCTGAATCACGCGAACTATGCTCGATTATTAACCTAGTAATAGACTGCAATACGCAGGCTTCTCGGCCTAAGTTCTTGTTCACGTGTGTCACTGAGCATCTCGCACGGACTTGTAGTGGTGTCGTATGTGAGCTGTCCTCGGGCCCATAGGTAATGACCGAGATGCTGATTAGCCATACAATATTTCGCAAGCGAAAGCATTAGTCCTGGTAACATTAGCAAAAACGCCAATCAATCCATATTAGGTAGGAACAAAAATTAAAAACATACAACAGCGGGGATTCGCCAGTGGTCACCCACCTGACTACTAATCCGCCGGTATCTTGCTTAACTAGGGCTGAGCGAACGGGAAGCCGTGATCTCAAGATCCTGTGGTCGTATGTGAAAGAACTGGAGACATGATACAATCATATTCGTCAGTCAAGTGTTGGTGCGCAAGCTTTTCGCCTGTCATGCTATACGATCCTGTATCTAGCCACTGCCCAGAAAGCCTCTCGACGAATTTCGTATCCGTTGGGATGTGAACACCTCGATTTTTGCTGCGCATAGCACGACTTGCATCCTCTTCCCTTCGGCATCGCTCTCAATGGGTTCGACGCGAATGCGCCAGTGCGCGCGTTTAATCGTCCACTCTTCCTCATCACCCTCATTAGCGCTGTTAGAATGACCACCCCATATCCAGTCGTCTCTTTTGCCCGTGTGGCGGATGCCAATATGGTCAGTATCACCAAAAGAAAGCTCCGCTGGTGATCCATCGACTTCTAGAGCACAATTTTCATCGAGTCGTACGCGGACACGCCGTTCACTGACGCCCGAATTGGCGGGACTAACGGGTTGCGCTGCCACTCCACCACCAGATTGTACATACATTAGGCCAAGGGGCTGTGTAGCCGGCAAGCCCATCTTGGAAGCTATGACAGAGAAAAGTGAGGTCACTCGTGCTAGGGTTGAGTTATGGAAAGTTGCTCGGAGTTCGGCTTTGAGCGGAGGCCATGTTGGTGGCGCCTTTGGAAGGTAGAGTTTTGTTGACTCAGATGATGCGATCTCCACCACGAGGATGTTGCTATTCGCATGGTCATCTGTATATGGTCGTGCATAAGATACATATCCTGGCCTGGAAATTGCACTGCTGCTTGCTGTTGAGGGGGCGGGACTCGTGACTTTGCTTATGGATGGAGGATCCGGTGAGACGCCTGCTGATTGTGCTTCCAATATCGACCCCGAGTCTGAGTCGCTGACTTCTCTATCGGGACTGAACGAGATACCAGACTGTCGAATATCTTCAAGACGAATTAGAATCTCCGACTCTTGCCGTTTAAGGTTGTACGAGATCTCGCAAGGTATGAGCTTCTGCTCCAAACCTTTGAGATGAAAGTATCGCGCATCCCGCAGAAGACAAGAGCGATGCGCCTCACTTCGTATCTCGACGTTGTAGCCTTGCAGTAGTTGTATCAACTCGCCAAACACCTCTCCGTTTCTACTCGGCACGGATGGAGGCTTGATAGACGGTGGTCGAAGCAGCGCATCGCGGTCCAGTCCCGGGAATGCCTCAGACGGCGTTGAGAAGAAATGTGCAAAGCCAAGCGAAAAGTAGTTGGGGCTATCTCCAGGAGCAGAGAAAAGATCGCGTTGTATCTGAAAAGGCTTTCCTCCGATGTTCACGAAGATGTCGGTGCTGAACAGCTGTTTGGTGAGACGCGGCACTGCTATCATCAGCATTGAATTATGTGATACGTATGGCTGAGCTTACGAGAATAAAACTGCGCATCCGCATATAGCTTTACAAAGTGCTCGCCATCTCGAGGGGTAACATGATAGCCCTGAAGGTGCAGCGCAATGTCGCGAAAAGTATCAGGGTCGCGATCGATGTACAGCGTCCTCACGTCGCCAGCTCGACCGCCATTGTCATGCAGCTGCTGACTGAAGAAATGCGAAAAGTGCGAGGGTGCTCTAGTAGTCTCAGTTGCTAGCCCCTCTTCATGCATTCACCGCATGCTTACCATCTGACGCTATAGAGGCTCCTGATAGCCTGAATAGCTCTGATCCTATTTGTATGGGAAACACCTTGCCGGCAGGAAGTATGTCCAGCCCTCCCGGCGACTCAGGCACTCTGCGCGGTGTAGAGACATCGATGACCCTTCCCTGTGGTCCCGTCCCCTTGCTCTGCTCCTTCCGCCTCTCTGGTGCTGTATTCTCTCGCGACGCTGATTGGGGTAGAGCTTCAGTTGTGGGCGCATGGGTTGCAGTTCGCGTGGTGGATGGTGTACGAGCATCAGCCGGAGCTGGTAGGACTGGCGAGGTCGCTGAGGCGTCGGACGAATGCCGCGACACGTTCTGGCGCTTCGGTGGATTCTCCGTTGTAACACCACCACTTTGCGGTACAGTCGTACTGAGCTCGGAATTGACCTTCCTTTTCATGCCTGCTTGAATGGATGGTCTCTGCGGCTGCTGTGGTTGGGCCGGCGGAGGCGGATGAGACAATCGGTTCTGGCCTTGCGCAGCGTTCGGCGTCGTAGTAGCGCTCTGGCTTTGGGGGAACGCTTGATACTTCGGTTCTCCCGCAGCGACAGGATGTGGAATACTAAAGTCGTTGATAGGGTTTACTTGGCTTTGGTATTCTTGAACAAGTTCACCCTGGGGCTCGTACTGATTCGTGAAGTCTGAGAAGTCAATCGCATCCCAGCCTGCAGGCGCAGATGAATTAAAGCCAAAGCCGTTGAAGTGCCCTGGCATCACTTGGTGCTGTTGCGAGTCACCAGCATAGTCACGAAACTCCGTGGGAAAGTCATGACTATGTGTCTGGCTCCTGGCCTCGGCCGTGTTCGCGTTCGCGTTGTGCTCGGCATGGTAGCCGCCGTAGAACTGCTGTGGGTGCTGTTGCGACGCTCCACTTGCTTGGTCAGATGTTTGAAATGCAAAATCGCGAGATGTTGCGCCCGAACGGTCGGACATTGGCTAGCTACAATGAGGATCGCTTCGCATTGAGCGATAGGACGCCTCGATGGAAGCAGGTTTTGATCCGCTCAGAGGAAGGAATTCGTGGGTTGCTGATGAGAAGCTGAGTAAGGGCTCTGGCATGGGTAGCTTTCGGAATCGATACTCGATGCGGTTTGGCACCAACGACGACTGAGCTGGGACGGCGTGGAAGAGAGTGAGGGGCAGCTAAGCTTCAACTTCAAGCAACGTCGCTGTTTTATAAAGACGTTGTACCGCCAGTCCACGTGTTTGGGAAATTATACGGGCTGTGAGGCTGAGACTAAGGCTGACATAGCTGGCAGTTGGTAATCGGCGAGCCGACGCGGGATGACCGATGGAAAACTGAAGCTGACGTGAGGTGCTCTGGTTCCAGCAATCAGATCATCGCGCGGCGCGCTCTGATTGAGCGGCATGCCGCCTTCAACTTCACTATATCGAAGTAACATTCTGGATGAAGCTGTTGGTTGTTAGAACGTGAGAGGATCGATGCGATAGCGATTGTTTGTTATTGCGTGCAGTTGACAATTCTGACGTTGCAGCTACGTCCTAGCTGCTACTCCATGGATAGCTCCGGATCCCTAGATCACAAACACTACTTTGAGATCTGAATCATGTAAAAGACCTCGATCCTTATCAATTCATTACTGTTCCCTTAAGTGGATTGGATTTCACAGGTAAAGTGCGGTTCTTGGACATTATGAGTTGGGTCTATTGCAGCATATTTCCTACTCGATCGTACTGTTACATAAAATCGCCGTCTAAGCGAAGCAAGATCTAACTCGAATGACTGCAGATAAACGCAAAACACACAGAAGAAGAAATGTGATATCGTACCAAACCCATACCAGCCATTATGCAAGAAAAGACAGACTTTTATGTGACAAGTCCACCTCGAGAGACCTGCTATCCTGGCTGTCTTGGTATCATCTCCTCCGTCACTCTCTCCCCATCGCACGAGACCAGCGCTTAGTTGGTCTTGGCGATCTCGACACCACCGGTAGCACCAAGAGCCTTCTTGATGTCACCGTAGATGGCGAACTGACCAGCAGTCAGGGTACCAACCATGAAAAGACGAGCACCGATACCACCGAATGAACCACGGAGACCAAGCTCCTTGGCGATCTTGATCAAACGGGAGGTGGTTCCCTCTCCGGGAAGACCCTTGGTCTTGTTGATCCTGGAAAGCATGGTGTCGGCAGGCTGGGAGATGATGGCGGCGGCGAAACCGGCAATGATACCAGAGCCCAAGTTGTAGACAGTCTGCATTCCGTTGGAGGTCTTGCTCTTGTCGACGACGGAGTAGACGGCCTCGTTGACCTTCTCGAAGACGGCGAACTTGGCCATGGTGTAGGGAACCCTATGTGTTGTTAGTCTATGTTGTGTTTTCACCCAGATAAAATTGCGACGTACTGCTTGAACAGGATAGGTCCGAAACCAGAGTAGAAGGCACCGACACCCTCGTTCTTTAGGATCTTGGAGAATCCACCAACGAGACCGTTGGCGAAGGTTGGGTCACCGACAAGACGGATACGGGTAGCCTCAAGAGGGCAGAGGGCGACATCGGCGAAGAACTCGGCGACGGCAGCAGAGGCGAGGTAGACGGCAGTACGGTTGTTGGCAGCGGTCTCGTAACCGACGAGGTTGATGGACTGCTGCTTGAAGAACTCGTAACCTCCGAACTTGAAGGCACCCTGGAGGAAGTAACCGGCAGCGGTGGGACCGAAACCGGTCCAGACGGCGCCCATACCCTCATTGGCAATGGTCTTCCTGAAGCCACCGATCAGACCAGTGTTGTAGGTGACGGGGTCAAGCTGAATCCTGGTCTTGACGCTGTTGCATGTGTTAGCTTGGCATTCTGTCGTCATTTTTGACATCTGTCAACTGTCGCAAGACTTGTGCGATGCAGCCATTGAGGCCTCTCAGGGCCATCGCAGAACGGGACAACGTACACATCGACGGGTGTGAGGGCTCCGTGGGTGACGGAGCAGCAGACGGCACCGGCGAAAGCGAATCGCGAGTACAGGTCAAGGCCAGTGCGAGCGGTAGGGTCAGCGGCCGCGAGCTTAGCCTTCGCGGCATCGACCTTGCTGGAGCCGGTGGCGGTGGGAGGGGGGTTGGTGGCCATTTCGCTGGTATGGATGAGAAGCGAAGGAAGTGGAGTGGAGAGGTTTGGTGGTTGAAGCTGGACAGACGGAGATTACGAGCCCGCGATAGTTGATGAGAAGTTTTGTGCTTGGCGCTGGACCCGTTCTTTCCCGACTCCAATCCGGATACCCGCCCTGTCGCAAATCCTCCATTCACGTCACCGCGATTTGTGCGTGCCCATCGGCTTTCGTAAATCCCGCACCCGAATTCCTTTATCCATATTCTTTTTGAGAGCCCACGAAATGGCACGTTATTCAAACATGACCCGGGCGAGGCAGCTGACGCTCAGGGGCTCATAGAAAGATACGACTTCGCATTTTCGAATCCATCGGGATCACATGTCGCTAATCCTCAACAACCGGATTTAACATCCCTATCTCCGGCAGACCATCAATCTTCTTTGTCTTCACTTCTCTCTGCAGAAACACCTTCAACCTCAGTCTCGCTGCTAGCACTCAACTCATGATCGCGATTGATCAAGCACGCTAGTTTCGTCAAGTCGTCGTGTTTCATTGTCGCAGCTGCCAACAATTCACTCATCGGTTCCTCCATCCGCTCCAAGTTCACGAGCGTTTGCGTCGCGACCAGATGCGTGTTCAACATACCTTCCAACGTCTCCTCCATTATCCTCGCGGTAATCGGATCGTTCAGCCGCGCCGTTATTATGCGTTTTCTCTCAGCCTCATCGCGACCTTGGAGGTCAGCGCCAGCGAACTTTACCGTTCGAGATAGAACCAGGTTGTGAGTCGTCTTCATATCTTGAGCTTTATCTGCAGTTGCTTCCAGAGTATCCTCCATATCCGGGAAGTGCTTTTCAAGTTTGTCTCTCAGGGTATCATAGTCGTCTGCCTGAGTACATTTGCCCAAGATGTCCTTCCAGGGCGGAGTATCTGGATCGTTCTCCCTCTCAGCGCGTGGCTGCGCTGATCGGAGCACAGCTAACTTCAACAACTCGTCAAGTCCGACCTTTCTTAATTCATTCCGTGCGCGTTGGATCCTAGTCATCAATTTCTGCTTTGTTCTTTCTGCCAATCTCTTGTTGGACACTCTCCATTTAGTCGTGCATCGTCTTACTTCATCCTGATTGTTATCTTGCTCTGCGTCCTCTCTCTGGGTTTGATACAAACGTCTCTGCTTCTCGCGATTGAAGCGATTCTTCAGTTGCTCCTGTCCATTCAATGCCTTGAAGATAAGGTACATGCAATCGTCTTTGTTCGCAACCTCAAACTCCTGTTGTTCAACGTGGGCCAATATGATGACGAGCATGTCAAATGGGTTCTGGTTCCTGAAGTTTCTGGTCTCCGGTCGGTATTCATGGATGGCTTTCAGTAAACGCCGTCGAGAAGGTTCCAGAATTCCATTCTGGCTAGTCTTGTCGTCGTGGTTGCTATCCTTATCGTCGCTCACGATCGCCAGGACCCTGTCAACAGCTTTAATCCTCTGCACTAAAGCAGCGGTGAACGCCTGGCGTGTCGTGACATCGGCATTATGGCTGTCAGCAATGCGCTTGTTCCAGGCGAGCAGTACTTTCAACATGTCGGCTTCTGACTCTTCAGCTTCTGGTGCTAGTGGTTCAGAACGTAATGGGGCAAGCAGATCTTCGAAGATTTTGTCACGTGGGCCGTTCCCAGTCTTGATCCGCTCGAGGATTGTGGTATCCATGCGTAGCTCATCAGCATGAAGTTCCGCTATTATTTCTCGGTACCGGTCCCAATTCGATTCTTCGTTAGCATCCAAAAACGGCCTACGTTCTTCCAGACATAGCTCGTCAAGTCTAGCTAGGACATCTTGGAGCTCGATTTCTTGCACCAGGCGCTCCTCATCAAATGCATCTGGCAAGAGTTCTGTTCCGTCCCTTTCCCAAGTAAAGTCCTCATCCAAGTGTCCATCTTCGGAGTCATCATTGTTTGGATTAGCCTGATGCGACCGTTCACGCAAGCGCAACCGCGCTAAAGCTTTTGACCCACGCAAAGTTCTTGCACTTATGGTTGGTGTTTTGGTACCACTGATGAGTTCATCATACGCTTCCTGGCGGTTTAACATTTCGATGAAGATAATACTGTTGGAGTTTTCGCTTGCCCAATACCGTGGTCATGGACTAGATACTGAGGCTTTGAACATCACATCTGCCACATTCAATGCAATAGGTATGTGGAATGCCAGAGTCGTGAAAGATTGTGCTTTCATGTCAATAGCACAGCAGTCAATGGTTAGATCGTGACTGCCTATCAAGATACTGCATCACCGAGAAACGTCGGACTGGCGAACTCCAGTAATTTTTGGTTTTCTACACCGACCATAGAGCGCAGGTCTACCAAGGCATGACTTAGTCGCATCCACGGTTCAGCATAGAGGTAACGTATATTAGCGAGCGTCACCATGTTCATTTCTTCATCCTATACAAAGCTCTTCACGCTTCAATTCAGACAGCATCTTCGCGGCACTGTACTTGTCACAAAGCCTTTCACGCTACCTTTCACATACCTGTTCACAGCACCTTTTACAAACTACCGCCCAAAAACACTGCAGCTGATACTACAATGGCACTCTCCCTAGTAGTCCACGCACCCTTCGATGGCATACGGCCAAGACAGCCAAGACAGCTACCCAACGAGTTTGAGCTCTCTACCCTGCCATCGGAAATGCATGTAGTCCCCATGCCGTTCCCAGCTGCTCACCCTTCAAGAGCAACCTCACCAATGTCATCCTCAGCCGCCTCGATTGCCTCCACAAACACTACCCCAGTACACTCGGTATTATCTACCCGTATGTCAGATGCTTCCACCTCGACAAGCTCCAGACCCACGTCATCGGGTTCAACGGACTCCATCTCGTCCCTTTCGACTACACCTGCGCAAAGTGTAGTCTTCAAACCAACTCCAAAGGTCAAAAGTGTTGACGCAGGACGGAAAACCACCAGTCTCAAAGTCCACAACGTTTTCTTACCACGTGCACCCGTTTTGCGACCGTGGAGCGATGAGGATGGGTTGAAGGCGATTCCGAAATTGAACTTGGATGTTTAAGAACCTCTTCTTCGAGCAGTCGGTTTGGATGGATTGGAGTTGGGTTGGAATTTTTGTCACACGCTACGTGTTGGCACACCAACGCGTATTTTCCATAGAATAAAGTAGAACGAACATGAAAACATTGTTATCAGGTCTTCCCATCGCGTGCGTTTCTACTACGGTAAATCACATATCGTGCACCGGCTCGTATCGAACCATCCGTTGAATCCTCAGAGTCTTATCGTCAAACTTCCCTAGCCCACCGTTCCATCAGTTTCGCTGAATTCCCGTTCCTGTCGTTCACATCCTGATTCCCATCACTTTTCACCGTCCTTCCAGAAGAACTCTTTCTGCGCCTTACTCGTCTCTCCAAACCCCTCACTCGACCTTATCTATCGATGCCTGTGTCAAGCATCTGCATGAGTGCAGCTTCCAGTTTGTGGGTGAATCTGAACTCTTTGTAGTATTTCAGGTATGTGTTTGATGCTTGTGTAGAAGATGTGATAGTAGCCTTGCAGATGCCTGACATCTTCAAGACTGTCAATATTGAGCGGCTTTCAATCACTAAGAAGTATGGCCAATCACTTGAGTCGCAACCTAATAAGTAATGCCTGTTATAGGTGATATAGTCGGTCAGCGTTTGGCTCTATAGCCCAAGAATATGATATTTTTGATACAAGTTCCATTCGAAGACGACCCATTGTTCGTCCTCGGCCAATGGATAGTTTTACCCCAGCCCTTGGGGATATGATGCAAGTAAGGTATCGCACAAATTCTGATCCTCATCAGCCCCACAGGCCTCCCGTTAAACGCCAACGCTGATAATGCAAATAATACAAAGCCTAAGCTCTTACTCCAGAGGGAGGTAAAGATTTGTTGACCTCGGGCTTTGTGTCTTTTTCCGTGTTTTTGAGACGCGCCAAGATGACCGTGAGCGTCTTCTTCTCTTTTCCATCATTATCTAGCACGTGGATCAAATCACGGAGCTGGATCCCGGCCCCCGTCTCGTTTTGCTCGATTGCGTCGCCGAACTTGCGCTTCCTGCCTAGGAGAGCCTTTTCAGGCGCTTGGACTGCAGGTGTAGTGGTGCCGCTACCACCTGTCGTAGCTGCCGGTCGTGGTGTCGAAGCACCTGACGCTGGACCACCGCCTCCACCAGTCATCCAGGAGTACTTCTTCTTCTTGCCGCCGAGCGCCATACTGGCAGTTTCATTGGCTTTGCCGAACACAACAACATCCGACTGGCTTTGCTTCTTGGCGAATGCTAGGGCCTTCTTTGTGACAGGTTCTGGCAAGGGTATGGGAGCAGCTGGTGTATCTGCGGAGGAAGCTGAGGCACCTGCTTGACGCTTTGCACGCTTACGAAGCCGCTCCTGCTCCCACTTGTAATCATCCTGAACGCGCTTTGTGAGCGCCTGAGCAACATGGTTGACGTTTTGGTACGTTCGCTGAGGAGTTGGCGGTGCTTCGCTGGGAGGGGTTGGCAGGCGTCCTGCATTGGGGACACCTAAACTAGTTAGCAATTACATGGGAAAAGACCACTTAAGACATACCCTTGCTTGCTGTCGCTGTAGGGCTGACAGCGCTATCCGGTGCCTCCCACGGCGTCTTCAGGACGTTAACTGGCGGGACCATCTTCTCCTGTGCATTCTCCCCTACAATGGCAAGGTCAAGCATCTGAGGTGGAATAATGCCATGAGAAGTGTTCTGACGGCCTTGACACAAAGCGAAAGAGTCTTCGACCACGGTACGTATGCGCTCCTCGGCAGCCAGGGAAATTAATGTTAGAATCTCAACAAGCGGAGCGTTCTGGTTTAGTAGACTGGCAGCCTCCAGGCCTACGATTTGCTCGCCATTAGCACCAGCTTGCGTAGTACGTGTGATCTCTTGCTGGCCTTTGTCTGGAATCTTATCAAACAGACCATCTACATTTATCTGAATACCGTGCTCATAGCCACGCTTTGCGATGCGATGTCTAAGAACGCTCGCTTGTAGAAACGGGTCGTTGAGTGGCTGTTGGGCAGACTCGTTCAGAATTCTAGCGGCTTGTTCGTGTTTCCTGATGAATTCGGCTTGGTGCTGCTCCTTGGTCATTTCCTGACTGAGCGCACCAGTCCCCTGGAACGCGCCATGGCTTGACTGCTGGCTCCAGTTGTTGAAGCTGGTGTGTGGTGATGCTGTCGAGCCTGATGCCTGCGAATTGAAGCTCCTGTAATTGTGCAACAAGTTGTCCTCTTCGGCGCGCAAGTCGATACCAGATCCGGTAAGAACATCGCTGATGTTGTTGACATCGAGATCGCGCGCGTTTGCCTTCTCCAACTCTGAATTATCTGCAGTCTTGCTATAGGGAACCTTGGGTGGCGGCATAGAGCCCTGGAGCGCTGGCTGTTGTCCATTTGGATGCTGGTACGGCTGGGGCTGGTGGAATGGCGGAGGCTGCATGGCGGCAGGCGATGTGGGCAGTGAATGGTAGCCGGGCGTCTGCGGGGATGCGGTATACGGCGAGGGCGGAAACGAGGGAGCGCCAGGCATACCAAAAGGTGACTGGTATGGTGCGGGTGATGGCGGATTCGGGGACAGGCGCTGACGCTTATTGGGAGGGATGCCGCTTCCCATGGTCGGGGACAAGGCGGTCGGGGACTGCTGGTAGTGCTGCGGTGAAAAGGCGCGCTGCTGTTGGTGGTGATTCAGGTTCTGCGTTTGTACGGGCGGCGGAGGCTGCTGGCCCGGCGGAGGGTACTGGTTGTAGTTGGGGTAGGCCATGACGGGCAGCTCGTCCCCTGCGGGGAGTTGCGCAGGTGAAGGTGATTTATCGGCGCGTCATCCGGCGGCGGTGAGTTTCGGGTCGATAGCGCTTGCTTCCGCACGTGTTTTTCGGCAGTCGCGATGGGTCGAGTCGGTGGGCGCGTGGGTAACGTTCTTGTCGCGGTCGACGAAGCCGAAGTTGAATCTGGAATGACGAGCACGGACGGGGTCTTGGCAGTCGCGCGCCAGACAAAGAGAGCCGCAATGGTCGTCCAATGTGCACTCCACTCTCACTCGGCGCTGCTGCACTTTGTCTTGCACCCTCGCATGGTCCAATCGAGGCGTCAAATATTCTTGCGACACTAATCCACGACTAACGAGATAGGTCCGGTCGCTGCTCGTGGCTACTTTACGCGTTCTTCGCCGGCTGCAATTCACGCACCCGATAGCTTCACCTCTGTCACCCGTATAACGCGTATCGGTCCGTCCTACCTCAACTTGCACAACCATGGCATCCAAGAGAAAGGCAACTGCCATGGCGCCCGAAGATGAAGACCCAATAGACCCGTCCGACGAGCTCATGTTCCTCTGCTTAGGAGGCGGTAATGAGGTCGGTCGGTCGTGTCATATCATTCAGTACAAGGGCAAGACGGTCATGGTGCGCACACTGGACTCGAATCTTCTTCGGCGACCATGCTAATGCCCAACAGCTTGACGCCGGTATGCATCCCGCACACGAAGGCTTGTCGGCAATGCCATTCTACGATGACTTCGATCTTAGCACTGTAGATGTGCTACTAATTTCACAGTATGTATACGCACGTCTTGCTTGCCATGGTAGTTGGGGTTCGGCGCATCACTGGAGTCGGACCATGAGCGCGCAAAGGGCACTCGCAGTTCAGCGACTTGTATATCACTATGAATGGAATAATATTTGCTTCCTCTCCGCTCGACTTCGATGATGTGCCCCTCCCTGGTTCCCACCAATCTATCTACCATCTTGGGCGACTCTTCCTGACTCCTTCCTGGGTCTCCTGACCGTCCAATATGCTGACATCCGGCTAGTTTTCACGTCGACCATGCTGCTTCCTTGCCCTACGTGCTTGCGAAGACCAATTTCAAGGGCCGTGTATTCATGACACATCCGACCAAAGCCATCTACAAATGGCTTATCCAAGACTCCGTTCGCGTCGGAAACATGTCGAGCAATTCTGAGACTAAGATCCAAATGTACACTGAGGCGGACCATCTCAATACCTATCCCATGATCGAATCCATCGACTTCTACACTACACATACCGTCTCCGGTGTACGAATCACACCATATCCTGCCGGCCACGTACTCGGAGCAGCCATGTTTCTTATGGAGATTGCAGGCTTGAAGATATTGTTCACTGGCGACTACTCGCGAGAGGATGACCGGCATTTAGTATCAGCGTCGGTACCACCGGGCGTAAAGATTGATGTCCTCATCACCGAGTCGACGTTTGGTATCTCGATGCACACGCCACGTGTCGAGCGAGAAGCACAACTCATGAAAGCTATCACCGATGTCCTCAACCGCGGCGGCCGAGCTCTTCTTCCAGTCTTCGCTCTTGGGCGAGCCCAGGAACTTCTTCTCATTCTGGACGAATACTGGAGTAAGCATCCAGAGGTCCAGAAAATACCCATCTACTACAACTCCAGCTTAGCACGGAAGTGTATGCAGGTCTACCAAACCTACGTGTCGGCCATGAACGACAACATCAAACGCCTCTTCGCAGAGCGCATGGCCGAGGCGGAAGCTGCTGGAGATACTGGACGACGTGGAGCCTGGGACTTCAAGTTTGTCCGCTCACTCAAGAGTCTCGAACGTTTCGATGACCTGGGTGGATGTGTCATGCTTGCTTCGCCAGGTATGATGCAGTCCGGAACATCGCGTGAGCTGCTTGAGCGATGGGCACCTGATCCAAGGAACGGTGTCATCATCACCGGTTACTCTGTGGAGGGCACAATGGCGAAGCAGATTGTCCACGAGCCAGATCAAATTCCTGCCATCATGACCCGGGCGAGTAACTCAGCACGACGACCAGGTCAAAGAGAGAATGAGCAGACCATGATTCCCCGGCGATGCACAGTCCAGGAGTACAGTTTCGCGGCGCATGTTGATGGAAAAGAGAACATGGAGTTTGTGCAGGAAGTTGCTGCTCCTGTTGTTGTAAGTTCAGCTCACCTTGCATATTCATGGTGAAGAAACTTGTACTCACCAAAGCCTAGATTCTTGTTCACGGCGAGAAGGGTAACATGACTCGTCTAAAGTCTAAACTCCTTTCCTTCAACGCTCAGAAAGCCGTTCCCACGAAAATCTACTCTCCAGCCAACTGTGAGGAACTCCGCATTCCTTTTAAAACCGATAAGATCGCCAAGGTAGTGGGAAAGTTGGCCTCTATCGCTCCACCTCTGCCTCGCTCCCTGACTCCGAACGGCGACGAAAGCACAAGTGTTGCAGAAGACCAAGAAGGCGAGAAGGTGGATATGATTAGTGGAGTTCTCGTCCAAAATGACTTCAAGATTTCGCTCATGGCACCAGAAGATCTGAAGGAATATGCAGGTTTAACCACAACGACCATTCTATGTCGTCAGCATCTCACTCTGTCGGCCGCTGGAGTCGACCTGATAAGATGGGCGCTCGAAGGAACCTTTGGTGCTATCAAAGAGAGTAGTCTCACCGACGCTGCCGTTGACGGTAAGATGAACGGCAACGGCACGACTCACGATGAGGAAGCAGATGAAGAAGTCAGCCGAACAGAAACAAAGTTCACAGTAATGGACTGCGTGAATGTCCTCATCAAGAACGGCGGAAGAGTAGAAGTAGAATGGGAAGGCAACGTAATCAACGACGGTATCGCCGACGCCGTTCTTGCAGTTCTCTTCACCGTCGAGTCCTCTCCAGCAGCTGTTCGACGTAAGTCACAACCCCTAATCCAGCCTAGCACTCCGACCAGTCTTCATACTAACACGCATCATCTAGAATCCTCAAAACAACACTCTCATACCCATGCATCCCCACCCAAAGAAGAAGAGGAAGACGAAATACTCACCACGAAACTAACCCATCGTTTCAAAAAACCTCATCCTCACCGCACAACAGACCCTTCCACCCGTCTGGCCCGCCTCTTCCTCTTCCTAGAAGCTCAGTTCGGCGAAGAAGCAGTCCGGCCCATTACTCTCCCTCGCAACAGCACTACAACCGCTACTGCGAACGGCACTCCGGCAGCCAACCCTGATTCGATGGATACCTCAACTCCAGATGATGCCAAGTCACAAGAGCCCGTTAGTGTTGCTGCTCTCCCGCCTCCCATTGCACCAGACGACCAGTTGTCCACAGAAGACAAAGCAGAGCTCAAACGCCTACACAACCTAGGTATACCTGTTCCTGGTGTGGAGATTAAGTTTGACAAGTGGGTGGCGAAGGTTTGGTTGGAGGATTTGGATGTGGAGTGCGGGAATAATGCGCTTAGGGCGAGGGTCAAGGCTGTGGTTGAGAGGGGGGTTGAGACGGTTAGTGGATTGTGGCGGTAGACGGAGTCGGACGAGGAAAAAGAAGCAGGCTCAGAAAGTGTACAGGGGGAGGGGATGATAACTGAGTGAACTTTGCTTCGAGATCTAAGTTAGGGCGACGGTCTTCTTCTATTTTTTGCATCGAGTTGAAGAAGTTATGTGGTGTTTCTACCTGCAATGAACGAGTTCAATGATAATATGAGAATCTTTACATTCAAGGCTCGTGTTCCTATATCTACATTGTGGCGATTGAGATGCAAGCCTAGCACTGTGAGTAACAATATACCTGTGTATCCTATCTCTCTTACATGTGTGTGATACCATTGACTCTTCATCTACGTCTAAACGATTCCCTGGCACTCCAGCGTACGCCCCGTCCCTGTAGTCGTTCTAAACTACCTTTCGCGACTAACACGCTAAAGTGTCCGGGTGAGTTCCTGCCTGTAGAGAGAAGAGCGCGACTTCACCGAGAGAAGGGCTGGATACACTGTTCAAGGGAATGTGGAGACCCGAAAGTGCTTAAAGTGCCCAAGCTCGACATCAGAACACGGCATCGAAAAGCATTCATCGTTTTCTTGCTGAGTCACGAACTACGTTGCATGGATGCCGTGTACGGTTCGCTCCCTGTGATGGTTGCCTCGAAGACTCAACGAAAGCGGACTGATGCCTATCCCTGTAGGACAATTACCGCTGCCGACACTACCGGTAGATGTGGGCAAAGAATTCTTTCGTTAGGTCGAGTGAACCCCTTCGGTACTTGGTACACAGAGCGCTTGCAAGTCCATCCGCTATTTTAGGCCTGAAACGCGTTCCTGAATTTCCAGGCATTGTCGCGTCGCGGGTCCAAGTTTCGGAATTGTGGCGGTGCGATGGCCCTTCCTCCCTAGAAGCACTGATCTTGCTGGCGAACCTTGTTGCGTTGAAGGAAAGCTCAGGCAAGTCCGCTATCCAGAAAGCTTTTTGGATGTGTAAGATTGCTGCCGACAGGTATTTTGCGATAATTGACCAAGGTGAGTCGCATGCCGCGATGTCTGCCTTGCCGGCTCGGCGGCTTTCTTGAGGGTCAAGCCTCAGCGCTAAACCCACATGCCCCCCTCGCTCCAGCCACAATCGTCACGACGCATTGGTCTCTCAACTACGCGGATCCATGCCATGGCAGATAGCTACCCCCCAGCCATCTGATGGGGGGCCGCGATAGACTACTGCGCACTTGCTGCGGAAGGCCTTGGGCGCCTGTTGCAGTTGCCTTGTACACTTTCTCCGTCCTGTTCTGTGACTGTGACTGCTCCGACTGCTAATCTTCTTTGTACTGTGCTGTGTGATACGTGTCGCAGCCAGCCTCTTACTGATAAGGGCAAACAGGTTCTTGATGATATAGGTTACGGTAGCTTCTTAGGTTGTGCTTTGAGGAAAACGGACGCTCTTTTGGCAGCACTGAAGGGATATTTGAGAAAAAGACGGTATCGTGACTTTGGAAGTTCGTCATGGAGGTATGCAGGCAGCTTAACCTTCCCACTTGATGTCGAATCCACTAACCTTCCTGCAGGACACTATTAGATTACATGGCGACTCTCCAGCACTCACGCGAAGTACGTCGCCCACACAACATGCATCACCAAGCTCCTCAGACTCGTCAGCGACGATAAAACCACTACCCACGATACCACACATGCCCCCTCCCTACGCAGACCAAGAGCCGTACCGTGATGATCCCCCAACACCCACAGAAGGCATATCCTCGACGCGTCATCAACTCAATTCACCCACATATGACCCGCACTCTCAGCACAGTCTGGTGTACCAACCATACACAGACACCTCACCACCTCACACACCAATCGCCGACGACGTACCTCTTGCACATCTCCTCTCCACGCACACGTACACTCAATCAACTGAGTTCTCGATCCAATCTGACGATGCTTTCTACTCAGCTGATGCACCACCGTCATACGCAGTCGCAGTCCGACAATCATATCGCGACACACTCATCCAATACATACCTAGCAGCCAGCACGACTCCCGAGTTGCAGAGGACGACGAAAGCCAAATGGGTATAGACACGATAAGACCAGATGATGTGCGGTATTCGGTCGAGAGAATCGTCGCCATGTTTGTTGTTGCGCTGCTCTTGTTGGTAGTGTCAGGGGTGCTTGCATGGCTTGCGCTAGGGAACATGGGATGGCAGTAGAAGTGAGGGACGTTATCTGCGATTGAGGAAACGGAAAGAGTTGGACATGAATATGATACACACGCGAACTGTTTTCGCGACTACTTTGGATATGATGGTAGTACAAATTCGGACATGGGAGTTTTGCATTGGAAACAAGGATTCTGGATAATTCAAAGCAATGTTTGGCATAGCATCTAAGATGACATTATGTAAAGACCCTTTGGCTTCACTCTTGTGAAGACGTGCAGTGAAGTATGAAGAAATGGCTGGTAATACATGCCTCACAACCAATTGCACGCTAGGGTGGCAGTTGCAGAAAGCGAAAGCGAGGTCTTCGGAACACAGACTTGCATCAGATCGTCATACAGAGTTCCCTGGCAGCGTTATGCTGCCCTGCCTTAATATTAAGACTCAGTCCACCGTAATGAACGCTAATAAACCACAGCCAAACAAATCGTGTTCCAATATTAGACACCAGCCTTATGGACCCTGGAGTGGAGCTCCCCAGTTTGGTGGGTCCGTATGGGCATCGGGACAAAGACACGCGAAGATGGGAAAGCGAAGATACAAACCGCTTGGAGAGATGAAGCTCTGTGTTCTTGTACAAGTTGCAGCCCATTGCTCGCATAGGAAAACGTAGGCGAAGGTGCAACCTGAGGCATCGAGAGTGCTGATGTGAGCAGTATGCAGCAGAGACCCACCCAGGCTCGGGCTCGTAAGACGGTAGGATTGTTGACGGGACAGTCAGGCCGCCAGAGGGAAATGGCATCCTTGGTAATGGAAAACTCGCCTTGTCGTCTTGTCCAGCACGTGGTGACTGGCATAAAGCATGCTCCCGGGATACAGTACGGCAGGAACCGGGGTGCCGCTGAGGACGCTGAACAGGCGGGATGTTGTGTTTGACAGCTCGACGTGGCTGGTTCTGAGCGATTCAATTAGTGTGTGGCGTCGCCATAGCGGTCCAGGATGTTGACCGGCGGAGGATGACCCGCTATTGTGTACAATTCACCCCGCCGCGTCAATTTCGCCAGCAAGCGCCGTGGCCAGGAACGAGCAACTCAGTGATCGCGCGCTTTGTATCTGCCGTGTCAAGCTTCGAGGATACAAAGCCCGTCGCTAAGCACTCTCAGCCAATTCCTCGGGGACTGCGCCGCACCCCCAGCCGGCGGGCTTTCCCTCACACAGCCTTGCAGCTTGCTCCGTTTGGACAGTGCCCAGCTTGCTGTCAGCCGCAGCAGCACCTCTCCCAAATATCCTTGATCGCACCCCACCCGCTGATTCTCAGCCCTCTCCCTCGCTCAGTCTCATGAATTCCATGAACACCCGTTTCAAGAACCTAGTGGGTTCGAAACGAAAGAGTTCCTCACACAACCCCTCGCCCACTCCCCAGAGCAATCCCGCCCCCACAGGCACCCAACGACCAACCTCGCTGTCCCCCCAGGCCTCGTCAAGCAGCTCCTCGCTCCCCATGAATCCCCAAAACCCGCTGGGCCGCCCGCCCTCGTACACATACGCCCCTCCGGGCGGACTCGGTGCGCCGCAACAACAGCACGGCCGACCCGCGAGCCCTCTACCGCCCATCAACACGGGCGCGCCTGGCTACCCTCCCCAGCAGACGCCCATGGGCTATCCGCCGCAGGGTGGCCCGCCTGGCTACCCTCCCCAAGGCCCGCCTGGACAATACGGCCAGGGCTACGGTGCACCTCCGCCTGGAGCTCCTGCCCCTCATGGTGCGCCCACATCATACAACAGGCCCTCGGGCATGGCAGAAGTAGCCGGCGAAGGTCGTTCCAAGGCCCAGCTCATTGTTGGCATCGACTTTGTGAGTAGCCTCAGGCATCACGAGGCGCAGCAGCTAACCACCCCAAACAGGGCACTACCTTCTCAGGCGTCGCATTTGCCTTTGCTACCAACACTGAGGCCAAGGAAGACATCATCACCGAATGGCCTGGCGCCGGTAACCAGACAAAGCAGAAGATTCCCACCGTCCTCTACTACGACCAGTACCAGAAAGTAGTAGGATGGGGCCCTGACATCGCCGATGCTTTGGCCCCCACAGGCTACCCCAAGCCTGGTGTGCAAAAGGTCGAGTGGTTCAAGCTGCAGCTTATGCTGTCCGGAAACACATACATTGATCCCATCAACCTCCCACCGCTACCTCCGGGCAAGTCTGAGATCGATGTCGCCGCCGACTACCTCTTCCACCTGCGCCAGGCAATGCGCAACCAGCTGCAAAAGACGCTTGGTGAGGTTTTCAACCGAGAGGAGCGCAACATCAGATACTACCTCACGGTGCCTGCCATCTGGAACGATGCTGGAAAGGCTGCCACGCGCGCGGCTGCCATTCAGGCTGGTTTCTTGCGGGACGAAAACGACAACAGATTGACACTCATCACCGAACCCGAAGCCGCCGCTATGTTCTGTTCAAAGACTGGTCTGCTCAACCTCAAGATACACGATGCCGTTCTCATCGTCGATTGCGGTGGTGGAACCGTCGATTTGATCGCCTACGAAGTCGAAGAAGAGCAGCCCTTCTCCGTCGCCGAATGCACAGCTGGATCCGGAGACTCGTGCGGTTCCACTGCGCTCAATCGCAACTTCAGCAACATTCTCCGAGCCAAGATCAGGAAGATGAAACTCCCAGATGGTTCCAAAACCGCCGGCAAGGTGTATGCCAAATGTATCATGGATTTTGAGAATAGGATAAAAGCCGATTTCCGAAACAATGGTCAGAAATGGGCCGTCGACGTTGGTATCGAGGCAGAGTTCCCCGAGGCTGGCATCGAAGAAGGGTACATGACTTTCACGAACGAGGAGATTCTGCAGTGCTTTGAGCCGGTCGTGAACCGTATCCTTGAGCTTGTCAGGAATCAGATCATCGCCATCCAGGCACAGAACCGGTCATTGCAGGTAAGCAACACGACATTGAAGCTTTTTACACCCAGTACTAACCCGCACAGAATGTCTTGGTTGTCGGTGGTTTTGGAGCCTCTGAATACCTCTTCCAACAAATCAAACTCCACGTTCCACCTCAGTTTCAATCAAAGGTCGTCCGCCCCATGGACTCCGTCGCCGCCATCGTCAAGGGAGCCGTCACAGCAGGTATCACCGAGCGTATCGTCACACACCGTGTTGCACGTAGGCATTACCTCATGGCAACTCTCCAGCCCTTCAAAGAGGGCCACCACCCCGAACAATACCGAGTCCCATCTCTTGACGGCAAGGATCGCTGCAAGTATACACGCCAAATCTTTGTGCAAAAGGGACAAAGAGTCAAGATCGGCGAGCCGGTTAAAGTCTCGTTCTTCAGACAAGTTGCACCCGGCGCTACACTTATGTACGAGGATATACTCTATGCGTGTGATGACGATGTTTGCCCAGAATACACCAAAGACCCTCGTAAGTTGAGAGAGATTATCCAAACGTAGAAAATATCTTGCTAATGGCTAAATAGGTATCAAGGAAGTTGTCACACTCACTTCTGATCTCTCACGAAAGAATCTCGAAAAAGATTTTGAACGCATGGACACGCCCCAAGGTACCTTTTACCGTGTCTACTTTGACATTTACCTTACTCTCGATGGCTCGGAGTTCAATGCCGAGCTGGTTTGCCAGGGTGAGGTTATGGGCAGGTGTACTGCGCGATTCAGGTAGAGTGTGGGTTGGTAATGCGCGGAACGCCCATAAAAGTTTACCCGATTGTTTTGCTAATCTGATGGAGAGACCATATTTTTGGACATCTTATCTAAATATCGGCAGGATATATGGGCTAGATGGGGACACGATTGCGACTGTTTGTTCTGCGCGGATCCTCATTTTCTTGTTGACTTTCTTTTACGATCTGGTTGAGAGCGTCGACGATGTTATCTATACAAGCATACCCCTCAAACGTCTCAATGGCAAAATTCTTTTAATTGTTACACACTAATCTATCCAATATAAGTTCGAGCGCACTATATCAAAGGTCCTCGCCCGCTTGGACTGCGAAGCCTTTCCTAAACTCTGCCGAAATGAGTGTCGCGCACCCTCTAGAGAGCTTTGGCGGTAGCCATTGTCCGACCCAGTTGTATAAGAATTTGACGGTAGGGTCTCGGTGTCGTTGGTCAGCGAGGGAGTGCTGGTGCCAAAGTGATCCCCATCAAAGTCTGCAAAGAGGGATTGGTCAATGGAAGAGTCGGAGTCACTTTCTGAATAAGTACCAACCAGAGACATGACATCGGGTACTGACGGTACCGCGTACTCGTAGTATCCAAGGCTTGGACGGTTTTCTTCTGAGAAAGAACATACAGGTGAACTACAGACCGACGCTCCACGGGTTACCCGTGGTCCCGGATCTAAAGTATCCGAATATGTATAATGCTCGTCTCCATCGGTTCTTCCTCCAGCGTTGGTGTGGTTTTCGTAGGTATAGTCACCTTCATGCGTAGATGAACCTACCGAGAACCTTGAATCGATTGACAATCGACGCTCAACTTCAACAGTCTCGGAACCACTATCTGATATGGGAAAGCGGTAGCTTGCTGGAACTACCTCTGCGATGATGTAGTCATCCAACGAGAATCGTCGAGATGCTGGAATGGCCTCTGGGATGCCATCGGAAACGTCATCTGGTACGCTGGCTTCCGTTGCTGGATAGCCTGAAGATTGCGAAACCGAAGTAACACTTTCCAGAGAGAATCTTCGAGGTGCAGGAACAGCTTCTGCGATGTCCTTTGAAACGTGCTCTGACATACCAAAATCAGTTGCTGCGTAGTTTCGGCGACTTATCGATAGCGGAGTCAAAGCTGGACCTGAAGTGGTCTTCAAAACACCGAGATCTTGCCACAGAAGGCACCCATCACGATGAACGGAGGGCGGCAAACTTGGCTTACCAGGCATGGAAGGCATATCCTTCGTACCACGCAGAGGCGGAGGACGAGGTTCGTTTGCGGCCCCGTTAGTGTGCGTATGCCTTTGAGGACAATTCACCGGAGCAGCATCGCGACGCTGATACTTACAGACATTCTTTATTGATGTCACCGGTAGCTTTGTTCGTTGCTGTGGTCCGGGAAAGGGAGAGTCTGGACGCTTTGGATGGTACGGGGATTGTTTGGGAGGGGCTTCGAAGATAGTAGCACCTTTAGTACTCTGCTTCCGCGATTGCTTGGTCAGTGATCGTTTCTTTGTGATTGGAGCATGATCAGTCTGTTGCACTGCAACTGGTGGTGACATATCGTACTCATCAGCTTCGCTACCAGGGTTATATCCAAGATTTCTATACTTCTGAGCGCGTGACTTTAGTCTTGGTCGACGATTGGTTTGGTATCGTACAGCGTTACAATGCTGAAGTTTTACTGTAACCTGAGGAGAAAGCGGCGATTCAGAAACATCCCCTAGCGTTTTATCACCACATGGCTTAGGCAACCGGTCCTTTGCAGCCTGTAAGTCATCGATAGGTGTCGGCAGCAGCGCTGGTCTGAATCGTACTGCTCTACGAGCTTGGGCAAAGAAGGTAGAGACAGCGTTGGCCACTTTTGGTATGCAAAACTGCTCGTTCTGTTTCTTGTCAGGCTCTACACCACGGTTCCCAGTGTACACTTCAGCTGTCATGGGAGCCATAATCATACTATCGAGCGAAGGCCGGCGTTGCTGAGAAGAGTCCTGACGAGGCACTGTCATCTTCATGTCCAGTTCCTCACGAAACATGGAGACGCCGGTAGGGTACTGAGCATACCTTAGCTGAGGGCGAGGATACACACGCACAAACTGGTTCTGTTGATTTTCGGAGACTAGAGCAAGGATAGTCTCGATGTCGTGACAAGCGCAACGGGGGTTCTCTGTATGCTTGTGCGCGCGCATTTCCGCATATGTCAACATACCCATGCCCGTGACACTGTGTTTCGGCTCATCCGTCGCGCTATCGACATTACCCTGAGGCTTCGATTTGTGTGTCTTCGCGAAATCGAGATGTTCCATCACCATGTTTAGTGTTTTGAACTTGTACAAGCTGGGTGTTGAAGGTTTGATGGAACCGTGAGTCGCTAGCTGATAGCTCAGTATCTTTCTATTATGTCTTGACCAAAGATCGTACTGATCTGTAGGACTACACGGTTGTCTCTGCTTTGGCGGATATGGATGTGTTCCCTAGGAATATATGGGTGATCTTCCTCTTATCATCCAGGATGATTCCAGCAATGTCTGCGAACATACCCAGTATGTTCATGTGAATAGATGTGCCGGGAAAATTGACTTACAATGTCTGACATAGTGAACTGACTGATAAATATCTAGAAACAGTCAGACGAATCTAGTCAAGTTGCATTAGTATATGTGGCAGCTGGTATTACACGTAAGCTGTATATATAGTGATAGCATGCAGATATCCCGACTAACTACAGCGTCACACCACGAAAGTAAAAGACTATACAAGTCTGTTAGTGGTTGACAGCTCGATATGCAGAAACTGAGAGAAGTGCCCGAGATTTTAATAAGAGCAGTTTATATCATATTTGTTGTGGGAGTCTAACAATCAGAGATTGAACATTCTCATGTGGACTCTAGTAATGGTAGGTGACGATATATACGTAAAACTTTGTATTGTGTCGACACTCTGTGCTGGGAGTGAAACTCATCGTTCATCAATTTGCTGTCTCTTGGTCGTCTTGTAGTGGTGAGACAAAAGAAAAACCCAGCTCACACATATCGCGATATGTCTTGGACTTGAACAGAGTAGCGAACTCATGAAGAGTGTTACAGGACGAGTGGTATATGGCGAAGAAGGAGACATCTGCATTGCTTCCGAAAGTATCATACAAAAAGCAGGGGTATCATGAACTCTTTCACCGGAACTTAGGCCGGTAGGTTGTCAGCCTTACTGAGCCGTCTGACGCCCTCCGCCTTCCTGTCTTCCGCAAGGATAGAGGCGAATTTACTAGCCTTCCTGATCTGCGGGCCCTTCCAATAGAAGACGTAGATCGGCACCACGACCAAACACGACAAGCATGCCAAAAGAGTGGTGGCATACTCAGACTTCTGGGGACTCGTGGATGCGAGATTGTTGTATAGAGGTGTGGCGTACATGGCTGAAATACCGGCGAGGAAATCACGAGCGAACGCATTTCCGCCAGTGGCTGAAGCCGAGTATGGACCGTACGCAGCGATCATGTAATCAACGGAGGAGTAGTAGATTGCGAAGTTTGCAAGACCGACAAGGAACGAAAAGATCATTGGTGCTATCCAATGTGTTTGAGGTGGTCCCATACCTATACAGTATTAGTCGAAGTTCAGGTGAATACATCGGATGCCAACTTACAGGTCCAAGCGAAGCCAAACAGCCCAATGGGCTCAAACAAAGCAAGCAACAGAAGCGGTTTCAAACGTCGCTCTGGTGACATCCAGTCAGGGCCATTCTTCTTGCGTAAGTGATCATCGCGCCAGAACCAGGGCCAGTACAAGAAGTATGTGAAGAAGTAGGAGGCGTTAATTGGAATGAACGCCCAAGCTACCTGCAGCGTGCCGAAACCAAAGTTGTTCGGGAAGGTGACGTTGAAAGCCTCCAGGAACGTGAAGATCAGAGCGTCAGAGAAACCGGAGAGGAGCGATAGGAGCAACACGATAGGCTCACGAACGAACATCTCGAATGGTCGGAGCCAGATCTTTCCAGCTTCCTTGAGCGAGATTCGCGGCTTCTTGAGCTCGTTCGGTCCGTAAACGTTGGGATCTTCGCCCGTCTCACGACGTCTCTTCGCTTCGCGGTCGATAAGAATGGTAGCTCGGCTCTCAGGCATGAAGAAATGCACTGCTTGGACAGCAACACCAAAGATCAATTGGATCCAGAAATTCCACTGCCATGTAAGGTATTTTTCGATGGGTCCGCCGATTACACCGCCGATTGACGTTCCGATCGTAGAAGACAATACGATAAAGCATAGAGGCCAGTGCTGAGTCTCTGGTTCGTACATGTCGGCGATAAGACCAAGAGTAACACTACCTCCAGCTGTAGAGAGACCACCCTAGAAAATATGAGCGCTGGATGCAATCGAAAGTGGGAAACTTACAAGAGCTCTGCAGACTACGATGGTGCCGAAGTTTGGGGCAACAGAACAGGGAATTTCCCAGATGTTGATGAGCAGCATACTGAGCTGTAGAATGGGCCATCGACCAAATTCCTCGCTCCATGGCGCCCACAGTTCGCACCCAAAGGAATAGAAGACCAGATAGATCATCTGTCCAACGCGCGCTGCCTGTGCGCTGATTCCGAAATGTTCGGAGATGGGGTTGACAGCGCTAGGATATACCGACGTGTTGAAGTTCATGGAGATTTGAATTCCAGCAATGGAAGCCAAATACATGGCCTTCTTCCACTTTGGCCAGGAGTATGCGAGCTTATCCCAACACTCCCATTCCCTCAACTCGCGCTTTCCGTCTGGACCGGGTACCATGGATGGGTGGTGGACTCCTTGAGGGTCGACAGGGACGTTCACATCCCATTTCTCCTCGTCGCTGGCCTCAGCTGGTACGCTGGGTCGGCGCTCAGAATCGTCTTTCTCGGAACCTGGCCGTGTGCCAGCTCGGGCGGGCGAAGGTTGCCTGGACTCGCGTTCCGTCATCGTAAGGTGGAATGAGGAGAGAAAGCTGGAGATGAGACTCGGGGTGCGGGATAGGGTATTAAGGCCCTCTTGAACCCGATAAAAGTCCACATTTGGCATCCACCTCCAGAATGACGTCTGAGTAGAAAGCTCGCAATGAAGAACGACTCTCCACTCAGAGAGGGTCCTGTCAGGGTGGGATCCATTGTTGTCAGCCCTTGGCATAAAATGTCGGCCTAAAATTTATCGTTGGGATCGGGGTGATAGATGCCATCGACGATAGGAATGATACAGTGTGTCTGAGGGTGGGCCTAGCTTGTCAACGTCGCGGTGCTCTTTGGCGGTTGTATCTTGTGGACCCAACTATGTGACGACAAGCTTCGTCCATGCAGCGAAAAACTGTTAGTTGCTTTCTTAATCCACTTCTTGCCGACGTGCGCGCACCTCCCGACAGGCGAAACGTCCGTAGATCTGCATGCGGCTGAAGACAAGAATGGGTCAAGTGGGCCTGAAAGTCTGAAACCCGCAAGTTCTCAGGCAGCTAGTGAGGCCGTCCGGTATTGCTTGAATAGTTTGGCGTTCTTGTGTTTTTATGAAATTAAGCATACTTGCTAAAAAGCTGCTCCACTTTGCCTGTAAAGAGACACATGGAAACGTCTTCCAGAAGACGGCATACGAGTGCCTAACGGAGTCCCAGTGAGGTAACGCGAAAAGCTCTTTGTCGCCTCCAGGTATGACATGTCAGGATGCGGTCTGTCAATTGATCAACATGCCGTAGTCGTCCGATTGGGGTAAAGACGGAAGAGGCTCTGCGGGCAAGCGGGTGAAAACTTTTAGCTCAACTGCATGACATCACAACGCATGAACGCGAGATCCGCCGCGGTTCGCAACACCAACAGCATTCCTCACGATGCGATCGAGGTCTCGACCTATGCTACACACACTATTCGGCGTAAGTTACCCAAAATTTTCAAACTCACAACGTTACCTCGAGTATTCTCCAATTTTTCATGCCAACGTGCTGTAGGGTTCACTCCCTGAAATTTGAGACGTATTTTACGCACACAGCTCCCACGTGCACGCCGATTGACATGACATCGCGCGTTAGCCCCCCCCTCCCGAGTATCCCTTACTCGTATCCCCACCAAGCTCGACAGACCGTCCAGACTGTGGAGACAACAGGCAGGACGTCATTGAGCACGAGAATGCTGCCACAACACTACGCCCTCTTGATTGACACAACTACTCAGAAATAACAATTCTTGGATGAAACTGGTCAACAGAGCAACTCAAATTCAGAATTAGAGTCGAAATCACTGAAAGAGTGTCGTTCCAAGATCAACGACACAACTGTGACTTATTCACAGCATATATATGGCTTGAACTAACGTAAGCAGCGGTGCGATAAGTTTGTGGTTACTCTCGAGAAGTTCAATAACCTGCGGTTGCTGATAAGAAAAGTATCCTTCCTAGGTACTAGAGTTCTATTGGAAATGGCCTTGCGAAGTAGAGCATGAGAACTAGAAGATGAAGTGAAGAGAATCACCAACCACATGTGAGTTCAAAGCGGTCCCTTTCGTCTAAATATCGTTATTTCCAATTGGAATCAGGGAACATCAAAATTGAACTACAAGTGAGGTCAATAGCTATCTCATTAATTTCCGTGAACTATAAAACAACACGCCCAAATCTGAGTGCAGAACCAGCTCAGTATCATCATCCTAGAATTGGTATCACAGCAAAAAAGCATACATTTCTTTCCTCCATAAATTTACCAACGGCTCCCTTACAAAACACCAACGACAGCAGCAACAACCGCAGCAGCAGCTCCAACGTAGCTCTGCGGGCTGAAACCACCAGCAGCAACGTTAGCAGTGGCCTGAGCAGGAGCACCACTGGCAGAACTACTGGCACCACCTGCAGCACCACCAGAGGTACTATCGGTACCAGAGTTCGCGCCACCACCAGCTGAAGGCGAGGTGGGTGTGTTGCCTGTGGCGCCGCCTGAGCCGGCTGCTTGGCCGGGGGAGAGGTTCTCCGTAGCTTGAGCGGCGAGAGCGACAAAGGCAGACATTGTTTTGTTACCAGATGTAGGACTGTACGTATAAAATTAGTGGATGTGTTTGGGAATGCAAGAACGAAGACTTACGCGTTGATAGCACCGACCATACCAGCTTGGCAATGCTTGCCCTGAGAGCAGTAGAACCAGACTGGCTTCGCATCTGCGACACGGATGGTGTATGTGAGGACTTGACTTGTAGCAGTAACGGAAGCGTTTGTAGGCATGAAGCCGGAGAAGAAGGCATCGGTTTTGTTGGACATGATGTTTTGGATGGGTGTGCATGGGTTGTCGAAGGTGGATTGAACGACTGAGTGGTTCTGTTTAGGAAATGTTAATTAGGTTCCACTCGAAAATGGGGAAGTGATGGATCAAAATAGGACGTACCTTGGGATGGAATTGGAACTGGACAAGATCTCCTGGCTGTGCGACAACGTTGGAGGGAGAGAAGGTCAGGCTTCCATTTGGACCTCCGACTTGGACGACGTGTGTCATGACCATGCCTGCCATTGCAGATGGCTGAGATGTCGATACGCTGCCCAACACAGCTGAGGAGAGTGTCGGTTGAGTGGCGGAGGCCATGGATACTGAAGCGGTCATGGAAGACTCTTGGGCGCACGCGAGGCCGAAGACGGCAGAGAGGATGGTTGCCCTTGGGAAATACATGTTGACTATTGTATGTGATATTCGTTCGTACGGAATGTAATTTCGATATTAGGTATGCGATTCGTGTTATGATGCTCAATGTCTCGTCAAGAGAGTGGATGTGCGACTAGCGCTCGGTTTGAATAGGTGAAAATATATCAAGCTGGACTAGCCAGTCGTTTATTAAAGATTGTGAAGAGGTAAGTAAAGAAAGATAGATGCAAGGAAAATGCAACACAAAGTGATGAGAAACGTGAGATGCGGAGGATGAGAAAAAGAGAAGCCTGAGGTGACGGCTATAGGGCCATCTTAAGGCATGACAGATGTGCATGCGTGGCCAGGGCGGTTAGTAGTATTCCGATACATGGGGTTGGTGTTGCGACACGTTGGAGGCGTGGGGTGCTTCAGCCTCCCGGTTCGGCTGTGAACCCTGTACGTGAGGCTTAAAACGGGTATATTTGAGCGCAGCTTGAAGTTTAGACGTCGGTGCTGAACAGTTTTACTATTGTGAACAAATTGCTTAGAGGACAATTGAATGTAGTATGTTGTGACACCAAGTACACAGATAGAATTGATGTATAAAGTAACATTGATCATGTCACGATGTTGGTGTTCGTCGTGATGTAGCTGGGTGTTCATGATGCGACGCGCTTCACGTTACGGCTGTGTTTGAGCCCAACCCCATCGTGCTTCAAGCCGTACGTGGCAACGGCAACCACAAAACCGAATGAGCCAGGCAACCGGAACCTTCGTTTGCGAGATTGTGCATTACATGGCTATCAGGCTGCGCGCGTAAACCTCTTCGACAAGATCTTGGATGCCAGGCAACATTGCGAGATGTTTCAAACGTGTCAGGCAGTTGAGTCCTTCATTTGTCCATGGATCTTTCTGTCCTGATTCTGTATGGTAGTTCGTCCTGTAAACGATTGATGTACATGTCCATGTTTCGGTCTCTTGCCTTCTCTGCCTCTTGACTGCTGTTAGTCGCAGATTGCGCCGAATATCCGCCTTCGCTATGTTTGGCTTACGATGTTCCGAAAATAGCCTGACAACACTGGCGTCCGAAGACAGGCTGTACAAGGTGCATGTATGGTGCGGCGCAAATGTCGAACCACCGCCGTAGTCGGTGTAAAGAGCTGCTCGTTGGAGTACAGCCGAATTGTAATCCCAACAGTATATGCAAGCAGGCTTGCATACATCCACATGGCGACTGGTATCTCTTCTCGTTTCATTGCTGAGCCGCGCTGAATTGTCACGTCTTCGTGTACATCCCCCCGCCTTCAAAAGTCCAACACAAGTTGGGGCGCCAGCTTCTCAAGATCCTCTACTTGAAGAAAACCATCAATGGCACCCCCGTCTTTTGCAGACGCTTTCATCTCATCTTGGCTTCTAAGAAAAGCTTCCGTGACGAAGATGTCAATGTACTTTCCGACCAGCTTCATCGCACCGGTTTGTATTTGTATGTTTGGATCCTCAAAGTTCTCGAGAAGCAGACGTGCGAGGAGAGGTCGTGGTACGACGGGTTCGGAAAGGGCAGGGTTGGTTGGTGGTGGTGGTTTGGGAGCAGCGGGTGCGTCCTCCATTATGTCGTCAAAGTCTGAGAGGTTTAGATCTTCGGCAAGCTCTTCGTCTTGATCATCGTCAGATAGGTCGATTATCTCGGCCGCTGGCTGGAAGCCGTTCTTTGAGCCTGCCGCATTGCTCTTCTTGGCTGGGCCCGTCGCGCGGGAAGCTGCTGCTGGGGCGCGTTTCGTGGTTGTGGATGCCTGGGAAGCCGCGTTGACAGGCCGCGGTGGGTTGAATGACGGGCCTTTTCTGCGCGAAGCATTCGCTGTCGCGTTTTTTGGTGGCATCTGAGACGTAATCGGGCCTGCGCTGCGTTTCGAGCGGTTATCTGGTGTGCGAAATGAGGCGACTGCGGTTGGTGATGATGTCCGCGCCGATCCACACCTGGTCAACACGCCGCGCGCTCTCACGTGGATATTACCTTCACCAGCGCAATGCCATTGCTCTGATACGGTAGCACTTTAAACCACACGCTTGCGATGCTCATGGCATTCAGATCGACAACGCATTCATGGAGCGCGAACAGCAGGCTTGTATTTTCAGGGACAAGCACACTATGTGCATTAATGCTACATAGCCAGCATGATGCACGCCATATTGTGCCAGTTGTATCTCGCTGCACTGTACTGTCGTGGATTTGCACGCTTTGTCAACCAAGGCGATAACAGGAAATCGCTTCTGATTGCCAAGCCAACCTCATCCAACCGACCGTTGAACAGTCATAAGAAAACACCGTTATACGGCCAAGGAGAAACACAGACCACGCTTCCTTCGTGTGCCGCCACAAACCCACCTTGAAAGCTTGACAACTTGATCGCGAGCCCAAAAGGCGGGCCGCACGGTTGCGCCATTCACTTCGTATTGACAATCACGGTTACTTGCGTAGTCTCCGCATTTGATCGAGCCTTCACGATGGGGGCTGCAAACTAAAGATACCCGCGAACTTGTGTAATCAAGACGCCATAGTGGCGCCAGAGGGCGGTTTCAGCCAGACAAAGAAACGGACCAGCCGTTGAACTATTCTGCTGGTTGAGACATGAGCCATATGTAGCGAAATGAGATAGAGGTAGTACTATGCGACGGGTAGGGTGCCTCGTTACACGGCGTTGGCAGCAGACATTTCGAAAGGGTCTTGACATGCAGAACGCCTGACACATAGTACATATAGGGGACTGTGCCACGAACAAAGAGGATCTCTTTGGACTGAGGGGAACCTCAGTACTTTTCATTCCGATTGGGTAATGATCGAGTGAGGATTGGAACAGTCATTTCGGAAGAAGTCGAGGCGCAGCGAACATGACAGGCGCAAACTTGGGCGGTTGGCTATCTGCTAGGTGCAACTCCTTACACGGATAGGGAGCCATGCTGCTTGCAACTGTTATCGATGTTCGATCCATTGAATATAAGTGGAGATTGTTAGATCCCGTCGCATTGGGGTCGAGACTCTGAAATGGAAAGGAACTAGTACCTGTTTATCTCCCGTCCTTTTGCACGGGGAATCATTTGAACGTTCACGTCACGACTGAAGGATGCACGCCGATGGCTGTTGCAGTGACGGGCTGGTGACTCGTGCGATATTGTACCCGCCTCGATCTGACTGGCACAGGCACTTCTGGGTAACGTGTGGGCGACGGAGTGTGTTGTGCCTTCGCTCGGCTTCGCTCCGGACCGCGGAGGTAGTGCCTAGGTATCTAGACACAACATGTGCCAGTCACCACCCTCATGCTGTGCAAGCAGGGCGGCTCCAGGTAGAGTAGGGCGGGTGCTGCTTCTTCCCGCTCGCGTAACTCAGAAGAAAAGTCGGCCAAAAGAGCAGAGACACGGTATGGCACAAGAGGCCCGCCCAGCCAAACAGAGGTCGAGACTCCGGAGTGTCCTCCCAAGAGCAGCGGGTCCAGGCTAGGCTGAGTTTGGCGGGGTAAGAGAATGGCCGGTGATGGGGTTAGTGGCAGGCTAGGAGGACAGCGTCAAACCTCGATTGAGTGGTGTTGCGTTGTCGCTGAGATTGATACCAACGTCTTAGACTAGGGTTGCGTAATAGCGGACTACGGGGTCGCCCTTTCCCCTGTGGGAGGTGCTATTTTGAACTGGCAGTCGCGCGTTGGGTTAGGGAAGCGCAGTGGTTGCAGCTGGCAGGTGCGAGTGGTGGCGCATATGAGTGAGCAAACACGGCTTGCTGATAGCTGAAGCTGTGCTGGAGCCATGATGGAGTGGCCGACGCTTGACACGCATAGCCAGATAAGGATGCAGCGCACAGCCGTCTTCAGCATGGCCAAATGTCAGATACCCAGTCCGATCGTGTGCATGCGCCCAAAACTGCATGGTGGGCGGCTGGCCCGCGCGCAGGTGACGCTGGATCTGAAGCCCTGACCCCTGTCGCTCTACCCGAGATGCTTAGTGCCTGGTGCTGGAGGTGCACTGTGGCATGCGGCGAGCCTCTGGGACCAGACGCCTGGCTATGGAACTGGAAATTATATCATATAGTGGTTCGCTGTCGTCTGCCCAGGGCCCAGCTCCTGCATCTTCATCGGCCAACGACCTCCTTTTGCCATTGCGGGGTGTTTGCTTCAGTCGTCATCCATTCTTAACCCCAGGACTGCCACCGCCCATCACTTTACTATCTTGCCGCACCATTGTCCACTCAACACTGTCAATCAATACACGGACTTCCCCCTCAAGTTCCGTGTCCTGATAACCAAACGCCACCGCGTCTCAATTCGGATCTCGTCTCACATTGCAAGATAGAGAAGCGCGCCAGGATCTGCGCTCTTGCATGTTGCACCAACGTCTTTATCCATATCTAGGCGAATAGTTCGTTCGCGGCTCCCCAAACAGATAGCCCTGGTCGTCGCTCTTATATCCTCAAGTCCTCTATCTTTTGTTCTTGTCCGTCATGCCCCATTCGGTCAACAACTCTACATCGACCCAAACCAAGATGTCCCGCCCATCGTCCACGTCGACGTACTCTGGCACCAATGCATTTCCCAAGCAGGCAGGCACCGCCCTCCTATCACCGGAAAATGCCGGAGAGCAGCTCTCGCCCTCGCCCTCTCAGTTCTCTTTTGCGTCGTCGCCACAGTCAGTCCAGAACATCGAGCTTGACACCCGCGACCGCGCTCGTACTCCTGCCGCCGACGGTGTCGGTCCCCTGCGACCCGTGACCTCCCGCTCCCGTGCTGCCTTCTATGAAGATCAATTTTCATACAAGGACGGTATCGCGTCGTCGGCTCGCGAGCGTGTGACCAAGGATGCGCCTATTGTAGCCGAGCTGCGGACAAATGTTATCGTAAGTTGTTAATTTCCGCCGAGCTCCACTCTTTGGGCAAATCACTAACCCAGCGTAGATCAAAGACGAATACACCCTAGTCACCGACCTCTCGCACCACCTCTCGACGCGCTACCAAAGGCCAGAAGCCTCCATCATGATAACAGTTAACCACTCGGCGTGTATGCTCTTGGGTGGATCCTTTGAGCCCACGTACATGCTCACTATCAACGCTCTGCCAGTGCAATTGCAGCCAACGACCAACAAGCGCAATGCCGCCCTGATCCAAACATTCATGGCAGAGTCCATCGGCGTGTCGTCAGACCGTGGCGTGGTCAAGTTCGTGCCTATTCCCGAAGAGAGCCTCGCCATGAATGGTATGACCGTTTTGGGCGATATTGAGCGCCTCGAACGACAGCAAGCCGAGGAGACTGGCAGCAACATCAAACGTGCCATGACCAAGAGCTCGCGCAGATCCGCCCACAAGGCAAAGAGTAGCAATATGCTCTCTCGTGGTCTGTCCAAGGCTGACCATAGTGCAAGACCCGTCACCTCTGAGGTTTCTCACGATGCGTCCCGCGACTCCGGAATAGCTGTCAACGAGAAGATTGACGACAGCGGAATTGCTAGCAAGAAGTCTGAGCCATTACTATCCAAATTTAGCCGGAAGCCCTCTACTTCGCATCCGGCGCCACCACCTATTCCTGCCGACAGGCCTGTCACTCCAGCTGTTAACAAGCGCAAGAGCTTCATGAACGTCTTCCGCAGATAATCGTCTAGTATCGTTTCATACATTGCTAGCACAATCGTTTCTTGTTCGGCACACCAAAACCTTCATCCAGCATTTCTCATTTCGGCGGCGTTTTAAAAGGGACACATTTCGCTCTAGACCGAGAGTCGGCAACACAGACTCATCTGCTGTACACCCTTATCACGGCATCTGTCAAATTCTGCATATGGCGCAACACACAAGCATACTCCAAGTCGCATAGTGCGACAAAACAGCATTGCCAGGCGTTTGGTGTGCAACACATCTCATTCCTGTTCATACGAATATACCCTTTTGCATTTCCTTTATCGCAAAGCTGTATTGGGTAGAAAGATTACATAGAATCATTAATGACACAGCAACCATCATTACCACTTCATCGCCTTGCAATTGTGTTCGTGAATCTCTACAGTTGCCGCTGATCAGCATCTCGCCGAGCTGCGCTTCACTCACCGCAAACATGTCCTCCACCGTGCCGTGTCTGGATGCATGTTTGACTAAAACATTGAGATCTTCAAACGATCCAGATCTTTGCCCAAACTGGTTTTACTTCTCGGGTACGCGTCCCCCAGCCCGATGGAGCTACATCTATATTCCGTCGGGTCGACAGTCGCTAACAAGAAGGGTCGTCGCCGTCTACTTGCCGCGTGGCTAGGCGGAAAACTACCAGACCGCCTGTCAATGCTTGACAGCAAGGTACGGCCGGTGAGTTCGCTTATACAATATCCTTCCAAGCCGCTCTGCGAAGTAGAGGTGTGAACACTTGAGACTGATAGGCTGTTATTCCAGTAGTTCCACATTGGCATGTTATCTGTTGACCACTATGCAGTAGGGCTGAGACAGCTATGCGTTGATGTCCGTAACCGGACCATCGGGGTGCGCGGTGAGGCTGAATCGAGTGGTGAGAGTGTCACCGGGATGGGATTTGCTTGACCCAGACGCATTGGCAGATAGCCACACCGGCGCGGCCAACGTGAGCAGCGAGTAGAGCATTTTGTTTTTCAGCTCTCCACGTTTTTCTAGATAGTGGATCTAGATGCGCCACAAAAGCTGATCGGAGACATGTAGCGTGCACGCTAAGTGAGCGGGAGAGCTACCATTAGCGTTAACAAATGTCACCACTTTCTTTCAGCTCTGGCTCGTCGAACGGGGTTTTTGCATGCAGACATGGTATGTGGCTTGGTCCAGCCCTACGGTGTCGGCAAAGGTTTTTTCTTTGTGCCAACGGCGGCAGCCGAGATTTGCGATGCTGTTACAGACCACAGTGGTGGCGTTGTGCCACGTGGTTGCGGCTACTTTGCCTCTGGTGGAGATGCACGTGTAGAGAGAAAGGCCTGGCGGATCACTGTAACATAAATTTTGCATAGTAAGAACAGGTATCAAAAAGCGACGGCGTTGCGTAAGGACATTAAGCTTGCCATCAGTTCGAACCGGGGTGATCGGAACAAGGTTCACGGCGATCAACGCTACCTAGGCAGAATGATCAGCGTCGTGGTAGTTTGTGGCTCGCCATATGCGACATTCCGCACTGCTCGCCCAACATCAGGGTGATCACACTAGATGTAAATGGCTTGTCGCTTTACGGCTCTGTTTGCAACACTCACTATGTCAATAAAACATGGGGCTGATTTACCCGCAATCTTTCCACCCAAGAGGTGCTGGTCGCACAGCCAATCAGATCCTAGCGAACACATTCCTTGCACTTTGGAAGTTTGCGCTTTCTGGGCTTGGCACATATATGCATGTTGCAAATCATCCAAGCGAGGCTGCAGGTTGGTGAAAAGTGAATTTGGGTGATGCGCGGTACGATGAAGTAGACGAGATAAGGCAGAATTGGAGAGGGATCGCCATAAGTTGCGTAGGCCAAGAATATCTGATAGTTTGGGACTGTTGGAGGTTTGGAATGCTGGTAGAGTTTATCGGGAGTTATTGAATCGCGGGAGCTACGGGTCAAGAGGAGGGCGATTTTAAGTTTGCGATGAATGACGTCATGGGCTACAACGAATCTTGGGTCGGTCGGAAGTCTCCATGAGCTTATTCAGTAGCCCTGATTTCACATCGAATTGGAGACCACGAGATGCTCACACATTGGGTGTTTCGAGTCGACGAATCATGATTGTCGTAACATGTTTGAATTAGCTCTGGCTTGGAGGTTTGTCTAGTGTGGAACTTCTATAGATAATGGGTCTTGGTTGATTTGTGCCGAAGGCCTAAACTGTCGCGTGATAATCAGTCTGTTCATTCATATGCTGGCATATTTATCTGAACCCACACTGCGTATTCCTGTTCTAGTCTACTCACAAACACCTTCCCGAGAAGCTGCCCACTATGTAGTAAGTGTACTTAGGTATCGTCTCGAGCAACAGACTGCGTAGGGTAATTGCTTACCTTTGTACCTTGTGGTCGTGTCAACTTCTTCATCTCTGTCATAATAACACCTTCGCCCACCTGGAGATCCTCGAGAAAGGCAGCCGATTTGAACCTCGAAGTGAGGCCCTCGGATGAGTGATGAGGTCGAATAGGAGTGAAGTCTCAAATGTTCCAAAAGCAGGTGAATACACGTATTCTTCTGGACGTCGCGGCTGCTACTTAATCTTCTTCCGTATTTCAAGCCCCAAATGTAGCTGAATTGAAGGTCGGATTACAGCGCCCCATGTACTCGGGTGTTTGACGAAGAAAAGCCTGTCAGCCGCAACATTGTATAGAGGAAAAGTTGACTTCCCCGTCATACACCTATCGCGTTTGGTAGACTGACGCGATAGGTGAAGAGTAGAGATGATCGCTTACGCGTACTGTACATGCGGCCTATGGTGAGCTGGAGGTGACAGGCCACCATCCCCACATCCCCGCTTCCACCTCGCTGCTTCCTCCCACGCCCAACCCTCCACGTGCAAAACCCCAACGAACCATGACTATGTGCAACACACCGTTCAAGCTCTAGCCGAGTTAAAGCGGCTTATGGCAGAACGTGACATATGATGCGGGACGGGATGGTGGGCACCGCCTTAAGCCTGCACGATGGCTTGAGCCCTTGGGCTCGTGTTATTACCACGATCAGGATACATGATTGATGACTTCCCAACGCTTTTGGAACAGGTTCGGATTACCGCAGAAAGATAGAGAGATATGCGTAAGAGCCGTGCAGAATTACTATGGGGGATGTGAAGTGGAAGAGTTTGAGGAGCAGGGCTACTGCAGTTGTACGATTCTTGTCCCGCCATCGAGAAGCGTGTCTACAATCAACGACACTCTTCCTGTGGTTCTTGAAGACACGCGCGGCGAGGAACG